CCCCCCCCCACAAATACAATATATCAGTACAGGTATCGGTGTCGGTGAAACACTACCTACCTCGTACTGAGCAGTTGGGCATGAAGTCCAAGCCTCGCCAGCTCAACGGGCAGCGAAGGAAAGTTGGACCCTGTGATGGGGACCGAAGGTCCTTTTTTCCCACCCCCCCTCGGTTTCCATCCACCCACACATCAAAGTCCACCACGCCTCACGGGAGGATAAAGTACACAGGTTACGGGAGTACGGCTCACTTCGGTCAGTATTGGTGGTGCTCTGCTTGCTTGCCTGTCTGTCCTGTCCGCCTGCATCTAAGGTTTTTCCGGTGACTGCGCATAATGCGTACGACTTGCTTACCGAGTACATTCCGATATACGGGGTGGGTGGCTGGCTAGCAACAAACCCAGTATTCGGGCCCAAGTTACGAGGTACACGGCACACACGGTCACCTGATAGGAACGATGGGGGAAATGTTCTTTATTCAGCCTTGTCTAGGATGCGGGCATGCCGGACCGAGTACCTCGTATTTCCACCGCTGAATGAGTAAAAAGGAGAAACAAACAGCCTGATCGTGTTTCATCTCCCACACCACATTCCTGCATCAAGGTCGTCTTACAACACTAGACTTGCTGCTCCTCAAGCCAGCAAGAACCTTTGCTGGTGTGGCTCTGGTGGATCGGAGGAGAGCCGATTCACCGAAGGATCTTCCAACATCAGGGAGGACTGTTGCCATCTCAGGGTCAGACAATGAATCGCTTCAAAATCTCTTGACGACTCGTGCGGGTTGCTTGACTCGCAGGACTAAGGGGCCATCCGCGATCGGACCGTCCAAGCTGAGTGGCTGCTACAGAAAAAGCCTGGTTTCGCCAAAGCAGGTTGAAAGGGCTGACGACGATTTCCTTTGCGGTGAGCATCCACGCCTCCAACCTTTCAGGCGCAACTAGGGTCGGGCCTGACCGGAGCAGGACATGTGGGTCTGGGCAGTCATGCTCAATCCCGAGATCGGCGAGTAAAGAGGTGCTTCTGGAAGATAAGGAACGAGGAGGATCGAAAGGTATGAGTATATATGGGGTATGTATTCTTGGATCGGGGTCCATTGGGTTCGCAGAGAGCAAAAAGACCGCGCAAACAATATCCACACGGACGGGGGCACGAGGGTCACCCATATTCCATTGCTGTTCATTGACCTCGTCGGACGTCGTCTCGTCGTGATACCGAGAACCGGGAGAGCCCAAAACTCACACTGCCTCATCTCTCCTGCCTTTCCCCCGGGACGTCATTGCAAACTTACAAAAGTTCCAACACGATGCGGGGCGAACAGGTCGACAGGCGAACATTCATGCATACCGGTGTGACGTGGGTGCATGTGTTTGCTCGGGCGCCTGAACAAGGTTGATAGGCACCTCCTGCTGGTGCTCTTTGGCATTTGTTGCTGACCCGCTGTGCCGGCTGTGGCTAGTCTTCCTAGCAAGCGAATTGCTTCTTGATCCCAACCCTGGTCCAGACTTAGAATTTAAGCTAGACCTGGAGCCGCTTCCTCGGTATCGGTCCGAGTGCACATGTTGGAGCCAGGCACTGCTGTGGTCTCCCGAACCATGGCTTCGAGTGGGACCATGTCGACTGGCATAGCCTTGTCCACTACTTCCCCGGGAGTAGCTCCGTTCGCTCCGGGCATACTGCGCCATCTTTTCCCTTTGGAGCTGTTTGACTAGCATGCAGCGCCTGAGGTCACGTAAACTCACGAGCAACAAGGCAAAATGCAAGATCCACACAACCGTGCCAAATGCTATGCCTGCCAGTTGCAAGCCACCAATGTCGTAGAGCGTTGGCTCACATTCCCGAGCAAAAACATTCAGCATGTTGCATACGAGGATCCCGGACTGAGTGTGTACTGCAGGCTGCCAGAGCCGAAACAAGGAACCGTACCCTGCGAGAAACAGGGCCGGAAGAAGGCTGAGAAGTACCAGGATGGGGGCGGATGTACGGATGATCAGGGATTGTCGGGAAAGCGAGGGGTGATGACTCGAGTCCCCCATCGATCGTGAGTTCTTTTGTATTCGGACCTGGATCAGGACGATCGCGTGATAGAGGAAGGCGAACGCCAGGGGTCCTAGAGGCATGCCATCGGTCCAGTCGCCCCGGTTAGGCCCTGTATTATGGAAGAAATTGGCGTTCCATCGGGGAATAGCGGCAGAAAAGAGTGAAATACTCATCAAGCTGGCCAGCAGGCTCAGGAGATGCAGTGCTGTAATGAAGCGGCGGCGTAAGCGGTAGCGACGACTAGTGGGTGGCGGTGAGAGGTCGGCGGGGTAAGTCGAAGCCAAAATGAGGGTTTTGGAGCCGAGCATCTTTTCTTGTTGGTCGTTGTTGACGTTCAAAGTGCTGACAGGCGTCGTGCTTCGCAATTAAAGAAATCTCTCAATGCGAGCGTACAATAGGCGTCAGATCTTAAGGTCGTAATCAGGGAGAGGAGAAGCAGAGTATCTCGCCAGCGAGATTATTCGAGGCCAAGTCGTCAAGGAAAGTACGGTGAAAGAAAAAGTAAAGAGAGGAAAGAGAGGGAGAAGGGAAGAACGTAACAACAGCTGAGAGATGTTGCAGAGTTCCATGTTGTCCATGTGTCGTGTCCTTGTATGAGAAGCGTGTCCGAATTGCAAATAGTCGCGAGATGATCCTGCGACGCTTCACGAAGGAGGTTGCGTCGACTGGGACAGTCTTGCGAATCAGAAGGGCTAGAGGAAGTGGTCAGGACGATGATGAAACGATATACCAAGCAGGGGGGAGACCTAGCGTTTCGCTGTCAGCCTGACCCATTGACCGCTCGGGCAGCGATTGGCCATAAAAGTCCGTGCTTCCCAAGATGGCTTCAACGGCTCAACGGCAAGGGGACGGGGAAATGCCCATCTTGTCCCCGTCAAGCCAACCCTCAAGCGGCCTACGCCACCAGCCGGGCTCCTGAAAGTCTTTAGCCTCCTCAGGGCCTCAAGCCTTAAAAAGCTGCCCAAGGCTTGGACCGATTCCTGGCCATCCGGGCGCCGCATCCGGGTAACCTATTCTGTTGTAGGGCGTCTAACAACGGCTAGGAACCCGATTATGGAAGTCCTCTGACAGTGTCACAGTGTCCACTGTTGTTCCATTGCTGCTTGGCACTTCCGCAGTGGGGCAGAGCCCAATTGGAGGGGCAGGTTTTGGTAAGAGAACTCGCAAAAATGAGTAGTGGGAGAATAGTGCACTTGGGCAGGAGTGCCAGGTGCAGAAACTTGGTCACCGTGACAAGCGACGGCTATGTCCTTTCCTCCGGAGGTCCATTTTGGAAGTCAGGCTGAAAAGACGTCGAGGGTCCTGGGTCTTGAATTGTAGGCCGAGTTCTTTCTGTGCTGTCCACTTGCTGACCTTTTCCCTTCTGTCGTACCGTTGGACTCGCAGCTTCCGATTCGATTTCGACATGAGCACAACGCCTATCAGGCTGCGAGACTCTCCCGCTCAAGTGCAAGAAAAGCTTGGCCTCAGCAACCGACAGTTCGACAACTTCAAGAACTTTGCCCGAAGAGTCCACGGTGAATACTGTGCCGCTCATCCCAATTCCAAATGGGCCGACGTCAATGCGGTCTGGACGGCCGTGCCCGAGCGAGAGAAACTCGATGTCATCCGCTTGATGTACAACCTGTGCACCGAATCCAACCTATTCCCTCCTACCACCGGACGAACCGTGATCGAAGCAGGCATTGAACAGAGGCTGCATCAGGTGCGGCGTACCTGGCAGCAGACCTCGAGAACAAGGACGAGACCGTCAGCACAAGGGGACGATGGTGGGTCCTGAAGATGACCACACTAGTGCACTGGCTGGACGGTATGTGCCCGATACATCTGAGCAGTCGCAGAATCCAGTTACGTACTTCTTGTCCGCGACAACCCACTGGCATCATCAGCTGAGACCCTGTTCATTCTGCGTCACACGAGAGAAACCACGTGCTTCCCTCTGCTGGAAACCGCACACGAGAAGACGAGTCCCACCGAAGAGTCAGTGGAGGAGTCGGTAGAGCGGTGGGTGGAGAATCGTGCATTTCCAGAAGGGGAGGAGGGCTTCTTAAATACTCTGGCGTTCAGCCCTATCATAATCAGAGCGACCGTGCATTGTTCAATCTGTCCACGCATATCGTGTGTGTCGATGACGATGAGGCTTTGGATTCAAGCAATCAGGGTGCAGAAGTCGGATGCACTAGGCTGCGTCGCGACTGGGCTGGATGCGGGAGGACTGAAAAGGACACATGGTTGATGGTAGGAAAGGCCGGTTTGGCCAGCAAATCTGGCCCGCTCAGCCCAACGTCGGGACGGACCAGGGACGCCTGGGCGCAAGGATGTGGACTCCAGGGGGGTGTGCTCTACCTACTCGTAAGACTGGGGTGCGGGATTGGTCTGGGCAATGGTGGCTATGGTGTCGCGGCCGATCCATGTCGACTGGTTGCTGCGGCTCCCTCAAAGTGTCGGATTTTGGCCGGGCCTTGGGCTGAGGGATAGATTTCCTATCGTCGCATGGTAATAGTCTTCGTAAGGACAAAACCTTGGAAGTTCTTCCGAGCGACCCTGGAACCCTTTGCTAACCCTGTTACGTATCAAAGTCCCCTTGGACGCAAGTTTGAGTTTGCCGATAACGACGGTACAGTAGCCTGAAGCTTGGGAATACTGTCAGATGAGTGTGTGATAGTTGTCGCAACTAGAAATGGCTGACTTGTTGTCCAGATAACCCTGCCTTTGTGCACAGTGTTGACCTGCGGTCAGTGCTCCAGGCTGCTCTGCTTGACATGACGGCCTGTCCTGCACCACCTTGCCAATGATTTTGGGCTGTATGTGTCAAGGTGAACTTGACCAGGGAGTTCAAGGCAGAAGCTTGTGGGTGATAAAGTAGTCTTGGTCCTTCTAGGTAGTAGGTTGCCAAGTGTACAACCGCGTGCTTCGAGTGAGACCCGAGTATGGGAAACTGTAAAGCAGAAACTTGAGAACTTGTCTTCAGATAAGGACTAAGGCACATTTTCTCTCTCTGATCTCGGTCACTCACTCTAGAAGAAAGTCAACGGTTCTTCCCGCTGTCCGCTTGGGCAGACCCTGATCTGGAAGTGCAGGATACCATGATGGAAAGGGCCGTCTTAGCGAGGCAAAGGAAGATTGGTGGTTGGTTCGCCTGTGAGTCTGCGAGTGATGGGAGGATCTAGCCGTCAGAAGTCCCACGAGGACTCTCGTTGGAGGGCACAGTACCAAGGAATCCCTGCGGTTGGTTGTCAAGGCTTCTGTTGGTAGGTAAGTGAACTTGTTCATTTCTCTGCTGATGGCATTCGGTTGGCCACAAATATTGCAGCCCTTCCCGGCGTTCATCGGTACTGAAGGGTGAAGGCAGATGCGCACGCCAGGGGAGACACAAGGAGCAAGGTCAAAAGTAGTTTCTAGGAGATATTCTCACTGTGTACCGCATACTTGGTAGGGCTTGGTCGGGGGCGTTGGCCTTCAGCTTCAGAAGCAGCAGCAGCAGCCCAGCACCTGCCACTGGCACCGCGGGTGTGGGTGTGGGTGTGGGGTCTCTCACGGCTGCACCACCGTGACCACCTGCACCCACTACTGCATGCAGAGCAGAGGACCGAAGCGCCTCACCAGCCTTATGACGCAAGCCCCGTGAGGTCACTCCTGCCAGGCACGGAGTACCTCGTACACCTGGGCGGGCTTTTATTGTTAATTATTGTTACTTACCGTTTCGGCGACTAATACTCGACGAAGAAATACTCGTGCTCCCCGACTAGATCTGTGGTCAATTGCCCGGTCTCCTTATTCGTCTCCTTTTGCCTGGCTCTCTAACTTGCTGACTTCATGGCTCCAGTTATGCCAATCCCATCATTCGGTCTTGTTTGACGAAATTATCCTGAGGGAGTTGCTACGTCGGCTGCCAGGTCGAGCAGGTTCGAACTTGAAGGCTGAAGCCATTCCTTGCGCCCACGGCGAGAAGCACCCAAGACGACTGCCCACGGCGATTATGTCTTGAAGGCTCCGTCGAGGGTCTGTGCGAACCGTCGCAACCCCTCAAATGGCCGAGATGCTTGCGCCCCTGGCTTCTTCTGCTTTGGAGCACGAGGCCAGCCCTACCTTCGATCCTCCTCCTACCTCGTTTCCCTACCCCGAACGGCCGAAATCAGCAGGCAACGACTCTCGCGGATGCTCAGACACTACACTCCACAGTGCATCGCACCCAGAGGATCAAGACAACATCAAACATCCCGAACAAAATTATGAAAAGACGGGTAACGTCGAGAGGCCGCACTTTGCTCTGCGCAGGTTCGAGACCGAAATTGTTCGCCCTGTTTCCTCGAAAACGTCTGCACACTCCAGACAACAGCGGCCCACGGTGAATGATCCGGCGTTACAAAGCGCTGAGCATCGAGCTTCGTTGGGGGATTCAGACACGTCCTCCTCCTCAGATGAGGACAACCTAGCTAGACTGCAAAGGGCACACACACAACCGGTCCCCAATGTACTGTCTAAATCCCAACTCAATCGAGCACGGACGCACCAGAGGCCATCGGATCTCCAGGTGGGAAATGAATTTTTCCGATCCCAAGGGAGAATAGCCAAGGATGGGAGACTGAATATCTCCGTCAATGAGACAACCCAGACAGGCTACCTTGCCAAAGCACTGGGCGCCACCATCCGACACCAGCTAGGTCCTGACTACCAAGAGGATGCAAGAGTGGCGGACAAGGCTAAGGCCGATTTCCTCAGGGACAAACACAAGCTTATCATTCCCTCGTTGAACATAGTGATTATGGTTATTGGCAGCCGTGGCGACATACAGCCTTTTCTAAAAATCGGAAAGATCCTAAGGGACAAGTATAATCACAGGGTTAGGATTGCTTCACATCCGACCTTTAAGCAGTTCGTCGAGAAGGAGGCTGGTCTCGAATTCTTTTCCGTGGGTGGAGATCCTTCTGAATTAATGGCATTCATGGTCAAAAATCCCGGCTTGATTCCATCCCTCGAGTCTGTCAAGTCTGGAGAGATAAGCAAAAGGCGCGAATCAATGTTTCAAATGTTCCAAGGATTTTGGAGGGCCTGCATCAATGCCACCGACAACGAAACGGATGTCGCCAACCTGGAAATGATGCGCTCGAAGCCTCCTTTTGTGGCCGATGCAATCATTGCCAATCCCCCCTCTTTCGCACACTACCATTGCGCAGAGAAGCTGAGTGTTCCTCTACACTTGGTCTTTACCTTTCCTTACTCCCCAACGCAAGCGTTTCCTCATCCCTTAGCCAACATCAAGGCTTCAAACGTTGATCAGCGGTACACGAATTTCATGAGTTATCCCTTGGTCGATTTGATGACATGGCAAGGATTGGGTGACTTGGTCAATCGATTCCGTGTCCAGACCCTAGGTTTGGAACCTGTCTCGACTCTATGGGCTCCTGGTCAACTCACTCGTCTCAAGGTCCCGGTAACATATCTCTGGTCGCCAGGCTTGGTTCCGAAGCCTCGTGACTGGGGTCCAGAAATTGATATCGCTGGTTACGTCTTCTTGGATCTGGCGACGTCTTATAAACCCCCAGAAGACCTAGCCAAATTTCTGGAGAGATCAGATGCGCGACCCATCGTCTACATAGGATTTGGGTCGATTTCAGGAATTAGCGACCCGGTGGCATTCACCAAGATGGTTTTCGAGGCCGTCGAGAAGGCTGGCGTTCGCGCTGTGATCAGCAGAGGGTGGGGAGGTATGGGCGATGGGATGGAGAAGCCGGACGGCATCTTCCTGATTGACAATGTACCCCATGACTGGCTCTTTCCTCGCGTCGATGCAGTCGTCCACCACGGCGGCGCCGGGACCACAGCCGCAGGACTGAGATTCGGCAAGCCAACAATGATCGTCCCTTTCTTTGGAGACCAGCCTTTCTGGAGTGCAATGGTCGCGAGGGCGGGAGCTGGTGCGAAAGAGGCACTTCCCCTCAAAAAACTCGACAGCGACAAGTTTGCCGCCGGCATTCGTCAGTGCCTCGAGCCCGAGGCCAAAGCGCAAGCACAAGCCATTGCACAAAGCATTGAAGAGGAAGGCGACGGCGCAGAAAACGCTGTGGACTCCTTCCATCGACATTTGGATCTCGAAGGCTCGCATTCACTGCGCTGCAACCTCTTCCCAGATCGCGTTGCTGTATGGAAGATCGGTCACGCCAGCACGCGACTGTCGGCACTAGCGGCAGATCTGTTGGTGGAAAGTAAACAAATCCACTGGTCAGACTTGGAGTTGGTCAAAAACCATGAATGGACCGACTTTCAAGGACCTGGGGAACCAATTACCGGCGCTGGCGGTGTGCTCGTTCAAGCCTTCCAAGAGGCATTCCACGGGCTTATGACGGTGCATGAAACGGCGAAACGAGATATCAAACATTACGAGAGGCACAGGCGTAAGCAGAAGCAGAAATCAGCGATCGAAGGACTGATCCTGCCTGGACGGATTGCTATGGCTACACGCGGCGCCTCTGTCGAAGCACAGAGGAAAGAGCACGCTAGACTTATGCGCCAAGTCAATTTTCATGGCGACGCAGAGCCGGTGAAGTTGCCCTTTGGTCAATCCAATCTCGACCAGGACGCTACTGGGCACACGTCCAAGCTGTCTAGAACCACGACAATGGGTTCAGATCGGACGTCTCCAGTGGTGGTGATCTTAAAAGATGTGGGAAAGGGTATCGGCCACTCCAGTAAAGCCATCGCAGCACTGCCCTTACAATTGTGGAATGCCCTTGCTCTTGGATTCCACAACGCGCCCCGATTATATGGTGACAAGACCGTGCGGCCTTCTCCCCAAGGAATCGACGGGTTCCGCACGGGACTGAAGGTCGCTGGCAAAGAGTTTTGGCTCGGGCTGTACGACGGGGTGACGGGCGTCGTGCGGATTCCATACCTCGAAGTCCGTGAGGATGGTATGTCTGCATTTCCCAAAGGTGTTGCACGAGGCATCGGTGGGTTGGTGTTGAAGCCTATTTCCGGCGTGCTTGGACTGGGGGCGTATACGGCGAAAGGAGTCCACAATAGTGTTCGGCGACGAGTACGAGATACTAAAAGGACAGAACGATGGATTCGACACGCAAGAATGGCGCAAGGGCACAGAGAAGCTCGGATGTTGCAAGAGCAGCAAAAAGACGAGGGCTCGGAGTCGCCTCGAGCACGCTGTCCCATGCTACCCAACCTTGCAGAGGCCCGAAAGCACGCACTGCACCTGTGGACAACATACGAGAAGGACAAGGTGGCAGAAGAGCGAGAAAAAGAAAAGCGACTCCTCCTGCTGGGCAAGATGCGTGGTGAAAATACTTGATAGGCACATGTGCGAGGGTAATGCACCATGCTTGCCAGTGCTGCAGCGACACTTTCTCCGAACCCCTCCTCGCTTCAAAGGTCCCTGACGATCCAAACATTCTGTTATTATGTCATTTGGGTGATTGTTCAATTGCAAAAGCTATTCACCAATCAAGTGTCGACGATAAGGTGCGGAACAGGGGATGCGGGGAGACGGGAAGAAGAGAAGATGGAGAGGCCTGCATGCGCCGTGACGCCACAAATCATGGATTCGGCTATTGAGAGTTGCGTTGCTTTTGTTGCTGGCTTGGAGATACCCTATTCTGTTTAGATGTTTTTGTTTTTGTTCATGCCGAAGAAAAGTCATGAGACTGATCGACAGCCTGACAGGAGAGCATGAGGAAGGGCCGGCACATACACGTACATCTCGCTTAGCGAGAACAAAAGGAGCCAGAGGGAGACAGGAGCTGACTTTCCCAGGACGCTGGCAAGAGGAAAATTTTTTTTCAGGCGAGCGGCAGTAGATGGATTGGGTAAAACACAGTGGTCTGGCGTTGGCAGCTGCAAGGCACAAGTGCCCAGAACCTACAAGTAAGATGGGAGAAAAAGAACAAAGTAATACCGAGTATATGGCTAGTAATTCTTACGAAGAAGATCCCAAAAGGGCAACGCGGGTCTGATGACAAGACAAACCAGACTGTGGTTTTTCCTTCTAGTCACCCAGATGGCTCGTGTTGGGCTGCGTGGTTTTGTCGCTGGACTCCCCGAACGGCAAAGAGGCCTGGCAAGGTCGCGGTTGGAAGCACGGCCACCTACGGCCTCTCGGGTCGATGATAATGCGACACCGTCAGCAGCCACGGGCGGACTTGTGGTTCATGCGCAAAGGCGGAGAGTCAACAAGGTGGGGATGATGGCCTGCTGTATTCTTGCTGTGTAGCCTGTTCGCCTCGCTCGCCTCCGCCGCGACTGGGCGGTTGGATCTGGAATGTCTCGTGCTACTTGAAACCCAGAAACGAAGAATTGGCATCTGAGTGGGATTCTCGGTTTTGCTGACAGTCGGTCCAACCAAGATGCTGGGCAGTTACAGGCGGTGACGACTGCACTTGAGATGTTCGCTCATCGTCGCTCATCGACGTCCGAGTGTTGTGCTACGTAGTAGGGGAAGTTAGCGATTGCATGAAGAATATCCGATCGATTTTTTTTTCTTATCTCGAGCTTCTCTCTAGGTAGTAGACTAGGCTCAATATCTTCCGATCCTCAGTGGACGGAAGGATCAGAAGACGCCAGCAGGTCCAGTAGGGAAAAAGTGTCTTCCCCCTCATCTCCTATCCCTACTGTCCATACCCCCGGCGATCTAGCTAGTGAGTTACGAATAGTGGTGATGATGGCGAACAAGGGCTGGACCCTTTGGGCTCAGACTGGCACCCAGGCAAGATTCATGCCAGGGAACCTGTCGAGTTGACGATTTTAGTAACGGGGCCGGCTGAGGCTGCAACGTGAGTGGCTTATGGCTCGTGCTCCCAGCACAGGCCCTTTTGGTGGGGGAGGCGCAAGCGGGCATGTTCAAAGGCCGCCGAACAAAGGCTCACCACTGCTAGGTAGGCTAGTAGGCCCCTCTCCCACCCCCCAACTGAGAGCTGCAGGTGGTGGGCTGCGTGCCACAAGCCGGCTCATACGCCATGCGGGCAATACCATGGCACCAGCTCTTTCGTGACATTTATTTATTTGCTTGCTTCTTCTTTGTCTTCCCCGTTATCGCTCCTCCTTCACTTTCCAATCTTTCATATCCTCCCCGTCTTCCCTCCTTGTTCATTCTTCGAACTAGAGTGACCAAGAGTCTTTTGTTCTCATTTTCTCTCTCACTACTCACATTTTTCAGTCTTGATCACTTGCTCGTCTGTCCACCATGGTGAGTTCTCCGTTGCGCTTGGGCGAGAGCCTCAGCATACCAACTGGCATAGCTCACATAGACTGACATTCTCTTCTAGGCTGGCGTCGGTGAATCCACCATTGTGTCCAATGCCACCAACGTGAGTCTCTCTCACTGTCCACCCATCTCCCCACGATGCGCCAATGTGCCAGACGCCGAATACAGTCCGCACATTCACTGACTCTTCTTCCTTACAGTTGGCCAAGTACATGAAATTGGACCAAAAGGGCAAGGTGCTTGCTGAGTACATCTGGATTGATGGAACCAACGGCCTTCGAAACAAGACCAAGGTGAGCACATTCTTTTCGACCTTCCGTCTCAGTTTGCCTCAATGCCTGCATCTGGCATTTTGACACGAGACCTGCCATTGCCACGCTGGGCGCGCGCCTGCCCTCGACCATTCCCGCCAGAATCCAAAAAGTCCTGAAACGAAAACACGGCGGCCACTCTTTTGTGGGTAGGGTGCACCGCCGGGCTGGGAGAGACCCCACGCTGGGAAACCCTGGTTGCGGCGGCGTCACACTCTAAATGGGGTGTGGCTTATCCACCACCGCCCTCGACCCCTCCGAGGCTGCGCCGCCCATCTGAAGTAGCACGCGCCAATCGCCATCCACCCGATCTCGGCATCTTCAAAGCGACGTCAAACCACCCTTTCACCCGTGCCATGGACGGCGAGCATTCGCGCGGCTCCACCGGAGAATTGACACATCGAAATTCTTTATGACTTGCAGAAATGGCCACACGCTGACTTGAGACTTCCAGACCCTGGACAAAGCCCCCAAGAGCGTCGACGATCTCCCCGAATGGAACTTCGACGGCTCGTCCACCGGCCAAGCTCCGGGCGACAATTCTGATGTCTACATCCGACCCGTGGCCATGTATCCCGACCCAATCCGTCTAGGCGAAAACATCCTGGTTATGTGCGAGACTTACGATCCCGACGGAAGCCCCAATAAATATAACTATCGTCATGACGCAGCGAGATTAATGGAAGCCAACGCGCAGCACAAGGTGTGGTTTGGTCTCGAGCAAGAATACACTCTCTTGTCCGTCGACGGCTGGCCGTATGGCTGGCCCAAGGGCGGTTTCCCCGGTCCACAGGGCCCATACTACTGCGGCGTGGGCACTGGCCGTGTCTATTGCCGTGACATCGTCGAGGCACACCACAAAGCTTGCATATATGCCGGTATCAATATCTCAGGTACCAACGCCGAGGTGATGCCCGCTCAGTGGGAATACCAGGTTGGTCCTTGTGAAGGCATCAGCTGTAAGTCAGACGCATTGCTTTGGACGGTCGCGAGCACAACAGCTAATACAACCTCCAGTGGGTGATGAACTCTGGGTCTCTCGATGGCTTCTCCACCGTATCGCCGAAGAATTTGGCGCCAAAGTCTCGTTCCAACCCAAGCCTATCCCGGGTGACTGGAATGGAGCTGGTCTCCACACCAACGTGTCGTCCAAGGAAATGCGTAACGAAGGTGGCATGAAATACATTGAGGAGGCTATGAAGAAGTTGGAGAAGCGTCACCTTGACCATATGAAGGTCTACGGTGAAGACAACCACCTGCGTATGACTGGCGCACACGAAACTTCCAGCATTGACAAATTCACCTGGGGTGTTGCCGACCGAGGGTCGTCGGTTCGCATTCCCCGAGCCTGCGCCCGTGAAGGCAAGGGCTACTTTGAGGACCGACGACCAGCGTCCAACGCTGACCCCTACCGTAAGTCTGAACCCGGTTTTGCAAATTGTCGTCCTCGTCGTTTAGCGAATGCGCTAACCTATTCGTGCTACAGAGGTGACCGGAATGATTGTTGAAACTCTTTATGGTAGTTTGCCCGCGGAGAAATAGACGTTGAATCGTGATATTTCACGACGGTTGGGAAGAGTTCATAAGCGAGTGGTGATGCAATACCAACAAATGTGACACCGGTATTACACATAGAAGTATCATAAAGTGCGATCAAGTGTCACCATCTTAAAGGCATGAATATAATGAAATTGCTGGACTTTGGCTGTGTCATAGCCGCAGCAGCTAGAATCACCTGCGCAACACAGAGAAAGGCTCGGCTGACCTGCCTAATAGGGGGGAAGTCTCGGTTAAGCTACCATATATAGAGAAGCGTCTCTACGAAGTTGTAAATATCTCGGCTAACCTTCTTTATACGGACAACAGCTCGGCTAGCCTGCCTATCTAGGGACGATTTCGTAGATATCTAGGCATTACTTTGTCCGCGCCACAGTACGAGGCAAGGCAAGTTATTGTGGCGTAGATTGAGGATCGGGACGACGTTTGCATTCCGTCCGCCTAGTATCAGTGCCAACCCCAACGACCGACGCCAGCTCCTGGGTAGACGAGCATAGAGGTTGGTTGCGGCCGATGTATGAAAGGGCTCCGCCGTGGGGCCGTGTCTGCGCGAACAGAAAACTCCAGGATGAACTGTGCAGCAACAACGGGAGATGGCAACACGAGTCATCCCATACTGCAAGGCTGGCACGTTGCCCCTCTTCCATCCTCATGGCTTTCCAGGGGTAGACGCTTGCCAACAGGGCTAGAGAATCTCGATCAGACTCTGACCACACGGGATCCCCTCTGCCAATCCTTACCCACCTCGACAGGCGCGCATACCGGTTTTTCTGCCCATTTGCCTCTCATCCGTTTCCATTGGCGTTTGCGGCGCGCTTAGCACGCTTGTTGGGCTCGTTGGGACCATTTCCGAGATTGGTAGGTCCAGATCGTGCTTGCTTTGGCAGGAGGACGCAAACGTGGCATGACGGTCTTAGGACCAGCTCGACCACAGAAGACATTTCGTCTGCATCCTTATCATCTGGTATGAGGTCTTTACCTTGTTTCCTTCGTCATAGCCCATGGATCCACGGACCATAGTCCTTTTCGTTTTCTGAGAAAGAAAACATATCAAAAGGTGACTCTTTCAATGATAAGCCCGTCGTAGGGTTATCTCATGTTCCATTCGACAGCCTCTGGTTTACGGTTTCGTAAGGAGCATGGATGCACACAGTGAGAGGGAAGCTTTAATCCAGGAAGCGACACTTGCCTGAGACAAATTTTGAAGTTCGACAGCATCCAAAAAGTTCTCTCTGTTTCGGCTCAGCGTGACACCCGAGCAAGGGTTACAAGAAGCTCATGCACCCATAGGTCCAGATGCAGATTACCATTTTCTTCTTTAATCCTTTCCCCGTGAACCCCAAGGTGGAGAGTGGAGATGTTGTGCTCGCCCGGTCAAGAAATATTCCAGAGAGCTATCGAGCTATGAATCACGTGCTCCTGACGTCTTCTCTGGCTCGGGTGAAAAACAAAATGGGGAACTTTGGGCCCTTGCATGAGAACTAGTCAGTGACTTGCAAGGTGTATCCCTGCAACCGGGTCTGCACGAAAATCACGGAACTCAGATAACGTTTCATACTCTCATTGGACGTCCTCAACCTCTATCTTTGAATCGCTTGTCGATCTAATGTGTAAACACATGGATTGCCAGGTGTTTGGAACTGGTTGAGCTGGCCGCAGCAGAAGGAAACTCCCTCTCACTGCCGGCGTCTTTAAGAACTGACCTTGGCATTACAGCACGAATCTCTCTCAACTGAAAAATTTTCCTCCTCGTCGTGTTTGATGGGCTGGTTTCAACGCAGGCCATGCCGTTGTTCCTTTTCCCCAGCAAGGTGTCACTTCCAGTACTGCCGATATCGGCAAAATGGAGTCTCGAGTCACCATCGGTCAGTCAGTGTGTCTGTCCACCTCTGTCAGTCTGTCAGTCTGTCAGTCAGTCACTTAGGGCTCCTGTTGCAGGGTAGCCTTGCGATCGACTGATGGATGATGGAGACTCACAGGCCAAGGCTCTGGGGCTGGCTGGGCATCTCTCCTGCAAACATGTCGTTGATAACAGACGACAGCCAACCACTCACCGTCAGCACAAGAGGATCAGGCTGTGCATCTCGGGTCCAAAAGCCGTCGAGTGCGTATCAGCCTCTTTTGCTGCCAAGGGCACCTGACATGTGCCGAGACCGCAGATATGCAATTTTTCTTCGTCATTGTCATGGTCATGGTCATTTGCATGGTCGGACTAACTGCGATCGACTAACCACCAACGCACCTCGCAGACTAGCCCCGAAAACCCCACAAATTTCCAAACAAGCCGCAATCCACAGGCACGCCATCATACACAGATTGAGGGAGAAAGAAGCAAAGAGATGGGAACAAACACCTCAAGCAGCTCATCATACCAGCCCACGGACACACAACTGACTCAACGCCTGTAACCGACCACCAGGGACCACCAGGGACCACCACCTCGCCCCGATTCCAGTGACGTGCAGTCCACTTGATCGCCGTGATCCTTGCTCCATCGAGCATGTCCCAGATGCCAGAGCTCCAGACTTCGTTGCTCCCACTTTGCTGACCCATGACGCCGCTCCGAACTTTTCCCACCCCATTCCAGATTCCCACTGTTCCACTATCCAATGCCCGTCCAGATGATCTTCTGGTGCTATTAGCTCAGTCTTGTTGTCTTTCCCTTGCTTCTTCACCAAAATCTCCAGGGGTTGTACCGTCTTGGAGGACAGCGTCCATCCCGTGCCATATTTCTTGTCTCGTGTGCTTGTCAGGCTTGGACGTTCCATGTCTCTCTTGTCGTGCGCCCTTATCATCGCTTCAGAACCGACAGTGACACTGACTGTTAGCGAGTATTGATACGCCCCCGGCTACTTTCATCCTGCGGCGAGTTATATATTTCGGACTGGCCCGCTCGAGGGTTTCATAGCCTCGAGAACGCCCTTCTCAGGCTCACTTCCTCCGCATACCCTACCTCGAACACTAGTGCCGCCACCATGTCGTCGAGTGGCATTGTCAACTACCTCCCCTCTTATGCCTCCTACAACTGGACCGGTGCACCAGCCGACTATTCTCTGGCCACAAATCCGAGATCAGGAGGAGATTCAAGTACGTCTCGTGACCACATCTGGATTGCGGATCCTCTGACCAAAGTGCAGCGAAGGAGAATCTGAACAAATGGTACCAATCGGGCGACCAAGCATATATTATTCTCTCGTCATGTCTGGTGTTGATCATGGTGCCGGGCCTCGGCTTCCTCTACTCGGGCCTTGCGCGACGAAAGTCGGCCTTGTCCATGATGTGGGCTTGTATGGCGGCCGGCAGCGTGATCAACTTTCAATGGTACTTTTGGGGGTATTCACTGACCTTCTCCCCGAGTGGTCAAAGCGGCTTCATTGGCGACCTGGTCCATTTTGGGCTCAAACGGACTCTGGGAAACCCCAGTCCTGGGTCGCCTCTGATCCCTAGTCTCCTATACTCTTTCTACCAGGTGAGCCTTGTCGGTCCTTCACCAGTTCCGCAACTCTGATCGGTGTGTAGATGCAATTCTGCGCCGTAACCGCTGCAATCGTTGCAGGTGCCGTGGCAGAGCGTGGTCGACTGATGCCTTTCCTCGTCTGGACCTTCCTCTGGGCCACCCTCGTGTACAACCCGATTGCTTGCTGGGCATGGAATGCCAATGGGTGGGGGTTTAAATACGGCGTCATGGACTACGCTGGCGGTGGGCCCGTCGAGATCGGCTCAGGCATGTCAGCCCTGGCCTACTCAATGGTCCTGGGAAAGAGGCAGGAGAAGATGATGCTCAACTTCCGCCCCCACAACGTTTCGTTTATCCTGCTGGGAACGATTCTGCTCTGGTTTGGCTGGTTGGGTTTCAACGGCGGTTCCTCCTTTGGAGCAAACCTCCGGGCTGTCATGGCTTGCTGGAACTCCAATCTGACGGCAACCTTTGCCGCGGCCGCTTGGGTCCTGCTCGATTTCAGGCTGGCTCGGAAGTGGTCCATGGTCGGTTGGTGTTCTGGTACCATCTCTGGACTTGTCGCCGCCACGCCGGCATCTGGGTATCTGGAGACATGGGGCAGTGTGGTGTTGGGGATTGTTACTGGCATCAGCTGCAATTTTGCCACCAAGAGTGAGACATTCCATCCCACATCGGGACATTCATAGTACTGACTGTTTGTTTCTAGTCAAGTATTGGATCCGGATCGACGACTCTATGGACGTGTTCGCCGAACACGGTATTGCTGGCATGATTGGTCTGATGGCCAATGCTCTCTTTGGCGTTGACTATGTCGTCGGCCTCGACGGCGTCAACACGGGCGTCCCCAATCCTACCACAGGCACGGGCATTGGCGGATGGCCGATCGGCAACTACCGCCAATTCTACATCCAGCTCGCTTATGTCGTGGCATGCACTGGCTACTCCTTCACCATGAGCACTATCCTCGCCTACATTGTCAACTTCATTCCGGGCCTGCATCTGCGTGCTTCAGAAGAGGCCGAACTGCTCGGCATGGATGATGACCAACTCGGCGAGTTTGCCTATGATTACGTCGAGGTATGTCTTTCACTCTTCATCTGCACTAACCATTTCCCCCTCCTCCTTCCCAAAAACCAACGGAGGGAGAAAACCACAAAAGAAAACGTAAAACTAACTTCCAACTTTTTTTCCTGCTTCACAGGTCCGCCGTGATTACCTAGCCTGGACGCCCCAGAACCCGCACCAGAGCGGCGTCGACCCCGACATGCCCCATGAACACCGCTACGGGATCGGTGAACACGCAGACATGCTGCGGAAGGCCACCAACGGCAACGGCCTAGGCGAGACGAGCGCGGCCAGCTCTAGAACCCACCAGGAACTGCCCGCCCAGGGTGACCGGCATGCCGTCAGGGCCGAGGACATCGAGAAGACCAAACACGATCCGGAGGCGCAGGGAACCTGATTGACAGCGTGTGAGGATGTTTCTGGCCTCTGGCTGGGACTCTGTCTTGTCTCATTCAAGCGTGTGACTGTTGTGCGCGTATTCCGGGTGTTGGGTATTTCGGCAAGTCAGTAATGACCAAAGAATCAGCAAAGAAGAGAGGGAAGAACGAGAAAAAAGCTTTTACACCTGAACCTCTCTTCTGTTTTTAAACAAGACTTATATTCGGAACAGACACCGAAAGATATGAGGGAGGATGGATTTCTAGATATGGATGAAAGCGAGAACATATACCCTGCCTTATAAATATAAATGGCGTTTTACATCCTACCCATCCATCTATGGATGTACACATTTACTTAATGTTCCAGAGCGGGAACGGTCTTCTTCATACCCTTAAAGCCGTACGCCTGCAGGCAGGGGGTATGTCAGCTTACGAGTCGAGATCCACATATGCACCTTGGACTTATATAGGGGTTCGGCCTGGCACGGGAGCAGATTATATATCCGAGATGATACCTACATACAGCTTGATGTGACCATTGCACGAGCATTTACAAACTCCACGAATGGCGGCCTCGACTCGACCTCTTCGCACAGCCCTGATCGGCCTCTCGTCTTCTCCCACCGGCTACGGCTGGCTGAACCACTTCCACCTGCCTGCGATCCGCGACCAGCACACGAATGAGTTGGAGATTGTCGCGGTTTTGGGCTCGTCGCTCTCCAACGCGCAAAAGGCCATCGCGAAGCATGGCCTGCCACCGTCAAAAGTGCGCGCGTACGGCTCGCCCGAGGACCTGGCCGCAGATGACGAAGTCGAGGTCGAGGTTTTGGTCGTTGGCGTCAAGGCGCCTCTGCACCGGGCTGTGCTCCTGCCGTCCCTTTTGGCAAACAAGAGACTCAAGGGCGTGTTCGTCGAGTGGCCCATCGACACGTCCCTGGCCAAAACCCAAGAAATCGTCCGTCTCGCGCGCCAACGGTTTCCGGGACTTCGCACGGCCGTGGGACTGCAAGGCCGCTTCTCGGCCCTCACCCGGCGGATATCTGAGCTCGTGCGTGGCGACAGCCGCAGACTCGGTAGGATCCTCAGCACCACCGTCATCGGCACGGTGCCCACGGGTGACGGCCGCTCCGAAAAGCGCGGCTCCCAATACGCCTTGGACCCGCGCAACGGCGCCACAATGGTGGATATACACTTTGCGCAATTCATCGAGTGTCTCACGTTCGCTTTGGGGGCGGATATTAAGACAGTGTCTGGACGAGTGGCGACGATGCATCCGACGACGAACATTGTGGATGACACCACGGGGGAGATTGTCCAGAGGGACGCAGAGAAGAAGAGTCCCGACCAAGTCCTCGTCCAGGGGTTTTTGAAGTCGAAACCGAACTCGAACTCGAACGAGAGATCAGAGAAGCACACCGGCGACGACGAGGAGGGGAAAGAGGATGACAATGACAAGATCGTCTACAGCATCCACATGCGCGGCGGCACCAGCATCGCCGGCGGCATGACCTGGCTGATTTACGGGACAAAGGGCGAGATGGAAATCACCTCCCCTATCCACATGTTGCCGCACATCAATCTGCCCGTCCCGTGGAAGATCCGTACGAGGATCGAAGGGGAGGCAAACGTCAGCGAAGAACAAGTCTCGGAGCAGGAGGCAGGCCAGCCTGCCGTGGCGAGGCTCTGGAATGCCTTTGTGGGTGCCGCTGGTGACCGAGAAGGCGACGACGGGTGGCCGGACTTTGAACACGCGTTGAAGATTCATCGCGTGGTCGATGCGGTCTGGACAAGTAGTCGAGACGGGAAGGTCGTTGAGTTGTTATGATGTTTTGCCCGACAGTTGTTCCAGGTCTTGAGCATAGGGTGGGAAAGCAAGCGAATGGGTAAAATCAGTACTTGGGTAGATGGATGAATAGAATAGAATGTAGATCTCTGTACATAGAATCCGAAAAAGGTGATCAAGGACAGGGTAATTGATATATCCTCGTTTTTATCCACGTCTATAATATCCCATTCACTCCTGAACATAGATCCATATCTAGTACAAAGGACCACTCGATCGATGGACTACGGGATACTATATCAGGGACTAAGACATCCCACCGAGCTACGCACCCGAGTCCTTGAGTGATGCTATATTGAAGGGGAGACGATAGGTGGGAGGTATTGTGGCGCCCTTGCGAGGGCGAGGCTATAGTCTCATCACTCGTCTATGGTATGAGAGAGTGACTCGTGCATGCACGGACTCTTATGCAGGCGTACTCCAACCTCAGAGATTCATTGTCGCATCCTCCAAAGTACGGTCACCCTTCCCGACAATTCTGGAACTCTTGTTGAGGTAAATCCACACTACTTTATCCATCATCTGACCATTGAAGCCGTGTTCATACTCATATTCGTAGAGATGCATCATCCTACTCAAGACCGGTCCTCGCCAGTACTGTCCTCAAGGGGTAGCCTTACACATCCCCACCAACCTCTTCACACCCACCATCCACTGGCCACACTCCTCCACCTTGTTCGTATGCACATCCATCTGGATCTCCTGCGCCTTGACAAAATCCCTTCCTTCTAGTGCTTGGGCCAGCTCAACCAACTGCGCCACCGTATCCGGCTTGAGCAAATCCTCATTGTTCAAATGGTCAAAGAGAATGTCGAGCCGTTTCTCCGTGTCCACCACTTGTGCTTTAAACGATTGGGGAGCTCGAGCTTTGACACGCGCCATTTCAGATGACAGTATGGTATAGATTGGTTGGGCGGACGGGGAAATGTGTATGCGGTCGCCCTTGGCTGTGCGAGATTTTGTTAGCTTCGAAGAATCAGTAAAGGGCACATTTTCAACTCACGATACTTCCGCGCTGGAGGAGCAGCGGAGGCTTTATTCGAACCGGCAGTGCCCGGCCGTGATGGTGGGCCTTGAGCTGCAGATCCGCTTCCCGCGGGAGGCGGTCCCGAGATGAATTGTTGCTGCGGTGTCGGTATCGGTGGCGCCGTGGCTGACTGCGGCGTCTGTGTTGGTTGGGGTGGACCATAGCTCGTCTGCCGAGTTGGTTGCGATTGATGGGTTGGCGCATAGGGGTTCGTCGGAGGGGCAGGCGCTTGGAAGGACGAACCTTGCGGGGGCGGTGCGATGGATGGTCGTGTATTTGGAGCAGTTGTATGAGTCCCTGCAGCCGGCGCATATCTGTTTGGGGCGGTAGGAGCATGAGCAGGAGGCGCATTGTACGGAGACGGACCCCTGGGAATTGGAGGCGACATGATATTCTGTCCGACGGGTGGAGATGTTACGGCCGGAGGTGCGTAAGGATTTGCTGATGAAGGTCGCTCAAAAGAGGGTTGCCCTCCTAGAGGAGACGTCACTCGCGGAGGGGGGGCCGTCCCTTTGGGTGGAGGCGGAACTGGCGAGGCCCTCTGCCTTGAACCGAAAGGCGGAGCAAGGGGAGGAGACGTTACTTGTCCCGGTGGTGGACTGAAAGGATTCTGGACAGGCTGTGGTGGAACACTAGGCGTGCCTCTTCTCGAAGTGGGAGGTTTGACAAACCCCTCCGGGATATCATTCCAGTTGGACATACTTTTGTCTTGAGACGGAGGAGGAATGGCTGGAGATTGATTGTACCTGGGAGGGGGTTGGATGGGATTTGCCTGTGGAATGCCGTATGGACCGGGAGGAGGAGGGCCGGGAGGCATCCTCATTTGTTGTGGAGGTTGGTAGCTACCGCCCACAGGCGCATATGGATTTGACGGTGCACTGGTAGCTGTGGAAGGCATATAGGGGTTGCTTGGTTGCAGGTTGCTTACACCATAAGGTGTCGGAACTTGAGGAGTTGGAGTAAATGCTGTTGTCGGAGGCTGAAATTGTGACATTCCTGGTAGAGGTTTGTTTCTTGTCGTTACTGGCGTAGCTTGAGGAACAGCAGCGGGAGCGGCTGTCTTCTTTCTTGCCTGTTGGATCCGGCTTCTTGCGACATCCGCTCCGGGATAGCTTGCTGGAAGAAGATCGAGATACTTCTGGGCAACATCGAGCTGGCCAGAACCAGCTACAATGTCAGCATATTCCAGATATTTGCCGTATAGAGCTTCCAGCTTCCAGTCCCCAGTTTTAGACAGCTCTGCGTCATTGAAGTTGACCACTTGGCGGAAAATGGTAACCTTTTCAATGAAGTCTTGAAGACCACGGGCGTGCAAAGAAAAGGCAGAAGATGCGTCCGCTTCCGAAGCCCCTGCCTCCTCGTGCTCTTTGAGCTCTTGAATCCAGATGGCGACCACCTTCTCCAACTTGGAACCAGCCAAGAAGCAGAAAGAAGCATCTTTCCGCGAGATTGAAGAAAGATCATCGATCTGTTCCTCAATCCTGTCTCCCAGCGCTTCGCAAAGATCTGGAAACTCCTGCTCATCAGCAAATGTGCACAGCGTAGCCATGACTTCCTTCCAATTCGCAAGGTCGGCATTGTGAACCGTGTCCCAGAGATTTTTGCCTACGACCGAAGCCAGCAGACGCAGGTAGTTTGATCCGCCAGACTGTTTTGCGAGATATGCTTCTTGTGCTTTCTTAATGCAGGCTTCACCACCACAGATGGCGATCATGAACGCATCCGACATTCTGTTCTCTCTCAAACATACGTCCAGAGCTTTCTCAAACTGCCCCAATATCAACGCCCTTGTGATCTTTCGGTCGGCCTCGGACTCGGATCCCGTATAGATCTGGAAGGGATTGTTGGTCCTGGTACCCTTCGTAGCTGCCAATTCCGCCAAAAAGTCTCCGTCGGCCGAGCTTGCGAAAATGGATTGGAACCGTTTGTGGGATTTTGAGGCGCCGTTGATGGAGGTTTTTTGCTCTTCTGAATTGTCAGCCTCTGGGGCCTGCTGCTCAACACCATTTGAGCTGTCTTGTGTTGTGTCCTCAAAGCCTAGGTATTTCACCAGCTCTGCTCGGGGGTTCTTGGATACCAGGGTTTCAATGACCTTCCAATCAGCCTTCTCCTCCTCAGTCTTTGCAGATGAAACCCTATCCTCACACAAGCTCGTGAGATCCCCTGTCTGAATGGCTTTCTCAAAGGTCTCGGTCGCGCTGCCAACAGTCGAATCGACCTCGAATTTGCTGATGCAGATCTTTGAAGCCCTCGATTTCCCGGGGTCCGCTTGTTTAACACTGATGATTCTTCCCCCGAAGCCGAAAGATACGGAAACAGGTCGCTCTAGCCACTTGGGTGCCTTAAGAAGTGAGAAAGATGAAGTCTGAGGCTGGGTCTGAGCTTTGGAGAAGAAGTCCTCTCCGTCGGCGGCCTGACTCTGGTCCGTCTGGGTGCTGCTCGGATTGGTGTTTTGCAGGGTCTGGATCTGCAGCTTCCCGTCGAACGAGGCGGTAGCAAATATATTAGGGTTGTGAGGATTCCACCTTGTCTGAAACGTCCAGTTTGTCACGACTGGATAGTCGCCATACGCTTCTCCGGTCTGGGGATTCCAGAGGATCGTCCTGTTGTCCTTCCCACAAGATAGCAACAAGTCGTGGTCCTGCGGGCACCAAGCAATCGAAAGGACTCCCGAGTCATGCCCCCGAAGCACCTTCTCCGGGGCGTTCGAGTTTCTGAGATCCCAGACAAGAATGACGGGCTCCTGCTCCAGCGGCACAGCAGTAATCAATCGTGTGGGCTTTTCAGGGTCCCAGGCTATCGCACTAGCCGGTTTCCGTTGCAAGTTGTTGAGCGTCAAGCTCTCTTTCCTTGTTTTCATGTCCCATACTGTCACGAAACCTCCGCTGCTCCCTGTAACCAGGATATTTGAGACTCTCTTATTCCAGTCGAGGCAGTCTATATCGTCCGCGCGAGCAGCAGTGCTTCCAAGTCGTATTGGGGCGTCGAGGTGGTTCAGGTCTGAAATGAACAGTTCCCCCTTGGCACCACCCGTTGCGAGGAAATTCTGTATCTTGGGATTGAACTGCAAGGCCTTGATTGCTCCGCTGTGTATCTTGTTGGTGAAAATGGAGGCTTCCGCTGTGTTCGTGATGGCCTTGTCCGCATCCCACAGGCCCAGCGACCCATTGTCAAATGCTCCAGCAATAATCCCTCTCTTGTGTCCAGCCTGAGCCGGCGTCCAGGCAAGGTCGTGAAAGCTGCGACTCATTAGCACACGTGTTAGCAAAGAACTGAACTTCCATACCCCGTCTCAGTAGGCAGGGTGATCGAGGGCTTCAATTCTTGACTCTGTTCGCCATTTTCCAATGCCAGATCCCATAGTTCTAGACAAGTCTCATTGCTGAAATCGACGTCGACAGCACCCGATTTCGTGCCAGTTGCGATCCAAGAAGACGGCGCATCGGGAGACCACGCGAAAGTCGCTGTGCGTGGAATTTCCCTGAGACGCACCATGACGGATGTGGTGCGGTGCTGATTGAGGGAGAAAGAGAAAGGTAAAGAGGAATAAAGAAAGACTAAGTCATGCAGCAGAGAAAAGAACAGCTTCGAGTGAACAGGTGGACAGGAGAATCACGGTTTAGGACGCAGCTGTTCTCATCTTCCCACGCTGATGCGTGTGGGCATTTCGACTTTCTGATCTGGACACCGTCGTTTGTCCAAAGGCCTTTAGGGCCACAAAACGGTTAGTGGCCTCCCAGCGCCTCCCAGCGCCTCCCAGCGTCATCCCTGAGCCCCCCAATGCCCCGAATGTCGACCTCCGCAGCCGCAGCCAATAATTCAACACGGTAGGCAAGATATCAATCCACGTGATCTTGGAATTCCACATTTTTCAACTTTCAGCCTCCTTCGACTTCGACGCTTGCAGTGTTGGACAGCACGAGGATGGCCGAAGGACCAACCCGTCCAAACAGTACAATCTACGTTGGCGGTCTTGACACCAATCTTGTGACCGCCACAACTCTCTCGGAGGCATTTGTGCCGTTCGGCGAGATAGTTGATATTACTCTACCCAAGCCTGAGGCGCCGTCTTCGACAGATCTACATCGCGGCTTTGGATATGTTGAATTCGAGGATGCTGCCGATGCAAAGGAAGCAATCGACAATATGGATCAGAGTGAGCTCTACGGACGAGTAATCAAGGTGGCCATGGCAAAACCCGACAGGAAAGACACCGGACAAGTTGGGCTGGGTAGCACCACTGCTATTTGGGAACAAGTAAGTGTGACTGGAATTTGAAGATGCCTCGAACCTTGCTTGTTTGTTTGTCAGATTATGAAAAGACGAGCACTAACCATTCGGTATCAAGGAGGATTATCTCGCAAAATATGGAACAGCAAACGAGGACAAGGCTGCCGTAGAAAGCGCAAAGAACGAGAGGCCTGCAGATCCCATGGATGGATTAGAAGGCCTTGATGTTGCTGGGCCAAAGCCTGAGTGAGCCAAGGGGCGATTATGACCAAATCAACGCTACCAGTGTTTGGCATGCTCCAAACAATGCTAGTCTTGCTATGACCAGGCCGTACACATCGCATGGCGCCAGTCCTGGTCAGTGCTGGAAACAGTCAGTTTCCACAGAAATTGGGAAACGAAGGCGGTCACTTCCTTCCAACATCGAGTCCGCCGATTCACGCCGAAGAAAGACTCGCAACTGTCAGCCGAAGGGAAGGGGTCGAAAAAGGGGAGGGGCGAGCTGGCAAGGCCGAATGATTCTGCGCCCAGGAAAGCCGCTGGAAGAGTATGGTGAGGGGAAGCTCAGTGTGGTGTCAACAAGTCTCAGAAAAGACTGTGGATTTTCCTTCTGGCTGCAGTGGTTATATACACGTTCCCGCAATGCTTGAAATCAACTCCATTCGCAGCAATTTAGGACCTGACAACAGAGACCCTTCCTCGTTCGCACGTGCCTTTGATGCCGTCGAACCTCGTTTGCTATCATGGCCTTTCAATGTTTCTGGGAGGACCTCTGCAAGCGAAGGGTTCTGTCAGTCATGAGCTTCCTGCCCATGGCAAAGCAAGCAGCGAACAAGGCGAAGCTAGCAAGGACATAGATTAGCATCTGTATCGAGGCCCAATATGTTTCTTCAAATTGCTTTTCCCATACTCGCTAGGAATGGATAGACGTACGCAATGACCACGCCGAGAGGGAGCAATTCCGGAGGGATTCTCTTGAGCATGCGGATTCTTTGGGTAATGGTGTGTGCTGCGGGTTGTCAATGTCAGTTGCTCGCTCAAAGGACTGTAAGTCGGGATGTCGTACCACTTTGGTCATCCTCCTGTTAGAGACGATTAGCATGAGCCTTGCAGCGTCCAGGACGTATTCCTGCTCACCTTAGCCCTGAACCTGGTCCGGGTGTTGTGGAATGGTCTGGCAGTCTGTTTCTGGGCGGATTGGCGGAAGGCAGCTTGCCGCATGCCAGCTGCCCGAAGAGGCTGAAGCCTCAAGAGTCTTGCAGCGTTCATCTTTGCCGTGTGTTTGCAGGCGGAGTGGAGATTTGAAAAGCGAAGTTGAAGAGAGAAACGCCTCTTGGGACAATGCAAGAGTGACGTTGAAGTCGCAGTTGAAGTTGCTCCCAAGCTCTCCATAGCATTGTAGCCAATCAGAGTCAGGCCACGCTTGTTGGCCTCTTAGTAGCTCCTGCAACCTCCGACTTTCGATCTCGCTGCAGGCCTCAGGTGACAACCTCCCCTCTGAAGCTTCCCTCTTCAACCCAACCTCAGCACTCGTGCTTCCTTTCTATATCCACACCGCAGCTACAAGAGGACTCTGCCAACCGCGAAGATGACTCAGATCGAGGTTCCCGACGCCGATGAGCTCGGTGGAAACGTCACCAAACCCTTTAAGTTCGTGACTGGTACGAAGAAATCAGATCCAAAGTCCACGACTGCTCTGCAAAGTCCCGTGCTAACGTTGCGATAGCTGGATACGACGCCCGCTTCCCTAACCAGAACCAGTATGTTCCTTTCCACCGCAACCGAAGACATCCAGCAGCCTGACCGTGGGGATCATAGGACAAAACATTGCTGGCAAAACTACGTTGACTATCACAAGTGCATCCTGGCGAAGGGCGAAGATTTCAAACCATGCAGACAGGTAGCATGCACACAGCCCGAGAAACGATAGTCAACTGCTGACCTGTCTCAGTTCTATTTGGCATATCGATCCTTGTGCCCTAGTTCCTGGGTCCATAGGTGGGACGACCAACGTGAAGCTGGAAACTTCCCCGTCGACTTGGAGCACTAGAGAGTTGAATGAGCTACCGTGATGCAGATGGAGGACGAAAAAATGGCCTACAATTGCGGAGTTCTCACGGCAAGTTCAGGGTGGGCATGGATATTGTACATAGACCCAGACGACACCAGTGGCGGCCAACACACGACTCCTCCCATACAGCTAGATACATTAACCAATGTATCACTCTACTGCTCTGAATGTGTATCTATCATACAGCACCCAGACTCGTGCATTGGGCTGCCCAAAATGTCCAAAATGTCCACTAACATCCGTCCGGTGGAAAAACAACCAGAACACTCATACCGTGCTGATGGGCAAAAATTCCATTGGTTCACGAACAGATTAGTCCTGATGTCAATGTCCCAAGTGAAATTCACGCTATCATTTGAGGGCAATGTGAAGCCCATGGGTTCTGTTTTGCCAGTTCACCACTGCATATCCCGCCCTTGATCCAAGGGGCCGATGCGTGCAAAGCACCAGGTGCAGTTGCTCATGTGAGCCCGGGATTCTTCTATTCGATGCTTGAGCTAACGCTCTCCAATACCAACCACCCAAAGCCTGCTGTTGTCCTTCAGATCGTCTGTCAGGACCAACATAGCAGTGAGACAATGATGAAGCCACGTAGCCGTCATCTTCCGAAAGACTCCTCACTCTTGGGGCCTTCCTTTCTCTATTGCAGCGTTGATGTATGCTGTCTAGACACAATCGTTCGTCCATTCCCTTTCATTTCTTAACCGAACTCCTCCTCAAAGCCTCCAACAACTCAGGCCGCGAGTTTAACAGCTGGACTGCTTGTGCATAAGCGTACCATTGCCTAGATCTCTTGTTTTTCTCGGGCCAATTGTCTTTTTCCTCGGTCACGACGGCTTCGAAGAAGTGGTAACTTGCTTTAGGAGCGTGTTTCGTAACGGCCGTTGTTGGCCTCGTATCCGGAATGTGACCCAGGTCTTTTTCGACCTTGCAGATGATGCCGGCTTCCTCCCACGCTTCTCGGACAGCGGCAACTGACGCCGAAGCCTCGTCCAATTCCCAGCCGCCTTTGGGAAGGACCCAGCCATTCCGCCGGGAGGATTGGATCAGTAGAACTCGGGTCTTGTCTGCGGAGAGAGGGACAATGCCGGCAACCAGTCTCTCGCCCTTAGTTCCATAGCCTGCAACAACTATGAGCCCGAGAAATTCAAACCGCCCCAAAAAGCAGTGGCATACATACGCTGATTGGCCGTGCCCGTGCGAGAGGTCATGGACATTTCTTTGGCCATGGTGGCGGGGAAACCGTCAGGCTTGGGCGGACGGCCACAAGCCAGAGAAGTTCAAGGAAGGACTGTTTGGGTACGGCGGTCTCTGAGGGAAATTCTGGGCTAACAACAGGCAGAAGCGAACGTAGAAAGAGACGGTGAAGGAAGGGCACGTGGGAACACTATCGAGCTGCTCCGGTGCGAGGCGGCGAGGTCAGTCTCCTTGAGAGAAGACAAAGGGGGGATCAAAGATGACCCATGGTGAAGATAGCAACGGGGTGTGCGAGAGAGCGCATGAATGAGGGATACCTTCAGTCCCGTGTGGCACGGGGCTGAGGGAACGAGGTTGACGTGTAGAGCATCCTGAGAAAGGGAGCAGCCATAGTTATGTAGCCTTTGGTGCTTTGGGCAAGTTTAGTTTTTTTTTGGCCGTAGTAGTGACTCTCGGAGGTGCAGGTGCATGGAGTGGGTGGACACTCCTGGGGGAGCACGAAAAAAAAACATTATTAGTAGCGGCGATTTCCTGAGTCGGTACGCTGGGCGAAGATGGGCGAGGATGGGCGAGGGCGGCAAAGGCGAATCCCAGTTTCCCACCAGTGCTCCAGCGGTGCCAGGGGACAGGGCATGAGGCACCTTGAGCCATTGTGCCATCATCCTTTTTGCTTTTCATGTCTGCATGGCTGCATGGCTACAATCATTGCTCCATCATGGTCCTCCTGACAGACGGGGCTAGAGAGACTGCGGCAGGAGACTACCACAGGTAACCACACGTTCTGTGCCTCGAGGGTGGGATTTTTGGTATTTATTTGGCTCCCCAAACGGCATCAGAGTGGTGAGAGGCTTGCCGACCGACTAATTGCAAGGTTCCAGCGCATCTGGTTCGCTCAAGCCGCTGCGGCCCATGCAGTTACTACTAAGTGGTTCCTTGCCTCAGTTCACTTTGCTGGCAAACCATCTTCCGTGTCCACTTGTCCACTTCCACCGCTTCCACCGCTTCTACGCCATGCCCCTCCCGATTTGAAAGCACACGACGAACATACACGTGCTCATCTTCACGTTTATACTGGTCTAAAATCCTGATACTCAACCCCCCGTCCTCATCCCTCCTAACCACCTAACCACCTTTTCTGCTTGCCTAGATACGGTTCCGCGGCTTGATCGCCCTTAAACACCCGCTCATCCAAGCACCTCCAGTTCGCCTCAAGCTAACGGTGCCCCTCCCTCAGACTGCTCACGCGAGCGCCCAAGATCCAGGCCGGAAGTGGGGGTTCTCTTCTGGACAACTGCTGCGTCGTGTTCCAGTCTTCAAGGTCCAGCCCGCCCGACACTGCCAGAGCATCCTCAATTGGCTGCCTTGAGCCAGTCGTGTGCATATCCCACGAAATAGTTCCGCAGGGAGTGTTGCTTGGATATGACCGTGAGTTCTCCGGCTGATGGATTGCGCCTCTGATATCCCCGTTACGGACCGCATGTACCCTGGACAATAAAGGGAATTCGTCATTGTCTGCCTGCTGGCGGTGCTGGTCAGGATCAGGTGACATCATATTGGGCCAGGGGATAGCCGTCATACAACTTTCTGGGGAATCGAACTGTCCAGACAAAGACACTCGTGTGTTGGGAAGTCCAGGTATTCCTTCTTCCACTTGAGCAGGGGTTCCACTGGTGCTCACAGTTGATCATGACAAACGAAATCTCACTTTTGAAGCCTCTCGGTAAGTCGCACTTGAGACGGACACCTGACCCTAGACCCCTTCCCAAACATCAGGCGTGGCCCGACCCGCATGAACCGGGCTATCACCCTCTACTGTCCACCTGTTCAGCAAGGCTGGCTTCTTGCGTCGAACTATGATTGACTCCGGCTATCATCAGGCTATCAGAGGAAGAATTGGTGTGGATATTGCAAGAATGCCACAGGCAGTAAGTCATCAACCTCCCAGAAGCCCAGGCAGCATTTGCCACATAACCCCTGTCAGTACTTTCTTTTGCAGAGGTCTTATCTGAATTGCAGGCTCCTCGTATTACTTGTCGTGTGACAACATGCGGGTTGATCATTATCAATATCTGATGGACAGGGGCTGGAGAAGATCAGGCTCGCTCTATTACAAACCTGACCTCTTGCGGTCATGTTGTCCCCACTACACAATACGGTACGGGCCTTCCTACGACAGAAACAATATGGTGGAGGTCCGCTAATATCCACAGTCTCAAAGCGTCAGAGTTCCAGCCTGGGAAGGACCAGCGACGGGCGATCAATCGATGGAACGACTATGTGCTCGGCCCCGAGTACAAAAGAAAAGCTGCCATGCTGTGTCCGCAGTCACGCGAGCAAGTTGGAACCAATCGGTTGCAGATATGCAACTGACGTTTACAGGGAAAAGCGGCGTTTGAGAGACAAATTTGACCTGTCTATCGCCGTTCACAAGGCGGAATATGACAATGTCAAGCGTCCAGTGGGCAAAAAGACTGGCGTACCCATCGAACCAGCTCATAGGTTTGAAGTCAATCTTGAAGGCGATAGCTTCACAAAGGAGAAGTGAGTATCAGGAACGGCTTGGAATATGCAATCTATGTCTCACACGGTTCAGATATGGAGTTTTTCTGAAATACCAATTGCGGATACACAGAGACCCCGCGTCTCGGTGGAAAGAGTCTGACTTCAAACGATTTCTCTGCACCGGCCTTGACCGCAAGATCCTCAAGATCAGCGGCAAGACGCTCAAATTGGGTTCGTACCACCAATGCTATCGGCTCGACGGGAAGCTGGTGGCTGTGGCAGTTCTCGATCTTTTGCCCCATGCCGTCAGCTCAGTCTATCTCTTGTAAGTTCTGATCTTCTGATCTCAGAATACATTGCTCATTTGCAAGCTATGATCCTGAATACGAGCCTTGGGACTTGGGAAAAATGAGTGCTCTTCGAGAGATTTTGCTTGCAAAAGAGGCCGGCTATGAATACTATTACATGGGTATGTTGAGATATCTCTGCGTCTTCCAATGCTCACCGCAAGCAGGGTATTACATCCACTCGTGCATAAAGATGCGATACAAGGCCACTTTCACCCCGACCTACATCCTGGGTATGTCAACCTGTTTCGTGCTTGGATTTCACTGACGCCCTGTTAGATCCAGAAAGCTATGAATGGAACCTCTTCGACGATAAATACCGTCAGGAGCTCGACAAAAGAAAATACGTCTCTCCGTCCCGCGATCGGAAATACGGAGTGGATGCAGCAGAGAGCACCAATCACCAGGCAGCCGTGACAGCAACTCCGGATCTCAGCACTGCTCCTAAAACCACAAAGGAAAGAGGAAGAATGTTCGACGACGAACAAGATCTAGAATTCGATGAAGCGCCCAGCGATGAAGAAGACGCAGAAATACCCGAGGGATCCTTGTTTGATTACGAAATACCCGGTGTGCTGACGAAAGATGAGGTGATTCGTCTTGATCTCGACCACTGGCGTCTCCTCGTAGGGAAAAGTCTGATCGAGTTAGAGGTAGAAGGCTTCCAGCCCACAATTGAACGCGAGCATATTATTGACCACGTTGTAGGACCTTCGAGATTGGGAAGCTGGGAAAATAGACGACCCCGACACTATGAAAGGCATGGCTGCAGAACTTGCCGCAGTTACGGGGCCAAAACTACTCCAAAACAGTGCATTGGCAGTATTCTAAGACAAGCAGGACGAATTGTAACTCACACCGATGACACATGAGAGCGGTCAGGCCACTTTGAGATTCAATGATGTACAAAACCAGCTCTCGGCCGAGTTGACTTCGAGACAATGCCGCGTTCCTCCCAACTTCTGCCTCTGCGACTTCCGCACTTTAAGTTTCCTTCAATACACGTCCAACCTTGGTCGAAGAATACTCGAACGTCCACGACTGACTTGAGACAATGGCTGCGAATGCCCCCAAAGCGGATTTCATCAGGTTGCAGTCCTACGAAAGAGTTCGGCCGATTGGATACCAGTGCAGTAAAGACAGAGGGACATTGTCAGCAAAGGTCCGGTGGGCTCCTTTTCGTATACACTTCGCGGTCGCGATATTTCTCTGTTGAGAGAGCGCTCGCTTGAGAATATGCGCTCAACACGCGTTCTCACAGGACTCGACGCCTAGTACGAACATCAGCACGATTGCTTCAAAGAATACTCAGGGTGTCACTTTGGAGGGAAGCCGAGGTCTGGGTACAGATCGAACGACGTGAGGGAGACGGGGTAGTTGTGATGATTCTTCACGGCTTTGGCAGTCCTGTCAACTTTCCATCCCCACGGGGGCGCGGCTGGGAGTAATTCAGGTGGATGATTGCTCCAATATCGTGTTCTTGACTACCTGGGCGGTGATCCCATCTGTTGACGACTTGGAGCCAGATGCGAGAGATCCCTCCATGCCTAGCAGCGAGACAACAATTTTCAAGGGAAGAAAAGGATTCTGCTCATGTGTCAAAACCTGACATTCGCTTCTCGTCGTCGTCACCCATCTCTGTTGAACTTACTTCAGATATCACCTGGCAAAACACCTCCTGATTGCTCATATCACACGGATCATATGTTACCTATGGAAAGTACTGACACCATATGTCGTCTACTCTCTGTTTTGCCCCTTCTAATGCTCCTCAAAGCGACGTTTGTAACCCACCCATCTGTCGCTGCCTACCACAAACAGGGCTACACGTGAAGAACAAACAAGCCCGTCTACATGGGGTGACTACTTAACGTGAACCTCACCCTCTGCGCCGCCGAAAGATCCCACCGTAAACGGGCGGAAAGTGAAAGCTTCTTGAGGCAGGCAGTGATGGCTGGTTTCCTTTTCCCCTATAAAAATAATCTCCATCTCTTGAATCCTCTTCTGTCGATAGATCATTCGTCAACATTTGAGAACCACTAAAATCAGAGGAATTCTCGATCAACATGACGAAAACTCTTCTTGCGTCTTTGAGCCTCCTGCTGACCTTGAGTCTCCCCACTCTCGGCCTCGAGCATGTTGCGAGCGCAAGGCATGATCCACAACCGGTACATCATCTGCTGCCGACGCCAGATCCGACGACAGGATTGGTTCTTACTTCAACAGCAACGACCACGATCACCGCCACGACGGTCGAACAGTTCATCTCCCCGTCCCCGCCGCTAGCAAAGCGCGGCGGAATCTGTGAGGGCGGACTAACCTTCTGCAATGCTGTGGGTAACTGTTGCCCTACGGATACTTACTGCACCACCGACATCCTAGGCAATGGAGGTTGTTGCGCAAATGGAGCTTCCTGTACCGGCTTCGCCAGCCCTGTTCCTGGGTTAGCCACGGGCAAATGGCCCGCTGCCAATGGTGCGAGTGCGAGTGCGCGCGGACCGTCGAGGGTTTTCGTCGTACTTGCACGTTTGTTGAAACTCGGTTCGACCTGTTCTGCAAACGACGGACCAGCTGCAGGCAGGAAAGATGCTGCGGGTGAAATGTGCTTCGAAGAAGAGAAGCAAGAGAATGTCCCGACGACAACGGAGACCGTGTCAGCTGAAACATCTGCTGTTGATGCAGAGGGCCCAGAAGGAGTGGGTGGTGATCAGGGCGGAGGAGATGGGGAAGGATCAGCTGGAAGGGGATCAGCAGGAGGGGCTCGGAGTAGAGGTGCAACAGGGGATTCGGGAAGTGCCTCCGTCGTGCCTCAACCCATGAGACTCCTGGGTTTGCCTCTCGTTCTTGCACGAAATGTCAAGGCAGCCATTCTTCCTCTTGTCAACACGACCTCGGCGGCAGTGGGCAAGCTCAACCTCAAGCTCACGGGAGCCAACGAGGCCACGATCATGGGACAGAACAAAACCAGCAACGCCCCTCCCATGGCTCGACCTTGGCGACTCTTCGGACTTCCCTCTGGTCTGTGGCACCAAATCAGAGAGGCTGCTCTTCCGACCAAGAACGGGACTGTACACCCATCAGGAGAAGCCAAATTCATGGGCGGCAACGTTTATTACCTTGAAAACGCAACCCAGACGAGCAGCGCTGCAGGTAGACCCCGGGTGCCACGAATACTCGGCATACCCTTTGTTCTGGCAAGACAAGCAAAAGCCACTGAGCTGGAACATTCAAGTGAGCCGACCGAAAAGCGAAATGCTACCGCCATGTTTAAACCTAAAGACATGTCTTCCGCACCTGTGCCGGATCAAAAGGACCATAAATCCCCGGTCCGAGGCGGTGAAGGGAATGGCAGGGACGCCAGCAGCTTGTGGTCCTCGACCGTATTTAGCGTTCTGGGGTTTGTACCGAGGAATGTGAAGGCAGTCTTGTTACCTTGGTCACCAGTCTCTGCCGGCAGCGCATCCCTATCCACCAGCAGCGATGGACGAAGTCATCATGCGGACTTCGATGCGTCCGTCCACTCACCTTCAGGCGAGGCTCATGTTGTGCCCACGACATCTGCAGATTGAAGAGCCTCAAGTGCTGTACAAGCGATGACAACTGACCTACCAGCACTGACAAAAGGGTCCGGTCCTTGAAAGGATGATTGGAAGAAGATAGGGGCGAGACGTTGGCGGGTGTGTGCCTATGTAGCTATGGGATCACCCACATTCCCTTCTTCCGGGCTAAGCAGTCGCAGCGGTTTGATACTCGCATTACCTAGTTGTCATGCAGTAATGATAGCTTTCAGACAGGATCGGATCTCGAAATGCAAGGCGTCCGGCGAATGGACATGATGTATGCTGGCTTTGAGACATGGCGAAATCTTGGTGAAGATAAACATTAGCTGCTTAAGGGGTTTGTGTCTGACGTTGGCTGACAGCATTTTCTGGCCCCGGCCTCTGTACCTAAACAGCATGCGAAGGGGACAGAAAACAACATCGTCCGGTTGCTGGACATGAGGGTGCACGACTTTGGGTATTTCAGTCGGTGCAGACCTTTTGTTTCTGCTGTTTCTTGCCAGCTTCTGTATGGATCATGACAGTCCCAGAAAGGCACATTTGCCGACAATAATTAAAGCGGCGACTCCGGCACCTCCAGACTTGGACAGAAACGGCATTCGCTCGGAGCTGTTTTCCCCAGTCGTGTGCTTTTCTAAATTTCGCAATACATCTTAACCGGCCGATAACTTTTCCCTAAACACAAAACAGCTTCCTCTAGCCACCGCACCTACATTCTTTGATACTTCTGTGTTATCTCCCGCCTTGTCTCCCCCCCTGTCCACACAATGCTCCGCAAGCAGTTGCTTCGCCAGGTGCGCACCGTCTCAGAGTCGCTGTCTGCGTCGCCGCAGATACGGCGGTCGCCATTTTCTTCCGCCACCTTCATTGCTCCCCGTGTATCTAGACCCGCCTACCTCTCATCGCGGATAGGGCAAAGATGGCAGTCCACAGAGGCACAGCAGCAGAAACCTGCCACAGAGGCTGCGCCTTCATCCGAAGAGACCAAAGCAGCGGAGGAGGCAAAGCAAGATCCTCTCAAGGAAGAGCTTGAGAAGACCAAGAGGGAGGTTATAGACCTCAAGGTACGTACTTCCATCATGTCCTAGGTGAAATGATACACCAAAGACTAATGCCTTTTGACTTCCAGGACAAATACCTGCGTTCCGTGGCCGACTACCGCAACCTGCAAGAGCGGACCCGGCGAGACATGGAATCCGCGCGCCAGTTTGCCATTCAACGGTTCGCCGCCGACTTGCTCGACTCGATAGATAACCTCGACCGTGCGCTCTCTTCAGTGCCTGAAGCGGCGCTTGGGACCACCTCGGCAACAACAACCACCACCTCCAACACCTCATCCTCGGACCCCAACGTCGCGGCCTCCGCCGAGTCCACCTCAGAACCAAACAAAGATCTGGTCAACCTGGTCTCGGGCCTGAAAATGACCGAGGAGATCCTCATGTCCACACTGAAGAAGCACGGCCTGGAACGCTTCGACCCCATGGAGGGTGGAGGGCGCAAGTTCGACCCCAACACCGACGAGGCCACTTTCTTCACCAAGGTCGAGGGGAAAGAGGATGGAGATGTCTTTTACACACAAAGTAAAGGGTACAGACTGAACGGGCGTGTCGTGAGGGCCGCCAAGGTCGGAGTCGTGAAGAACTCTTAGTCCCCTCCGAGACCTTCCGGACATTCAAATTCGGGGCGCTTGTTCACCCCTTGTACAAAAAAGTTTTCGACCTGCTATCTCTGCGCTTCCAGCCGGCGGAAAAACGTCGAGTGAAGAAGCGATGTTCCGAGACGAAGAAGGATTCTTCAAAATCGGGACGATATGTCGGCTCTCATCTTTAGAAGTGACGGGAGAGCGATAGCACACGGTAATGTGTATGACGGCTAACATGTTCCGTCTTGGAAAGATTAATGTGGGAAAGCGCACTGGAATGGCATCGCACAAAGAGAGGCATGTGGGCTGGGTTGGGTATGTGTCAAGCCAGCCACGAGCGGTGTTGGAGACGATTACAACGAAGTCCGCATGAGGTGATGTTGTTGCAACGCAACGTGCTCCAATCCGCCCTGACATACATTTTCGGGGGGCTCTTCTTGTACAGCATACCCTCTTCTCTTACATATTGTGATTACTAGAGCCCGCTATGCACAATATAAACAGACTCCATTTTCGCTCAAGGAGATGAGTGCCCCTAAACGCCCCTACAGTAAGAGCATGGAAATGTGGATAGTAATACAATATATCTTTGGCGCATATATATATGCATGCATCTGCTTCTTCCCTCAAAGTGTGGGTGGTTTTGGTGAAATTTGAAGCAGAGCGAAATTTGGTGTCTGTATATAGAGTCTGCAGTTTCCCTAGGTATCATGTCAGCGCCTGGACCAGTCCGCGTGCAAGAAGCAAGATTCACAATCGGTGGGAGTTTCGATCCGCTTCAGAAGAGGCAATGCACAATTATAATCAAGTCGGCTTTCAACCGATCATATGGGGTTGAAACAATTTAGATTTTAGGCAGTTCATCATTTGGATCATGAAAAGATGATCGGGGTGAGAATGCGGATGAGCGGGAGGGAGGAATTTACCTGGTCATGAAAAAGCTGCCCAATGTTCGATATCGGGGCAGATCTCAACTGGTTGATGAACTGCTTCACTCAACACTGGACATCCATAGTCACATCGATGAAAAGGTCGGTGATCACGCACGCTCAGGACGCGTTAACGCAATTCGACGCCAAGGAGATCCTTCATTCTCCTTGCAACTTCCTCGTGCAGACCATTGACTTCTTCGTTGGTCAATGTCCTCTCCAGACTTCGATAGTTGATCCTGTAACAGAGGCTCTTCCTCCCTGACGTGGGATGCACGAATTCGTCCACCAGCTTCACATCTTCGACCAGACTGCCTGCCACGTCCCGTACGACTTCCATGATATCATTCTCGTGGAATGCGGCTGGCTGTGTTTCTGTTGGGGAAGCTTTTGTAGCGTCACCGCCCGCTGCAGCTGCAACGCCTGAAGAAGCAGACTGTGCTGTTTGTGAACCAACGGGCGACGACGCTGAAGGAGCCGACTTGATCCAGAAGGCAATGTCCTTGTAGCAGGCGGGGTATTTACTGAATGGTTCGAACTTGGTGATCTTCCCACGAGTGAACTGTTTCAGGAATCTTGGATCGGTGGACCAGAATAGACGGATGTCGGGGATGCCAAATAAGAGCATAGCGAAGCGTTCAATTCCTACACCCCAGGCCCAGCTAATGTGGTCGTTCAATCCCGCTTTGGTCAGGATGCCTTGCTTGACGACTCCACATCCTAGTAGCTCCAACCATTCGCCCCCATGCCACAGAACCTCGAGCTCGAAAGACGGTGATGTGAAGGGGAAATAAGCTTCAATCCAGCGGGCTTGCATGGGAGCGTCTGTTCTGGCAGCAGAGGGGAGCGATTGCCGAGAGGCCTCGAAGATGCGGCTGACAAGATACTCAAGGCTGAGTTTGAGATGCCGGGCGACTTGGTGCACTTCAGCTGGGTCATGTTCGGGCTGTAAGGGATTTGCATCCCCAGTAAAGTCGGTGGCCTGGTCTTCCACGACGAGACCAGTCTTGGGCATCTCTTCACAGTTGCGCTGGATCTGGGCGGCTCTATTCTCCTGAGCCTCCCAGACTCGGGCGCCCTCCATCTGGTGGAAGACTGGGAAATGACTCCTGTCAATACTGTCTCGGCGGTAGACGTCGGCACAGATGGTGTAGCCTTTACTAGAAGGGTTATTGGCCAGCCACTGAAATGCAGCGTTTTGGTGGGCAGAAGTATGTGTGCGTAGGAGGTGGGTCGAGTTGACATAGTATGTATCTGTCCTTGAACGACCTGGGTGGTCTGCGGGAAAGCCCAAGACATCGAAATTGTCCCTGACTGTGACCACTGGATTGCCCATGGCGAAGTGCTTGAATGTCGATTCTTCGAAGCATGACTCGATGAGCTTTCGAGTAATGCAGATGGGATGGTCGGGGTGGTCATAGAGGTTGCGGCCAACGAGATCTAAGATGGAGCTGGACAGATTTGAGGTCTGATCGAAGACGTATGGTGCCCCCAATATCTTTGAGCCAGATTGTCCATTTTCGTGGATTATTTTGTTCTCCTGGTCCAACTCTTGCAGCTTTCTCTCAAACCCGGCATGATCTCCGCTCTGGCTTGATGCAGCAGCAGTCTTTGCTGGGTCAACCTCTTTGGCAAGGTTGACAGATTGTTCAGGGAAGGGGTGCTCGTCGGGTGCAGCTTGAGCTTGGGCCTGAGAGGATGCCCATCTTGAAGGAACCACAACCGGGGACGAAATGGGAGCCCTTGAACAGCTGGGGATTGAGAATTTGGCAGCTTGAGCGGCGCGCACAAAAGCCCCTGTCTTGAGAAGCCGCATCGGGGAGGCTGAGGGAGCTTAGGCCAGCCTTACGAAAGGTGTGTGGTTGATGAAGCTCGAAGAAACAGTGGAGGAATACGGCGTAAAGGCCCGAAGTTAGTTTTGCTGAGCTCTGCTGAAGCTTTTTGCGCAGCCTGGCGAGCCGCGTCTCGGGACCGATATCGCTTTCTTTCACCCGGCCGTCTCGAAAACCCGCGTGGGTTCCGCTGTCTCTCGGAAGGGAGCCTCTTCCGTCATCTTCACCTGGGCTCGCTGGCACCCACTGGGCAGTTATCTCCGACTGCAGCTAAACACGGCTCGTACTTAGTATCACGACAGTTTTTTCTCCTCGGCGATAGTCCCCCATTTACCATATGTACCAGTAGCCCTGCGCTTTTGGGACCATTCGTTACCGTTCGTCTCTACTCTCCCTAACCCCCAATTCCCATCCTCTCCTTTGGGCTTGTTTTCCTTTGTCGCTTGCTGTCTGAAGCACACAACCGCGACCTTTGGGGATGGAGCCATGGCTGAATCCGCTCCCGCCGTTGTCGCAGCCCCGAAGCATGATGTCGAGGCTGCTGTGCCAAAGCAGCGGAAAGCCGCTGCAACAATACATTATCCCTTCTGGTTCGGTGGAAGCGCGGCCTCCATGGCTGCGGTAGTCACTCATCCTCTCGACCTGGGTATGTACCTCCTACCTATGCTTGAGGTCAATCACTCCCCCCATTGATTCTTCTAACAATCCGGTGTGCATAGTCAAGGTCCGCTTGCAAACCCGCTCTCCCTCTGCTCCTAAATCCACCCTCGGCACCTTCGCCTATGTTTTCCGCAGTCAAGGCCTATTGGGTCTGTACGCTGGTCTCTCGGCCGCTCTTCTTCGCCAGATGACTTACTCGACCGTCCGCTTCGGCGTGTACGAAGACCTAAAGTCCCGGTTCGCACTACAACCTACACCCTCAAACCCTAAGCCACAACAGTCCATGTTAAATCTCATCCTCATGTCATCCGCCGCAGGACTTCTGGGTGGAATAGCCGGAAACCCGGGGGACGTGCTGAACGTGCGAATGCAATCCGACGCCTCTAAACCCCCGCACCTGCAACGAAACTACAAACACGCACTCGACGGCCTAATACGAATGATTCGTGAAGAAGGCGCCCTTTCTATATTCCGCGGCGTGACCGCAAATTCTACCAGAGCACTGCTCATGAACGCCTCGCAGCTGGCGAGCTACGACGTCTTCAAATCCGCCTGTCTCCACACTTTGGGCATGGCCGACACTCTCGGCACCCACTTCTGCGCTTCGTTGGCCGCAGGATTCGTCGCAACCACGATATGTTCGCCCGTGGACGTGATCAAAACGCGCATCATGTCCGCGGGGGGGAAGATGTCGGTCTTTGAAATTCTCGCGCAAGCCAGTCAGAAGGAAGGTCTCCTGTGGATGTTCCGCGGCTGGGTCCCCAGCTTCATGCGGCTCGGACCGCAGACGATATGTACGATGGTCTTCTTCGAGCAACACAAAAAATGGTATAGAAGGTTCAAGGGGATCGAAGAATGAGGAAAGAGGAGGGACAGTTATAAGTGTCTCATGGACTGAGCATTGATGGCACTTTTTGGTCCACATTGCAATATTTCAAATTCATTGGGATGGTACTTCTGGAAAGTTTTTTGACGAACATCACGTTTGTACAGCATTTGCATTGGTATGGGAGTTTGGGAAAAATGCATTGTTAGCGGCGTTGGACGTGCATACAGAGCTTGTCCAGTGTATTTATCATTACCGCAGAAGCCGGTCACCGGCCGTCAAGATGGCATGGTGGTTCAGGGGTTGCTCAGGACATTGCGAGATGGAGCGAGCTTGCCTTAAGCCTGCTGTACAGGGAAATTGTGGTATTCATGTGCGAGACTGTATATATGGGAATGATAACATCCCAATTCGACCAAACCAATTTTTCATCTCTCAGGAGTCTCCTCCTGCCCACATTTTGATATTAATCGCTTCTGCCACTTCACGCCGGCCCAGTCGAGCCATTTTTTACCCCCCAAAACGCCGTCTCACGGTGATCTATTGTTATGCGATTCCCGCCCAGTCCATTCCCAAAATGTACCTTTGGCACAGCAATGCAGGTAATTTGATCAAGACTCCATCAGCTCCACAGGAGGACGTGCCGTACTCGTCAACATTTTCTTAGACGACCCCTCCGGCTCGAGCTCCACATCCGAGTCATCTTCGGCCTCCAGCATCACCGCCGGAAGCGCCGGGCTGTCGCCGTGGGCCTTGGGGTCGTAGATCAAAGTCGAGCTTCTGCTCCGGTGCTTCTTGGGCGAAGCGTCTGCCGTGGGGGAATTCTCCGCCGACACTCCGGCAAAGGCATGTGCTCGACTGGCCTTCAGCTTCTGCAGTCCCTCGGCCGTGTATTGCATTTTGGTGTCGTCTTCAGACGCCGAGTCGTCGGTGGGAGACGACGTGAGCTTGCCACTCAGTCTCTCCAGCTTGGATGCCAAATCCTCGGCATGGACGTGTTTGTTCGGGGGATCCTCCTCTTTCATTTCCCAGCCCACGGGCGGGCTGGGAGGGGGACTGATGAAGAATAACCTCCCCGCGTCCGGTCGGTTAAGGTATTTCTTCTCGTCTCCTATCGGGGTGGGTTCACCGAAGTAGCATTTTGCGACCGAGTCTTCCATGACCACGGATCCGTCAAATACCTGTCTCACGGCAATGGCGGCGTCGATGTCGTAAAATGAGCAGATGATGCGGTGCATGGATTTTAGTGGGGAGAAGGAGTTCAAGGGTGCGATCTCTGTGATGTGCTGTCTGATGGTTGCCAGGGACGCGGGGTGAAAGATCTTGGGGTCATCGAGGCGGGTGATGAGAAGAGTGTTGGATGGAGGTGCTGGTTGGGAAAGAGGTGGGAGGGACGAGAGATCGAGGGAGAGAGGTGAGCGGGAGCGTTTGGCGGACAAGGATGGGCGAGGGGATGAGGTGGTTGATGTGGGAGGAGAGTTTGAGGACGGAATCTGTGTTTGAATGGGAGAAAGAGGTTGTCGTTGTATATCAGCCATTCTGACCGGCGACCATGTATTTCTCGAGATTGAAAGCACGAGATTCTACAGCGAACGGAGCCTGAAAGTGACGAAGCAGTCAAATCAGGATGAGAAGACTCTTTGTAGTTGCAGTCCCCGGAAGGTTCCTGAGGAGGCAATGTGATGCGCAGGGCAAAGAATTTGTTGTCAATGAGGCGCAGTCAAAATCTGGCTCATAGGCTCATACGTAGCAGTGGTTGGCTTGGTTGGTTTCGAGGATTCGAGAAGACGGCACCGGCCAAATCTGATAAGCGGAGAGGCGGAGGGAGATGGAGGCTAGGCTCTGAACGGAAGGTGGCGCCCGTGACGGCGTGCAGGAAGGCTGGGAGCGGCAATGCTGAGCCTCTCACTCAAATTCCTCGCTGCGATTCCGCCTGTTAGGAACCGGAAAATCAAATACTCCGAGGCATATGGATCTTGGCGCATTCTCCTTGGCCGAGGCTGAGTCTCCTTTTCGGATCTTTGCCACCATTCGACCGAGCCCGATCTACTCAGGTCGGGAACTTGTATCCACTCAGTGCTACTGTCCTCCGTTAGGTCCTGGTTCCTCCTAGTTCTGCGCTGTCTCGTTTCTGGTGAGACGTGGTTCTCACCGACAGCGCGTCCATTGTGGCATGGTAAAGTTGCTTCTAGCCAATCTGTCATCTTACACAACGCCTCGAGGCTCAGCTATCATGGGACGTAGCTTCTTTCCCGCCAAGTGTCGTGCCATTATCCCCCTTGGCAGCCTCGGTTCTCCAACGATGCGGAGAGTAACGGCCAATAGTCCTCTACATCTCCGCATCCTCGCCCTCTCCCTGTTACCCAGACATGGAAGTTTGTCGAGGCTGAGGATCCGATTTCGGATCCGCTTGAATCATTCCTCCTTTGTAAATGCATATATAACATAGGTTCCACGAAAATTCCCCCGTCGCGGATTCTGACCATTTCACGACCAGTACTTTTCCACATCGCAAACATGGCTCCGGTTGCTACTACCAATGGCTATGGAGGGATGTATATACCTGACGACCCTGATAGAGCTGGACTCGCTCTAAGGGAACAAACACGGCCACTCTTGAACAACCCATCGCCTGACGATGTTGAAATCCTGGAGCAACTCTACGGCTCCCGGAAGAAAATGCGCATCGCCGTCCTGGGAGCTGGTATGTCCGGGTTGAACTTCTTCAAGGCCGCGGAAGAGAGACTCAAGAATGTCGAAATCATATGCTACGAAAAGAACGATGACGTTGGCGGCACTTGGTATGAGAACCGTTACCCGGGCTGTGCCTGCGATATCCCGAGTGTGGTATACCAGTTTCCCTGGAGACCTTCACCGTGGTCCCGATACTATTCATACTCGCCAGAAATTTGGGATTATATCAAAAAGGTCGAACAGGAGAATAATTTCATCGAGAAGTACGTCAAGTTGCGGCACCGGATTGTTGCTCTTTCTTGGGATGACGGGACCGGCCAATGGAGTGTTCGCGTACAGGACCTCAATACGGGACGTGAATTCGAGGACCATGCAGATATGGTCATCGATGGGGGCGGCGTTCTGAACAAATGGAAATGGCCCGATATTCCTGGCCTGCGCGACTTCAAGGGCACCCTACTCCATTCAGCTCAATGGGATCAGAACACGGATCTCAAGGGTAAACGGGTCGCACTGATTGGCGCCGGAAGCAGCGCGGTTCAGATCCTTCCGAATATCTACGACCAAGTCGACAAGGTCTACACTTGGATTCGGAACAAGATCTGGATCACTGCGGGGTTCGCTCAAGCATACGCAGGCAAGGACGGTGCAAACTTCATCTACAACGAGGAACAACGAAAGCTGTTTGACGATCCCGACGAGTATCTCGCATATTGCAAAATGATTGAAGGGGAGCTCAATCAACGATTCGGCTTCATCATCAATGGTTCCGAGGCCCAAAAGGCTGCACGCGAGTACTCCGAGAACGAAATGCGGACGCTGCTGAAAGACCGCCCGGACATATTAGAAAAGATCATGCCGACCGACTTCTACGTCGGATGTCGTCGCCCGACTCCCGGAAACGGATACTTGGAAGCCCTTGTCGGCGAAAAGACCACGCCGTTTGCCTCGCAACTACAGAAGATCACGGAAAAGGGGTTCATCGACCCGGACGGGCAAGAAAGGGAAGTCGACGTGATAATCTGCGCCACGGGCTTCGACACATCTTATAAGCCCCGCTTCCCCCTGAGCGTGAATGGTGTTTCCAAGAACGAACAATGGAAAGATCACCCTCATGTGCCTTCGTACTTGAGTCTCGGGTTGGCCGAGGTGCCCAATTACTTTGTGTACGGAGGCGCTTATTGTCCCTCGGCTCATGGCAGTTTTTTTCCATTGATCGAGGGTTACTGCAACTATACGATCCAAGTGATTGAGAAGATGCAGGTGGAGAACATCAGGAGTGTGAGGCCCAAGGCGAAAGTGGTGGAACAATTCTTGAAGCATGCCGATTCGTTCTTGAAGAGAACGTCGTGGACGGGTAAGTTTACCATTTCCCCTGGGCCTTTTCGCGAAAATGGGTACAACTATGAAAAGAAGGCAAGACTAATTTACTCTTCTCTCTCTAATATAGGACCCTGCTCAAGCTGGTTCAAAGGTGGCAAAAAAGACGGCAAACCCGCCATCTACCCGGGTTCGCGACTGCACTTTCTGCGCCTGCTCGAGAAGCCGCGCTTCGAGGACTACGAGATCGAGTACGACGACGGGAATAACATGTTTGGGTTCTTCGGCAATGGGTTCCACATCTGCGAGAGGGACGGGAGCGACATCACCTGGTACATGGGCAAGCCGAAGAGGGAGGTGGATCTGGACAAGGTGAAGCGGGTCATGGACGGGACCAAGGGGATTGAGATGAAAAGGGCGTCGTGATCGGTCACCTCACTAATACTTCTTCTCTCTTGCGAGTAACCCAGTACCTTACTGTAGACGTTAGACACTGGTATGTATAGAATATACACGTGACCATTTGAATGTGGACTCTGGAGCCGGCAAGACGCGGCTACGTCACGGACTGATTCAGGGGACACGGATTCTTATTGGTGGCAGTGACAATGCGCATAATGATGACTTCGTCGTCTCTCATGACATCAATACTCTGTGTATGCCCCAAAGGCGGCCAACCAGCCATGCTACAACTGCTCCGGAATTGGGGTCACTCTCCCGATTTTGGTATGTAAGACCTTCCGGTCTATCTTTTCTAGGTCAAGAAAAGCCTGGAATGTGATCGATGTGAAAAGTTCCGCTGGACTGCACATAACTTCCGGAGCTGGGGGATCGTCAGGCAACTGCTTCTCCGGGGAGCATTTAAAATACCATCACCTCATCTTCTTACCGGGATCCTTGCCATTTCTCTTTCCGAATAGTTCTCGTCTTTTTGTTCCATGTCTCTCCCATCGCAACTGTCCTCCAGACTTGCGAGATCTTGCTGCCTACGCTTGGAATCCAGTGGTCTCGGATCAAGGAGTCACCACGCAGTCGTCCGTTCTGTTTTTACTCCGTTCAACAACGCAAGTGCGAGAACGAGATTCTCACCCTCGGCGGTTCGACATTTCACAGCCACCAAGATGAAGTTCAGCACACCCTCGATGGACCCGCCGAAACACGAAATGGCATATTTTCCGGCTATGACGACCTCGCTACCGAGCGAGTCGGGCGAGTTCCGTCGTGTCTTGTGGACCGGGTTGTACAGCCAGTTGGTCTTGATGACCGTGCCGGTGGATGGCGAGATTGGAGACGAGGTATGATCTGCCCGTATCTCGTAGTACTCCCCGTGTGGAGTGCGTCGAGTGTCCGCGGTCGCTAACATCGCCTCTTTTCTTGCCTGCAGAAACACACCGTCGACCAGATCTTGACCTTCACTTCCGGCAAGGGCAAGGCAACCATCAACGGCGTAGATCAAGATGTAAAGGCTGGGGATCTTATTATCGTGCCTGCAGGCACGCAGCACCAGTTCATCAATACTGGACCGACACCTTTGATTTTGTATACCGTGTACTCCCCAGCCGAGCACAAGCCGACATCCGTGCATAAGGATAAGGCGCAAGGAGATCGTGAAGAGGAAGAAGGTATCGATGAACCGCCTGAGTGGAGTCAGCGGAGTAAGAAGGAGAATGAGAAGCTGGGGCTCGTCGAGTCGGAGGGCCATTGAGGGCGTGGGTAGTGATTGTGATGCTGCTGTCGAGAGCGGGCTGTTCGTCGGTATGCTTCTGCAAGCCTCGATCCTAGAAGCTGCATGCCAGGAAATCTAGTAAATGCGACAAATTCCAATCAAATTTATTTCTTCTTCTTGCCCACAACCTTTGTGAAACCCTCCTCGTCAACCTCTGGCTCGGGCTTCTGCTTTGGTTTCCAGTCAATGTCAATGATTGAAGGAGCGTCGTCCATCTGCACGTCGGACCGATCAGGAAATCCGTTCCACTCCTCCTCTTCATCGTCGTCGTCGTCATCATCATCCCAATCCGTTTCTTCACCCTCCTTGTCCTCCCCTCTGACAATCCCGACGACCTTGTCACCTCCATTTTTCTGCTTCTCCTCCCACTTCGCGTAGAGCTCGTTCAGTTCAGAGGTATCCCCGGCGCTCAGTTTGGTCGCTCCACTCCAGATGTTTTTAGCGGTCTCTTCGGCGCTGCCGTCGTCGACCACGACCTCGAATTCATCAAGCATGACCTGTATTAGGACTTCTTCCAGGTCGCTGACATCTGCCAGTTGCGGAGGGCTCGATGTGAGCAGTTCGGACACGGCCCCGGCAAACCAATCCCGTTTGTCCTTGGAGACCTCGGGAGAACCGCCCCAAGAGTTTTGGATAGCGAGAGTCAAGGCGGGCCAGGACCACAGGTGGAGAGCCACCAGAAGGTCGATTTGGGAGGAGAGAGGAGAGGATTGGGTCGGCGGGGCTGGAAGCGAGCCGGGCTGGTTGGGTTGAGCCATTGCTCGTTGGGTATACAGAAAAGGAGGATTCGGGCGCGGTGGTGGTCTGAATATTTGCAATGTACGTACTTGGAGAAAGGCCAGTCGCTGAACTCGGAAGAAATCTGATGTTGGTGTTTGGACAAAAAATTTGTGGTCGGCGGATCGGGCAATCTATCGCCGAGAATATGCGAAATATGCCACCACAAAAATTGTCTGGGGACAACCGCTAGGACGACACCAATGACATTTCTGAATGGGTCAAAGGTGTCGACCGTGGACTTGACATGGATCGAAGATGACTTTGATACATGGTCGCGATAGTATATAAAGGTCTGTTTGCCATCAACTACCTATTTGTCACTCTTCTTTCCTGCTGGGAACCAATACCTGGTACCATTACAGCAGCCAATATCCTCGTTTGCCCTTGGAGAGAGGACGGACTGTTCTTACAAACACACTCCCTAACCCCCGCTGAGGCCAGCTGGATAGGTGTCTCGCCACAAAACATCAAATGGGAGAACCCAACTCGGTGCCAGCAGCACCAATGGCAACCGAGGATGAACGGTCTGCTCTCACCTGGCGAATCATCCCAACCATGACTCTTTCCGTCGCTGGAAATCCTCTCACAGCACCCTTGGCCCCTGTTCAGGCAACATCTCCCTCAGAGCGAGCTGCTGCTCGATTCCAAGTAGAAGGCAACGCCGTCCTCACAGGAGGAGCCGGGACATTAGCATTGGCTTCTGCCCGAGCACTACTTGAGCATGGCGCCTCTGGAGTTGCGATCATGGATTTGCCGGCCACCATTCATGCGTCCTCGCAAGCAATATCACAACTGAAGGAGGATTTCCCCCATGCAAACATCCACACCGTCCCAGTCGACGTGACAATGGAATCGGAAGTGGACAAGGCTTTCCATACCGCTCAGGATCTCATGGGCAGCGTGGACATCTTGTGTTGTTTCGCAGGAATAGTCGGTTGCGTCCACTCCATCTCGGCGACTGCTAGCCAATTCCGCAAAGTCATCGATGTCAATTTGACTGGATCATTCCTCTGCGCTCAAGCAGCAGCAAGGCGCATGATAGAATCCAAATCAGGGGGGTCCATTGTGTTTACGGCCTCGATCTCGGCTCATGCGACGAACTATCCTCAACCACAGGCAGCTTACAATGTGAGTAAAGCGGGAACGGCGATGTTGACGCAGAATCTTGCAGCGGAATGGGCTGTTCATGGGATCCGCGTGAACTGTATTTCTCCCGGCTATATGGACACCGTGCTCAATGCCGGCGACAATCTGAAACCAGTGCGAGATGTCTGGGCCAGCCGGTGTCCCATGGGTAGAATGGGCGATGTGGAAGAGATCACTGGGCCTGTCGTCTTGCTCAGTAGCAAAAGGGCAGGCAGATATATCACAGGGGCAGATCTGCGAGTGGATGGCGGGGCATTGTGCTTTTGAATCCGCGAGGCTGAACATGCATTCATAGAGATAGACTGTTTTTCCGGTGATAATTGGACCTGCCAGATAAGGGGAGACCATTGACTTCCATTTCTCATGATCTCTGGAGCATTAGGCGCGGATCGTGGCAGGGCCCCTCATACTGTATGGAGCCTGGCCACTCGGGACTGGCTCGCAGCTGTTGTTGGTGATCAGCCCCCACATCAATCTGCCTTGGCCGGGCGGTGGGAAAAGGGCCACACACTCCTCAGCCATCACTCCTCTTCTGGAAAGGGCGTCAAATCTAGCGAGCCTCCTCTGGATAACATCATTCGCCTATGACATGTTCTATCACAAATACTTTCCACCGGTGGTGTCTACATTGCAATTTCTCGTGGACAACGAGGCGGCGATGGAAACCAGTTCGGATCCTGGAAGTCCGGCGTCCTGGCCTCTGTCCTCGCTTCCACCCTCGCCGAGTCAGCTGAGAGCGTTGGCGATATCCAAGTGGCTGGCCGCGGTTCGTGGCTTGCAGCTTCAGCAGGGGTGGTCGACAAGGGCATGGCCCGACAGGCAACCGCAGCTGGGGGCAGTGCCCTACTCACCAGCCTTACAACCTTCGCACAAAATCTCTTCTTCACCTGATCTTTTTCTAGTCTCGTCCAAAGAGCTGTAGGGCGATATTCAATTGCTAACGACTATGATCAATTGAACAACCTGCCGCTTACGCTTGAAACCATCCGTCTGGCCGCCATGCCATTTTCTTGAGGACAAGGCTTTATGTGGAGGCTCTAACAGTCTAAGGCTTGCCTCCAGTTCGACAATCTCTCTGCATTTGATCTTCAAAAACACTGGTCTCAAGGTGATTTTATCTGCTGTATTGAACAAGACTGGCGACGACGAACTTATGCTTGATTCCGTTGGACGTTCATTCACGACATTGTGTAGCTGGAGAAGGTCTTACGTTGACTTGATAGTGCGATGTTAAGCTCTGTTGATTCGACGCTGAAGGTTCTCGACGAGCCCGCCCCGTTGGGTCTTTCGCTCCTCGTCGCGCCGGACCACCCATCCATCGAGTAAGTACTGCCCTTCAACACACACTTCCGGTGCGCAGTCACGATGCTAATGTCGAACCCAGCATTGTCTTCGTTCATGGGTTTAATGGACACCCGGAGCGCACCTGGAGGCACAAGGGCGATGCTGGCAACCAGCCTGATGCGCCTGAAGACCCCGGCGACGAACGACCTCGGAAGTTCCAGAAGCTATTCGATTCGATAAAGATCCCCCGCGACCGAAAGCCTGTTTATTGGCCTAAGGATCTTTTACCGCATACAGTCCCCAATGCACGAATACTAGCTTATGGCTATGATACTCACCTCGGACATCGACTTAGTTCTCCGAGGAGCCAGAAATCGGTCTATGATTTCGCAAAGGACTTCTTGACGGAGTTGGAAGCTGCACGTCGATCTCAGCCAACCAGGCCCCTCTTGCTCATTGCCCACAGCCTTGGAGGAGTCGTTGTCAAGGAAATGCTTCGGCAGTCATATGGCTACCTGAATCACCAACCTCATCTTCGGACTATATCGGAGTCAACGCTGGGTATCATCTTCTTTGGCACGCCACACGGTGGTGCAGATCCGCAAGGGCTTGTAAGGACCATTGCGGAAAATATTGCTCGAGCGTTTGGTTTCACGGCAAATGAAACTGTCCTGGAGAGCTTGCTACCCTCGTCTGAACGATTGAGGCAACTTCGGGACGAGTTTGGTCCGATGGCACGCGCAGAGGGATGGAAGATACACTGTTTCCAAGAAGACCACGGCATTAAAGCCCTCGGTGGAAGGAAGGTAGGAACTCGCTTTGGTGGTAGCAACCCCGCGGAGCATGCTGATCTTTGTAGGTTGTTGACGATGCGTCCTCTTGCTTGTCTGATTCGAGTCTGGAAATCACTCAGCATATTGCCAATAATCACATGGATATGTGTCGCTTTAGCGGAATGAACGATGCCGAGTATAGAAAAGTTGCAGCAGCAATTCATCGAATCCTTGGAAATTCGAACGATCGCCCTCCACACGTTAGTCGCTCAACACTCAGCGCCGAAGAACGGCAAGCCTACATCAAGTCTCTCAGATTTGATCAGATTGATTCTCGTCATGCGACAATTAAGACAGCCCACGCCAAAACTTGCAGATGGTTTCTCAAGAAATCTGGTTACCAGGACTGGCTCGCCCTCGAAAGACTATCCGAACATAATGGCTTTTTGTGGATCAAGGGGAAAGCGGGTACTGGCAAAAGCACATTGATGAAGTACATCTATGCGAACGCCAAAAAGACCATGTTGGAAGCCACAGTTATTTCATTCTTTTACAACGCGAGAGGAGAAGATCTCGAGAAGTCCACCGAAGGAATGTATCGCTCATTGCTTCTGCAATTACTAGAGGACCGTCCTGAGCTCGAACGAATTCTGGACGTCCTTCCCCGGCCACTACTGTCTGAGACCGGTGAATTTGAGGGCCAATGGCAACTTGAGACCCTGAAAAATACCTTTCAAGCCGCGGTCAGAAGTCTTGGAAGCAGAACCCTAGTATTATTTGTCGATGCGTTGGACGAATGCCGTGAAGACGACGTGCGTGACATGGTGGCATTCTTCGAGACTCTCAGCCAAGAAGCAGTTCAATCAAAAATCCAACTACATACATGTTTCTCGAGCCGGCATTACCCTTACATTAGCGTCGATAAGTGCGTTGAGCTCGTCTTGGAGAATCAGGAGGGCCATCAAGATGACTTGGCACACTACCTACAGACTGAATTGAAAATCGGAAAGAGTCAGCGCAGCGAAAAGATCAAAAACGAAGTTCTCCAGAGAGCCAATGGTATTTTTCTGTGGGTGGTTCTGGTTGTGCGAATCTTGCAGAAAGAATTCGACAGAGGACGAGTACATGCTCTTCAGAAACGACTAAACGAGATTCCCGACGGCCTTGATAAATTGTTCGAAGATATCTTGACACGAGACGCGCGAAACAGTGACGACCTGTTGCTCTGCCTACAATGGATTTTGTTCGCCAAACGACCGTTGAAGCGTGAAGAGTTATATTTCGCGATGTTGGCAGGGAACGAACCTGACCAACTCACTGCATGGGATCCAAGCGAGACAACGACAGATGTTATGGACCGATTCATTCTGGATTGTTCCAAAGGCCTCGCGGAGCTGACGAAGACCAAGAATCAGACAGTTCAGTTCATTCACGAATCTGTTCGAGATTATCTTCTAAAGGGAAAGGGACTCGTCCACCTTCAACGGCCTCTAGAGTCGGATTTTGAGGGCCTGAGCCATGAAAAGCTGAAGCTTTGTTGTCAAAACTATTTGAAGCTAGAACGCGCAAGCCGCTTGCATATGCAGAGGCAAGATACAGCAGAGTCTGGGATGGAGCGTGACGCGACGTCTGACAGTGAAACTCAGCTTGACAGCCTCTCTATCGACAACAATCATGAGCTGCAAGATGCCACATCTTCTTCCAGCGAGGCTAGAGGCGTACGCGAGAACTTATGTGCGCAATACCCATTCCTAAGCTATGCCGTGAGCCACCTCTTTGACCATGCCGAGGCGGCAGCTGAGGTGATATCGCAAACAGCTTTCATCACGGAACTCGACCTCGCAACCTGGAGGGAGTACAACAACATCCTTGAGAGATACTCTATTCGAAAGTATTCCCCTTCGGTAAGCCTACTATATGTTTTGGCCGAAAAAAATGTACCTCGGCTCATCCGCATTGAGCTTCAAAAAATGCCTCACATGGATATTAAGGGTGAGCGACATCAGTTTCCTCTGCGGGCGGCTGTAGCCGCAAAGAACAAGGAAGCAGTCGAGGAGTTTCTGAGGCCAGTAGCAGGAAGCAAGGATGCGGCTGGACGAGATGTCGATTTCATTTCCTCGCAGATCCACGACAGGCGGCATGCTTGTGCGGACTTCTTATTGCAAAGAGCCACAACGATCTCCAAGCTGAAAGAAGAGACAGTACTCTTCTGGGCTTTCGCCACAGGAAACATTGATCTCGTCGAAACTTTGCTAGCAACAGAGAAGGTCCAATTAACTTGGCAGGCAAAGATCAGAAATGGATGCCGCCTCGCGGTGGGCCTAAGTGCTAGCGACTTACGTTTGGCTTTGGCAACAGTATTGCTATATACCAATCAGCATGAAACTGTCGCCAAAGGCACAAATGCATATGCAATAAGTCTGCTGCGAGTGCATGTTCTCCCTTGGGCATTCGAGCATGGATATGGGCTTTTGATCAGACATCTGCTGTGGTATATGGTATGCGTGGCTGGAGGGATCCCGGGGGCTGAATCTCGTGCAGTGAAGCCTCTGCAGAGCGACGCTGATTTTATCGCTCTAATGTCGCAGCAGCACATTTCGGTCGATTCAGAGCTCGGTGATGCGACATATCGGACACTGTTATCATTTGCCGCGGGCTACGGACTTGCAGGTGTCGTGAAGTACATTCTTGAGCATACCAGCCACCGGCTGGATGAGCGAGATTCCTCGGGGCGTACTCCCCTTGCTCATGCGATCTTGAATTGCTGTTCAGATGTCGTCGAAACACTTATCCCAGCAACAAACATCAATTTCGTCGAACCCGATGGGCAAAGCCTCCGTCTGCCTTTGTCGTCAACAAAACATAAAGAGATGATTGAATTGTTGTTGAAATACCGGGCAAGCTTTCAGGATATTGAAATTGATCATCGAGACCCTCTCAGCTGGGCGTGTGAAAATGGGCACGAATCCATGGTGGAATTGCTCCTGGAGCATGGGCATCATAAGGTCAACTCACGAGATTCTGTGGACATGTCTCCGTTACATTTTGCAGCGTTGAACGGACACGAATCAATAGCCAAATTGCTCCTGGCGGATCCCGCTGTCGAGGTGAACGCTAGAGACAGTCATGACGACACTCCATTACATATGTCGGCACAGGGTGGGCACGACTCAGTCCTAAAGCTGCTCCTGCAGCATGGGGATGTCGACGTGAACACAAGGAACATTAAAGGCCAGAACCCATTACTCGCGGCAGCGAGGAATGGGCACGAATCGACGACAAAACTCCTCTTAGAACGTGAGGACATCGACGTGAACGCAGGGAATGTTTACGGCGCGTCTCCATTGCACGCCGCACTGCGTTGGAGTCCAATTGCAATTGTCCGACTTTTGCTCGAACACCAGGATATCGACCCCGATCTCACATGCTTCGACCCTGTATTCCAGAGATATCGACCAGCGCTGGAGATGGCCAGGGGAAGGGGCCATAGGGAAGTGGTCGAGCTGTTGGAGACGAAAATGCGCCAACGGCAGAGCCTTGATCGCTCGCTCTGATGAAGGCCGAAAACGCTACTCGCGTTGGACGACCATGATGATCAGGGACAGCTAGGAGACTATGCTGGAGTATGAAGCTATTGTACTGGTGCTCGAGAAGGACGGGACGAATGGACTTTCAATTGGCGCAGGAGCAGGAGCAGAAGCAGAAGCAAACATAGCATTCAATGTGATGCCAGGTCCTTTTTTTCTAACCACAAAGGTGAACATCGAACAAAATCTAACTCAGCTAACGAGGAAGAATCCAATGTCGGACATGGCCACTGATTTAGTAATATATTACTACCAACGCCTAAGGCTCTATTGGATCATTAGGAGGTCTCGAAATACGAGTTCATGACGGGATTTAAGACGAGATCGCTTCCAACGGCTCAATTTGCATTCCCGATCTCTCTCTTGTAGTACACTTTGCTCATTAGCGGCTCTCATCTCGCAAGTAACGTGAACGGCTGAGCCGGCCTCGCCGTGGGGAAATTCCTCGAACTGAGCAGAGCACCCTTCAACGCGCGGATCTCGTTCTTGAACTTGGTCGCCTCACTGGCTGGGGGTTGCTTCTTTTGTTTACTACTATCCGTGCCCGTCGCCGTCGCTGTTGACGACGACCCCGGTCCGCTGTAGCTGGTGAATGATGATCCTGACCCCATGAAATCGACCTGGAACGGGTTGTGGCTTGATTCGAGTTTATCGAGAACGGCTTGAAAGCCACCCACCGAGTCTTTTAGGCGGTCTTGAGAATAGCTGTTGTTTTGGGAGTTGAGCAAAGAGAAGAGCGTGGAGTGCAAGGAGCGCAGGCGTGAAGACTGTGAGGTCGTGGGATCTTGTGCGGATGATAGGTAGTGGTATTCGTTGTCTGGAAAGGAAGAGATTGACATGGAGCGAGAAGGTCGAGGGGAAGTCTGTGTTGCGACGTCGCGGTGAAACAGTTCTGTTGGGTCTGAATCTACCGATTCGACGTCGTCGCCACCATCTTGGGCTTTTTGTTGTTGTTGCAGCACCGCGCTGCTCGGAATGTAGGGGATGTGGGATACGGTGGATTCGAGTTTCTTGTTCAGAGTTTCAAGGTCTGTTCTTGCGGTGTCGGCAAGGTCGTGGCGAGCTTCGGTCAGAGTCTCGAGCATGGGCTGCACAATGTATTTGCTTGCAGCCCATGTCAAGGCCGACACGCCCGCGAAAGCGTAGGCTGCATGAGCAAGACGTTCAAAGGTGACCAGCGGAGGCGGTTTTTGCGGTTTGAGCAAGAATTCTGGATATGTGATGATCGGAGGAACGTCTCGCTTCTTCTGCGCGGCTGTTGTCTGCTGCGGCGGCGCTTCCTCACTGGCCGGGTCTGAGGGCGCCTCTGTCTCCTCTCTCTCTGGAATCTGCGTCTGGCTGCTATCATGTATTGTTTTCAGTTCAGAGGCTTCTTCAGAGGTTGGCGGGGGGTTGGGGCGTTCAGGTCCAAGGAGCTTTTCTATCTCTTCTGCCTGAAGGCCTTTCTTCTCCAAGAATGCGACTTTGCGTTCGCGAGGGGCGTCTCGTATTGAATCATCTTCGAGGAACCTCTGGGCTTGCTCGAGTAGAGGTAACTCTGCGGAGGGCGAAGCTGGTCGTGTGCTGTGATCCGGAGGCTGGTCATCGGAGGGAGGAGGGCGGTTGTCTTTTGGTTCCGAGTTGTATTGCTGCTGCCATGATGGAATTGAAGGGCTCTTCTTGGGGTCTTGGTCGACCATATTGCAGCGCTACGATTAGTGTAAATCTGTCGCGGAGGATGTGCTTGGGAGAAAGACTGCGACAGTTTTACATGGTGGTTGACGACCGAGACTCGGTGGATGAGTATGCAAGCCTCGGCTCGTTGATACGAGGCCAACTGCACCAGCCACATCAGCCACAATGCTGGTTCGGCGGAACAGCCACAGTCGCCGTCATTTCCCACGCTGAATGTCTGTGGAAAGTTTTGGCATCCAATATTTCGCAATTTATGTATTTCTGCTTCTGAGCCAGTTTAACACTCATATTTATCGTCAAGTCATCTACTTGGACTTCTTCAAAGACGAGGATACCGACGCTGGATCTAGGGGTGGCCACCAGGCAAGGAGACACGACCTCTGACGCGAGAACTCCACGAGAATCCAGGGCCGAACGCAGACCAGCGACAGCGGAGAATCTAGGAATTTAGCCGAGCCTGGAACCTCTGAGAATCTCTGAAAAGATGACAGATAGAAGCCGACGTGTGCGACGTCAGATTAGTGAGGCCACTGAAGACTTCACAGAAGACTCAGACCTGGGCAGCGGTGAAGATTACGATCCAAGAAGAACCGACTCCATGAGGCGAGCAGGCAGATATGAGTAAGTGCCAGTCTCCGTATATGTATGCTTCATTTCACGGCAATTTCTGGGTGAAACCCCTCAGCCGCTGTCACTTGAGACCTTAAGAGGCTGCAGCTCACCGCTAGCGACATGAAGATGAGAGCAACATTCGGAGGCCACAGTGAATATCTCTGACTTGACCCTTGTCGATTGCCATTCAGTCGAATCAACATTTACCTCAATTGTCCAGCTTCTCCCTTTTGTAATTGTTAGTTTAACCAGAAATCTCTGTCGCGCCTTCCACCACACGGAGAAAACAGCCCCATAGCACTGTCGTCCATGATGCCTTTCATTACCTTATGCTATGCACCTCGTCTTGACGCAAGAGCTAATCACAATTTCAGTTCTTCGGCAGCGTCGACCCCGGCGTCGTCCAGACCACGGCGCTCGGGAGCGTCAGCCACTGCAAACAATGTTTCTTCCGCTATTGTCCAGCGCGGGTTGGGCTCTGCAGATGATCGACGACAGAGCCTTAAATTGACCGTCAAGGCTCCTCCAAGCAAGCTGCGAGAAGTCATGCGGGCCAATGAGGTGGAATCACTCCATGACACCCTTGGCGGTGGGCAAGTCCTTGATACGCCGCGAAGCAGTCGACGCACAGCCCTCGCTGCAAGAACCAGCGCTCGAGGCAGCCGGCGCCCAACATATGCAGAGTACGGTGAGAGCGATATTGAGGATGAAGAGGAGGAGGATGACGAGGAAGAAGATGACGACGACGAGGATGAGGAAGAGGAACCCAATGACTTCGATCAGCTCGGTGCTGAACCTGAGGGTGACACCGATGATGAAGACGTGGAAATGGAAGACGCACCTGCACCTCCACCTCCGTCCCGCCGCCATCTTCCGCCCAAACCGCCAAAGATTACACTGAAACCACCTGCCAAAGGAGACAACAAATCATCAGCCAAGCCCAAACTCATCGTCACTCCCGCAAAAGTTGGGCCTCTCAAATCCGTTGAGGAGCAAGAAATGGAGGATGCATCGGAGGATGTGTCGGACGAAGATGAAGATGAGGTCGGCAACTCGTCGGAGCTCTCTGACGAAGACGAGGAACCTACGATAAACGTGCACGACGAAGACGCCGAGGGTGAGGAAGAAGAGATTGTGGTTGAGGAAGACGCGCCAGGCGAAGACGAAGAAGCCGACGAGGAAGATGAGGACGATGATGAGCTCGACGACAGCAGCGACGAGACGCCTGCTTCCGGTGCCGCCACTCCTGATCTCTCTAAGATGACGAAGAGGCAAAGGGGCAGGCCCGAGGATCAAGGTACTCTGATGGCGTTGGATATGGCACCTCAGCAGCGAAAGGTATGATGCAAACGATGTTGGCCGCAAGTAGTTTACTGATTGAGTTTAGTTCTTCACGGACGAGGAGAAAGCAATGAAGAAGGACGAGCACGCTAGAAAGCGAAAGGAACTGACCAAGCGCAAAGTGCAGGAGGAGAAGACGGCCGCCTTGAACAGATTGGTACGCAAGTATCCCTTTATCTTTTGACATGTGCTAATTGCCGTCCAGCTCAAGCCTCAAGTCTCTAAAGCGCGAGGCGCCGCTCCGAAGCCAGAGACCTTGGCCGCGGCTGCTGCGGCTGCTGCAGCGGCTGGGTCACCATACGAGGAGGAAGAGCTCCCACAGAGAGCTAATCCACTGTATACCAGATGGGTCAGTACGCAAGATGGTGTGAGATTGGGTGTGCCAGAAGAGTGGTTGGGGAAGAAAGTCGGCCGCTACTTTGGTCCGCCGCTCCCATCCAGCAGCAATATCCTCATTCAAGAGGTCGAATGATGGCAACCTCGCGGTATATTCATCTCGTGCTAAGCTACAGTTTATCGATATGTGGGAGTCGGTAACGAGCTCTGCGGCTCAGGAACGGCAACAAGCCTCATGATGGTCTGATCCATCTGAATATCCCGGAGAAACATGGCTTGGCTGAGCATCTTTTCGTACCAGGTATCAGCTACCAGATTCCAGCAACTCTTAGCATAGAATTCTCGAGTCAGCAGCCATCTAATTATACATGAAGGCACCATCTATCTCTCACATCCTTCAGCAATGGCTCGATCGTACTTATTGCAATCGTCCCAACGATATTTGCAAGACCCTGTATCTCAATATCAGGGAACCTCTTCCCTTTTGCCATCCTTGAAGCCGCCGACTCCATTAGACGGGCGTCTTGTGCTTCTCTTCGATAACTGACTCCCAAGGATCCATACCATAGCTGTGTGCCCTAATATTGATTCAGTCATGGAAGCACATAGGATCCATTCACGCCTTGCCCAGAGCGACGGGACTTCTAAAATCATGCAGTTCTCTTTGATGTCCGCATACAAGAATGCGACGCCTGTCACTTGTCAAATGTCCCGTGGTCGACCGATCCAAGGTTGTGTAACTTGGGGATTGCATACTGCCGGTGCTGCCTGTCATGGGAGATAGGGACAACCTCGTCTCGCCCTGCAGTCCTTCCTTCGTTGTCGGAAGACGAATGATTGCAGAAGAGCGACTTGCCCTTACTGTACCTCGTGATAACCATCATGACATTTGCCGCTCCTTTGCCGTATATCCCACAGCTCTTGGAAGAAGCATCTAGTTGGAAATTGGTAGTGAGTAGCTTGTCGCCTGTCTGTGATATCATCACTCGTTTGCCCGCGTGCTCAACGTATTTCGGTCTGAAGAGATCGCATTGTCACTTGCTTGCGTGGGGACTTCAATCATGTTCGGCCCAAGATCCGAAGCAGCCCGCTCCCTATATTCAAAGCGACAGTATCAGCATCCATCCGTGTATATATCGAAACCATGGACCAACTCTTCCTTCAGCTTTTCCAAGGCTCGGGCTTCAAAGGCAGGTTTGAACGTCATATATCCTGTAGACTGCATTAGCGATGATTCTTGCGCAACGCAGAGATAGGGTCACCGTTGAGTACGCCGAAACCAATGACCAGTGCCCAACCAGCCATTCGATAACTCATTTTCCGTCCACTTGAAAGACTCTTTGTTGGATATTGCCTTTGAGCAGAGGATACACAGGGTTCGCACTTCGCAGGCGCCTCAAAGACCAGAACCAATCGGAAGAATATCGGATAAATCCCGCAGCCTCGCCTTGGCGCCCATGGCGCCGTCATTATTCTAGCCTCGACGCGTCGTTTTGACATTCACGACGCGACAGAAAAGCCAAAGAGCTTTCACCAATATCGACAGTTGTTGGCACGCATCCCATAAGAGAACATGGAAAGCAGTAGCGATGGCAAATTGGAGGGAGTGTGGCTACGTGCCAGACTCTGACGACGATGAAGAGGAAGACAGCAGAAATGACGGTCTCAATATCGACCATGCGAATGGGACAACTTTCGACACGGCGCTAGCCAACGTGCAGGCTGTGAAAGATGGCGACACTCTCTCTGGTGGTGACAGAAGTCCAACGAAGCAAAGCAATAACGTCTCTGACGAGCATGATGCCTCTCATCACCCCCGGCCGAATCACAAAGCCAAGTTGCTGCATGCTGGTGCTCAAATTAGCCACCCAAGATTGTCGCAGACCTCTAACGCCCATTTGAATTCAACTGCTGCGAAGCTCGAAGCTGAAATCAAGAAAGGTCTGCAGGCGGTACAAGATGTCCTTGGGTCGGTGGTCCCAGATTTCGACAGTGACAGTGACAGCCCTCTTTCTTCGGTTCCAACATCGGTGCATACTTCACCCCAGAAAAATCAGTCAGGGTTACCACGACCAGCCGGTCTTCCCGAGCTGGTGGTCCCTCAGATATGTGCCAACGACAGATTGTCGCTGGACCCATTTGCCGACGACGCTTCGCGGAGACGGTCCTTCCGACCTCGTGCTCCAATCCAGCTCCATCCATACGCAATTGAGGATGCAAGGTATAGACAAACTTGGAGAGCCAGGGGCTTGCACCCTGTCCGCGCTCCAGACTTGCCTTCAAACCTGGGAGAATGCACCAAGGACGATTCTCAAGAGACCACAGCATATGAGAGCAGTCAGGTGGACAATTCTGAAGGTCAAGTTCCACAACCAAGTCCTGCCTCTGTCGGGTATGGTGATTCCGAGGAACCTGGAAATGACGAATCACAAAGCCCAATACGTGGAACGCGCTCCCGTGTATCTCCTGTGGCAGATTCCGACGAGGATCTCCCAGATTTGTCAGATATCTTCAAAAACAGACCTCCGACCTCACAAATACCGAGGCTGAAAAGGCGAAAGCGTGTGTCAGTACCACAAACACGAACGGGAGCTGGCGGATTTCGCGTCTATGAGCTTCCTGACGAGGGCCAAGCTCTCAGAAAGGCATCCAAAGACGATGGTGCGAGTTCCACTATTCCACTTTCCCCGCCTCGATCTGGTGATGGACTGTCTTCGCAAACCGGTGAGGCGGACAATAATCCGGCGGCACCAATCGAAAATGGTACACCAGTCGTGCTCCCAACTCCAGTGTTGTCCTCAGATAAGCAGACTTCGAAGAGGACTTTCAGCGAATTCCTCGATTTTTCTGATTCAGAGTCTGATGTCATCAGTATTAGTGATGGACCTCCTGAAGTAGAGGAGCCTTTGTATGAGAGGTTTCAGGCTGTCCGACTAATGCGGCGCAAGATCAAAGGAGTTTTACCGGCATCCTGGCTCAAGCTGGATATGAAGCAGCAACGGAGGGACAACCCTGCTGCCAGAAATCAAGCTCAATCTTCTATCAACAGGGCTTTGGAGAGAGGGATAGCGCAACACATCTCAACATCTGGGGGTCGAGCCAGAGATAGGATTTTGAACGTTGAGGTCGCTGATCTAGAGGCTTCGTCAGAGAGCGAGTCCATTGCCTCGGCCGACGATGGGATGGAGGGGATTGAGTACCAGGAACCGAGTCCCTTCGAGGAGGATGCTGTTGAAGACGATGCCATCGATGCGATGCTGGCTCCCCAACGGAGAAGATTATACACCGGAGGAAGACAGCAGCGATCGAAAGGTAAGAGGCCCAGGAAGAATACCTTTGAAGTCCACAAGACCCTTCCTGGCCAAGGACCCTCCTTTCGACGTCCAAGAACAGCTGTTGCCTCCTTGTCAGACAGTGGGGCGCGGCCGCGCAAGAAGATCAAACGCAAGCACAGGAGGCCACAGATGACGATCTTGGATGCTCCAGGTTTCAGGGACGAAGGCGTGCCACGCTTTCTGAGGATCGCATTGAGACGAACTGTGCATCAAAGATCAGCACGGGAACAAGACCCCTCAAAGAAGGTGTTCAAGTTGGCAACAATGAGAGATACGGAGGATGTGAATGGAGTTGTAAGGAGTTGGCGACGTGATCACGGTCAGGCACATCGTTCTGTCAAACCCAACGACACCATAATGGCTCAGCCGCCCAATTTGGTCGACATGATGGTTGGAATTTCTGCCGCTCCAACACGAATTTCTCACGACGACATTCACTTTTCGGAGGCGTATCTCAATTCATTGAAGCGAGGCACCAACACAACCCTCGAGCGCATTCGCAATCACCAAATTCAAAGCAATGGATTAAGAGACGAATCAATTGGTCTCTTTACTGATCGTCCTTCTGCAATTCTCGACTATTTCAAACCTCGAGCTTCGCGTCGTCCTCGTCTCAACTCGCCTCAAAAATTCCCAATCTCCGACCACAACAACCACAATCTCGAAGCACCAGCTCTTGAACCCTCCAAACCTTTCGCAGTCCAAAAGCGCGTGCCTCAGAAAGCACGATCCAGACAACAGCGGCTTCGTCAGAACCTCTCACATAGAGCATCTACAAAACCTTCAGTGCAGGCGGCTTTCCCAATGTCTCGACCTGCAGAGTATGTACCTTCCAATGTATCACAACGAATTGAGGCTGACTGAAGCTCCAGAAAGCGAGGTTTTTCTCCACCCTCTTCACCACTTCCTCAGTCGCGTCCTCTGAAGTAAGTAGTAGTCCTTTGATAAGTCAACCGTACGACGAGACTGACCTTTGGTCCTAGGAAGCAACGTCCCGTCTCGCTCGGCACGCGTAACGCCAATAATCCCGACCAGCATAATGTCCTGTGCCTTCAGAGTCTGAGACTGGAAGATGACAACGACGCTATCTTCTGTGCGATGCAGTATCCTCCAGGATCAAGCTCGTTGCCGATTAGTCCAACGCTACCTTACTCTACACCTGTCCGCGTTCGTCTCCTAGACGCGACAAAGTCCTCTATGGATGATACCACTCATCTATTCCAACCAGGAGATTCCTACAATTCTATCACTACTGCTGAATTTGAACGCACTCTCAGTGATACTGCTGGTTGGTCCGCAGAAGTAGAAGGCATCATTCGAGCTGCTTTTAAGAAAATCTTCGAGATCACCTGTGGCGACGCAGCCACGCCTGGCACCACACCAGAAGAAAGAACACGTCTCTTGAGTCAGGCCGCAGACTCGGTCGACACCATCATCACTTATGTTAATGAGAGCATCTCATTTTCGAATAATCAAGAGCTGGAAGCCTTCATCCGGTTGACATCAGAGTCAATGGAAAATCTATGGCAGGGCATCGGTATATGCGAAAGCGCCACGACCGAACCTCGGGTCTCCCAGACATTGAAGGTGCTCAATGGTTGCCTCCTTTTGGGATATCAAAATCATCGACTTGCTACAGCCACAGGTTTCCCTGAAAAGATTCGTGCCAAGAGCTTAAAGATTTGGCAGAACATTGCCAGCCTTGCTTGGGAGCTTGCTTTCCGGAAACATAACATCGCTCGACTCTTCGGCAACATTGCCGCTCAATTTGGAAGTGACTCTGTATCAGATGGACATCGAATCATTCTCACAACGGAAATGGAGACCATCTTCCTCATACACAACCTTGGTCCTCATCAAGACTGGAGCGTCTACATGCAAACAATCTTCTCCAGCCATGGCAAGCCAGGAATGCTCTTTGAGTCTCAGGCCGAGTCACTCGCTTATACGGTCATCGTACTGGGCTGTATCCTTTCCATCGCAGGACCAGACGGGCTCACGGAACATGTCGACACTAACTGCGCGAGTTCTCTTGGATCCTCTCTTCTTCGTCTACTTCCGAATCAAATGTCCGAGTTCCTCAAGTTTTTTGTCGAGAAGAAGGCCTCTTGCACCACTCAGTCTGAAATTCAGGCGCGACAAGTGAGAAAGCTGGAGCAGTTCGGCCTGGTCATGTTTCAATGGTGCTTCGTTCTCGTACGAAATCTCAAAACCGACATCGCCGACAATCTGCTAAAACAGATGTTCAAATATTACTCGGACAAGACAAACAACATGCTTGAACTCTTTACGTCCAAGAATACCAATGGAACGCCCGCATTCCTCGAATGTCTACAGCGTGCTGAGCAACTGAAACTGGAAGACACAGACACAGACTTCGACATTTTCCTGAAGCTCACAGCGATAACCTTGGCCGCTCAACCTCGACCAGACTCCGAGATTGAAGAACATATTCGGAAACTGGCCCTCCGTAAACGCTCTCTCTTGTTCATCTTATTACCCAACAAGGGCCGCGACACTTTCGATGACAATGCAGTGCCTGTCAACGAAGACGACCCACTTCCAGACCTTGATCTGACTGCAATATCAAACCGATACACTCTGTTTTCGACTCTGTATCACTACGCACCTGTCGGCTTCAAACCAGAGATATCGCAGATTCAGGGCTATATCGACTTTCCTACGGCTCATGATGCAGTACGCCAGGTGATTCTACGATGTTGGGAAAACATGTCCAAGTCAACTCTCTCCCGGCCGGCAGGTCGTGCGGAGCTTCTAGAACTCGGTGAATGGCTCCTGGCTATGTTCTTTTCCATGTGCACTAAGCTTTCGCAAATCCCAAAGATTAACAATGGCATGCACGAGGCCGAGAGGCGTGTACACCAAGCGAATCGAAGAACTACGGTGGACCGTGTCTTACACATCGCTGAGCGATATGCTACGGCAATCGATCTCTGCACCAGCCAAGACCAGGTTTCATACCTTCTGACCGGTGAAGAAATAAACGCGCTGATGACTTCCTGCTATGATGACCAACGCCTAGGCGATGTTGTGGTGAGCGGCATCTTTGACATTTTCACATCATATGTCAAGAAAGGCCTTGGCAATGTCAAAGATGAAATCCTGTCCTTCCGACGAGGTATTAGTGGTGTTCTTGTGGACCAACTCAACCGTACTGATTCCATCGACGATATCCTGTTGATGTCCTTAACCGAAACCTGGTATGCGATCGCAAAGTTGTTGGTGGAAGGTGGCCATAACCACTGGGACGAGTTTCTGAATACTTGGTCTCTGTTTTCCTTCCCACAAATTGCCGACACTGAAATCGGAAGGCAATGCCAGGTGTTGTTGCTGAGCAAGATCGCGACAGATAGGACCGTCGTCCTGGCCGATCCTTATCCGTTCATCCATAACTGGCTGTGGTCAATTCTGAAGCCGGAAGCGAAGATCAGGTTCGAACACTATTTGACGAACCAGCTCATGGAAACTATACCAGATGAGTTCGGTCTTGACGACTTGCGCCGAAACATTTCGAACGGAACCGCCAGGTACTTCCTCGACAGGTCTGATATCACCAAACATCGTCTCTCAATCGTCCACCATATCATACGCTATGCATACAGCGTCCAAGATGTTACTGATCCATCTTCTAATGGAAAGCTCACGAAATATCAATGGGACCATTTGATGACCATGATTTCAAGAGCCATGAAGCAAACATGGGAGCAGTTGGACGGAGGAGCAAGACCTGAGTGGACCACGTTCATGCAGAAAGTGATATTCCGACTCGGCATGTACAAAGGCCCAGGCTTCGAAATCGACCCATGGTTCGTTGATCTGAATCAAGAGGGATTCGAGGACAAGGTCTTCCATCTTGAGCGCCTCTTCATTCGTCTGCCGGGTGAGGAAAGACCTGCCCGTTACGATAGGCAGTACTTGATCAAGGCTTTCCGTACAGCATGCGAAATGGCCTGGGCTAGCGACAAAGAAGAGCAATTCTTCCAACATCTGGTTGCGATATTCGCTGCTCACGATTCAGGCTACATTGAGAATGATGGCAGCTTCTTGCTCGACATTCCAGAACAATTGGACTTCATGAAGGCAATCTTCCCGGCATACATTGAGCGAGCATTCAGCGAGCACCTGCCCACGATACTTTTGGCGGTCCCCATCCTGAACGCAGCCGCACAAATCCTCACAGGTCTAGAAATGCGTGTTGACCTCGATAATCAATCGCATATGGAATCTTTCGCAGAGCTCATTGTCACCTTGATGGGAGCAGCAGTTACAGCAATGCAGTACAACGGCTGCGAGCCTCTGTACGAATATGGCTGGGAAATCGAGACAGTCGCTTGTCTTGGCCGTCTCTGCTTCCTCGGTTGTGGCCGCTGGGCCCACCTCCATCGTCTCTTTCCCTCCTCTGGCATCATCCTCGCCTTACAGCCATACGTGCAAGCGTATGCATATTACGCCTACGAGTGGATCTGCTCTGCTCTGGCGCTGGAGGAGGGTGCCCGGCCTTCGGACCCAGAGATCTGGGCGAAATGGCTAAAGAGCCCGGAGAGAGCGGCAGAGGACTTCGGCTTCGCGCTGCCAGAAATGGCGCTCCCAGAGCATATCAATGCTCTCAAGGCTTTTGCGGTCGACGACCTCGAGTCGTCTGGGCGACGCGACTGGACCCAAACCGAGTTTGGGAGCTGGGGCCCCGTCTGGGAGTTTACGCGCCCCGGATTGGGGTTAGCGACGAGGGAGCCGCGGGTAGCGGTCCAAGACGACTTCATGGTGAATGAAGTTCGTGGGGTGTTGGCGGAGTTGGTGCGGGCGTTGACCCTCTTGGGGGTCATGGAAGAGCCTTTGTGAGGGGCGGTCGCGTGTGCTGGTGTTTTGTCTTCCTTCTTTTGGTAGAGTAAAAAGAGTCACAATCAAACATGTCAGAGTAATGCTTTGTTCCCAGGCGCACGCGTTTCTTGCCTCCATCGTCCTCTTTCGAATGGACGTCCGCCATTGCCCGTTGATGCTTTTGCGCACCTTGAAGACAATGCGTGCTTACGATGGACCGCGATAACAAGAGCCCAGAATTCAATTGGGTAAGATCTAGGGTACTTCGACAGCCTGTTTTGAATGCTGTCGCTGAACTGCCGAAATGCGTCTTTGACAATGTGACATGGTTCTTGTCTGTGAGGACGGTCGCCGGACAGGTGATGCCATGCACAGGCGGACCATTCTGACAGCCTGTTTTTGAAACCCCAGCCTCGTCCAGCCTCGTCCAGCCTCGTCCAGCCTCGTGGCGGCTTGGCAAGGCTGCATAGGGTTCGGGGGGTTTGCCACGGGCCACGGGCCATGGGGGCGGAGACGTTGCTGGGCAACTTCCGGACGGTAAATAGAAGGTTGGATGGAGGATGGTGATCCATCCAACCACCACCGCTACCAGCCTCTCGATTCGTCGTGACTTTTCTTAATTCCCTTGTCAGCACGAGCATTCCACTCTTTGCAGCTCCGTATCATCGTCTCATCGTCGCATCGTCCCCTCGTTAGCAACCACATTCCAGCAAAAGCATGGGTGTCGAACCTCCATTCATTTACGACCGACCTTCGACATACACCTTTGGGAGCCCAACTGATCGTGCCTTCAACCCCAAGGCTGCGACCCATGCTTCCTGGACTCCCAAACCTCCGAAGCCCAAGCAAGATGGTCCACTGGTTGATTTCAACAAGCATCCTGACTCTGTATGTTGTTCTGAATCCGAGCTACTCACTCCTCGACTAACCATGTTCGCAGTACATAGTCGTTCCTTACGGCAACCTCAATGCCACACCGATGCCTCCCAATACCCACAAGAAGATCGTCCGGGTCCGATACGTCCAGCTCTTCCTGAGAGTTTGTGCTTTGATCGGAGCTCTGGGCTCCCTCTTCTGCGTTATCGCCATCAACAAAACCACCGCAACTGTGGGATGGATCATTCGCGCTGCTCCTGCCGTTGCCATTCTTCACACCGTCTATGCGGTCTTCCACCTCGCCCGGGCACCTACAAGCCGCACTCCTGCCTCCACAGCAAGCTATATGATCTTTGCTGCCATGGTGGACACGGGGCTGATCCCTTTCTGGGTCTTCTGCGCATGGGTGGCACAGGCAGACTACTCAAGAAATGAATACGGATGGAGCACGTTGTTCAATGATTCGGATCTGTCATACAAGATCATCAACGCTTTCTTCCTTCTCTCGTGCGTCGAGGGTGGTCTGATGGTGGTGTCTCTGTTCCTGGACATCTACCTGGGTGTGAAGTTCAGGCAGATCTCCAAGTTGCCGCCGGACATGAATCCTCTGGAAGCGAACCTCACATCCAGGCACAAGCGGAATAAATCGGGAATAACGGAGAAGAACATGAGATCGTCGGCGCTGACCGCGAAGCGGGAGTCGCAGGTTTCAGGTTTCAAGAGAATTCCTTTCATCCATACCCGCACCGACTCCGCCGACAGCGTCACACTCTACGGCGGCGACAGTGCCCGCAACTCCAGGGTAGAGTTCCGCAAAGAGCTGGATGAAAACGAAAAGGACCCGTGGCGGTGGTCACGAAACTCGTCTCCCGAACGACCTGGCTCTGCGGTCAATCCTTCTCCAAATTCCCGGTCGGCTGGCAGTGGACTTGACTTCCGCCCTGAACGCTCGTCCATGCTGAAGGAGAAGCCATCTCGTCCATCTTCGTGGCTCTCATACCTCGACTACGAAGGCGTGCCCAGCACGATGAGCGAGGAGGCTTCCGCAGAACTGGACCACGAAGTCCGGCCCATATCCCCTGTGTCTGCAATATCCGCTGTGGACATAACTTCCGACAAGATTCACCGTGAACGGGAGAACTGGTACCATGGCTCTCCGGCACGCAACAGCCAGGTTCATTTGCCCCCACGTGCAAACAATAGTCAGATTAACATCCACTCGAACAACACGAGCAAGTCTAATTTGCATCAATCACTTCCTATGCCATCTCCGGAGTCTCCGCCAAGGAAGAGAAGCCGTGAGCCTCTGGGAATGAATCCTCCTACGCCTAAGCGCTCATCTTTCAACGATGAAAATGCATTCGTCACACCAGTAAAGGATTCCCGCATCCAGCATGACGGTAACCGAGCCGCCCTCCACGATGCAGACGGCAACGCCCAGGGACCCCTCAGAGGTACCCCTGCCAATAGCAGACCGTCCAGCTTCGTCGGCAGTGGAGGTAAGGCACGCTTCTATGGGGATCTTCGCCAGTCCATTGGCACTGTATCTCCTTCTCACGAGGAAACCAACAAAAAGGCAGATATTCAGGTCAGCATCAACGAGGTTCAGGACATGTATGAACGAACTCGGACAATGCAGACAGAAAGCGACTATTCCGCCAACTTCGAGGTGTACTCCACATCCGACGACGAAGGCGAAGGAAGATTGAGCGCCAACATCACCAACGTGCAGGCGGCTTCTCCGTCACAATGGAATGGTGCCAGACAGACCTCGAACTCGACTGGGTTCGACATGAACAGTGGGTATGCGGGTCTTGGTGCAGAATTTGGTAAGGGGATGGGCAGGCGGAGAGACGTCAGCGGCAAAGTAGCTGAAGAGGGCAGAGCGAGCCCGACGAGAAACGGGGCAGCGGGATGGGAGAGGTTCAAAGGCTTGTGAGTTGCGCTTTCAGGGCTGAGTGAATTGGACGAATTGGACGTGATCGAGGAGATTTAAATGCAATGCGATGCAAAAGCGACTGATTGAATGATATGTACTGGGTTTGGAGTATGCCATGGATAGATACGGGAAGCAAGCAATGTGAGCAAACACGAAGGACCTCGTAAAGCCTCTGGGATCTGGCTATCGACAGCAAGCAAGCAATGCTTGAGTGCTTGACGGGTTTTGGGATGACGGGACCTGGCTTGGACGGATGGACTGGAAATTCTCCCTCTATATAGATTCCCACCAAAAATTCGCACGACGATATTAATTGATTACCTTTGATGCATCCCCTCTTCTCCTTTCACTCCTAAACGCGGTAGGTAGGCACATATTGTATGTATAATTAATGATTGACAGAGTGACTGATCGGATATCAAGGGGCGTATGATATACGGAGGCCATCGAGTACGAGGTACATAGGTGACTAAGTCCATGGGTAGATGATGGGTACCAAGCTACTACTGACTGTACTCGCTACCAAGTAGATAGACAGGATCTACACCTCATGCATGGGTACTACTTATCGAACATTCCATCCTCCATACCGAGCACAGAGTAAAAGTCCACGTGTGTACCATATTCTCCGCCGCTATTATACTCTCGCGTCCTCTTCCATTCCATTCTCCTAGCTTTGTCCATGGAGAAGTTTTGAGTATTGACTTTCGGCGCGCCGGTGTCTTCCCGGGTCCGCTCCACACGTCCACGTACAACTCTCGCTCACTGGTGCCGGGACTATTACTATCGCCGAGTCCAAGTCTACGTATCCCTGGATACGGGTTCTCTTACTCTGAGTGTCTGACTCGTAAGAATTACCTACCTAAGGTAGGTGCCAGTGGTGCTTGCTTTGCATTAGGTACCTACCTACCTATACAGTACATAATCGGGTACCTGGGGATTCGGTACCGCGTACTCGGTACGTAGGTAGGTCCTCAGGGCTTTAATCAGACGTAGAGACGTCCCACCCCTCCGCATCATCCACATACACATTGATGACCTTGGGGGGTATTACTTTTTCGTGCCTCCGAGTGAATACGAAGTAATATGGGGTGTGAAATGCGGTGCTCCACATGGTGGGAGGGGGATGGAAGTTGTGCAATGAAAGAGAGAGCGAAGGGAAGACAGTAAGAGAGTGAAGGGAAGGTGCATCTTTGTGCTTACTATCGGTACACGACATGGCCTTTATTTCTCTATAGAATGGCTGCGGGAAATCAGAGATAGGTCAAGAGGGGCGAGGAGGGCAGTGCATGTTCTCTCCATCTCCTACTTCCCGGTCTCTATGATAAATGGTATCGTATCATCGTTGGTGATCACAAATTTGAAGTCCTTGAAGTCCCATATGGCTTTTTGCGATCAAAAGAGCGCGGAGGCACGTCGAGAATTAAGAATTAGTTAATTGTGCTTCCTCGGCCGCAGGATGACATTATAGTTGCGATCCGGCTTGAGGATGGTGAACTCCTTGGTGCCCAGAACTAGGTTGGGGTCTTCGAGCTCGATATCGTACCTCAACAACAAGGTCGCGAGCATCTTGATGATGAACTGGTTGGCCACGTTTCTCCCGATGCATTGTCTGCTCCCGAAGCCGAAGCCCAGGAAACATGTCTTCATGGTGGCCAGGTCGGCCTTCTCGTCCAGCCAGCGGTCCGGATTCCATGTGTTGGGATCGCGATAGACGATGGGATTGCGTCCGATGGTGGCCGCGGGCACCCCGACGTCGACGTTGCCGGGGACGTAGACGCCGCAGATGACGGCTCCCTGGGGGGGAGTCATACGTGGCATGGCGTAGCCGATGGGTGGGTGCATCCGCAGGCACTCGATCTCGGTGGCCTCGAGGAGGCTCAGCTTGTTCAACATCGAGAAGGGCAGAGGGGTCGAGGCGTCCAGGTTGTCCGGGAACATGTCTTCGAGTTGTTGAATGATGCGCTGCTTGACAGAAGGGTTCTTGCTGAGGTAGTAAGTCATCCAGTTCATGGTAACACTCCCTGTGCTTGCTCCGGCGACCATCAATGAGGAGGCCTCGGCCCTGAGCTCTGGGAAGTCCATGCGCCCTCCTGTCTCCGGGTCCTGTGCCTCGATGAAGCGCTGCATGATATCCTGCCTCGGCTTGCCACCAAGAGGCACTTGGTTACGGTTATCCTGAAATCGTTTCTCCAGTGCCTGCCTGGCATACTCCAAGTATTCAAGTCGCGCTCTGTACAGCGACTGAATGTATGGTGACGGCACCATGCTCAGGATTTTGACATTGTACTTGCCGAAAGGTAGCATGCCGCTGAGGTTGGCAAACCGCTGAGAAAGTTCCACGAGCTTGGAATATTTGACCGGCTGGCCACCCTGGATGGCGCCGAAGTTGTGGCCAAAGGCGAGTTCGCCCATCAGGTCCATGGTGAAGAGCTCGAACCAGAAATAAATGTCAAAGGGTTGCTGGGTTCTTGCAAACTCGTCCATTTTCTGCAGGAAGATCTCCATCACCGAGTCGACATAGGGCTCGAACGAATACAGAGACTGCATGCTGAAGCCGTGGGATACCATACGCCGCTTCCGTGCGTGATTCTTTTTGGACCGCGTCGAGAACAAGGATTCCCCTGTGGTCGAGAAGGCATCGTACCAGCTTGACTTGCCAAACTCTTCTGCTCCCTTTCCATGGCCTTGACATATAGGTCAGCTCGACGCTCCCATGACTGGCATCAGCGAGGTTCACATACCATAGATGGCCTTGACCGCATCTGGGTGGTTAAATGACACGGAATTTGGGCGTGTCCTCACAGCAACAGAGTCTGGATATTGGGCAAAGAGTTCGCTGGCCCATTCAGCTCGTCTTTTGTCCTTCAAGGCATTTGCCTCGGGGATATCGGAGATTCTTGTCATCCATGGACCGGGGATCTTGCTCATAGGCGAGAAAAATAGCCGATATATCAAAAGGGCGGGATAGTACGCCACAAGGAGAAGCACCGGCCCCCATAAGAGGATCGGGCGTACAACAGGAGATGTGTCAGCCATTGCGCTGGTTCTGCTACTAGGACTCGTGATTCAGTGTCCACGCGGGGCGTTACTTATTTAAGGGAACCTTTGGGAAGCTGCTGAAAGGGCGTCACCAGCGTTGTGCACACAGTTGACATAAGTCGACTCTTCTCCCAATTATACCCTGTGCCACTCATCAGCGGCAGGTTTCGGCAGTGCCAACGACATGTCAGACTCAAGTGGGATTTCCCCGCAAACGATATCCAGCCCCACGACTCGAGCGAGATTTCCGGTCGATGTTTGGAGAGCCACACGCGGAGTTTGACCGTCGTTTGTGGGGTCTTAGACTCCCGGCATGGCCAGGGAACCATGGGGAAACTCTCAAGTCCGGCCCCAAGCAATAGGTCAGGGTCAAGCAGCGCCTAAGCCTTTAGGCCGATTCCTTCAGATGAGAAAAGGGGGGAGTCATTGGTACTTTCCTCCCAGCTCCACAAGAGCCAGCGCAACCGGATTCATGGACCATCTAGATCCCAGCCTCAAACCCCAAATAGGCGTAGAGTAGCGTTCGACTGCGTCCTCCACATGGCGAAGATGGGAGAATAGCGGCCATGGGGTTGATCAGAGCCACTTTTGGGACCATGGCCAGCTGCTGGGACCAGATACAAAAAGTCATGGCTCGTCTCACCCACCGTCCCCAGATTTGTTTTTCATCCACTTTCTCCTACCACATTGCTCCAGGTTGACTCCATCAGTAAACGTGCCCACAATGCAGGAAACCGCTGAGCACAAGGCAGCCATGGAGGCTGAGATCGAGGTTGCCCATAGTGAGGGCCGCGATCTTCCAACAAAGGGATATGAAGATCCTCACAAAGCTGCGCTCGAGGACAATCCCGAGCACGCTGAGAAGCTCAGTCTCTCTGTCATTCTTTCGGCTCTTTTCTTGGGAACCTCCTTCACGGGACCTATCATCTTCGGCTTCATCCTCGCTACCCCCATTTTGGTACAACTGAGTGAAAAGTTGGGAGGTTCAACCATCGACTTTTGGATACCTTCTGGCTGGGGTGCAGCAGCAGCAGTTGGCTTTTCCATTGCAGGAAGGCTGTCAGACGTCTTTGGTCGTCGATACGTTATCCTTGTTGGGCAGCTTCTCACAGTTGTAAGTTCATTTTCCGCAGGAACAATCCGATATTGATATTGAATGATGTTGCTTGATCTTTGTCTTCCCTCGTGCTCCTCGTGAGCTCAGCGCTTTTGGCCTGAAGTCTGTCTCTGGACATGAGTGCTGATTTTGACTTCGATATAGATTGGTGGTGCAGTTGCATGCAGTGCACAGTCGATGAATCAACTCATTGCCGGCGAAGTTATCCTCGGAGGTTCCATAGGAACGGTGTCAGTCGCCTATGCTGGTGAGCCTCCCTCAGTACCCAGTCCGCTGCAAAGTCTCAGTCCCTAACCTGTTTGAATAGGCATCTCTGAAATATTGCCCAACAAATACCGCGGCGTTGGCCTCGCCTGGACCGAACTCAACCTTGCAAGTTGGGCCATCGCGGGAACACTTCTTGCCAACGCCCTGCTCTCCCATGCCAGCTGGCGGGTGATGTACTATATCGCGATGGGATACGGTGGCTTCTCACTTGTCGGCACATTCCTCGTCTACTTCCCACCCAGTCATCCGCGTCCTGATGGCTTGACCAAGTGGCAAGAATTCAAGCAACTCGACTTCATCGGCACCGCCCTCTTCGTCTCCGGTCTTGCTGTCTTCCTGTACGGCCTGAACTCCGGCGGTAACACCTATCCCTGGACACATGCGGGAACCTTGGCTCCTTTGATCCTCGGACTGTTGGTGTTTTTGGGATCTTTCGTGTACGACTTTACCATGGCGAAAGATCCTCTGTTCCCGTGGTACCTGTTCAAGAGTTTCCGATCATTCTCGTCACTACTTATGCTTGTCTTCGTGGCCGGCATGGTGTTTTTCGCGGCCTCTGCACTCAACGCGCAAACAATCCTTTACCTCTATACCGCTGATCCGATCAAGATCGGTGTATACTCCATCCCCTCTGGGTAAGTCAGTCCCTTGTCGAGATGCGAGTGTCGATGTTAACAAGCTATTAGTGCCGGTCAGCTCGTGGGTGGTGTTATCATTCCAGGCCTTGTCCACTATATCAAGCACGTCCACATCCAGCTCACCTTTTCCGTTTTCATGCAGACCCTCTTTTTCGGTCTGGCTGCGCTCATCACACCGCACAACATCAACTGGGTCATGGCCTGCCAGTTCCTTGCCATGCTTCCATTCGGTTGGATCACGCTAAACTGCTACACAACAGCCTCGCTCCACGTGCCCCAGCGAGACCTGGGGGTTGCTATCGGGCTCATTGGCACCTTCCGGTCTCTTGGAGGAGCAGTCGGTTCCGTCATCTTCTCGTCTATCTTCAATCAGATCTCAGCCAAGCAAGTCCCCCGTCGCATCGCGGATGTCGCCCTTGCGGGCAACGTATCGGCCAAGACTCTCCCAGACTTGATTGAAGCAGTTTCCTTGACGCTGGTCGGCGTTCCTGATCAGGCCGCAACCGTCCCTAGCGTGTCGGCAACGGTTTTCTCCAAGTGCGTAGAGGCAGCTCGGCTTGGATATGCCTACGGTTTCCGAATCACTTGGCTATCATCGATCCCCTTCGGTATCATCGCCATGCTTTGTGCCATGGCGGTTCGTGATCCTTCCAAGTACTTCACAAACCATGTTGAGGTTCACCTCGAGAAGGAGATTGGTAACAAACCGGCTAGGGAGACGAAGGAGGTTGAGATGGAACATTCATAGAAGTTCACTTCGGAGGCATGTTATTATCTGTGCATTCTGTGTCAGTAGGACCTCATCAGGGATGAGCAAAGCGAGGGCCAGAGCAACGCTCGCTGTTACCATTCAACATAAGTGGCAAGGGAAGAGAATGTCTCAATAGAGCAATAGTGCACTTTTCCTCCTTCTTCTCCATGCCCATCACCAGCGGCAACCTCCGGGATCTTGGGTGACATCTTGCGGCTGTGGCTGCACCCCACCTTCGTTGAAGGGGTCTGTACCGTTCCACTTGCACTGTTGTGGCGTAGAAACACCTACCTGCTTGTACTCGGTAGGCAGCGAGGTAGGTCAGAGCTTTGAACGAGGGAGTGGCTGGGCCGTAGAGGTGGATAGTGAGTGCTGAGAGGTGTAAGAAAAGTGAAGCAGCGAGATGTGACCCTGGTCTCTGGCTCAGGGACGAATCGACCGCAACGAATGACACCCAATAGATGAAGGACAGCAAGACGCCCTCCCCCCTCGCCCCGCTCCGCAAACAAAAAAAATAAAAAAAAAAGTTTTAGTGAGAAGTAACAACGCGGTTCAACACTCTCAAGATAGTCACACGACGAAGGACTTGGGCGTTTGACTAACTAGTGCAGCCGTTACTTGAACTTCTTGCTGCCCACCCTATTCAAGCAGTTGGCTGCTCTTCTTCCTCCTTCAATTCTTTTTTTCCTGTCCCTTCTTCACTTGTACAATTCCTTGTACTCTTCTTGCTTCTCCAACGTCCATTGACGGCCTGCTGTCGCCGTTACCCCGCGTTCACACACTCGTTTCAAAGTTTTCACTTTGCTCTTTCCAAACTCAGTTGCAATGATGTCCGAAATCACGCATCCTACTATCAAAGGTATGCTTTTTCTGTCGGTTACTCTGTTGCGAATCCCGTAACACATCCTAACTCGCCTCTTCGTCGTTGCAGATGGCTGGTTCCGAGAGATCTCGGACATGTGGCCTGGCCAAGCCATGATCCTCAAGGTCAACCAGGTGCTTCACCACGAAAAATCCAAATACCAAGATGTCCTAGTGTTTGAGAGCAGCGACCATGGCACCGTGCTGGTCCTCGACAACGTCATCCAATGCACCGAGCGGGACGAGTTTTCTTATCAAGAGATGATTACACATTTGGCCATGAACTCTCACCCGGATCCAAAGAAGGTCCTCGTCATTGGAGGCGGCGATGGGGGCGTTCTGCGAGAGGTGGTCAAGCACGAATCCGTGGAGAAGGCCATTCTGTGCGATATCGACGAAGCTGTCATCCGCGTCAGCAAGAAATATCTCCCTGGCATGTCAATTGGGTTTCAACACCCCGCGGTCGAGACCTTTATCGGAGACGGCTTCAAATTCCTCGCAGACCGCAAGAACGAATTCGACGTCATCATCACTGACAGCAGTGATCCCGAGGGTCCCGCAGAGACTCTGTTCCAGAAGCCTTACTTTGAGCTGCTCTATGGAGCGTTGAAAGACGGTGGTGTTATAACTACCCAAGGTTGTGCGCACCCATCTCCCTACACATCTCCTTGAGCTCCCAAAATGCTCTTGTTCCTACCACCCAATGGAGAAAGAAACCCGCTAACACTTTGGGACACTCTAGCTGAGAACCAATGGCTCCATTTGCCGCTGATCACCAAGTTGAAGAAGGAATGCAAAGAAGTCTTTCCCGTGGTCGAATACGCCTACACAACGATCCCCACCTACCCTTCGGGCCAGATTGGCTTCATGGTTTGCTGCAAGGACCCCAACCGAAATGTCAAGGAGCCGCTGCGATCGTGGAGCCCCGAGGAAGAAGAGAAGCTGTGCAAGTACTACAACAAAGAGATCCACCGAGCGAGCTTCGTCCTACCCACGTTCGCCCGAAAGGCGTTGAAGTAGTCTTTTAAACACAACTTACACCAGGCTTTTTTCGGGTTTACAGGCATGATACCAGGTTAACTTTGGGCTTTTTCTCTTTTTTTAGTGTGTGGTCCGCAGGCGGCTGTTTTTAGTCTGTCATCCAAATAGACAGGTTGAGGGGAGGAGACGCACACACTCATATGGGGGCAGCATAGAGAAATGAGATCTGATACGAACGAGGCTTAACGAACCAACTTTTAACGATAGAAGGGAACGTCTTTGCTTTTGATCAGCGATTCCATACCTAGGTGCCTACCTAGGTAGGTAGGTATTTTCGGTCTCGGGACAAGCTGCCCAGCCAGTGGGCGGCGTCTGCAGCTGGAAGGCGAAATCATTTCAACAATTCGCAATGACTTCACAGTGGACCACGAAATGATGTCATTATCATTTTTCGTGACAGCCCGCGAGCCTTCGTTTCGATGATGATCATTGCAGAATCCACGGCATGGTATTTCAAAGTGTCTCGTGAGACTTTTCTTCTTTTCATTCTTCGTTCAATTAAACCAGTCTTCACCTAGATACTTCAAGGAACAACCCCAAGTTACAAGTCGAAGCTTCAAAATCAATTCATAAACTACACTCACAAGCACAACCTCCCACCAGCAGTCCAAGTCCACTACCAAAACATGTCTTTCACAGCAAACCCCCGCGCCCCCAAACCCGATCCCAACAACATCCCCCAAGAACCCACGGGCCCCGTGGCCTCGGACTCCCTGGCTGCCGAATCGCTCAAGAGCCAAGGGGCGTTCTCGGAAAACAGCTCTGCGGCCCCCTTGGGCGTACGAGGCGATCAATCCACGCTCAACAACACAGACACCTCGGGAGCAACGACGCTGCCTCCAGCCGAGACGGGCACCGAGCGTGAGGTCAGAAATGCCCTGGGCGCAGGACCCGATGAGAAGGGCGCTGCGGGACTAAAGTACCCTGACGCAGTGGGCAAACCACAATTTGATGGGGCGCACAGCGAGCAAGGTTTTGTGGGTGGACCATCGAATGCTTCCCAGCAAGGCGGAAGTTCGACTGGCCGGCCAGCGGGAGATAGCGACTTTGGTGCATCAACCACATCGTCCTCCGCCGGTGGTATTGACTCTTCCCAAATCCGCTCTGGGTCGGACGTCAACACCAACAACATCACCTCTTCTTCAAAAGGCAGCAGCGGTAGTGGAGGCCCAGCCGCCGGCACAGGCGTCCGTCCCCACGTCGACGCCGCCCCGACTTACGCATCCACCGTGACCAGGGACGCCTTGCCAGAGAACACATTCAAGCCCAAGGGCGCCAACCTCGATGACGCAGACGTCTCGCAGAGCATCCCGCAAACAAAAACCTTTACGGGAGCCATCGGCACCGTCAACGACCCCGGACGCCTCGCTGAGCGTGAATTCTTGGGCCGCAACGAAGATCCCATCGCCGAACTAGGCCAGGCTGGAGAGGAAGGCGGCCGGGTTAGACAGAAGGGCCAGGAGAGCCAGGCTGGTGACCAGGGACAGTATGGCGTCCTGCAGAGCGAGAGGGCCTAAGGGTGCTCAAGTGTCACAAGTGCAGGTAGTTGTTAGAAAGGATGTCATCGTTGTCCACAAAGCACCGCCGCCTGTAGACGGCGTAGTGGTACCAGGGCGTACGGAGGTGCGAGTGGGAAGCGACAACATGAATCCTGGAGTTTAACTTTTGTGTCGTATCAAAAGAAAAGGAAAATCTGGGGAACAGCATTGGTTCGGTAGATAGTAGGAGCAGCCTTCTGCTATCGCATATCCAAACATCACATACTGCATAATGCAATCAGCTGCCAGCATCTGGATAGTGACTCGAGTGAATTGCTTTGGCGGTTAATGTGTTTCTTTGCCCAATGGCCAATGTCCTCCGTAGACTCAAGAAACACTTGCGAAAATAGCTTGTGACCAAGAAGTAGAGTACTCGAGTGTCCCTTTCTAGGTACCCAGTGTAGCTTGTTTCTTTGGTTATCCGCACGTTATCTCCCATCGACGGGACGAATCCCTCGGCTACTGTATTGTCGCTGGAATCTCCCGCCACCTCTCAACATAGGATTGCCTCCCGGGCCAACCGTGGCCGCTGCACCCTGTATTCTCTCGGCTCGGTCGTGGCCTATGTCTCCAAGTACGCCTCCTCGCGGCTTGGTTGCCCTGCGGTGCCTGTTTCCATTCTTTTGTATGCAGTTGTCGTGACATGCATTGGACTCCAGCGTGAGAATATTATCATGAGCATATGCCGGCTCAAATTCTTGGTGCTTGAGGCACTCAGGTCGCGCTTGCAATCCATCTATCCGCTGTCCCCTGAACTGCGTGGGATTGGACAAAGAAGATCCGAGTGTCTTCTAAGAGATTTGGGAACCCGTCTCGGAGGGTCCAGCACCTGCTTCAGCATGATGACAGGCGCGTTTTCTTGCTGGTGGACTCTTTTGAGTTCTCAGTGAAGCTGCGGTTTTATCGTACTCCGGTGACATGGAGGGAAGGCATTGACAAGGTCTGGCTGTTGCACAGGGTCTCGAAAGCCCAGCTCGTATTAGAAGTCCGAGCTCGGTTCAAAATGGAAGATCGTTCAGTTCATCCCACACTCGTCCCAGTCTCAGCCATTCATCTCGGCGCTCATGAATCCGTCTAGGCCGCTCATAACATCCTTAGCGACGCCTCCAGTAAGCACAGTGTTAACCACCTTCGTCAGCAGAGCTCTCTTAACACCTCCAATCCTCGGCCGCCACACACCAGGCACATCGACTCCTTCTTGCGCCTCACCAGACAGTAACACACCCTTCATGGTATCTCTGGCAGGAGTGTCGATCATCCGCGTCGCAAGCAGCTGGAACTCTCCTTCCTTGGTCGTCGTGTTTCCGACACTGACGGCAATGATACCGTCCGCGACGGCGAGTTCCTCGCGACTGGGATCGAAAATGATATTCTCGCCGACCACGACGACAAGAAGCGTAACAGGAGGTTTGGAAGGAGAAGATGAGGTGGATCGTGGATAAAGGTACGTGCTGGCCATCCAGTCGTCGTCTGCAATGGGGTCTTCTTCCCCTTCGCTTTTGAGCTTTGGAATGCGGGTGTCGCGTAGTGCCAGATGTGTTGCCATACTCAAGAGCGGAAGTGGGTAGCTTGCAAGTCCATTTGGCGAAATCAAAAGGACGTCAATGTATACGTGCCAATGCCACCGAGAATTGATAATCAAGCTGTCCTGCAGCGACGTAGCCTTGGAAGAAGAGGAGGAGGGCACTGCCAATGGCTCGCGAAGCATTTCCTCCAGAAAAACCAAGCTTGGGTCGTCGTCTCGGAGACCAGGAAGCGTGAGCGTGAGAGTCACCCACTCGGGCTTTCCCTTTGCACGTAGCTTTTGACCCATATCCTGGCCCTGGCCCTCGGCGTCAATGTCCATTGCGCCATCTTCAGTTTTCGAAACGCTGTTTCCTCCATCGGCGGTCTTTTCCACCTCGAGCTTGACGCCCACGATGGCTTCGCGGCCATCACTAAACCCGATGTGTGCGCTACCGTTCACCGCAGGAAGCACGCCTGTCTCTGCTCTCAGTGCTCGAAAGTCGGTTGGCAGGGGGCGCGCATCTGGGCGTAGAGGGGGTATGGAGGATAACGAGGTATGTAGATACGCAAGCTCGGCTGGCGAGAAAGGAAGGGAGTTGGTGAGCGAAGGCATCGTCCGAACCAGAGCGGGGACAATCTGCAGAGGCCGGGTGTCAAAAGACTCTGAAATCGATTCGAGTGCAGAGTGCCCATCAATTTCTGGGACTTTCAAGTCAACAGAGCTAAAGAGCGACAGGAGGCACCAGGCCTGAAGAGAGCACTATGTTTGCAGTCTTGATGGGTTTTTGGGGGATGGTGTTGGCAGCGGAAACTTCTGAGGGAAAAAGTCCATGTCAATTGCCCGGAGTTAATATTGACGCACATCATGCTAAGTCCGATGCCGTTCACCCCAGATTAGGGATGGGGATGATGCTGCCTTTACACACAATATCGATGTTCTACAACGCGAATTGCATTTCCTACCACAAAAGGTTGAAACCTCATAGCAACGGAGCCTTGTCTAATCCATTCCCTTCTGCTGGGATTTATTCAAACATGCATCCAAAAACTCACCCGTCAAGCCCTATGCCTTCCATACCGCCGCTGACGCCCACCAGCCTCGACCGGCCTGCCTTCGCCCCATAAACCATTTCCATCAATTTACTCTTCTGCTTTTCTCGGACACCCTTTAGATAGTCGTATGTCCCCTCGAGCCCTCTGACCTGCTGGTCAATGACACTGGCATTGTCAACGGTGACAGAGTCATTCCTCCTCACCAAGGGGCTGACCAATTTCCTCCGCAAAGTTTCCAAATTCACTTTCAGAGTCTGTAGTCGTCCATGATGCTCCATGAGCAGATGCTTATTGTTGACCGTCCTCGCTCGTACGCTCGACAACAGCTGCTTGTTCTTCTCAAACTTTCTCAACATGGCTGCGTTTGGACCTATCACCCTAGTCCAGAGAGATGAAAGAAGGTCATTCTCAAGTCTTTCCTGGGTATCTGTTTCTCGAACCACCGTTCGTTGCAGGTTCAAAAATTGTCGATCGATTGATTCGAACAATGCAAACAGTGCTGCGGAGTGCGTCAATTCGCTGTTGATTGACTCCTCAAGCACATTCACAAACTCGTGGAATGTCCTCGTCAGGGTCGCCCTCGCCCTCTGCGGCGAGCTTGCTCCAAATACATCAGTCAAGAATTTACCCAATGTTGTGGGGCCTTTGGATGTCTCAAGCAACCCTCCTCGGTTGAAGATACCATGCAAATGATCAAAGATCACACCAGAGAACGACATCCCTTGAGCTGATGTGACGCCTTCCAGTTCTCGTTTCGCCCAATCCATCACCAGCAAAATGCTGTCAACGTCCGAATCCACATCGGCGAAGAACCGAGTCAACTCCAGACCGAGAGTTTTCAAGCTCTCGGACAGCTCGTCCAGGGAGCGCACGATCAACGGTGCCGAAGTCATATTGGCGCTTCTCACCGACTCACCAAGGTCCCAGACCGCCACACTGGTTTCCTGCAAGGCTGTAATTTGTGTATAGCCATTCTCCGAATAGAAAATTAAGGGCTCAAATGACTTGGCTAGAGTTGAAACCTTAACTAGGTCGGGGACAGGAGGTGGAATCGGAGGAACAAGGATGATGCGCAGAAGTGAAGCAACCAGGATGGTGGTCATAATGGAGATGAAAGTGCTTGACCTCGTCTTCGTCATTGCGTCGAACTTTCCTTGTACGAAGTTGAGGAAAGGAACGAACGGTTCTCGGTGTTGCACTTCTGCTCGGAGTTGTAAGCGGATGTCTAGATCACGGTTAGTGAAGTGGCCAAACTCCATCAGCGGGACCATTCACAATTGTTCGGGCTCTCAGGAGGTACTGCCTCTGCTTGATCAAAATTTCCCATATTTGCTTCACGCTGCGGCTCTGCTTCCGGAGACCGCTCCCTCACTGGCGAGTCCGTACCTGCCGGCAGGGGTGTGTTCACCGCTATGGTAATATCTGGATCTCCCTCGGTGGCATCTTGATAGATCTCTGGACTGGTTTGTCGTGATCTCGAGGGACTTATCGTAGGGCGCAAATCATAAATTCCATACGGATCCTGCCTGAACCATCCACTTGCATTTGAATTCCGACTCTTAAAGCCTGGAGGTGACCAGGGCAAGCCCGCGCTGGACTGGTCGTCAACTTCGCTGTCTCCCTGCTCCGACCTGAAGCCAGATAGAAGGGGGGAGCGCCGCTCTTGTTCTTCAAAATCTTCGATTGAGGCCTCTAACAACGAATGCGCATCTCCATGCAATCTTTCCGCATAGAGGTCGTCCATTGGCGGCGAGGGCATCATGGCAGCCATAGCAGAAACGAGAGGTAACAATAACGGAGCATGAGGATGCGCAGAGGGCGGAAGCGGGGCGGGGCAGGAGGCCAACAATAAGGTCGCCCTCCAGAGCAGTCCTGGATTTTGTACAAAGGCCTGTCACTAGGCAACGATCCAACGAATGTAGTCACCCTTGAGCAAGCCGCAGCTATTGCTTCAACTGAAAGAGACCAGGGACAAGAGAAGAGAAGTCAAGTCACCACGTTTGAGAAGGCCAAAAAGGAAAGTCCATGTCTGGAGAATGCGGGAAAGCCCAGCCTCTTCCTCGGAACACCATCATCGAACTCTAGGGATTGGGGGCCCATGCTATTCGACCGGCACGACTGTCAGGACCCTCAAAGGCGGCGTCAGGCAACTTTGCAACAAAGACGACGAAAGGGGAGGGAAATGATGGAGGCTGGGACAGCTGGCAGCAGTGGAGTCGTGGTGTCGCGGTCTAGAGGCGATCTGCTCCACCAATCATGGGCCACAACACGGTCAAGACCAGGATTGCTGATGCAAGGGCGACCTGTGGGTGACCTGCCCGTGTCTGCCCTGGCTGCATCTTTAGCTTCTGTCGATGCGCCAACGCAGCTCCATCATTGTTCGGGTTGGAGACAGCGAGCAGCTCCGAAGGAAGCTAACTGGCTTATCATCTTGAGAGGGGGTGCGAGAGACGGTGCGCATCTACACACGAGTCATGGATGAGGAGAGAAGAGTTGCTTGATTGTCCGTCCTCTGCAGCTGAGCTGTGCCTGATTCACGAGAGAAATGCAGGTACCGCCTTGGGAGAACCAAGCAATAGGAGGATGTGGTTTTTTATGTACAGAAAGCTTCGTCTACCGGCTTCTCCGGCTTCTACCGTCCCATCCCACCCGGCTTATTGGTATGCAAGTCCAACATTCAGATTAGGTAAATGTGCGCCTTCGCCGTTTCTTTGATGATACAAGCAGCCGATGATCCCGAAGAGCGTCGAAATGAGCGCACTGTCAAGCAGTTGTGGCAACTAGGGTAGAGGTCGCATTTACTTGGTCTCCTCGCGCAGCCAGCTGGTAAAGAGTTAGCACAAGCAAAGGGTACAGCGCCGTTGAGGCTCAAGGCAAACTAACGTGATCAGGTCGTTCCTGTCCTTGCCTTTCTTGAGACCACCGAAGGCCATCTTTGTGCCGGGGATATATTTCTTGGGGTTCTCGAGGTATTCGAACTTGGAAAAAGTCAGCTACATCTGTCAAGTACGAGATTGATAGACTTGAACTCACCAGAGTGTCCTCCTTCCACGTAATACCCTTTTGCTTGTTCGCGTCTGTGTATGAGAAGCCCTCAACGGAGCCAGTCTTGCGGCCAAACAGTCCATGCAAGTTGGGGCCGATCTTGTTGCCCTCCGATTCGACGACGGTGTGGCATTGCGCGCATCTCGTCTTGAAGAGGTTGGCACCCTTCTTTGCGTCACCTGGAGGGATCGATTGTGAGCTTGTGTTCTTCCCCTCTTCTTGCTCGGCCTTCTTCGCAGCCTCGTTCGCAGCAGCTTTCTGTTCTTGATGGGCCCGAATCGCGTCGAGCTCGTCGAGCTCGTGCGGGAGAAAAGCCAAGTATGACCATGCCATTGTATCAACAACCTCGAGTCTGATATCTGGAAGACCAAGGGCGCAGTGGTTCTGTCGCGCTGTGATCGTACGATCATGGTACGGTTGTTGAGACAGGAGCATCCCAGCTTGGGGAAGAGCCTGAAAAGCGGCGCCGGGCGGTCATGCGACTCGCAGTGAGGCTGGGGTGTGACACAAGAGGGCTGACCGTGACCAGTTGACAGGTGAAAGCATTGCGTGAAGCTGCTGCGAAGCTGTGGCGGCCGTGAGAGTAAAGAGTGCACTTACCTTCCTTGAAACCCTCGTCACCCTTGGCCATCTTGAGAACAGTGAATAGACTGGAGGAAAGAGAAGACTGATATGAGGATGCTCGAGGTAGTTCTAGGAGCTGAAATAGCTTGGATAGTTATTGTAGGAGCAAGTTGGTAAAGATGTTGATCGGAGCAAAAAGTCGAAGGGGAAGCAAGAAAAGAAAAAAGGTGACGCCGATGAACGACAGACCAGGATCGAAGCCACCGGTTGGCCACCCACAATAAATCCACTCGTCGGCCATTTTGCCCACTCAGCAGCCTCTCCTGTTGCCCTCTCAGTGCCTCTGTGGGTGTCTGTGGCTTTTCGCTGGTTTTCTTCCGGGCGGCCACGCCGGCCACCTGCGAATCACCTTGGGCCCTTTGTCATCGGCAATTCTCGGGCATTCAACTCACTCAGCCAACGCTGCGCACCTGGGCAGGTAACAAGCCGGAACACGGCTGCCCTCGAGCCAATTTTTCCTTTGCTTTTGCTTTTGCTTGTTTGTTGGTGTTTTGAATCCCTCTCTTGGGTTTCCTTTCTTATCATCTTCGAGTGCTGGATACACCCAAGGAGTCCCTACGTGATGCCCGCTCACCCAAAGCCCAACAAGCTCCCAATGCAAAACGCAGCAAAAGACTCCATGCGACCTCCCCAAGCTCTACCCTGTGGCTCCGTCAAACAAGGGAATTGATGACGTCGGCGTCTGGCCCGGAAGAACGGCTGAGCTGCTTCAACATTTGCGTCAAATGCTCGGGTAGCTGGACCATTGCCACAATAACTGCACCAAACCACTGCAGCCTGACTACATCCTATTGCCCGACTCCTGTTCATCCAAGCGGACACCATGTATCATCATGACAGAGCTTGCAGCACGAGTTTGGAAAAGGCACCACTCCCCCCATTGGGATCAGCCTATATCGGGTAATGCCGAGCATGCCCAGCCTCTCCTTCACTCCTGCAACGATGCCCAGAACTCGTCAATGAGCTCGTGCCTCTTGACAGCCAGATCAAAGTCGCCGTAGGACTCTCCTGCCGCATACGCCTCATACAGCCGACCAATATTCTGACCTTGACTTGGTAAGTCGGTCCATTCCTGGCCACCCTCGTCAACGGCGATATCCTCGACGACGCCTTTCTCCGCGTTGGAGAAGCGCATACTAGTTGCCTTGGCCATCTGCGGTCCGGCACTCGCAAATTCGACTGCCAGTTCGCCCTTGGTGCCATATATCCTCCACGTTGACCCTGGCTGGCCGATGAATCTGTCTCCGGCTCTCAGGTGGAAACTGAACACCGCAGATGGATGTCGGTCCAGGCGCCCTTGCAGCAGGATCTGGTCGGGCGTGTCCTTGTCGTACAATTCTTCCGACAAGGATCCGTCAGATTTCATGATGTGCATTTTCGGCCGCAGGTTGACCGCCATGGGCGTGTAGCTGCCTGGTTTCAGCTCTCCCACCGCATACAGGACGGAGTCGAGGACGTGGCCGCCATATATGGTCAACAGGTTCCCACCGATTCTGCGATCCATAAAATACTGGTACCTGTCGCTCGCTGCGTTGTTTTGCCATACGTGAATCGCCCCTTGGTAGTTCACGCTGTGGATTTCTCCTAGGGCCCCTGTGTCGATGAGCTCCTTTACCTTCTTGACGCTGGGTGCCATGCGACCTTGGAGGCCGATAATGGTCTTGAGATTCTTCTCTCGAGCGAGCTCGGCCATTTCTTTTGCTTGCTCTGTTGTTGCAGCTAGTGGCCATTCCACATATACATTACGTCCGGCTTTTAGGGCTGGCATGGCGACATCGTAATGAGTGTCGGCTCGAGTTGACACCACGTATAAGTCGATGTCGGGGTCGGCAGCGAGCTGGTCATAGGAGGCGTATGCCTTTGTGGATTCGGGGAGGTTGTGTGCTTTGATGGCGGCCTTTGTGGATTCCAAGGTCGAGTTACTCAGCGCCACAATCTTGTAGTTTGGGGAGTTGGCCAGTCGAGGCAGGTGGGCCAGAGTTGCCCATGCACCAGGCTTGCTCGATAAACCCACGATTCCTACTCGGATAGGAGCCATTATGATTACTGCAGTGGATGCTGAGGCTGATTCGACCGGGAAGGGATTGAAGGATTGGCAGGCTATAGCGCCCAGATGCAGTGGGAGTCGAGCGATGCGATGAAGCAAGGTAAGCCCCGAATTCAAAGCATACGGTCCTTTATACTTGGACAGACGGAGAGAAACACTGGTAGACGATTTTAAATCAAATTGATCGAGGATATGTCTGTACCTGTGACACCCAGTGTGGCATACACTGACTCGCTGACAAATCGCACTCTGCTTGTCTGACTGCTGCTTTCGTTGTTTGTCGTGCTTTGCCATGTGCAACAATTCCCATTCTCTGACATAGGTACTTCTGCGAAGCAACAAGATGGGGACGAAGAAATATCTCATATGTGAGATTTGACCTGATTCCGATACTCGAAGCCACGTGTGAGGGCATTCCAGTCAGTTTCGATGGCCATTCCTCCTGGCATCTGGTGCAGCTCTTTCCGCCCGCTTGTTCTCCAGGTCAGAGTCAACTTCGTCGGACTATACATACCGAGTCGAATGCACTCCTTCAAGCCGTGATGATATATCCATATTCGCTCTCATGCATCGCCATTCGGTCTCGGGTTCGCCTAGATGCGGCTGCAGCGAGGACCCGCTTGTGTTTCCATAGCTTCGTCTAGCTTGGAGGGCTGCTTACACGGGTTGAATGCGCAAAAGTCTCCGAACAACACAGTGTCATGGAAGGATGAAAAGGGATTGCCGAGACACTTGCGCTCTTACTGCACGCTACGCTTCTTCTGGAGTCTCAGGTTACCGCACGAGGCCAAACGATTTAACAACCAGGTCAGCTCCAGAGGATACCATACCATTTTCGCCTATCAGACCAAGGGGATATGAATCTTGTCCATTCGTTACCTCTTCCGGCGCGGATTGGTTAGATGGGCATTGGGCGTGCCATGGCCGGACACACACCACTGGAGATGTTTTGCTTTAAGGCCTCCTTCATTCTCACCTCTATCTCTACCTTCCTCGTCTCCTTCCATGCGGTTTGTTGTCGATCCTCCTTCACGCCATGTTGAGCTCTCAGTACACGGCTCCAGTTGCAGCCGCACTTCTTCTATCTTTCGTGGCCTGGCTCGTCTCGTTCTGTCTGAAATGGCGCCGCCATCGTGCAAAGTATCGACATCTGCCATGCCCGCCTCACGATTTTTGGTGGGGTCACTTGAAAACCGTCGGCACGGCGCAAAGGGAGATGCCCCCTGGATGTAAGTCACCTGTTGAAGTCGATGCCCTTGAATTGGACCGCGTCAAGTTCCAGTCCGGAGGACTTGGCTTCAACTGGCGTGTGTCACGGAGAACAAGGACACTGACCGCGCTAAGTCCACTACCATGCTTTGATGTCCTACATTGGTGAAAAATACAACATGCCGCCAGTGTTCTACCTGGACTTGTGGCCCATCAGCAACTCCTTCATGCTTGTTCATGATCCCGATGTGGCCTCTCAAATCACCCAAGCGAAGAGCCTTCCCAAGCACCCTGTCAACTCCAAGGTCTTGGGACCCCTCACAGGCTCGCACTCGGTCGTGACTGCAGAAGGACAAGAATGGAAGATGCTCCGATCAATCCTCAATCCGGGCTTTTCAACCCAGTATCTTTCAACATTAGTCCCTCTTCTCGTCCGGCATGGCCTCGTCTTCAAAGACCGAATCTACAACTATGCGTCGACCGGCGAAGTATTCCCGATTCAGGAGACAGCCACGGCTCTGACAATCGACGTGATCGGCGAGGTGGTCCTGGGGAAGAATTTTGACTCTCAACGTCAACCAAATGAACTGGCGATGCACTTCCAGAAGGCTGTCTCATGGGCGGGACCCAGCCTGGACATCATTTCTTGGAATCTGAGCAAGCCGTTCAAATGGTGGCACTGCCTTCAACAGGACCGAATCATTGAGAGTATGATTCGTGAAAGACACGCCGAGACGAGATCCACCAATTCCGCCGGTACAAAAGCCGCTGTGGATTTGTTCCTTCAGGCCTATCGTGAAGAAAAGATGGGGACATCAGGCAAGATTGGAAGCAGGGCGGACGAGCTTGATCCGGAATTCATGCTTCTCGCGCGCAACAACGTCAAAACACTGCTTCTGGGAGGTCACGACAGTAAGCATATCACCGTCTCGCCGTCTCAATGGCGTCCTTGCCACACGGCCTTTGCTCTGCAGCTCATGTGGGAAATCAGCTTCGCTAACTCGGATTGACCAACAGCGACCTCATCCACAATAGCCTACACCGTAGCCCTCCTCAGCGAACCCCAAAATGCCCACGAACTCGCTCGGATCCGAGCTGAACACGACGCCGTCTTCGGCCCAGATCCCTCCAGAGCCGCAACCATGCTCCTCTCCGACCCCAGGCTGCTCAACAACCTGCCCCTCACGACCGCCGCCGTGAAGGAATCCATGCGTCTCTTTCCGGCGGCGAGCACCACGCGCATGACCCTTCCCAACCACCCGGTTCAGACAGTCACGTTCAGGGGCGACCAGCAGCTCCCGCTCGCAGGGGAACAGATCTGGGTCGCCCACTATGGGTTCGGCCAACGGGCCGACCTGTGGCTCGAACCTCGGAAGTTTGTCCTCGACCGCTTTGTTCCAGGTAGTGGACATCCGCAGCCCAAAGACGCGTGGCGACCGTTCGAGAAGGGGCCCCGCGGCTGTCTGGGCCTGGAACTGGCGATGATGGAGCTCAGGCTGGTCCTGGTCCTGCTGTGCAGGGAGTTTGACTTTGAGATCGCCTACGCCGAGGACGCGCCCCGCGCGCCTCCTGAGCACGGTGTCGCGGGTGGCAGGGGATATCAGATCATCGAGTTCGCGGCGAAGCCTGTGGGGCATATGCCCGTGCGGGTACGAAGGAGGACTTCAAAAGTGCAGTGAAGCAAGGTCTGAGGATAGAGGATGGAACGGAGAGAGGCGAGACGTTAGATGAAAGGAAATCAGAGAACCTCAGAGCATTCAAATGCACCTGCAGGGATCATACGCTCTGGAAACCACGGGCTCGTACTACATGTGAGAATGGGCGCGAAAGGGGTTGAAAAAAGAACAACTGCAATGCCCATGTATGCACCAGGTGAGAAGCGCATCAACCAACAATAACTGGAGTTGTTCCACTTCTATGACCCTCGTCTGCCTCTCCATACCTAGGTACCTTGTCCGTTGCCGTCGTAAGCTGAAACTTTTTTTCTCCCCGTTTTCTGTCCGTAATATCTGCAGGTGGTTTTGATTCTTGAATCTCCGATCTCCCTAAAAACTTATTTCATATCAGTCGTCACGAGACATCCATATCATTGTTCCTGGGACCCGTCCATGAATTTTAGGAGAGGGGTGTGAAGGATTCTCTCGCAAGTTTCCTGTTGCACCCGGTCGCCTTCACAGCTGAGCTCTCGCCTTAGGTGCCGTGGAGGCCGCTAGTCAATGCGCCCCGTTCTGTTGGGCATCGATCTCGCAAAAGGCTCTGAAGGTGACCATCTCGTCGACGTTGCTTTCAATGACCAACTCCGCGGTGGCGCCTACAAAGTACACCCAGCCTTCCTTAAATTCTTCTGTCTTGTGGCCGACGCTGACCTTGCCCTCGCCGCTCGTGCAAATGACGATGCTTGGACCTGCAATGCCCTCGAATGTGGCCTTGGCGCCGGGCTTCTTGAGCACCGTGCGCACGACGCTGAATTCCTCGATCGGCGGGTCGTACAGCAGGGAGTCGCTGTTGGAGCTGTAAGCCTTGTCGTTGAGCGTGACGTACGGGTAGTCAACAGGTTGTAAAAGCTGTTGCTCCGGTGGGTTGTGGTCATAGGTCAAAATGTCGGTCAAAGTGTTGACGTCCTGGAATTTCGGGGTGAAGCCCGCGCGGATCACGTTGTCGCTGCTCGCCATACACTCGATGATGTCGCCGGAGATGTAGGCGTGGATGTCGTCCGCCTTGAGGTACATGGCCTGTCCCGGCTGGAGTTTGACGTAGTTGAGGAAGAACAACACGAACAGGCCAATGTCTTCGGGAAACTGGCTGTTGCATCGCTGCACGAGTTCGCAGAGCTCTTCGGAGGTGTTGACACTGGGTCCTGGGGAAATGGAGCCTTTCTTAGCGAGGTCCAGGAGCGCGTGGGATTTTTCGGCCACTTCTGCCTTGGAAGACTTCATGAGCGAGCTGAAAGCGGCTTTGAGGCGGGATTTAGCCTCGGCGAGAGACGGCGAGGATGACTTGGAGATTTCTTCAAGGCCTTTGGCCTCGCTCTCACCGACCAATTCGCGCAGAGGTGGAATTGTTGCGAGGAAGTGTGCGATTTCGTTGAGGGGTCGAAATCCACAGAGGCCTTCGAAAGGGGTGATGGCGAGCGTCATCTCGGGCTTGTGGTTGTCGTCTGGATAGTTCTTTGGGTCTTTGGCATGGAGCTTCTCGGCGAGTTTCTTGTTAGGGTGGGCTTGAATGGACAATGCCTTGTTGATGGACAGGACCTTGAAGAGGAAAGGAAGCTTCTTGTTGTATTTCTCGGTGATGTCGGTGCCCATCAATGCTTGGTTGTCGGCGACAAGCTCGAGCAGAGATCTGCCGGTGACGAGGTCTTTGGAAGGCAGAGAAGGGTGCGTACCCATCCATAGTTCGGCATATGGCTTGTCTTCTTGGATGCTGAAGTTGTCCGAAGGAGTCGCCGCAGCATATTTGGCTGCAGCCGAGTCCTTCCCTTTCTTCCCCCAGTCGTAGCTGTTGCAGCCTTGAAGAGGTCAGTATCTCGGTGATTGCAGAGGGCGTGGCTTGCTAATACGTACCGCATTGGAGACGAATCAAAGGGACCTGCATGATGGCCGATCTAAACACAACCACAGATGGTTTTCTTGCTGGAAGTTGATGATGTCGTCTGATTTTGGGTGAGATACAAGAAAGTGTCAGAATGACTTGGAGTCTCTGACCTTTAAGGGGCACAGTTGGCGACAGCGATATGGCGGTGAAAGAAGACAAATGTGGCTTGAGATCAGATCCACTTGATATTGAAGATTGTTCTCGACTTGGAGAGGAACGTGGTTGGTCAGTCTGATAGAATTGGCCAGACTTTGACATTCGAGAAAGGTCGTATATAGCGACCAATACTTCGCCGTATAGACTACGCTTCACTGGAGCACTGCGCACCCGTAGCCGCCTCTTCCACTGCAGTGGCTCGTCCCTGCCTCTCTCCACCAATCACGCTCCCAACCATGTCTTCTATGTGTCTTGACCACAAGAGCCTATATATTTGAGAAATCGCACGTTTTCGTTGTTTGTCAACCCCAAATTTGCCAGCATGATTTACACACTGTATTTAATCCTACCTAGTGATACGTAATCTTGATTTTCCAGTCACAAACAGGCTTGCCGCTTCGCCCTACAAGGGGCACCGCGCCTTGTCATCCTTTCAAGCCCCCGCCATACTGCGCTCCCTCTTTCACAAACAAGAGACATTCCGCTTCCAGGCTATCAAAAATACTTCTCCAAAGGCCACGATCTGGTGCAGAAAACCGTATTTGTGTCCAATATGTCGTCCCGCCCTAGAGGAGGCCGCGCCACCGCTGGTCGAGATGGCCAAGCGACTGAACTTGAAAATGATCTACTCACCAGAGCCCTTGAGAGCCTACGGAAGGCCAGGGATTTCAATGAAAAATGCAGAAAGATCGGCCAAGACATTATGATCCTGGAGGAAGAAATCAAAGCAGCCGGACGTAGGTCCATCCTGTGCCCCATGTTTCATGTTTGCTCCTTCCGTCCCTTCTCGGACCCAAGTCTGCCATCAGTCATGGCGAGGACACAGCCCGACTGATACGTGGTCCGGCTTCGGGACATGAGAGTGTCAACCCAGTCTGCCGTCCAAGGCTTGGTTGAGGTTTGGACTGACTGTGATCATGTAGACGGAACCCCTGACCAATATCGACGTCTGGACGCCCTTTACCGAGAAAACCTCCGATACGCGGAAAGTGAGAAGAAGGTTCATGATGACGACGATATCATCAGCAATCTTGCAATCCTAGAGACCATGAGATCTAACGATGAACCGGCTCCTCGCAATGGCCAGCCCAAATCACGGAAGCACCAGCGGCCTGCTGTTGACTCGGAAGCCGTTGAGTCTCCTGGGCCCAGCCCAGGGGACGGTCGTCTAGAAATGATGAAACGGGTCAAGGGCACCTCCCAACGGAGTTCAAGCACAGCAAGCGTAAATCGGGCAGCCACCACTGTCAGGGACGATGGGGGCGAAACGAACAAAGGCCTGCAAGCGGAAAGGGCAGGTACCCTTGTAGCCGGAACCGAAGTCTTTTACAAATTCCCAAAGGATCATCAAGAGCAAGAAGAAGGAGTTGGTATCCACTGTATCATCAAGAAAGTGTGGCAGGATAAGAAGCCGTGGGTAGAGGCATTCCCGTCCTCAGGCCATTCCGCTGACTTGACCCGCAGGGTACAATACGATGTTAGGGATCCAGAGGATGATCCTTCTGGCAGGCAAACGGTGCGCAAGGCTACAGCCAGAGACCTGGTGCCTATCTCGCAGACAGCCCCCAGCAACCAACAGTTCTCAGTCGGAACGACGGTATACGCTAAGTACCCGGATACCGACACCTTTTACCGAGCTAGGGTCAAGAGCTTCCAGAAACCCAACTACAGTTTGAAATTTGACGAGGACGTTCAGGAGATGCTCGTCGATGCGCGGTTCGTCTTATCTGCCGGGTTAAAGTAGTACAACCAGGTTGTCACAGAGAGCAACACGGTTAACGTGGGAGATGATGTGGAAGATGAACGAGATGGGAACTGGGGTAGGACGCGTGGTGAACGGAAGGATATTTCTCGACTGCTGAGTGACCGTGGGGATTGACCATCCACCGCGCGATCAAAGTTGGCCTTTGCTGGCCAGGTAGGCAGCGCCACTGTCTGCTTGTCGTTAGTACCCCATAGCTGTGCCTTGTCGAAGGAGGATCTCGAAGCAATTGAATGCAACGCCAATACAGGCTTTGAAGGAATGAGAAAACTTACCAGCCCATATCTCGTAGACTTTGACCTTTGTTTCCTCGTCAAACTCGAGGACGTAGGTAAAGACTTCGTCCCAGGATTGCCCAGTCTTGGTCCAAGTGAACTTTGCCTCTCCACGCACTGACACCTTTGAGACTTGTGAATCGACAACAAAGTCGCTGAAGCGCATGTTGTCGTATGTTAAGTGGGAGGACAGAAGCCCAAAATACTCTTCCAGGCCCTTTTGACCTCGAAACTCACGCCCCAAGAACGGGGCCAGTTGCGGCAGGCCATGCTCCAGAGCAAGGACATCATCGGAGGTTGAAAAATAGCTGAAGATCTTGTCTGGCGCCTCTTGGCTGGCAAAGGAGTTGCAAAAGGCCTGGGCGGCCGACAAGAGGCTGTCTCGATCTGGGGAGGGCATTGTCTCGACCGATATAGACAGCAAGAGGCACCCAAGCGGTGGTCAAGGTCACCCAAAGTGGTTTTCCGGTGCTTACCCAATCTCGGGAGCCAACTGACCAAGCAGCAACTCGACGGGTAATTAAAAACAAGAGGGAAAAGTGCGGAGGAGAGGCCGAGGCTTGGGCTAGCGAGGCCTTCAAGTTCGTCAGCGAATTTCTTCTCTCCGCTTCTAAAGGACGGTGCCACCCGCAAATCATCCTCTCTTCCGCCAGCATATACCGAGTAACTCACTCCCGGTACTCACTCCAACTCCAATGATCCTTTCCTCCGCCCCGATATAGAGTCGCCATGCTTCTTTCTTAAGTTTTAGAAGAGTAAAAAAGACTTCACTGCATATAAACCGGACGAGGGTGCCCACGATGGCTCGTTCCACCAACGACCTTCCCTCACATGCGTCCCCCGTCATAGCTCCCGTCCCTCGGCCTTCATCCGCATACTTGGGCGGCTGGTCCGACCTCGACGACAGTGCTGCTCCTACGCCTGGTCTACCGAACAATCTAATATCCCCTGCATTCACTCCTCCCGCCACTCCCGGCGCTGGAACCCCTTCTCGTCATCTCCAATCCGAGCCCAAGTCCATTCCCGTCGACACGTCCCTCGACGACCCCTCGACGAAGCAACCCCGCTTACTCGAGAAACTACCGCATGTAGAATGCCTGGTACGGGCGCGGATACCGACGACATCTGGAGCCGAGATGTTTCTGCATCTGTATCAGAATGATTCGGACAACAAGGAACACCTGGCGATTGTCTTCGGCAACAACATACGCAGTCGCAGTCTGGATGCCGAGAAGCCCGGTGAAACGGAGATGGATCGCATGATTCGTGGCGCTTATGTTGGAAGATTGAGACCAGGCCGAACGAGTTCGAGAATAGATCCCACGGAACAGAGCAGGAGACCAGTCAACAGACGTCTCAGAAGTGGCTCCGCGTTGAAGAATGTAACAACGGTTCCAGAGGATGGTGTTCTGGAAACAGCACTGGCCGAGGGCGCTGCCCGGGCTGCAAATGCTTCTCAAGATGAACAAAATGCAGAACAGCCGCATCATCCTATCGCTAGCCTGGGTGATGCTCTTGATAATGTACAAATCACCAGCCATGCTCCGGGTAAAGCACCTCTTGTGCGAATCCACTCGGAATGCTATACAGGCGAGACAGCCTGGTCCGCCCGCTGCGACTGTGGAGAACAACTCGACGAGGCAGCCCGGTTGATGTCCTTACCTGGCTCAACGGGAGGCGTCATAGTCTACCTACGCCAAGAGGGACGGGGGATTGGCCTCGCGTCGAAATTGAAGGCGTATAATTTGCAGGATCTGGGCAATGACACTGTTGAAGCAAATTTATTGCTAAGGCATCCGGCCGATGCAAGGACTTATGGGCTTGCTACGGCGATACTGCAAGATCTCGGGCTTGGCACCGACAGTGATGCGCAGAAACCAGAGGCAGAGAGAGGCATCAGGCTTCTTACCAACAATCCCGATAAAGTACGAGCTGTTGAAGGACCCGAGAAGGAGGTAAGAGTACGGGAAAGGGTACCCATGATTCCTCTTGCATGGAGGACGGCAGGTGCCAAGGGTGTCCGAGGCGCGGAGATTGAGAAATATCTTGAGACCAAAATTGGGAGGATGGGGCACATGATTCACGAAGAGTCCTAGGAGATGAAGAGGCATTTAATCATTGCGAACCTGACCAGGTGGGAAAGCCCTTGTGCAGCCAAATGGTGAATGGAACCATGCTCTGCGACTCTGCAGCCTCGTCGGGTTGCCTAAACGCAAGGTTCCGCTCATGCAATCTGCGAGTGGTGCAGGTGTCTGACAGCATAGCCATCTCAGGAAAGACGTTACTCATGTCATGGGCTTCGATATTCTGATACGAGGCATGTGAGACCGGCACGAAACCGGACACAAAGCGGAGCGAGATCCCTCGCGACTGAAATATGAGAAGACCCTGAGCAGGAAGGGCTGTCTTGAGAAGTCTTCCATGCCGACTCAATTGCGCACACGGAGCATTCAGGAATCACGACTCGCCCGAGCTAGACTTGAGAGCAAGTTTGTCGATGCCTTGGCTTCTCGGGGATTTCCTTTTCGACGCCAACCCCTCCAAGATCATAGAGCAGACCGGATGAACGACAATGATCGCATGACCCAGTCGAACCCAAGAGACCCAACGCCGCAAAGTACTCCATGACGGAAAGTGAGAAATGGCGAAAGGCCAATAACGAATACTGGCCCACGGCATTGGAACAGAGCCGCACTGTTTCCCAGGGCATATCACATCATTAACCACGCCAGACCGTGCCACGCAATACCACAATCTGCCTCTCCATACACAGGCAAGAAGCATCGATGACTGCGGGTGGATCGGCTAAGGGGAGTTGATGATACATGTACACCCATCCATACCAGGTCGATGTCCATTCAGCTTTTGTAGATTCTTACGAAAGAGCATGTCTATATATATACATATACATATGCCGAAAAGGAAGATGGAGACGCACGACGCATACTAGGTAGATACCTTGCGGGAGGATACTAGGATCGATATATCGACACATATCGTATATATGATTCACTGATGTGACGAAATGGGAGAATAGACCGGGGCTGGTTAGCATGGCTAGCGAGCATACACCCGACACATTCCATTTTCATGACCAGGTTATATATAAGCCTTTGCGAAGGGAGCAAGAGCCGCAACTGCAAGCCCCTCTTTATACAGCAGGTTTCTGAAGAAAAATTCACCAGATTCCAAACCACAGCTTCCTCTTCCGCTTCTGCTGCGGCGGCGGCGGCTGCTGCTGAGGGTCCTGATCCTCCACCTCTGGAACCTGCATTTCCTGTTGACGGAGTGCATCCTGGAGACTCATCCCTCTAGCTTGTGCCTCTGCCTCGGCCCTGACGACGGCATCGACGCCCTTCTCCCTGATCAACTTGACCCTCTCTTTCTGCTCCGTCTCCAACCTGCGCGCGAACTCGTCCACATCCCCCTGTGTCCCGCTGGTGCTACCGGGCACCGCGCCCCCCAGCGCAACCATATCCCGTCCCGTGAGCACCATCTCCCTCCCGCCCTGCGCCCTTTCCTTGGCCGTCAACCCATCATCCCAAGGGACCAGACCCCTCACATCAATCCCCTGGTCCTCGTCCGCGTTGAGATCCTCCAGCCCGTGCGCGCGCCGGTACAGCCTGCGCTTCTGTGCGTCCAGAATCTTCTGCTGGCGCGACTCGTTCGTCTTGGCCGTCTCGTAGTCGATGTGCAGGCGGAGCACGGAGAGCGTTTCGCGGATGTACGTGATTGGGTGCAGCGGGAGCGAGGATATCGGAGGGATCAGGTGCGCGTAGGGCGACGTTCGCATGAATGATTGTGTGAAGGTGATGAAGGCGAGGATCGTGAGGGTGCCCTAGTTTTGGGATTGCATTGAGTCAATTGACAGCCCTCCTGTTGGATTTGTATTCTGACACATTTCGACTTTGGGGGGTTTTTATTTTCCCTTTCCGTTCCGTGTTCCATTTCATCCATCATCCGAGCAAGAGTTACAAAGTGCCAGAAGAGGAAAAAAAACTCACCATGGTAATCCAAAGATGAATCCACCGGTCCGTCAAGAACCAATGCATAAACGTGCCTTTGTTGGGAAACATGTGCGGATACGACCTGCTCTTCTGCCTCTCCCTCTCCTCCGCGGTCGTCCCCTGATTGTACGCGCCCCCGCCGCCGGGCGTCGGCCGCCGCGCACGACCCAGTCGCGCGGGATGCGAGGGCGGGCGGAATTTGTCGGGCTGCTCGAGCACAATGGGTTTGCCGCTACTGTTCGTCGAGGTCGAGGTCGAGGTCGAGGCGGCGCGGCGCACCACCAGCACCTCGAGAGGCCTCGTCCCGGGCTGGAGTCGAATAGGACGAGGGGGAAACTGGGTGCGCGGGCGCAGCAAGGTGGTGTTGCGGAGGCAGTGCCGGCACATGGTTGAGAGAGGAGAAGACATGGTGTGGTTCACGGTCATTAGACTCCTGGATGGGTTCATCCTTTGGAGATTGTTCATCGTGGCAAAAAAAGAAGCTCTGAAATTATAGCAGAGCTTGGGTCGTCGGAGAAGTTGCAATTGCAGTCAATGGCTACTACTATCAAGAAGTGAACACGGAGGTCTCCAAGCAAGAAAGCTTGGCAGGCGAGATAGCTTTCCATGCTAGAACGAACACCACTCGACCAGTAACCAAGTCGGACCGCCGAACTTGAGCCGGCAACGCCTTGATCCAGCCTTCTCCAGGATCAAGGGATGGAATAGGTATAGCAAGGGAACAGAGTAGTTCACATATCACTTCCATTGATATTCTGGAACTCATGTCTTCGGGACCAAGAATTCAGCGCCATCTCCCTATGCCAACGACTAAGTCCAAAGCCCAGCAATTCTCTAAACCTTTAATCCCGATATCGCTCCCTCTCATCTGGTCCATACATATGATGGTAGTAGTACCTATGTAGCTGTACAGTTCTCTCTTTCGAGCGCAGTTAACAAATGAAAACTCTGTCGCTGTCTTAGCAGACAATGCCAAAATATCCCTGGCAAACCCCAAAATGCAGCCCATACAAAAAGAAGACTTGACTTCCTGGCTAACTCTCATGACACCTCCAGAAGCAACGCACGCCAATGCCACAAAGAGCCAGGTATGACCGGATCGGCCAGTTCGCGAAGAGGGAATCATCGACACGCCCACCGAGGTGATGGACATTCTCTTTGAAACACTCTCGGCTTTTTGAGGCCCTTTGCCTTGGTGCATTGGGATTCCCAGAAAACCCCTCAAATATTACTGCGCATGAATCTGTGTTCGTGCGATGCACACATCTTTCTCTTTTCGTACAGGATATCAGATAACAGTATATCGTGGTAAGATATTCAGAACAGAAACTTCGGCCATCTGAACGAGTGTGGTAGGTCGGTAAAGGAGCCAATATCATCGTTTATCGAAACATCTGTCCCGCTGCGAATATGCTGTTGGCAGCTGCAGATGCCCATTCGTTCTCCTCGTATGGCGGCGTTGGCCAATGGGAAGGAGCGTGTTCATACTCGGTTCGTTTCTTGGTGATGGTCAATGGCTCAGCTTGAGATCCAGCAGCGGCGTTAAACTGGACGCCATTCCTCTTGGCGGATGGTGACGGCGTAAGGTAGGCGCCGTGTAGTGCTGGGTTGCTTGGTAATTGCGGTAATGACTGTCGGTTATAATCCTTCTGTGCCAATGCGGTTCGCTGCGCCTGGTCTTTCGGGTAGACGGTTGAGTCCAGGCGCCGAACCGCGCGATGAGCGGACCGAAGAGCCTCGTCCAACAGCTCGTCAGCTTCTTCAGGAGTTTCATACTGGTTGATTTGCAAAGGACGACGCGAACGATTGTTCGTTGGAGCGGGAGTCTGTGAAAGATTCTCACTTGATCGGCTGCCTTGAGATCGAGGGACTGAATGTGTCCGTTTCAGCGTTCCTGAATTGGACACCACCTCGATGGATGATTTCCTGCGTAAAGTTTCTGGTTCGGCTCGATCGAGGCTGTACCGAACATTCTGCAAGATTTTGTCAAGATCTGAAAAGTCGTTGTTCCCCTCGGGGATGACACTGTCGACCATGAGCGATGATCTGTTCGACCACGGCACATTTGCGGCATTGGCCTCAACATCATCACCATTTGGAGACGCCAGTCCGTGTCTGCCGGAAAACCGTCTGGCACGTTTCCGCAGGTGCGAGAAGAAACTCTCTTTGTGGCCACTGGGTGGAGACACTAGGCCACTGTTTGCATTCAAAGCTCGCTCTGCTTCCTGACGATGAATCTCTGCATAATGATTGCCATTTGAATTAATCGATAGCTGCCTGCCAATTTTCTTTGACTTCTCCTCAATCGGTTTAGACGAGTTGGGCTTCGACTCTGGCTGCGATGTGAATGACGAACTTGCTTGGGCAGTAACAGCGTTGGGCAACGGGGAGATAGGGCGGATCGATGGCAGGATGGGCATTGGTGCAGCACCAGTCGGACCCGTGCCATTGGTCCACGTCGCACGTTTACTCGCTTGCGGTCGAAGTCTGCTGACCAAGCTCTCGGGTTCTTGCTGTGTAACCTTGGGTTCCGAAGTGTGCTGAGGGACAGCGGGTGCGCTCTCTCGAGCAATAAGCGATCTTCGAAACCAGGAAGGCTTAGATGTGACGGTGGGTGTCTCGGCCGCGTCCTTTGACCTGAAACTCAGGTCGGAGTGTTTCCGGCCGAGCAGGCGTGACGAGGACTTGGGTCGAAGCGGATCGACGGCGTCGAGGAAGAATTCATGTTCCATAGCTTGTTTGGACGTCGGTCGGTTTTTGGGATCCCACATCAGACACCAGGTCACGAAGTTGCTGAATGACACGGGCCATTGAGGTGGTTGTAGGATGGTTTCCATGGCATGGGGCGCCATCTAAGAGTAATCAGTAACGTTGGCATGCTTCAGTATCGGAGGGAATCACCTTTGGGAAAGAGAAGCACAACTTTTGGGCCAATTTCGTCCCTTCTCTCCATTCACCGCCCCCTACCCTGGTACCGGTCTTGGTATACCAGTTTCCTGGGCTACCCATAACTTCACAAATCCGCCAGACCTGGTCTACCTCATTGCCTCCAGGAAATAGAGGTTTGAGAGTAGCCACTTCAACTGCCATCGCTCCAATGGCCCAGATGTCGACGGGTGCTGAGTACTCGCCAGCTCGAAGTAAAACTTCGGGCGCTCGGTACCATCGAGTTGAGACGTATGTAGTGTAGGGCAACTTTGAGTGGGTCTCCCGGGCCAAGCCAAAATCGGCGATTTTAATGGAATAAGCTGGCGGTGTAGCAGGCGGAGTGACCAGCGAGGAGTATCTGCTGAAGGCTGACTGTGAGTCGTGAGGTGCTGAAGTGGTGACAAGGATATTTTCCGGTTTGATGTCTCGGTGAAAGAAATGGTGAGCGTGGATGTGGTCAAGACCTGAAAGAATCTGGTAGAGGATGCTCTTGACGCTCTTGGCGTCCATGCATTTGTGTTCCCGGGATTTCATCAATTGATACAGGTTTCCGTCCATATACTCCATGCAGATATGAAGTTTCTTGCTGAAGGGATCCAAGAAGATGTCCAACGCGGGTACCAAATGAGCATGGGAGGGAAGTGTCCGTAGAAATATGACCTCGCGGAGTTCCAGACATGGCGCAAAGGAGTCGAAGGTCTTCTTCATGGTTTTAATAGCGACCTAGAGCAAGTCAGTCCGCGGCTGCTCTCGCAAGACCATCCTAGGAGCAGCAATACCATTGAGTTCCGGCGAGCCACACTGGCGCCATTGGCTCTCACTCTTGCCAAAGCAACGCTTCCGAAACTTCCATCTCCAATCTCCTTGATCACTTCGAACCTATCTTCAAGTGCAGCCAAGGCATAAGAATGAGGCCTTTGGCTATATTCCGTGACAGCCATGGTGGTCGACGGGGTTGGTCAGGGCGGAACGGGCTCTTCGTTTGTCGCTTCCTCCTGTCGTCGTGGAATATGTGGGACAAGTATATCTTATTCAGCCTGCCCTGCGCCCATAGACAGGTTCTTATGAGACCTTAACACGTCATTTCCTGGTTGTTTCGTGTGTTTTTGTACATATGTTTCAGAGCACAGAGACGGAGAGGGGCGGTGGTGTCGTCGGCTTGCTCGTGCAATCGCTTGATGCTTGTCAGGTTGCTCCTCTGCCAGCTCGGTGCAGAGCAGGAGGGTAAATGATGATCGAGCTCGAGCTTCAAGAAGATGATGCCCAGGATCGAAGGACCCAGGACCCAATTCGAAATCGCTCAAGGGAACTAAGAAAGCTAGCTGAAGGAATGGTCGATTGGCGGATGCCGACCCGCAAGGGGCGTTGGGAGAGTGGATAGACAGCGTCTTCCCCTTTCCTGATTGACACCGAGGGGGTTGACGGTCACAGTCTAGTATCAAAGGAGGGCAGTCAGAGTGACAGATTGTAATTCGGTCGTGTTGTCGATGTGTTCGGACAATTAGCTGGCGATACGGGGAGGCGCGTCTTGACTGTGTCCGGACGGCAAGGGGTGGCTGGGAGAAGGGAGGGCGCGGAGGTTGATGGGCGCTGGTGCCCGTCCGCCCAGAAAGCTCCCAGCAAGGGTTATGTGATCAACTGGGATGCAAAATTGCGCTGACAGAGCCCAGAATCCCCGTGCCTTTGCAACATCAGGCAAGAGAACGAAAACGTGAATGTGATTACCGGTATTATTGTTGAGTGAGATGGGCTGGGGGGGAGTGATTGTTTTCCCTACGAAAGGGGAGAGACAAAATAGTGACGGTGGGTGACAAGCGAAACGAGATGGTACTGGCGCCGTGTCAGCACAATTGCGATGCGAGGCTTTCAAGGTTTGGAGAGTGAGGCCCATCCGGCATTCTGGCACCTTAGGGGGCCCCTTCCCGGTCAGTGCCTGTGCAGTGAGCGCCCTCCGTCACTCAGGGAAGCGGCTTAAAACAGGCAAGCCCCGTGCAAGCCCTGGCTTTTAGTCCGCCCTAGCCACAGGGATAGCCCGCTGGATCCCTGGAGGGCCGACGACAAGTTTTGGCTGCTGCCAGGGTTGATCAGGCACAAACCGTCGCTAGCTGCTTGGGAGATGCCCTGGTTGCCTTCCAACTCCGACCTCTGGCAGCCCCTCTTCTCAGCCTCGGGGCCCCATTCCCTTGCGCTGGCGTCCCAAGCCTCAACTCCCAGAGGCCAACTGAGGACTGTGACCGGGGCCGCGGATGCCGGATCACCTCGTCCACTCAGGTTTCGTCTTCCTTTGCACTCGACTCGGGCCAGCTAGTCCATTCGCAAGTGTGCGCCAGGTAATAAATAAAATAAATCTCTCCTGAATATCTTCCACCAGAGAGAAGGAACTAACCATCTCATCCACAAGTGACAATGTACTGGCATGTACTCGGTACCTCGTACGAAAAGTCCGTACCAAGTACCCACCGCCTTCCATGTCCTCCGTACATTACCGGACGCTTCCTTTGCAGGTGGGCTTCTCCCGAAGCTCTCTCTCGCATATACACCGCTTGCTATTTGCTGTGGCGGTCAAGAACAAAGGAAAAAGGAAAGCATATCAGATGTTGTGCAATGCAATGCTAGGGGGTGGTTTTTCGCTTAACGCTTTCTTCTTTCTTGCAATATTACCGCCGTCTCTGAAGAAGTAAGAAGAAGCACGCATTCAGGGCATGTGTATTCTGCGGTTGTGGGAGAGATGGACCTTAGTGTCTCAGTCCGCAAGACTGTCCTGACTTTTCAAGTTGTCGTCGCGGTATTGGCCGGAGCCTTCCGCAGTGCGACAATCACTTCTGGTGTTCATGACGCTTTTGCCTGCAGTTTATGGTTTTCGGAGGAGATCTACAAATGCCTTTGCTGTACTCGGTACCTGGCCCAAGTGCGCGGTATCGAGTGAAAGTGGCAAAGGTGGAAAAGGCAGTCTGAAAGGGAGGGGGCCAGCTTGGTCCCAGACTTCAGCAGAAAAGGGTGCCGTGGCCATTGATCAACAGCAGCTACGCGTAGCTTCCCTGAGTACGAGTCTTCGTGGTGACCAGTCGGTTCGGTAGTGTATTCTACCTCACCTTTCTCTTGCTCCCACCACCATGTTTCATTCCATCTCTTCACATAGCGAGTTTATAGCGACAGCATCGACAGGGCAACCAACGTGAAGATGCCTGGCACCCATGGGAAGAAACCGTCAGTCGAGTGCCACGTTTCTTGGGGACCCGACTGTGGCAACGCAAGCAGCCAATTCACACCCTGGTGCTAAGTTCGTCATGACCACTTGGATGCTGATTCAAGGGTGGCAGGATGATTCCAAAAACAGGTTTAGGCTCACAGCTGTCCCTGGCTACTACCTGGCTATGGTCTGTTCCGAGTCGCCGCAAACCTTGAAAATGGACCGGGGCGTAGCCTGGTGCCCGCCAATGGTGCTGATCAAATCTCAGCCTTTCCATCGATTGGCTTGGTCTCTGCCCATTTTCGATAGCACCGGGCTAGAAATCCCAAACTTCAAAAGACACGCTCCCCGTCCGCCTAGCTTCTTCCGTCTGGAACACACATGAAATCACCATCAAGAGGTAGCCAAGGTTTTGTCTCTAGCACCAGTGCTCCCCCGCGAGAAGTTAGTCGTAACCAGGTGGACCATCCATTTGTTCTGGAACCAGGAGAGTCGAAACAGTCGTGAATCGTGATCCTCATCCTTGCCTCTCGAAATGATGCCCGTTGATTGCCGTTGATCCAGATAAAATTGCAAAGGGGTCGATAGAGAATACCGAGTGCCTTTCGCTACGAGTACTCGGTACGCATTAGATCATTGGCGACGCACCAGTCCCCATGTACCTACTTCCTACGTTGGGTCCTGCTCGCAGAGGAGACCGCCAAGACGCAATTTGGAAGCGGTCAAGGAAGTTGTGCTTGAACAGATTACGGCTGTAGTTTGTCTGGAGCAAATAAAAACGCCGTCTCATGGCGGGCATACCTTGTATTATGCCCTTCTTTGTCTTCAGCATGATTCTGATTGCTTCTCCGATAGACACATCTTAGCTGGCACTCCTGATCGGCTCGTCGGGTCCAGACTTAAAGACGTATCTTGCTATCAGCGTATGCAGGCGTCCATCGCGTTCCCGCTGTTCCTAAGGAATATTGGCAGGTTGTTCATCTCTCGGCTACATCTTTTGGCTTGAAGTAATCAGTATCATAACCCAGAAAAACACCGCAGTTGATGCATGATTGGTGCCTGTACCTTGCCAAGAACCACCAAACATCCAAACATGAAATACGTGTTTATCACTCTGTCCTGAAGGCCTCAAAGACCGTAGGTCGTACTTGACGTTGCATTCAGCTGGTGGTCAAAGATTGTGTTTGGCAAACACCAATATTGCAATCTAGACATGTCAATGTCACTCGCTGGAGACATTAAGTGACAAAGAACATCTCGTTCAGACGTTTGATCAGGCAATCATCGTTGTGGACGCAGCCTTTATATGCCCGATTCCTCCAAGACCGCAAAAGGGACTGGCCAAGAAGGTACCTGTACTCAGATCGATCAAAGCTCATCGGGACCTCAATCATAGACGGTTTGTCAACAGGAGTTCAAGTGGAAAGTCACAGCTGAGGCGGTATCACTGTTGTTTTCCCCAGAAGTGGCTCGTCACCTCAACATCACTTTTTTGTCTGAACTGTCTTACATACCTACCCACCAAACCTGCCTTTGACCTCAAATCCACCATGTCTAAGAAGCAGCAACCACACTGGGAACGCAAACAGCAGTCGTAAGCTTGCTCACCTTCTCTTGTGATCTCTTCTACTGGCCGATATCCTTTCCTTTTTCCTCACCCTCGTCCTCGTCCTCGTCCTCGTCCAACCGAACTTCCTCCTCATTTGACAGCAAGCTCAATTCCAATGGCCACTGCTACACCGCCCACTAATTATGCAAACAGTTTCGCGAACGTCGAGATCGGAAACATGTAAGAGCAAGCATTCTCTCGGTTCTGTGCTCCCCGCTCACCTCAGTTGCAGGATTCAATGCTCCGTCTGCAAGGTCAAATGCTTCAAAGCAAGATTTTCTCAAACCCAGCTGGCGAAATATCAAGAAGCACTTGCTAGATACAATCATGGCCGTGGTCCAGAACCCGAGCTGCCCCGTTGCAGAAAATGCACACCAGAGTCCAACTCGGAGTTGTACTGCGTCGGCTGTCGAATGAGTAAGGATTTGAGTTTCTTCTCCAAACAGCAGCGAAAGAAACCCGATGACGCGGTAAGAGAAGATGAAATCGTCCATCGGTGTCTCTATGCGATACTGATCTGCCAATTAGAGATGCTTGAACTGCCAGCAGGAGCTCGAAGATCGTGTACCTTCCCTTGAGGCCGCCTTGGAAGAGGAACGCATCAGAGACGATGAACTCCGTGGCAAGCACATATCAGGCTCTGTGGTCTCGAGCATTGCTGGCTCCGTCCTCAATTCCCGGTCCCAGTCGCAAGGACAATCAGCCAGCGCCAGCGGAATCTTCATGCCTAACGACCGCGACTCTGCTTGGGGAAATGACGCAGCCTCTGCCCGCCCACCGTCGCCCACCGAGACTGAGCATTCCAGCTCTCGCAGCACAACCAGCTACACCAACTCCACCTATGCCAATTCGGTTTCGAAGCACAGCTTTGCAAAGTTACCTGCATACAACGCGCCAATAAACACACGAGTCATGGAACAACTTGAACGTGAGGAGAGGCAAAAGCAAGAAGCTCAGATGGGCAACAGACATGATGAATCTGATGACGGCGAGGAATGGGAATTGTAATAGATTCGACTCATAGAATGGTATCGCCATGGCGAGGAAGGCAGTGGCTCATCGTACTCTATGCCCTTGCCGGATGGCACGCTTGGCTCGTTCTGGGTTTTCGCCTTATGAATGGTTGGTTAACTCGACCAGAACTTGCGAGACCACGGGATAAGAGAGGAAAGAGAGCATGTAAATGCAAGCCAAGAGAGCCGCCATATTTACATACCCAAGTAGCTTAGCTTGCAAGACGGGATAGCTTTTATTGCGTTCAATCTTGCTCATGCAGTACTATTTCCCTTGCCAGGTGCGTCTGCAGAAGGTCTTGGCATGATATTGAATCTGTTTCAATTCTTCATGCAGTAGCTGTGGCCCCGGCTTTGGGCACTGCTCCAACTCCGGTGCTTTGGGAGGCGAACATTTGTAGTGTTCAGTCCCCTGGGCTTACCGGTCGGGAGTCGCAGGTAGGCACGCCATGGATGTCTTGGATTCGAGGCGGACACCGGATACGGATACGGATTGCGAACGAGCCGCAACAACCAGGACAACAATGGGTGAATATGGTCCAGAATGGTCCATATTCATGCGAGAACACACTGAGTTTCCTTATGCTCCAATCCGCTCCGGGAGAGATCGCATGTCAGGGTCTCGCAGGTCATGCGGGTTCTGTTCATGGTTCGTAAACCCTGCATAGCAATTGTTATTTCCGGTTGCTCCTGCATATCGGCAAGTCATAAGGATGCCGCATGATTTGCGGATATCCTCCAGGGCGGGAGTTTAACTGCCAGCGGTTGTTTCGGTCCTTGCACCTCTAAGAAACAGGGCGCAAAGAAGCATGATGGTTGCACACAGGGTCTGCTTGTGGTTCGCAACTTTGGTCCGAGAGAAGGCGGAAATTTCCCAGGTTGATGTTGTTGAGAGGGAACCCTTGCTAGGTTATAGCAGTGGTGTGGTTGAACGTTGACGTCGGATTGGCGAGTGATTATACTGGTAGATATGGCAACGGGAAGGAAGAGCTTCGGGGCGCAAGAGCCAGGGCCACCAAGCAACATGCCGGGTTGTTGTTTTTCGATGACGTTGGCAGTTTGAATGCGTCTTGCTTGACCTGATTTCCACCATGTTTTCAGAGTCACGGTGTCTCCCACTTGGGTGGGACATTCGTAACCACTCCTTGGGGCTCACCTCTGGGTCTCTCGGCTCGCTTCCTCAAGATCTGATCGTGGCACAGTCTTCAGGGTCAAAACTATATTTGTATCTATGGGCAGGCAAAAACCAGATTTCGTGCAGAGGAATGCAGCGTGGCTCGTGGCTACCTGGGTAGGCGAACCTCGGAAGAAAGGGAGGTTCGTTGGAAACAACAATGACGAGCTGCGAAGGGTGGGGTCGATGGGCGACTCGAGAGCAACTGGTGGCCCTGATGGCAGGCGGAAACCAAGATTTGGGGGGCCTTCAACCGCCCTCAGCCACCCCTCGAGCCCATCTTGCTGCATGGCTGTTGGTGTCAACCTAGTAACGAGGCCGATGGGCTCACTAAAGCCCAGGGACGCCCTGCTAGTGGCCTGCTCCCGCCTCTCTTAATGGAGGAGAGCCCGCCAATCCCTTTCACCGGTTCTGAACATGCTGGAATGGTCTTGCGATGCCATGATGCAACACACCACTTCACACATCATTTACTATCGCAGTTAAGCGTTGACCCTTCTCTACCTAGCCACACCATTGTCGTGTTCATTGTCGTCTAGGCATGCCGATGCCACGCTCATCCCTGAGGCTTGGTCTCGGGCTTGCTTCCTATCAGTTATACCTCACTCTCCATTCTTGATCATCTCTTACCTCGTGGTTGTAACGCCATTTGCCCGACGCCCTGAAACGGTCTCCGTGCCCTTGCCCTTTGCGAAGAATACAAGGAGGAAGAAAGGACTTGACATCCGCGGACATCTAGGCTGCTACCACCACAGACCAAGAAGCGAACCACGAACTACAGTCTTTGCAGAACGCCGAACCCTTTCCCGAAACCAGACTCGATCTCAGCAGCATTACCTCGTGCTCCGCCGCCTCCCTTGTCCCAGTGACGAGCGCATAACATCCACATCCTCTCACAACTGACGTCCGCATACCTCTCTTTTCGTCCCACCTTGACCGGTTCTATTAGTCGGCTCGCAGGTTGGAGTCTGCACATCCAGCCAGTCGAGCGATCGCAACTGCCGTAAGGCTGGTCAGGACGCGAATCCCATATATTGTTATTGGCGCAGCTGCTGAATGCTTCCAAAATCTCCTGGTCCTGATCTCAATTGATTTGAAAACCACACTCCCACAAGCTCGTTGAAAAGGGTCATCTGGATGCTTTGAGAAACAGGGAACAAAGTCTTGAGACGGGACTGTGCATGCCTCACACAATGGCCTCCAACAATGAACGTCTACCACCGCAGCCCAGTGTTTCCAGTGTCAATGACGACGGGGACACGCGGCGACTTCAGCCAACCATGAGCAATTCGACAACTGAGGATGGACGCTACCGGAGGCTATCGGCGGCATCATCGAGTTCTCAACAGACATCACATAGTCTAGATCCATCCAGATACCACCAAGCTCGCCAACCTATAAATGATGCGGTCACTTCAGCCTTCAACACCGCCGACGCTACCTCTTCTGGCGGTTTCTCTCCCGAGTTGCTTCAACAGATCACATCACAGATCACGGCGAATGTTTTGCAGCAATTGAAAGCCGCCAATCTACCTCCGCCACCGCCTCCTGCTCATCAGCCACCTCCGGCGGGCGCCCAGATGGATACCTCTTCGTCCGTTGCCGGCTCTCCGCCCTTGGATCGAGCCACTGTCTACACTCCTCCCACTCCCAATCGACTTTCCGAGGATGCAGGTGTAAGTCAGCCATCCCCTCAGTTTCCTCCGCCTTCCAGCCAGTCATCCTTCCGGGCCCCATCACCCGCCGCAGATAGGAGGGCGGCCTCGCCTCTTAGTCAAACAGGTCATCAATCCGAGAACGACGCAAATCAGAGCCGACCCAGAGGTCCCAAACGCATGGGCACGCATGAAGATGCAACCATACTGGAACGAATATGGGGGCAACTCTTCACGGAGCAGGGTGAGGCTACTCCTAGGCTGGGCCAATTCTTGCGTGGAATTGCTATTCATCTCATCGAGGACTATGAGCCCAAGCACAGCTTGGTCATCACCCCAACAAAAATGCAAAGATACTATGAGGAGACGAAGCTGGCCAATGAGGTCTACCCTTGGAAGATCATATTCGACGACAGAACTTCCTCAATATCTCGAATGTTCAGAGAGATCGAGGCCCAGCATCACCTTGTCCAAGAAAAGTTGAACGAACGGCCAGACACTCCCGGGCTTACACCGCACGGCTTTGAAACCTGGGCAACCTTGCTCTTAAAGGCACATCCCGATCAAGAGTATGAGCGACTGGCAAAGACGGCGTTAGACATGCCCATCAGCAACCCTGATGAGAAGAAAGAGCGGTTCCCAAAAGAACTTTCTAGGCGGCTTTTCCCCAAGCACGGCGACACCGAGGTCGCGTATAGGCTTCAGAAGGCCATGTCGACGCACTGCAATGTTAGCTTTGCTCGCCACACCAGCACGGCAGATTCCACTTCCCGGACGTCTGCGGCGACGTCAACTGCGAACATCGTAGCCGATGATTCATCCACCAAAACGAACTTGAAGCCTCAAACAGACAAGCCAGACAATGCCAGCAATCAGGTTCAAGCCAGTCCTGTACTATCTCAGGCTAGCATTGAACGTCAACGCCAGCCATACGGCGGGTCGCGCCAGGAAAGCGTTAATGGTGACGTCGCAGATGAGAGCACGGACGGCAGTTTCGCTCCACAGCCAATCGAGCGAGAGAGAAAGCCATACGTCGCTGCGCCCGGTGGCGGAAAGACTTACGATAATATCGACCGACCAGCTGCCGCGCCCGAGAACAAACCAGGGCCTCCTCCCCAAGAACCTAAGCTAGCACGTTCAAGTTCTGTCAACGCAACTAGCAGGGTAACCGACGGCCCACGATCCGGACAGCCACCTATCGCCCTTCATCAAAGACCACCGCCTGCAGCAACGGAAATCCAGGATTCTCGCCGTCACCGCTCCAGCAGTATCTATCACAAAGACCCTGCCCAAACGAAACGCAACCGTTCACCCTCCATGACAAAAGAAACCGGTGCCTCTTCACACGTGAGGAAGGCGGACCCAGATGCCTCCTACATGTCTTCTTCGCATCATTCTGATCACCACGACGATGCAAGACGGTACAGAGAATATGAAGCCGGGCGCGAACGTCTGGCTAACGACCGCTACGACGCCGCCAGAATGTCGGCATATGACCCTCGCGAACGTGAACGAGAACGGGACCGGGATCGAGACCGAGACGGTCGACCACGCATGCCATCTGTTTCGAACGTCGGCCTCGGCTTGGTTGATGGTCCACGAAGTCCGACGCTGCGCACCAATACAGGGCCGACATTGTATTCCAGTTCTTTGCCTAGTGCTGCTGCGGATGAAGACTATTACCTCAACCGCACACACGCGGGCGGCGCCCCTCCTCCTGGTAAAGGCTACAGCCCACCGTCCTCGATCAGCACTGGCTTTCAACCTCCACCCCCACCACCGCCTCCCCAAATGATGAGGGAACCGTCAAGCACGGCAAGCAGAGACTCGGGATATCAGGCATATCCGATCAACCCGGGCTACCCCCCTACAAGTTACCGAGATATGCGGTAGCAGCATGACATAAGGTGAATGGCGGACGAGTGCGATGGGAAAAGGCATCGGACGAGAGCGGGAAACTTGAGTGCATCAACGAAGGACCACCAGGACCACCAGGACGCGATGATACTGTCTCTTTCACATTTTCACCTGTACCATATTTGACGACTGATATGATTCATTTTTGGGGCTTGCTCTTGCGCTCCTTCCGACCTCTGGGCGATTTTTTTCTGGATTTCAGCTAGCCGGAGCATTATGTCCACTTTTTGATATCCCTGGCCTTTTGTTCCCAGCACTTGTTGAGAGTGAGAATGTAAACTAGTCGACATGTGTATTGGTGATGTACAAGTATCTTGGTACGCAGGAGAATCCAGGAAATAGAGCACTCGCTTGGAGCTCAACGAAGCATGCATGCGTGTATAGCTAAATATCTAGTGTGTACGCGTCTGGTGTACAGTAGTATGTACGTATTTTCAACCAATGTGTAAAACCGAGACCAAATTACGGTTTTCTCCCCTCGTCTGGATTATCAGCATTTCACTACTTTCTCTTTTACCTTCCTATCTGCTTTCCTTGTTGTCGGATGTACACAAAGTCGCTGACATCTAGTAAGTATATCCGGCCTCAGTAGGTCCACGGTAACTGGGTAGCCCGCGACAATCAATCGTCGTCTGCAGGTGGACATGGCCTGATCCGCGCCCTTTTGAGCATATCTTCGATTCCCACGATGAATGCCCTCGCGAGACTCTTGAACCTATCGGGCCGCCCCACGACCAGTGCGTCGTCGCCGCGGTCATTTTGGGTCTGCAATTCGGATCCTGGTGCGGAAGATTGCTGCTGTGGTTGCGATGTCGCGCTGATCTTTCCGGCCATGTGCTCGTAGTTTTGCGAAAAGATCGTCCGTGGCTCGCGCTGCCCCGACCGATTTTGCGAAAGGGTTGTGATCGCTCCTCGTCGTCTGGGTTGACGGGGCTGGAGCCTCCTCCGTGCACGACGTCGGCTTGCGCAGACAACCCTTGGAAAGCCATATTGAGCACAGTGGAAGTCCCACCGCCGACAATTCACGAAAACAACAGAAAAACCATCTCACCGGGTTTGTGCGCGAACATGAGTCAGCTTCCCCGTGAAGCTTTGGCGCTCCATGGTTCTGAGAACACTTCTCTCAGATCACAGAACCCTCAACCAACGGATCCATCATCGTACCTCTCATCCTTACCTTCTTGTCCGAGAATGTTGTTCGTCAAACTTGGTAGAGATGTCAGACTCCCGAGGACTTCACGAGAATTGGTCAATGGCGGTCCGGGCTCCACGGTGGACAGTATCGTCTGTGTGTGTGTTCGATCTCGAGCCCTGCGCAGGGCCGGGCTGGCCCTTCCTCGCCTCGGTGAAAAACTGAGATCCGGGCAGAAGAAGCAACTTCTCTCAGAGCTTCAAAGATAAGACCATGAGAAGCAAGGGGTCCAGATCAAGGGTCAATACGAGGAGGATGTGGTTTTTATTGCCTGAACTCTGAGGCGATAAGCCCAGGCGGCACGGAAGGACGGGACCTCACTTGTTGGTCACAAGAACTTCGCTACTCCGTGGGAAAGTCTTATCTGGAAGGGTTTGACGTCTAAAAAAAGGGCCTTTACTCGATTGGCTGATCTCGATGCCTCCTTAGTTCAGAAGAGGCGAAAGGACATGCATGAGGAATGACGATGTTGGGGGGGCGCAGGTGCTCATTCAGCAAGCCTAGTGGCCTCGCTGGGTACTCCGCGCTGGTAGTTTACGTGGGTGAGGCCTAGAAAGCTTGATAGCATTGGTGTGTTCTACCTAGGCGTGGCTCGGGCGCTTTGTACGTGTCTCGGGTATGGCGCACCAACCATGATGCATGCCGCCGCACGCCGCCTGCATCCCCCCATTTCCCATCTGCCATCACATCCATCATCAGCTGCGCACGGCGTCTTATGGATAGGTATGTACCCGCCCACACCATCGCCGACGGGCTTTGTTGAGGCTAAAAGAATGTGCTTCCTGGCTCGGACTGTGACTGTCAGCTCCATCATGTCTCCTCTCCTGCTGCCTTGCTCTGACCTTCCTTGAGGTGCGCTCGGAGATTCAGACTGGATCACTAACAAGAGCCAAAATAACCGCTCAGTCTCAGACTCACGCGCTTCGCCGGTGAGCGACCGTCGTCCTTCATCTGAACAACCCGAACCCGCTGCAATCTACCTACGATGCACCCCGACCGCCTATGAGGCTCCTATAACGTTCGCAGACAATGGTAGGCTACGACCATGCCGAACAAAAAGAGCTGGAGCCACCGGAGGTCCCGTCGAGTTCCAGCTCAGGTGCCAGCGAGAGTATTATCGACTATGAGAAACAGAAAGATTGGGACCCTCTTGAAAAGACCGACACGATAGGAACACTACCGGACAATGAGAACAGACGCGGCAAAAACAAGTTGGAGCCTCAACCCAGCTGGCAGGCACACCATCATGGCATGCTCAAGTTTCGGTCCATGGACGACGACCTGCCCACCAGCTGGTGGTTTGCTTCGACTGCCATTCCTCTCATTGCGGCCACGTTTGCTCCCATGGCCAATCTGATATCCATCACCGCCCTGGTCGTCCCTTGGAGGAATAGACTCACCCAGAGCCAGACCGAGTTTCCCACGACCTATGAAGCCACTTCGGTAGGCTACGACGACCCTCGATGGTGTGTCGACCTCAACATTGCCTCTCTCGTCTGTGGGTTTGTAGGCAATCTTTTCCTTCTCTTCAATTTCACAAAGCGCGTCCGATACATCGTCGCTCTCCCCGCGACCATTGTGCTGTTCTACGCCGCCTCGGGTATACTAATCGGCCTGACCGTCTCGATGAATCTTCATGTCCCGCCTGGCCCTGATGCAGTCTATTCCCAGGGCTACTGGAACGCCGTCATTGCTGCCTGTCTCTACATGTTCAACTCGATGATTCTGATGGTGAACATGTGCGGCTACTTCCTCGGCCACTACCCTCAACACTTTACCTTGACTGACGAGCAGCGCAACCTGATTCTCCAGACAATGATGTTCTTCATATGGCTTGGTGGCGGTGGCGGTGTCTATTCAAGAATCGAAGGTTGGACGTATCCGGATGCCGTGTATTTCTGCGACGTCACCATCCTGACCGTCGGCTTTGGAGACTTTTATCCCACCGACGACCTTGGTCGAGGCCTGGTGTTTCCTTACTCGGTAGGCGGAATTGTCATCCTGGGTCTGATGGTCAGCTCTATCCACAAGTTTGCTGGTGAGCTCAGTACGGTCAACGTGCTCCGTAAACATGTCGAGCACAGAAGGGTCACCACCCTGTCACGCGTTGTGACGGTGGAAGATGAAAACGAGGAGAAGAGGCGGGATGACCTAGAGAAAGAGGTGGCAAAGGAAGAAAGAAGTGGTCGACGGCCTACGATTTCATCTCCTGTTCCGAATCCGCAGATCCAGCGTGATTTGGACGAAGCAGCAGGGCGTCTCGAACGCACCCTGATTCGCGACCCCATTCAGGATCGTCAAATCGAATTTGGAAATACCAACGCCGAAGAGCTAAAGAAGGCAGAGGAGCATGAACCGCACCCCAATCAATTCCTACGTTCGGCATTTCACAACGGTCCGATCCATAACACCTTACGGTTGATTACAAAGCCCTTGAGAAGAACCATGACGAGACAACAAAAGAAGGCCATTTTGATGAGAGAGGAGAAGGATAAATTCGACGCTATGCGGGATATCCAATCCAACGCCAAAAAGTTCAAAAAGTGGTACGCCTTATGCCTGTCGGCGCTGGCTTTTGGGATTTTGTGGTGCATCGGAGCGGTGGTATTTTGGAGTGTCGAGCACGACACCCAAGACCTTAGCTATTTCGAGGCATTGTACTTCTGCTATGTCAGCTTGCTGACCATCGGCTATGGCGATTTGAGTCCTAAGAGCAATGCTGGCAAACCCTTTTTCGTGGTTTGGTCGTTGATTGCTGTACCGACAATGACGATCCTGATTTCCGATATGGGTGACACCGTCATCTCAAGTTTCAAGCAAGGGACGTTCAAACTCGGTGACCTGACCGTCCTTCCGAAGGCAGGTCTTTGGCGCGACATCGTCATACAGCACCCCTGGCTTTGGAATTGGATGAGCAAAAGGGCTGAGAAGAAGCGTCTCAAGGCCGGCTTGCCTTTTGGACCGGACCCCAACGAAGCTCCCCCTGACTTGAGCATTGAACAGCTCGCAGCGGAGGAACCAACAGAGGCGGAACTGACGCAGCGTCTGGCTTGGGCTATTCGCAAGACTGCCGACGATCTCCAGCATGCACCGGGGAAACACTACACCTATGAAGAGTGGTGTGAATTCAGCCGCTTGATCCGGTTCACAAAAGTGGGCCTTGATCAAATGGAATACGACGAGGAAACCGATGGGGTGGTTGAATGGGATTGGCTCGAGGAGAGTAGCCCCATGTTGAGTCAGCAAACCGAGTCCGAGTGGATCCTGGACCGGCTCTGTGAGAGTCTGCTCCGGTTGCTGAAGAAGAACATGATTGCGAACGGCATCAATCCCAATTCAGGATTCCCTCGATCGAGCGGTACAGATCTCAGCGTCTTCAACTTCAACCGGAGCGGTACCATATATGAAGACCCGTCAGGGGACCGAAAACCTGACTCGTCTGCGAAGGGCAAGGGCGTCGAGCCTCCTCCGCCGACAAAGTCCCAGGAACGCCAACGGAGAGCATCAGGCGCCGATGCAGTGCTGACATTCTTCACCGGCGACCGGAGGGGAACTCATGCATATGCTTCCGAAGCGCCTCAATGGAGCAAAAAGGCCATGGAACGCATGAAGGAACGTCGACGAAGTAGCACTTCGAAGCGAAAGGGACCGTTCAGCAAGCTTGAGCACCGTGGCAGGACAGGGGCTGTTGGCGGCGGAAGGGGCGGGGCAGGCATTCGCACGCTGAAGATGAGACACTTCACCAGAAACCAGGAAGAGGAGGGATGATAAGCTGACATGATATGCTTGAAGACTTGAGTTGGATGACCAATTGTTACATGTCTGTGTTTATACCACTGTACCATTCTACGAGGGCGGGAACATGGATTGTGAAATATACGGTAGGGGACTAGAGGAAAGGACTTTTGGACAGACAGGACATGACGCGCTAGCGAACGGGAGAGGAGTTTGGAATTTGTCACGCAACCCCCTTGATTCTTGCAGGAGATTAAGTTTTTCTTGTCAACTGCGGCCGAAGCGATTGGACATGTCATCAAGCCATCGTCGACGCCTCTTGACCAGCACCCATGATGCGAGTGAGAGAGCGCATAAACGAACCGGACGGAAGAGGGGGACGCTACGAGTAGCCCAACCGGTGCTGAAGACCACGCTCAGCTTTCAAGATAGCCCTGGCATCACCACTACATTTCTTTTCTATGGGTATGAATGAAGCTGCACATCACATCCGTCAGCATCACCTTCACCCAGGACATCCAACCGTGATGTGCTACACTGGCACAGATGCACCTCTACGCAGTAAGAAAAGTTTGGGTTCATTTTAGCCCACGCTGAGCCGTCACGCCCCGCCCCTGTCGCAGCTGACGTCTATGAAGCGAGCCGTCGAGCCAGCCAAAAGAACCATGATGTGGCTACGCGGGCACAAACGCAGCCCCCTACGCAATAAGAAGGTTGGAGTTTCAATCAAGCTCACGCTGCTGAAGCGGGCCCGCCGCCCTTGTTGCTGCTGACATCCATCAAACGAGCGAGCCCGTCGAGTCCTTCGAGCCAGCAAAAGCAAAGACTTGTCAATCCACACGGGACAGAAACCATGTGTCTCGCTCCCCCAACTACTCGCAGAAGGGTTACCTAGGTACCTCGTACCTATGATCAATGAACCAGGCTGGGCTCAGCCCCCGTTGCCAAGATCACATGTCTCTCGCCCGAGAAGCTCGCAGAGGGTTCACTACCATTACCTAGGTACCTATGATCGAGCTCGCTTCATTCCAAATCGCCGAGATGAGGCATGCGTCTCTTCGCCGACTACTCGTAAAAGGGGTTTTACCGATACGCCCGAGCACGATACATATGATCAAGAGAGGGGGGGCGGGCTCAAGCAGATTGCCGAGCAGCCCCTGCTCTCTGTTCGCCGCTTCGGAGGCGCCCCCCTTTACGAGCGGCGAGATCCTCTGCGCCACGCTACAGTCCTCAAGCTGATGATCCTGACGCAGGGCGCAGGGCGCAGGGCGCAGGACGCAGGACCGCAGTAGTCAGGGCGATCATCTTACCAACCCACTCACCTCACCTCACCTCACCCTACCGCCTACCTTCTAGGGCGGACACGGTGAGATGGATGGGGCGGCAATACCGCCGGCTCTTCACGACCTCTCCGGCAATCCGCCACGGGATCTGGAGACACACAAAAACCTACACCTGTGCACGCAGAGGACGGACTTGGGGAGAAATGGGGAACGGGGAAAAAGGGACTGGCTTGGGCGTGTTGGGTTCTAAGGGGGTATGCTTTCTTTCTCCGGAGATTTCGGACCTGTTGCAAGCCGGGTTGCTTGAGAGTCTCCGCCATCGTGATCGTTGGTGCTCGTGGTGTTGGCGGTGGTGGTGGTAACGACTGGACATACGAGGAGGATAACCCTCTCACTCACTGGTTGAGTGGTAGGTTCTTGTTCGTAGAGTACAAGCCTTCGAGACGTGGTTTCGTTCAAAACGGCTTTGGCCGAGACTACAATACCTACATAGGCCATTCCACGCAATTGACTCCATATCATGCTCGCGTGCGTGTATCGAAGAATCCCATGGATCGAGAAATTTCAAATTACCCTTTCACGCCCACCGATGGTACCCCTTTTCCTCCCAATCCTCTCCATCCACGTCCCCGTAGTTACATGCAAAAGGGTTGTTACTGCACCCCCTTTTCCCCCCTGCTGTCTTTCGGTACCATCCGTTCCGTACCGCGGATGTGTTGGCGCAGAGCTCGCGAGTTAGTCCGTTTGGCACATGCCTTCCGCTCGAGAAACCGGGCCGGAGATCCACCAGGCCACACGGTTCAAGAGCCGGGGAAAGATGCTGAAGACGAAAGCCTCCCTTCTCTCCATTTTGACCAGGGCCACCCTCTCATCCACCTCATTTACCATCTTTTTCATCGGACACCGAGCCTAACTTGAACAACTCCTCCAACGCCTGATCGTCAAGCATGCCCTGGACCCACACGAACGAATTCATCAACTCCTTCAACAGCTTCACGGATCCAATGCTGAGGACTCGCATCAACGCCACCGCCTGGGTCCAGAACCATCGGTGCTCTTCTTTTTGATCGGTGTTGCGCGCCCCAAAGAGCCCGGTGATGAGGATCCAAAGGAGCATGCGGTCGGATCTACCCGTCCAGGTCACGTGGGTTCCGCTGGTGGATTGTGGGGCGGAGTCCACGCCCGAGGCCACTTCCTTCGAGGGCTGGAGCATTTCGTACTGGAGCTGGTGTTTTAGACGTTGCGTGATCAATGCTGGGCCTATCGGCGGTCTTTTCTCGGAAGCCGAGGAAGAATAGATGGATTCGTCGGTGCAATGGAACTTTGTCAGGGTAGACTGGGAGATATGTTGGAGCAGCAAGACCAAAGCTAGTCGACAGCAAAGCTCGCCGCCATAGCTGGGGATCTCCAACAGGCGGAGTACCAGGAATTTGCTCTTGCTGAGAACCCAATCCGTCTCAGGCCCGATAAAGTCGGGGTTCTGATGGAAATGATCAAAGAACCAAACAAGAGAGGGAAGTTCCTGCACCACATTTTTCAAATCAGGGCTATATGTCGTTTGTTCCAGTGCTGCGGGAAAGGCTGAACAGTGGTGAGGCGAATAGATTCGGCGGGGGTGCCAGCCCAAGGATTGATAGATCTTTCCACTTCCCGTGGAAGGACAAAGGAGCTCCGGTGTCACCATCGATCCCTCCACATTCGTGGCGTCAGATTCCAGGAAGATTGCATTGTAACTGAGCATATCATAGATGTACCGATCAAGCGTGGACTGCCCAGGAGTCAACGTCTTCCAGAAATGTTTAAGGATGTTGAAGTGGGTCTTCGACTCTCCATAATTCTCCATATACCACCCGCATACGCTTAGGTAATAGATGTCAAGGATGATCTGACGGTCTTCGGCCGCCGACTGACTGTCAAGCAGCAATCGCAGGCATTGAAGGGCTTTGTGTAGGTACAATTCGGGTCCGCTGCCCGCGCGGAAGGATATGCCCGAGACTCTTCTCATTCGGCTGGCCGTGGCTGCGAGGAGGGCGTACATGTGCACACTCTTCCTCATGCAGCCTTGGATGATGGCATCAATGCTGGAGAAGTGGTGGGCAAATACGGCGTCTGGAGGTCTCTGGCCATCGTCGCCTCGAGGTGTAGAGAGAAGAGCAAAACTGAGGAAGTATTGGAGGATGGGTAGTATGTCGCTGTCTATCGTGCTAGCTGTGCAATCAAAGGGATCAACGACAGGTTTCTGCCCAGGACCAGGGGAAGGGCCCAGCAGTAGTTGAATCGCGTCGTTGTCAAGATACTCGTCCTCACTTGAATCTTGTCGCCGTCGAGACTCGGGTTCCGGACTTGTCGAGGTATCCTTGTCAGACGCCACACTGCGGCTTTCAGAAGTTGCTCGCCTCAATTTCTTGACCCTTTTTGTTGTGATGTGACTTGTTTGCTTTGCATTTGCTGAGCGTCTCCCCTTAGATGGTTTATTTGGGTCATCCAACAGTCGAGAAACTCGGCACCTCGTCAAGCATTTCTCAAAGAGCAAGGTGTCTGTCTGGCGCTGAGTGCTGCTACCGTCGATAGCCTTGGAAGAGGCTGCCTCCTGAGCCCACCGCTGGGCGTGGCTGTTGATGCTCGCAGCAGCACTTCGGGTAGTTGAGCGGGATAATGCGCCAGAGGTAGGGGTTTTGACAATGAATAGGAAGGGAGCTTTGTTGGATCCAGCGCCTTGAGCGCCGCCCTTGATGCTATTGAATGTAGCGAACTCGAATTGAGCCGAATTTTGGTCAAGAACGTCCATCATTGGTTGTGGAATTGTCATTCGAACACAGTTTGCGCAGCTGGCACTATAAAAGCTTGGGTTCTCTTGAGTGCCTTGGATGTCCCTGGGATTCTTAAATGGTGGCGCCAATCAGAGAACTTATGGTATTTTCTAAACGACCAACAGTTTGGGTAATGGAGGAAACATTCGATGATCTTCAACGCCTAATATGAAAGCCCGCAAGTGTCCTGACGAAGCCAAGGCTATCGTAATAACGGCCCAGATACGAGAGGGAGAGACGGCCTGCTTTCTGGCATAGCGTGATCGCCGAAGGGCAACCCTGCATTGGGCAGCGCCTCGCCTCGCTTAACGTGTGCCACCATCAGGGGCCCCAAAAATCCCCTTAGATAAGCACGCCTGTTTTTGCGGTCTTTGGTCGAAAAGAGTAGCCGCTAGACGGCTGACATGGTTGAGCAGACCACGAAGAACAAAAGACCCTGGAGCCAGGTCACGGCGAAGCATCCAGTAATGGATCTATCGATGCTCTATGGCGGTCAGAGGAAGGATGCTTGGCACCGGCTCGAGTACTACATGGTGCTGAGGATTGTCCTTGGTGTGCTATAGACTTTGTCCGCGTGGTGCTTGTATGCATCTGCCAGCTGAAGGATTACGACTTGATACAGGGCAATATACAAGTGGAGGTGGGAAGCGGACATGGAGATGACTTACTAACCTCAACAGGGGAGCGAAACAGACGTGATGACTGGTTGCAGCCATAGTTTTGTTCTCCACGGGACATAGCGTGTAACGTGGCCCTCAGACGGTGCCAAGGGCGTGAGATCCAGCCTCTGATTAGCTTCGTGGCAGGGCTGCAGGACGCGGGTTAGAGGTCTACAGAACGTGGTAAGAGAGAGATGAGGTCGGACATGGTTCGGCGCAGTTGCCCTTGCCGCCTCTACGGCTTTCAGAGGGCAACTATTGTAATCCAAACAAGGCTTAGTTTTCCCCGACTAGTAGTTCGCTAGTCCATATTTTGTCTAGCTCTGCCGAAGCTGCTATTCCGATTTGTGTCTGGAATCGCTCTGTCAGACGTATATAAATAAGTCCCACCAACCAGACAAGGCTTTATAGTAAATGTTTTAGGCAGGTAGTACCCAGCCAAGCCGGCGGATCGCCATCAACCGGTTTTATTGGGTCGGGCAACAAGAAATATCATGACAAAGACCTTAACCGTGCTTTTGCCGTGATGACCACATGCAGGGGAGAGGCAGCTTGTTGCAGGAAGGGCGTGGAGGATTCCCCACCTGACCGCAATCACGATACCCGGCTATCCACACCGGGGCATTCAACCTGGGCGTTACCAGGCCATCATCCTCGCGACTCGGTGTTTCAGTCTGTACCGAAACAGCGAAACACCAATGGCATCTTCATTATCTATGCACCCCACCCATAAACGATACTTGGGGCACACTTTAGTAATACAGACCCAAACTTACTCAAGCATCGCTATCCCTCCCCTGCCCTGTAGGGCTAAAATGCCCATGGGGAATTGTTATGCTCGTTCATGCTCGGCCGGAATCAATTCCTATTTGGAACGGCTCGTAAAATCCCTGTTTCTCGTAACCGAGTGACTTTTTGACTCTGTTAAGATGACTGTGACTATCGACGCAGCGTCCTCCGACCAAACAACATTTAGTCAATGTGGGGATATCCTAGATAGTGAGATGGCGGTGGCCATGAGAAGCAACGCTAACCTGGTGTCGTTCATCTCGGAGAGTGTGCTCTGCTCGTATTTTGGTGGCAGCAATCTCGATCAATCACGTTCATCATTCTGGACACTTGTCCTTCTGCCCGATTGTATTCCCCTAGGGAGCAAACCAGAACTTCGTTGCCCTAAACCAGGCTGTCCCCACAAATCTGTCTGACTTCTGGCATCACCTCTCGTAATGCCTGTGTCAAGGAGTATCGAACGATTCAAGAGTTCCTCTCTGGCTCACCAAAGGCCATCTGTGAATTGTGTCCTCGAAATCCCTGCGCTTACCGAGCACAAACACACGAGAAAGACTGCATTAGGACTCAGAAGTAGGGCCGCCCCGCCCAAACAGAGACTTTGAGTATGACGGAGCTGAAACGACAAAAAGCACTAATATCATCGCCCTTTTGGAATCTTGTAGCTGGGCTTCTGGTCGACAAATAACTCTGCTAGGACATAAGACTGCCAATCGATGTCGAGTCGGGGGTCAGCTCCTGTCGCGGTCGGGTCCTTTCATGATCAACATCCCAGGATAGTTGTGAACCGAACCTCGAGCCCCTGCCACCCAGCTTTCGGGCTGGAAGCCACCGCCAGGAGATGTTAAATGAAGAGAAGCAGCACGGCCCCAAGTGGAGCTGGTCCAGCTGGTGGATGATATGCACATGTGAAAAATCTCCACTGGTGAAAGGCCCAAGGAGGTGTCGCCGCGACAGATACGGATGGGGGTCCTCAGCTCTCCAATCACAGGCTATCGTCCGGAAAAAGGAGATATGCTTGACCCTCTCAGTAGTCTGCTGCGCCTCAAGCCAGCGAATCACCCACTTGATATGCACGGGCTGAAGTTTTCTTTTCGTTGGAAGACCGAGTGCTGATTCTTGTTCATAGACCTGCTTAGAATCTTTGTCTCTCGAGACTCATCTCCCATCTGACGGCGAGCTTTCCCTCCTCTTGGTGAATCCTGTGTTTGGAGAACGGGAAGCTTGTCACTTGAAGCATCGTGAGCACACTGCAGGCTTCCACCCCTGGCTGAGTGAGCAGAGGAAGGTGTCAGACAACTGTGAATCAGTCTGTATCGTGCTTGATTCCAGCAACTCACTCCCATGGAACCACATCACTGCGCTTCTGATTCCGCGACTGATCGTTGACAGTTTCCTGATCGAACTAGACCCTCCGTCGTCGACTGTGCCTGTTAACGGTTGAACTTCCCATCTCACATTTCTTTAGCATCTCTCATCCTCCTTGTGTAAGAGAACCGTTGCCAACCAACAGCGGCTACAACGCGCAATGGACCAGACTCAGCACAACTATCGGTTCACATGGTGCTTGAAGGCTCAGGCCATAAGAATCCTCATCAAGCCGACTAGGTCATCAGGATTCCGGTCGATGTTTGCATGTAATACAACCTTCAGCCATCAACGACGCTGAGATGAAAAAGAGGAGATCGTGGTCTGGAACGCATCCAATGCAGACACCTCTTGTTTCCTATGACCCTCAAAACCTAATCTTTCGGGCCAAAGGCAGAAAATGCGTCTCTCCTACTCAGCACATATCGAAGACACGACCTTTGTGAAGTGCTTCGGTCGAGTTTATCTTTCCGGCAGGGTTCAAAACCCCGCGACGATTCTCCTCAGCTGATCTGTCGAAATCCATATGCGAATTCTGTGCAGCGATTGGTGAAAACTACTTTGTCCTAAAGGGCAAGCGGAGAACACTCAGGCACACACAAGGGAAACGCATGATATGGTTTGATATCAGGTTTCAACAACAGTTTTTTTGGCCTCCTTGGAACCTCATCTGCTCGAGTTCAAGTATCCGAGTTGGTTGAGGAACCTGACAAATTGCTTGTAAGCCCAGAGCTTTATAGCACTAATCATGTCAAAATAAAGACGCCATGCAAACACACAGTGCTGACGGCTCAGTTGAATGCAAGCATCTAACTCAAATGTGAAGGCTCCTTGACGTACACCATAAGTAGCAGACCAGGTGCAGGCCCGACAAACTTGCTCGCTACGCCCCCCTAGCAGATTTGCTGGTGAGAAAATAAGGGTAAAATGTTGCCAGGCGTTGGAAGGACTTCATATGCCGAAGTTCGGATGAATTTAAGGAGCAAAGTATCAACCTCTTTCCGACAAGGTCAAATGGCAAGCTGAGCAAGCCTCTTTGGGACATGACCTGCTGTCCAGGCAATAAAATCAGTGCTCTTGTATGCGATAAGGCGTCCCCCGAGGTTTATATTTCAAGAGTAAGTAAGGTGTAGGTAGTCAGAGGCCTCCAAAATTGTCTCAAAATCGGTAACAGTTGCTGCTCAGCTCACATTATCCTTCAAACATATCACTGGCCTTCGCTCCATAAACGGATTTGCGTAGAAACATGTGTAGGTGCTCGGACAAGATGTAGTGGTTGAGGCGCATGAATGTTCGTGATCGGGTTGTTTCTTTTACAGCGCCTGAGTAGGATCACTGGCGGTACCGGAGGCGACAGTTGAGTATTCGCGGACTCTAAGCTGGCGAACGGTGTCGATGGTGCAGTGGGAACGCCGGACCATAGTTGAAACGAGGCTGTCCGCGCATGATTCTTGATCGTCGATCTCGTGGTTCTACACGAACGAGACGGCGACGAATCCGCCGTCAGCTTGCCACTCCTGCCCGGGGGCTCCCCACCGCGTGCAGCTGTCCACGCCTGCTCGCTCCTTTTCAAACTGCCTTGCACCAGAGTTTGAGTCTGACCAAATTTATCGACGGGCTTCTGGAACGCCGTGGACTGGTGAGGGCGGGCAGCAGCTGACCTCCGTTTGCTGGTTGGTTCAATACTGTCTTGTACGGTATTTGCGGAGCCGCCACTATCGCTAAAGGACCAGACGCTTGGCTGGCCGTGCGGCAACGGCAATGATTTCGAGCTTGAGCGATCTATGGACCTGAGCCAGCCAGATGATGCTCGTTCCCTGAGTGGATCCAGGGCCTTCCTTTTTGCTGGGACAAGGGATCCTGGAAGATTCCTGCTCGCTCCATCCCCGAATGTATGCAAACTGCCACTCGGGCTAATGTCAATTTCAAGGTCAGTCTCCGGAGCGTTGTTGTATAGTGATATATCGCGCAGTCTCTCGTCGAAGTGACCCTCCATTGGACTAAGTTGTGACAGAAAATCCGTCTCGGAGTGATCACGATATGGTAGGGTTGGTACGAAGATTGGAGTATTCACGGCAGTGGGAATGGAATTGGGCGAATCAATGACTCTAGGTGCTGAGCCTGATCGCTTCCGCTCAACCCAGGCGCCGGAAATGTCATGGCGAGAACATGATGGCTTGTTGATGGTTAAGTTTGCATCAGGCCAACTGTTGATAGATTTTGGTGGGACGGCGCCACCTTGGAAGTGAAACACATCCTGAGTCTGGTCAAAATTCCCCGGAAACACATATCTCATCCACGCTTCATTGTCCATATCAATATTTTGTCTCGTGTTGGATGTGACCGGCCTCTGCGAAGCACTTGTCTGGTCGACCTGTTCCCCCTTTCGAAGAGCGAGTGGACCTCCAGGACGGCAATCTGTAAGCCAAAGCGGGGCCTTTCCGACACCATCGGGATTCAAAAAGCAGCCTGTCTCGCTGGTAATGAGGTTGGGGACTTCTTCTGGTCGAGATTGTTGTTCTTTGGTAATGCATTTCGTGTACACGCCAGTGGCCCTAGTGACAGGATGATGGTGGCTGGGAAATTCATTCTCGTTTGAACTGAACACAGATGCAAACCCAGAGAGATCCGAATCACTTGCGAAACCAACATCTGAAGTGCTGATATTGTTTGGAAACCACAGCGAATCAATTGTATCGTTGTGTCCCATCTTGTCAGCAGCAGGAGAAGATTCTCTTGCCTGCTGACTTTCCCACTCGAGTTCCTTCACTGTCCGCTCTAGTTTCACTTGATCATCCAGCGTAAATTGTGGATGTGGTGCCACTTGGCCTCCGAGAGCCACATCATATTTGTACGTCACGTCCGAGGTGACAGGTATGCTTTCCTCAGCTAGAGAACGACTCGGCGTGAGTGTGTGATCAGGGTGCAGGGCTGGCTCGAGAAAGGATGATGGACTCAATTTTTGTCCTGGACGATCTTTTAGTATCCCCACAGCAATAACGCGGTGGATTATATCCGGCAAGACTGGTGTTGAGACCTGTGGCGAGATGTGTCCATAAGAGCCGTCAGAAATAGCAAGTGCTTCGTCCTGTTGACACAAGCCTTGCTTACGGTGGACGTCCACTTCGGTGCCCAGGGGATTTGGAGATGTCCTCGTCGACGACGCACTCGAAATTGAAACGCTCCTCTGGATCCCCGACAGAGCGAACACACGGACTTTGTCCCAGGACGTGAGGCCAAGGGCAACAGCTTCATTTAGGCCGATGAGATTGTGTTCGTTTGGTGAGTCGAGGGGAGCCGTTGCCCCCCTGCTTGGCCCGCAAGCACGGGCTTGGTTTTTGTCACTGCTCCCCTTCCGTGCCTCATCTCCTGTGTTGCCTGTTGCTTTTTTGCCCCACCGATTCTCGGGTGGCACCAGTTCGTCCATAGCTCTTTCTGCTGGGTGGATGGGCTCTTTGCAGACAACAATGCTGGGAGTGGTTTGGGTCTGGTGTATATTGGATCCTATCCTCAGGCTGATCTCTTCTGTACGCAAAGAAGGAACGTCGAGAGCCGGCCGTGTTGAGCCTAATTTCCTTTGGTCTGAATTCTTCTGGGACATCGGACGTGATTTTTTGAGCTGTGCAATCTTGCGTCGACGACCTAATCCTTTGATGTCATCTCGGGCATGTTGATCGAACTTCAGTGGCCGTACGGTGGCGAGTCCGACCCAGTCAGCTTTGTCTAGCAGAGCTTTGCGGGCGGTTTCAAGGCCGTTGGCACTTTCACTCTGCCTACGGACATTTGTTAGCACTGGGGGTCACGATGGGCTCGTTGTTGCTTGCCGGCCGTGCCACTCATCATCAGACGCCTGACCTGGCACTTGTCCCGTTAGGGATCGCAAAACGTTCGTTCCGGGAGGCTGACCATCAATTGACCTCTTTTCTTCGGTACTGAAGTTGAAGCCATGCGCTAGGTGATGTCTTGCGCTTGTCTTCCCAGAGGACTGCTCTGCCTTCGGAGGAAATTTGTGTTGGGAAGCCCCGTGTATAGAGAATGCAGGCGATGGAGGACAAGGACGGCGAGATTGAGGTTGAAGCCTGGCCCTTGCAAAATTCTGCCGTTGTTTCTTGACAAGCGCATTGGCGTTGGATTTAGAGTGACGCTGCAGGTTGCCACCAGTCCAATTCATCCCAGCTCGCTGAGATCAACGCAACAGAGAGACGTGCGCAGTACATCAGACCGAGGAAACGGATGGTAGCATCACCGTTGCACGAAGCTACGAGCAGTCATGAAGAGGGGCAGACTTTTGTTGACCAGCAGCACCAGCACGAGCACCAGCAGGTCTTGTTCGTGACACTACTCCTTAAACTTTCCGCCTTCTGCACTTTGCGCCATCGTGACTTCCATCTTGCTCCCGATCCCGTGGCAAGGCTCGACCAATTACGACCAGTTCGATATTGGATTCGTCTGAACGGGATGGTCATCACATCTTCCCGATCTTAAATTGACCCAGGACCTGTGGTAGGCAAACTGGACTCTCGGTGAATGTACTAGTAGCACAAGATCGTGCCAGTCAATTTGTTCTCTCAGTCATGACCGGAGCGAATGTCACAGGCTAGCAAACATGCCAAGTAAATCCCGTCGCCGCTTGCAAACACGTGAGCCCAACATTTTCTTCAATTCTTCCCACAGCTTGCTTTCCAAGAAAACCATGAGATACATTTTCCTCATGAGCATTGAATGTTGAACTCGAAAAACCTGTTAAAGAGTCAGGCTTCCCCTCTGACTTGTTGAGCCTCCTCGACTAAAAGTGCTCGACGCAAGTCTGTCGAGTCTATATGTTCGACCTTACTCGAGTATGGACGCCAGGTATGTGTTCAGTTCTCCTTTATCGGAATACGACTGGGACACTGCTCCAGTGTGATGAAAACCCACACCAAAAAGCATAGTTCAACTGAGACGTCAGGTCTTTGAACGAGAACAATTCCATCATTGAAATTTCTGAACTCAGCCGAGCAGCCTCCCTGCTGTTGTCACCCCCCCCCGCACTCTCCTGGCCCGGTTTTTGCTAATGATGTCGTCTACGCAGGTACGTTTCCGTGATCTTCGTACGGTGTTCTCCCGTGTTTCCGCATTTAGCTATGAGTATCGTGGTGGCCAGGTAGCGGCAAGTGTCCGATCGGCCGTGTCTTCTGGGATCGGAGCCGACACTGTGCAATCGTCTCGTGCTATGGCGATCATCGAGCTCTTAGACAGTCAGGCTCCCTGGATCCCGACAAGCCGTATCAGTCCACATCAATTTTATTTATGACGACCGGTTCATATTTACACTCCAAGCCTTGTCGAAGCGTGGGGTGCAGGTGCTTGAGCCAATGCAAAATCCCCTAGGTGGATGGGCGGTGAAGCTTCGACAGACAAGTCGCCATGTAGCAACCTCACGTGGACCAAGTTATGACTTGCTGGACCAAAGTGCCTCGAGAGTCGAGATGCCAGCGTCACAACTTCAAGGCGCGGTGGCCACTATCTTGTCCAATGGTCTCCGATACAGAAACTTGAAGTGGTTACACACAGTCCGTGCTTGGCTCCCTTTGCGTAACATGAGGCCCTTCTGGACTTTGTCTTGCCAGGCTCCAGCAATTGCAGTCGTGGCAGAAAACTGCGGGCAATGCACGGTACTCTCGCTTTTGCTCATACAATTGGCGACGTGTTGTTGCGTGCTGAAATGCAAAGACGGGCTTCCCTGCAATGCGAGTGCGAGTGCGAGTCACAAGAGCAGACCGTTGGTTCTGAGCGATGCCACGTCAGGTCTCCGTGCGCTGCACGCTGCATATACCCATGTTTCCGTCACACCAGTGAGGCCAGTTGCGAGTTGAGCCACGGCATAGCAGGAGGCAGCGCCGTGGGGACGCTGAGGGTCCATGTCAGAGACGCAGAGCCAGCAGGGCGGAGCCAAGTGATGGACGGCGAATGAAGATGCCCCTGGAGATCATGGCCCCATTCGTTGATTGGAGACCGGGAGCCAGTCATATCGCCCTTAATGGAGCCCCTCTCACCGGTAGCAACCGGTTCCACCAATGAGAACTCACTATACTCCACCCGGTGACGTTGACAGCGACGTGGAAGGTGGCATTGAGGGGGGAGATGGCTGCAGCCGATACGGCTAGCGCCGGTCCGTCCTGGCAAGTTCCAGGGAGGCGGGCTCGGCGGGTTGCAGGTGGCAGGTGGCCAGGTGGCCAGGTGGCCAGGTGGCCCGGTGGATGCAGCTTGCGGCAGGTGAAGCTGCTCCCACCTTTGCAGGGCAACGTGCTGGAGCGGGACGTGCAGCAGCTTTGCATCAAGCTACGAGACGACGCTGCAACTTGGTCCTATTGCTGGCTCGGTAAGATGAATTTCTCTGGCTCTGTGTGACCAACCGAACGTCTCAATGCAGGCGATGCATCCAATGCGAGGCGCCTTGACTCGGCCACCGCCCACTTTTTCCCACTTTCTCGCTCACTTCGCTCACCTCATTTCTCTTCCTCTCCTCCGCCTCTCCTTTATAACTCCCCTCGTGCCCTCCTGCTGAACTCTTCTTCTCTTCCTCCTTCCACCTTCCTACAAACCATTATTACGACTCGTGATCAAGAACACCATCGATAAGATACATCTAACATCATCTCACTTCACCTTGGACGACCTAACCACAACTCTAACTCCATTGGCCAACCTGGACTCTATTGCTTTTATCATCCACAGGACAATTTAAGCCGGACATCCCAAGGATCGTTTTCTTTGCTTTTTTCCCCTTCTGCATTGCCAGGACAAGATTTACCCAGGGATTCGAGTCTCGACAACTATCTAGCTTGACACAAGCCAGCTTCGCAGCGTGCTGTTGAGGTACTACAACATTTTCTTTCCTTTCCCTTCCTCGTCGACGCCAGTGCTTTTTTTCTTTTGCCTCTGCACCTGTTCTCCCGAGGAGTCTCGACACCGCCCGACCTGTTTCGGGGCTATCTGTACCCCAGTCCTTGTGGCTTCTAGCCCAAGGTTATCTGTGCTGCAAGGATACGTTGACTATGTCACGCTCCTGTGCACATGAATTGAAATGAAATGACACTGAAGACCCCGGAGCCACCCCCGAGTTTCCCATGGACACCCCCCTTGGATTTGAACCACTATGATCCCGGACAAATGTTTTTTCCCCTGGATATTCCCGCGGATTGGCCATTATTGAGGAGATATGATACCCTGGATTGCATCTTTTGCTACTTTGCCCTTGGACTTTCTTATGTGCGTTGACATACAACTTGCGACAACTGCGCGATCAACCTGATCGCTTAGGGCCAGACTCAGCATCCGACAATATCGCCATACCACAAGAGCCCTGGATACGAGCTGATGATGTCGCCATGATGAGGACTACGACGAATGTTTTTCATTTTACTTGAAACACCCTGTCATCAATCACACATTGAGAAGGGTCACCGAGGAAATCGGCACTAGGACTGGACTTTTTACTCGACTTGGCGACCTTCGTTGCAGTGCAACTGGATTTAGAATGCTTGAACGTTCAGATGAACCCCAGGCCCACGGACTTTGTCGCCCAGCTGTCTGCCGTCTCATGCTTTACTATTTTCGCCCACCGGACCAACATACCTGGTCAGAAAGTTCGCTTATCGCCAAACGTACGGACGTCGTCAACAATCTGCCTTGTCATCCCCGGACTGATACCACTGAGATCTAACCTCTGGGTCGGCCGGAAATTGCCGACGTTGCCGGCCATTGACCGACTCCCTTCCCGTCGGACATCCCCTCGTCGCCCATGTTTCCATTTGACAATGCTGCATTTTGGTGTTGCTTAGGTGTTTGTGTGTGTGATGGGTGCGAGTACTAATTTGTGTTCGCATCCGCAGGGAAAGAGTTTGCTCAACAATGACTTCAACAACATTAACCAGGAGAAATCCACTACTGGCCACTGTTACTCCAGGATCTCAAAGTCGGGTGCCGAGGACTATGCCCGTGACTTACCAGGACACTGTTCCGTTTAGTTCCGCCTCCATGGCTGGCGGAATCTCCAACGCACACTTTTCTTTGACTTCTACATCCTCTGGATCGCGCCGGTGTCACGGGAATGCACCGAGCGTCTTCCCCTCTGGACAATACCCTCACAGTGATGACTTCTTCTTGTCAGCGTCTTCCGCAATGACATATGCTTCCATGACCGTATCTGACGGTGCATTTGTTGTCCCCGTGATGTCCAGCTTGAGCGGCTTTGATGCCGACCCAACCTCTGAATTCCTGACAGAGGAGGCTTTCTCAGGCGACAACTCCGCAGACTTGACCCTCGTGCCCTCGTCGCAATATCCGGGACAAGACCAATCAGAGGACCTGATGATTTCCGGTTACATCCCCTTGGATACTTCGCCAATTTACCATCATGGAATGGTGAACCACTTCAGCTCGCAGACTTTCTCGGTGCAGAGACTGCCAACGCCCCCTCCAGAGGATTATGTCCGTGATTGCCTGTCAGCCCAGACCTTGCAGGAGAAGCTGTGCCCGGATACCCAGGATTCCGCTCTCTTTGGGACCAACCCCGTGTCGAAGGCTCTCCCAGACAGGTCAGATCCCTTTCCTCTCCTATGCGTCTTGCCCGTCACTGACCACAGTCAACGTCAACAGCCTCAAAGGACGCAGTGTATTTCGACCCAGGCCTATTCGCTCTGCATCAGAACGGAATGGCGTCATTGACCAAAGTGTTTCGTGTATCATCCCTACTGAGACCCGGAGCCCCAAAGAGGAACAATCGGACCGAGAAAAGGCCAGAAGTGGACCGCTGTACGACGCCAGGCCCGACAAGAGTGGAAATTATCATTGCCCCATGTTTGAGAAACTCAAGTGCAATCACCAACCCACCAAACAAAAGTGTATCTACAAGTAGGTCCAACATACTGCACACGGGCTGAAGTCCTTCTAATACTCTCCTCTCCCTCCAGCAAATATGTGGACTCCCATTTGAGGCCGTACCGCTGCCGTTTCACGGATCGCCCGGAATGCGAGGATCTCAGGTTTTCATCCAATGCATGCCTCCTTCGGCACGAAAGAGAGGCCCATGGAGAACACAACCACGGAGTGAACCCATACTTGTGCAAATTCCCGGACTGTGACCGCGCCCGAGAAGGCAATGGATTTCCTCGCCGATGGAACCAACGTGACCATATGAAACGAGTCCACCAATACGAAGAACCCGAGCCTCTTCCCAAGAAGAGCTCAGCCACTCAAAGTCAGAACAAGAGGAAGAAGCCGACATCTGTGCCCATGAGGAGGTCCAACTCCTCGACGTTGTCCAAGGCTCATGCGATGGCGAATGCTGCCATCCAAACTCAGACCTACAGCCAGACTATTACCCGGGCCCAGTACGTCGCTCCAGGCGCGTATACCATTCAGACCCAGGACTATGATGCAATGATGCCACAAACAGTGTCAATGGACGACGTCCAGTTCTCGTCCAGGCAGGCCATCTCCAGGACAAGCCGGGTGTCACCACCCTACTCCGGGGTCTATCCTTCATGAGTTTCTTTCCTTTGTTCGTCCTTAACTCAATGAAATGATTGAAGTGATATTATACCCTGTGCAACCTACCACCTCAACAATATTGGATCCTGGACACTTTCATCACTCTTCTTCTAAACTTGCATTATACCAGCCATGGAGCCAGCCCACCGTTGTATTGCAAAGCAGGCAATGCTAGAGGTGAAACAGAACAACAGTGCTGCCGCGTGGAGAACACTACCCCAACTCTTCCAGAATGCCGGGCCATGTGTTTCAAGTCTCTTCAGCCAGGTACCACCAACCCACAGGACAATTTCCCCCTGCAGAACGAAGTGAATCCTGGAGGTTGTTGTTGTATATCCCAGGACTGGCCGACATGACTACCAAAGGAGTTTTCCCCGGGACACATTTCCAGGACAGGCCAATATGCTTTTGTGACAAATCTTACGACATGTTCGAACGATCAACCGAGGGTGGTGGGCAGTTTATGCAATCATACAGCGTTTGTCTAGAGGCATTCAGCCAGGGAAATTGGATAGATAGAGACTTCTTGACATCAGTGTCAGTACTAATCGGTGTGAATGTACTGTACGCACAACAATGTAGCTACTTTCGGGGCTTCCCACGACGATTCGAGCAGAAGATCTCGTACTCGATGCTTTCCTACGCGAAACTTAACAGCCCGTTGTGCCCCTCAACAAGCCCCACCATAAAATCCTACCCAAAATTTTGCCTTGAGAATCTACTCCAACTTATTGTCGCATGAACTACGTGATGCCGGTGAGTGTACCCATTCTCGTACCTGGAATATCCTCTTTCACGGCGATTGACTCTCCCGTAGCTCATCATAATCACAGGCCTTCCCTGCTCAGGCAAATCGTATCGTGCCCAGCAAATCGCTTCGTCGCTGGCCAGCTTCGTCACACCCTCTTCCGCCGACGAACCATCAAAAACAACAAAAAGGACCGTCCAGATTGTCCCTTCACATCACGCATCATCCGACGACCACCGAGACCGACTCAGCGACTCGAAATCCCTAGAAGAAGGAACTACACTCCTCCGAGACCAGATCTACAATAGTGCCTCGCTCGAAAAGACCGCGAGGGCGGAAGAATTCTCCGCGATCAAGCGCGCCCTTTCAAAGGACAATGTCGTGATAGCCGATGGATTGAATTACATCAAAGGGTACAGATATCAGTTGTGGTGCGAGGCCAAAGCCGCGGGGACGAGATGTTGCGTGGTCCACGTGGCTGCGCAGGAGGATGAGTGCAAGAGGTGGAATCGGGAGAGGTTGAGAGCTTGGGGTCGGGCAGAGGTGGATGATGATGATGGGAACGTCGATGGGGATGGGAAAGAGAACGGAAATGAACAGCAAACGCAGCACAGCCAGGGAGAGAGTGTCCTGGGAGATCTGGTCCCGGAAAGCCACACTGCCATCTACGGCGATCGGATCGTGGGGAATGCGAGTAACAGCACCAACACCATCACCAAGTCACGCTCCTCCTCGATGGACAACGGGTTGGACAATGGCGACAACAGCAGAGGTAGTGCAGCAGTGCCTTGGGCTTCAGCTTCAGCAGACGAAACAATGACTCTCAAGTCGCTATACATCCACCACCCAGCGGATGCAGACCACCCTCCTCCCTCGTCAACAGACCCAAATCGACCTGCAGGACTAGATGATCTCCCACCGTCCCTGTCGACGACTTCTTCCTCGCCCGCTCCCTCGGTTCCAATACCACTACCACCACCACCGCCGCCGCCAACCTCCTCTCCGCCATACTCGCCCTCGACTCTCATCTCCCTCATGATGCGCTACGAACCCCCCTCTCCCTTCTCACGCTGGGACACACCCCTGTTCACCGTGCCTTCGTCCGACATTGCTCCTCCGATCCAGCAAATCTGGAACGCCATCTATCCCGCGCCGCCGAAACCGACCAGCAAGAAAGCGCTGAGTCAACTTTCTCCATCCCACCACCAAAGACCTCCCGATGCATCTGCGGCCGGCGGGGACGAGAATGCAAAGCTGCCTGCTGCGTCCTCCTCGACTCCGCGCGACAAGCAGGCCGAAGCGGTGAAACCCCACGCGGCGACGGTCCTCCCTCGCGCCACGGCCTCGGACGCCCTGCAGACCCTCGAGTCCGCCACCATGGACGTGGTGAGACACGTGCTCGCCCAATCCCGCCAACAGAACCTGTCCCAGGCAGACGGTGAGGGCGGCGACGTGCACCTCGCCATCCCCCTTGCAGCACCACCACCAACAACCAGCTCCAGCTCTACTACCAACCCAGCAGCCGAGCCCTTTTCCTCTTCTCCCGAGACGGTGGAAACGACCATCCACATCCCGCCGGGCGTCCGCCTCTCGCAGCCCATGCTCCAGCGTCTGAGGAGGAAATACACGCAGATCCAACGCGGAGGCATCGCGCACGGACAAGGATACGTCAGGGGACGGAGGCAGATCATTCAGGGGTTCATTGAGTTCCTGGAGGCCGAGTGGGCGGAAGAATGAACTGGACGCAAAAAGAGAGAAGCAAAGAAGGGAGAGAGAATCCGGAATAGTTAGTGGGTGGGCAAAGCCAATTTGGATCAAGATTGATCAAAGAGAAACAAAAGGAGACGTTGGTATAAAAGTGGACAGTCGATTCTCATTCTCATTCCCAACCCACTCCTAACCACCCGCCTCGTTCAGAATCATTCCTGATAGCGCAGAGTCGTCGCAGGCTCTGGCAGGAGGGTTGACTCTGAAAGGCACATCTCTACTTTCCAAGACCGTGAACTCCCTCACCCAGGTTATATCCGCAGCCTGTCCACCCACTCAAGCCCATAGATCTTAAAAACGTTCCGATGATACCCAAAAAGAAAGTAGAAAATCCAAAACCTGGCTATTCATGGATGCATCTTCAACTCCAAATCACCACATCAAATGCATTTCTTCACTTCGCTCATCTAACAAAAAAGCAGAAAAAGAAATGAAAACCCGAAATCTTTTCGCAAGCTAAGAGAGAGCACTGAGCCACAAGTATCTCCTCTATGCCTTTTTTCGAGCCCGGTACAAAGGTGGGTCCCTCGATATGACTGTCAAGAAGCATACACGATGCCATCCCCACATGCCACAAAGGGACAGTGGATTATCCATTAGGCCCTCGATGGGCGTCTGCGATTCCGCCGAGAATTTTGCGAGAATTTAGCCTCAAACGTTCTGGGGGTATCAGCCCATGACAACAATGACGACTCCAGAGAAGAGAAGTTCAAAAAGACCCCGATCGTGCAGATAAGAGTAAGTCGCGAGTGTTAAGAAGCAAACAAAGTCGATAGGTGGCTTGCAAGATGGCAATGTCGTAAATGTGGAGAAACTGACGTAACAAGATCAAATTCGTGTGAGCGTTGCATCGGAAGTTGGAAGAGCAATCCAGTGGTCCTCTGGTTCGCGTTGAATTCGGAAGGTGACAATACTAGATCGAGGTGCTGCGGGGTGCACTATCGGCTGCATGGTGATGAATTCCAGGTGGTGTCCGGAACGAAGGTCCTGGTGGTCCTTTTGAGTGGCATGTTTTGGTGGGTGCTAAACATCCGTGTTGTGGTTAATCACATGCCAAAGTAAAAGTGTCCTCGGTAAACACATTTTCATCCGAGAAGCCATCTTGTGGCGAGGAGTCGTTATCTGAGCAAGCAAAATGAGTCGCGTGAGGAAAATACATGGACAATCGCAGGACATTGTAAAAGTGCTCTTTTCACAGAGAGACATCGCCCAAGTCTCGCATTAAGCAAGCCATTTGTGCACGTTTTGCTGCCTCGGCCAGAAAATCAGGCGGCAATTGCCCGGACCCCATTGACTGTGGGTATGCAGGATGCTCCTTAGACATCGAATTTGTGTGCGGGTGTAGATGGTGCTGCTGCTCTTGTTGATGCGCCTGGGGTTGTTGGTCCCCAAAAGGCTGTTGTCCCTGATAACCGGGATGCACTTGCTGGGAGGCATATGTATTAGGCTGTGAGTAGTGTCCGCCGAAGAATGGGCCCATGTGTGCAGCCGAAGGCGAAGGCAACGGGGCGTGAATATGCGGGTGTCCTTGCTGTTGGTGAGGCATGAAGTGCGATTGTATCTGAATACGATGCTGCGGCTGTTGGGGAGTAGGCGGTGGCGGAGGAGGTTGTAGATGGTCACTGACGGGACTCGGGTGGGAACTCGTCGAGGCACTCGAGGGCTGCGAAAAGTTGTTTGTCAAGGTGGAAGCAGAACGACCACCGCTCCTTTGCTGGAATTGCTCTTGTTGAGAACGTGGTGATAGTCGGGCACTCCGGCGTGGATGGCTGCTCATCTTGACCCTCAACCCTTAGGCGCAGGGCGGAAGGTTGTGTTTCAAGAAGACGTAGCCGCTGAATCAGGCGGCTTTGTCTCAGCTCAGATTATCTCCTTCTTTTCAGAAAACAGGGCGCGCGGCTAGAGGTGTTTTGTGAACGAAAGAAACTGCAAGGAGGTCGATGTTGAGGTCGACAGTGGGTGCTCAGGAGGGTGATATGAGGCGCAACTTGGAACACGAGGTACGTAGCGAGGCAAAAAGAGTCGAAGTGAGTGTAAAAGTGACCTCGAGGCAAGAAATGCCGGGGGAGGGAAGATTAGTGCGGCGGTCAATTGGGAATTTGGAGAGCCAGGCGCCTCGAATGTCGATTTCTCCAAGTATTTTTCCTCTTGCACTTTCTGGAGAGGGTCGGAAAACGGACCGTCGAGGCAGCGGGGGGAGATTGTCTGACCACCCAGGAGGGGCGGGCGTGGTACTTTTACAGTCGAAGGAGTCAAAGGCGAGGCCGATCAAGGCCGCGGTTGGCTGGTGAAATAGCCAGTTCGTGGGGGGAGAAACAGGCTCGCAAGATGGAAGTCTGCCGCTCTGGGACAGCGGGAACTGGAAGCCTGGCAGAGTCTGGAGAGATGCGGGGCGCTTTCAATTGGCTGACATGGGGGCACGTTTTCCCGGGCTGATCTGTGGGGGAACCTGGTCGACGAGATGGGGCGGCCACACAAGAGGCAGGTCTTGAGTACCCAGGTACGAGATCGAAGATAAAAGGGTTCAGATCAGGGGAAGAGGTGGTGAAAGGTGGGAAGAATGGTGAAGAGAGACGAGAGGTTAGAGAAATTCGACACCATCGAGAAGAAGACAGCGCAGGCGGCAAATGGGAAGCATGCATCGGAATGTCGGGGTCACGGGATCACGGAATCCCAGCATTTGCCCACATTCACTGGGCGATGGGGGGCGACCGCTGCGGCGGCTGCAGGCAACGGGCAGATGCGGGATTGAAAAGAGCGGATCCCGATAATCTGCCGGCCAGCTGCTCGCCGTCTGTCATCCAGCATGTCTACTTACCTAGTAGGTACCTAGGTATGTAATTAATATCATGTGTACCGAGTTCCTGGTGACTAAAAGTACCACACAGCCCTGGTGGCCCTGGTGGCCGCTCCATGATAACTAACATCCACGGCACAAATCAGTGCCCCATTATGTTGCTTTGTATGCATTTGCCGAGGTCATCTGGCGCTGGATACCTCCTGCTTTATCATTGCACCGGAGCCTGATTGTTCAGCTGGTGAGGCGACTGATGACAGAAAACCAGTCCCTACCTAGGTACCTACCTAAGTAGGTACCAGGTATTCGCGCGTCCTTCCGCGGACCTTGGACGGAAGTCCTCCGGGCTACGTGCTTTGCTCTAAGGGTGGATGCCGAATGATATCTACAGGTCAATCTCGGATGAGGTAAAATAACTCCACACCCTGCCCACGCAAGTACTTGAAAGCTTTTTTGGCGGCCATGAGAAAAGAGGCACAAACGAGGGACTGCCGGTCTTCTGTCAATAGCCTGAGTCAGGCCACCATCACCCAGCAACTTTCTAACCTCTCACCGTATCATTGCGACCGGACCTTTCATCACATCATCGTCCTGCAGAATCCATGCCACTTGCACGTTAGCGATGTAGGGCACTACCCGCCTATCTTGCGTGCCTTTGACTTTTCTCCAACTCCCGTCAGATACTCGCTTGCATGGAGGAATCTTAGTGTCATCAGTCAATACCCAATGCCGATACCCAGACTCGGCGTGGACATGTCCAGGCATGCATTGTCATCCGATTCTTACCCATCAGACCCCCAGCGGCCCTAAGCTGGGAGCCCGTGGAGAACCTAAGGCTAGATTCTTCAGCAAATCTGCCCACCGCATTGAGCTCCCGCAGCTCTTGCCGCGTCAGTTGGGAGACACGTGGTGTACAAAGTGACTGCACAGCGTGTCTGTTGCCGATTTACCACATCGATGTTGATCGGCTGTGTCCAACCAGGAACGCTCCTGGCAGCAACAGAGACATCCCATCACACAAAACGAGACGCTCCACAAGAGAGCCGAGGAATAGTGAAGTCCAAGAGTTAGCCCCATTGTTCCGAAGAAACTTGGTTAAATCATAGGGTGCAGCTATCAAGTCAGTGCTGCAAGTGGTCCCTTTCCACCAGCTAGTAAGCATAGCTGGAGTTCCTCCTTCGTATTTGCTGTGCCAGTGCCCGAGGTCGAAACAGCGGCTGAGTTCGGCTTCCTAAGAAACAATGCTGAGTCTGCTCGATGTGGTAGGTATATATGGCATTGTTCAGCGTTCGGTTGGAGCTCATGGGTCAATCCTACGGGTCGGTTTCGCTACGGTCAGCAAAGGTGAAGGCTCCGACCAGCACTCGTCGTAGCTCGCCTGGTGGGCCACTTGGAGAATAATATTGGAAGTCTTCTGGAAGAGCTTGGCAAAAAAAGACGCACACCCAGGGCACAGGGTGGCGTCGAGCTGGATTCGCATGCGTGTCCAAAGGATCAGGCTTGCACCGGAACCAGGACCCATATTCCTTGATCCATATTCGCGATGCCATCTTCGCAAGGAAAGCCGGTCTGACGCCATCTCTGACCGCCAAAATGGCAGTCGCGAAGTCCAGAGACATCGGGAAAGGACGGAAACAAATGTCTATCGTGGTATTGACGACCCACGACCATTAGCAAGACAAAATTCGGAACTGAAGATCGTGCAAAGCAACCCCATCCAGCTAGGTCTCCATGAGTGTGAAGGACCGTTCCTGTAATCCTGGAACTCGACGCGCTTAATGCCACAGCCGTCACAGATCCTGGAAGTGCTCGAAGTTGAGCTATTCGCAGCCAGTACCCTCATGAAGGCACATCTTGATATCCCGGTCCAGTAGCGACGAATGCGAAGAGCCGGTGAAGACGATTCTCCGACATATGGTGTCCATTCACACGGCGACGAATGAGGGTAGCGCCGAGGTGCTGAAGCAACTCTGAACTTTCACTGTAGTGGCTGAGCCTCATCATAGATCACGGTAGGAAGACAAGGCCAAACACAGGAGCTCCGGAGCTTCTCTCCGTGGCAAACTGGCAGCGGGGACGATGTGGACACAGGGAATCTGAGCAGCAGCCAGCAGAACAGCAAAATCTGTAACATTCAATATTCGGTGGCGCAAAGCTCTCATAGCGAGATTCGGCGCACTTTTAGGCCTGTGAAGCGCCACATGCAGAAAAAATTGACCTCGCTTGCTGCTCGTTGTGTTTGGCGTCCAACGGCACCTGTTAGCTGCGCAGCACCTCTGTCATTTCCGCCACAGAACACGATGGAGCGCGGCGAAGATGAGGATTCCTCCACCTCTCTTGAAATGTTTCAAGAGCCTGTTGATTTCTACGAGCCCGAGAAGCCGCCGACCTTTACGAGCTACACCCTGAAAACCGGCCAGACACTCTCGCTTCGGCTTGTAGGCCATAGTCCTCTCTGGGTGTGATTCGGTCGATTCATCTAGACATTTCTTCGTTCCGCTAACCACTCGTCAAGGGTCATCTACTCTGGAATGCGGGTCAAGTCATGTCCATGTATCTCGAGCAGAACGCGAAGGCGCTCGTGCAGAACAAGACTGTCTTGGAGCTGGGAGCTGGGGCCGGCCTTCCTAGCTTGGTGGCTGCGATCTTAGGAGCTCGAAGAGTCGTGGTGACAGATTATCCAGATCAGGACTTGGTTGCGAACCTGCAATACAACGTGGAGCATTGCTCAGCTCTCCTCAACAAGTCGAACATCGTAACGGAGGGTTTCGTTTGGGGCGGTCGGGTCGAGCCTTTGAAATTGCATATCCTGCCTGATGTTGATGGGTTTGATCTGTTGATCCTGGCCGACATTTTGTTCAACCACTCTGAGCATGCAAAACTGCTGGCCACAGTCCGTGACTGCCTGAAAAAGACGAGCGAGTCGGCGGCCCTGGTGTTTTTCACGCCTTATCGTCCTTGGTTGCTCGACAAAGATCTCCACTTCTTTGAAATGGCTCGGGCTGAAGGCTTTGTGGTTAATAAGATACTAGAGCAGACCATGGATAAAGTCATGTTTGAAAATGACCCCGGAGATGAAGCACTTCGCAGAACCGTTTTCGGGTATGAGGTCAAATGGAAACTTTGTGACTAGCGACTGGGATGTGCCCTGCCCTCTTGCTCCTTTCCAATGTCTCGAGAACTGGATGGAAAGCGCAGTCGATCGCGAAAGGTTCTCGTGTCACCCCCAGGACCAAACATGATCATCCTACTACCAACATCTCGCAGCTGCTCTGCCAACAGCATTTCATTCCTCAAAATCGTATTCCAAGCACTCATGTTCCATTCTTTGAAGGTAATTGGTGCCCCGTAACCCCTGCCACACAAAGGCACATTCAGGGTGTTTGGCTTCTCTGACATGGGTTGACATTGTCGCAGGTTTCCTATCTCAAGGTACAATCCCTAACCCATAACCAAATCATCATGTCCTCAGGAGAGCAAGCCAAGGGAAGCTGGGTGAGCATCGTTGTTGGCTGCTGTGGAAGACGTCGGACAAAGAAGGATACGGAGAATCAGCCACTTGCACAGCCTGCGGCAGGTAAGCGGACATTGCGTGGTGACGCATCTTTTTGTCAAACTTGGAAGTAATTATGATACGATGCTTCCGCTTCTTTGAGAGATGTCTCGAGTAATTTGAAGATAAGACTCGACCCAGGACGCCGTGTACCCTCATTATGCCGACTACAGTTTCCACCTTCTCCATCATTGCTCTCCCAATTATTTCTCTTCTGGGAGCACATATGGAGAGATATTAGAAAGCACGAGACCCTTCTGACTAATTTCTCCCCCAGGGAACACGATCACTACAAGCCCGGTGGCAAACACCTCGAACGTCGAGAATGCCGATGCACACGAGGAGGTCACGGCGGACGGTGACAAATGGCATGTGCCAGGCGTGGGAAGATTTGCTAACCGAGCTGTGTACACATTTGAAGGACATTCGCTGCCTGAAGGTCTTGAGAAGAGCAACTACACTGTTTTCTGCGGGAATTCGAACGACATTCCCTTCCACAGGCGATTTGACTCAGCGAACGTTCGGTGCTCCAGAGGATTTCTGCGCTTGGTAGTTCCAGGAGGCCAGAGACCCTCGAAGCAGAATGGTAACGCAGTCAGCAGCGCAGAGGTAACGACCGTGGAGAAGAACATTCTGCACGGGAGCTTTCGAACCACCGCTATCTTCAGCGCGGAACCCGGCACCTGTCATGGTCTGTCTCCAAATCAACCGCCCTGTCAGAGACTATATACGAGTATTCTAACGATGTCAGGGATCTTCTTCTACAAGAGCGACACTCAGGAATGTGATATCGAATATTTGACTGATCCGACATCCTTATCAAACAACGGGCCCGACGCTCCAATACCCCTTTGGTACACGAACCAAGCCGTGGATCCCACAAAGCTGGACAAATCATCCGAAAGCGGACCGGCTCCGTCTGATTGCACAATCCACGCCCATGAGTATCGAATCGACTGGACTGTGGACTTCACAGCTTTTTACATAGACGGCGTTTTCCAGACAAACTTTACCAACAACATTCCAAACGTGCCAGGCAGCTTCGTCTGGAATAATTGGGCAAATGGTGACAAAGGTATGTATCGAGATATCAAGTGTGTCCGGAAATTGTTACAACTTTCTCTGACAACGGTGGCAACAGGTTGGGCAGTGGGGCCGCCGAATCGCGAGAATGTTCTCAAGATCCAGAAAATAGTCATGTACTACGACACTGCGAGCAACGAGTCAGGTGATTCTGGTTAGATGCGTGTGTTCAAGCGGTACCCGTTTGGAAGATGTCTGGTGTGAAGTAAGAGTGCGCGAATCAAATCCATGCTTATCAAACGGGTCTGCGGCCTCGTCCACCAGGTGGACGATTGACGAGACGCAGATACCACTGACAGGGGTTGCTCGGAATCGGGTATTGCTAGACCGGTCCAGAGGTCGTTTCGGGTTGTTTCAACAATTTCACTTGATGTGCCCTCAAGAAAATCTTTCTGCCTGGAGACGTCTGCTTTTCTCGTGACACACATTCAGCGCGCTACTGGCTGAGGGACCTCGTCCAGCAAACATACTGCACAAAAGAGGTTGAATGAGCAGGGCCAAAGTTGAGCTTATCGGAGATGATAGTGACCACGGCATCTGCCCGCGAAAAGTCCTTGGGAGAGGAGGTGCGAATCCATCACTCTGCGGGCGATGCTATACTTGCCAATGCCGTCATTCTGATCATGGACTTATGTGGACCTGTCAGAGACCAGATTGGCGGCACGTCTCACTGTCTCAGGTATCCACCCGATAACAGAGCATGTGGCGCTGGTCGGGAGATGTGCGTCGTCACCGAGGGCTGCAACCATTTGATACCGAAGCATGCCCCTCGAGCTTACTTTGGGATGCCCCTCTCATCTCTGCGTCCGACTTCTAGTTCCAAAACGGAGCAACGACGGCAACCTAGTTCTTGGAGCGGTCGGGAAGCAAGCAAAGAATCTGGAGGATGGAGGCGTGGCATTTCCGGGGTTGACGTTGACGTGCGTCGTGGATGGAACATTGATTGCAACAGTAATTTGCTGGAAATGATTGCCTGGTGGGACCTGGCCGAGGCTCTCCTCGTCGTACATGAGGAATCTGGGCGGCGAAGCGCGCCTTCTGGAAACCCGAGAGAAGCCGTAGAATGGACGGGCCCGGACACGTTTTCTGGGCAACTTGGACTGATCTCGGAGGACGCGCTCAGTTCTTTACTCGTATATTCCCGAACCGAGACCAGTCTGGACCCACGTTATCGTGCCGGGTGGCTAGTAACCGAGCTTTCGAGACCCTTTGAAGCCAAAAAACCCCAGTGGTTCGTCCTGTCGTGTCGAGGAACAAAGCATGCCGTTCGCTGCTATGATTTCATCTTGCTGTTTGTCAATGCAACCTTTGTCTTGTTTTCGTCTCTTCTGTGCCGGCGTCATCCCCCGAGTTGCAACGGACAGTGGGAAGGGTTGTGCATACCTAGGTAGGTATCACCATTACGGCGCGCCTGAGTTGGCAGCTGCACAGAAAACACCCGCCTCAAGGGGGTAAGAGGATGATGACATGAGAGCGGGATATTCAAAGAAGAAACCCACGAGAGCGGGCGAAGTTTGTTCTATCAAGGAAAGCGAAAACGTGAGAGTGAGCTGAGAGAGGAGGGTGAGGTCCAACCCAACTGGACGGGTACGCGGCCATGGGCCATGCGGGAGAAAAAGAATTGGGCGGCTCTTAGTTAAAAGCTCAACAAAGCAGCCCCCAATAAGGGAGGACATCGGCGGACATCCCACCCCCCGCGAGGGGCGCAGGGCGATCGACAAGTGGCTTCCTCATGGCTCCCACTGCGCATCCCACCTTTTTTCCCACTGCGGCCTACATTGGGCTGCTGCAAGCCTGCAACCACGCAACCAGTGGCACTCCACCATGCTCAATCCGTCCAACGAAAAACCATTCTCTTCGTCAATCGACCCTATCCCGGCCGATGAAGGGTTCATTCCTTTCACAACCCCGTCTCCGTTTTTATGCCTTCTTGTCTTGCATGGTTGCATTCTCTTTTTTCGCCTTTTCGTCGTTCCTTTTCTCCCTAGTCAATCTACTCTACCCCCGGTTAACGGTTAACCTGATTCTCTCTTTCCTCTCCTTCACTGGTCCATTGCACCCCTCCTCGTTATTCGTTGTCCGCCTCTTATTTCCAGAGTACCCCCCTCGTTGGCACCCGACACCAGCTGGGACCCCTCTGTGCCGTTCGTTCATGGCCTTTGCCTTATTTTATTAATTGCTTGCCACTGCCACCTGCTGTGGGACTCATGAACCTCTCGGTCAACGGTTAATTACCCTCTCGTCTCCACGACCAAAATACCTCGTCCACCTTCGACACGGACCTTCGATTCCTCCCCTACGAGGCCCTCAACGGTACTCAACCCTCTGCACTCGCTAGGTCTCATGACGCCCTGAAAACTCGCTTACTTCGGGTTGTACAAACCGCCCTGCATACGCTGCTGCCCAAACCTCGCGAGCGAAAAACCTGCGATTTGCTGTTGCGGCATTGGCACGGACGCCTGCTTTGGCTGGTCCAGCGCACAACGCCTCCCTTCCCCAACGTTCACAGCGCCCCGGACCCCGGACGACCAGCACATCACACGAGAGACACCCAAATCTGCTTTTCTGATGTCTCGATGTCCACACGCCGCCTGTTGAGAATGCCGCTATAGACCTCGGACCTCCGAAGCATTTGTCGTTTCAGCTGCGCGTTTTTTTCCTCCCTAAAGATCCTCAGTCCACACACACCATTCAGCCAACCTCTTACAATATTGATCTCAATATTCTATAAAGGACAGCTTTCGAGATGTGCAAGGCTCACGTGCTGCGGTTCTGTTGTGGACATGGCATACTGATGGGCTTCGAAACATGCAAACTGGCGCCGTGCCCGCTTCTCAAGACTACCGGTGTGAAGCTCCCACAGCAGCCCTACAAATGCTACAACTGTCAGAACAGACTGTCGAGCTCGAATCTTCGACCTTTGTCGTCACGAGGGTGCTCCTCCTCATCGACTGGAAGTTTAGATTCCAATTCTTCGGGCTCCTCTATCACCCCGCCGTCCTCACCAATATCTCGAGTGCCCACGAAAGTTTCGGCTCCTCTGCCAGGTGTGGCTTGCCAACCTTCAGAATGTGGGGAGTTGGGTCGCATGTTTAGTCGCTCGCAATCATTCTCCTCCAAAGGATTCCGTTTCTCGTGCACCTCATCTTCGCACTACCCGACCCCGCATTACATGGGCTTGCCAACGTTCCTGCCTCACCAGGACCACCCCTGCCCGCCCTGTCAACTGGAAGAATTTCGCATGAACGCAGACAGAGAAGCTATTGCATCGGCACGGGCACAATATCCTCACCTCACGTGCGAGATGCTTGTAAGAGATGGGCGGAAATGGGAAGAGTGGCAGACCAAGCCGAGTCTGGAGAAATTTGTCGAAGAGAAGCGGACAGACGAGAAGCAAATGTGGCTGCATGTCACGAGGAAGTGGACCCAAGATCTGAAGAAGGTTCGAGTCCTTGTCTCGGAGGAAGATGGATTGGGATTACTAGGATGATGCAATGCTGATTACATTCGGAGTCTGGCCTAGTAAAGGGAGGTGTACACTCTTCGTGGGAGATGGAAAAAGCGAAGGATGACTGGCTTCTTTATGATACCCATCGGCTGGCTGGCGTCGGAGAAAATAAGGAGGATACTTCTTTTCCAATTCCCAGAGTATATAGGGAATAGACAGCACCATCAATTGTTGATATATTGCCAGAGAAGGCTTTCCAATTCCTACGCTACTAGCATCAAGGCTGAATGACGTAAAATGTGCGTTGGAAGAGTCCCGGTGGTACCTGCCAAGATCCGGGGTTGGCATGTCCGAGCTCCAAGCGAGCAGGGATGCGCTGTTACTAAGGACCGTAGCTTGGTCGATAAGTCAGCACTGGTTGGCATCGCAGGCAACATCATTCTTTTCATCGTGAAGCAGGCCTTCAATCGAAGTGATTCATTTTTGCATCTCTCTCAGTAGTTATTTATCGCGTTGACAACTGCAAACATGCGGCTCACACAGGTGTCGCTCCTTTTATCGCTGTCCTCTTTCGTCCTCTCCATCGTTATCTTTCCCGAAGCCGAAGTCTTCCAGACCCAACCTAGGGACTCCCCTGACCGGTTGTCCGAGGCCACCGCGGCTGAACTCGCAGTGGAGGCATTGGAAGAGTATCTCGGACTGCCTGCCTCACGTGTTGTTGGAGAAGAGGAAGAGACCGGAGATGAGCTCAGACTCACTCCAAAAATCGCCGACCTCCCTCATGTCATCGAGACGATTGTCGAAGACGATTGGGTCAGGATTACAAGGCTGTCCCCCAATCCATCCGCGAAAACGGTCGACGGTGGCTCTGACGACGACCAGCCCCTCCCCGTGGTGATCTGGCACGGGCTTGGAGATTCAGCCGACGCCAAAGGGATTAAAGAGATCGCAGCTATGTTGGACAATATCCATCCGGGCACATATACATATATCATTTCCCTGGGCGGTAACCCCGGCTCTGCGGATCGCCAGGCTTCGTTCTTTGGTAACGTCACCGAACAAGTCCTTTCCGTCTGCCACTTGCTGGCAAGCGACAACATTTTGCGCACAGCACCTGCCCTCGACGCAATCGGATTCAGCCAAGGTGGCGTTTTCCTGAGAGGCTACGTCGAAAGATGCGCCCATTGGGCACCCAAGATTCGGTCCCTGGTCACTTTCGGATCTCCACACAATGGCATTGCCGAGTTTCAGAAATGCGCCTCGGCCTCGGACTGGATTTGTCAAGGCGCCAATGCGCTCTTGAAGAGCAGCACTGTCTGGTCCGACTTCATCCAGTCGAGACTGGTGCCTGCCCAGTATTACCGCGATACGAAAGATTTTGACAATTACCTCGAGCATTCGAATTATCTGGCGGACATCAACAACGAGCGCACACGCAAGAACGTCACTTACGCCCAAAACCTGGCCACCTTGGAAAGATTTGTGATGATCCTTTTCGACAATGACAAAACCCTCATTCCGAAAGAGAGTGCATGGTTTGCAGAATTCAACGAAACCGAAAACTCGGTTACACCCCTCCGAAATAGGCCCATCTACAAGGAGGATTGGATCGGCCTGAAGAAGCTGGACGAGAAGGGCGGTTTGAAGTTCGTGGGCTTGCCTGGTGAGCATATGGAGTTGCGAGCGAAGGATTTGAGGAGCTTGTTTGAGGTATACTTTGGCCCGGCGGGAAAGAAATTCGAGGAACTTGACGCTGTGGAGGAGCAAGAAACGGGTATCAAGCCGGAGTTATAAATCATTCGGCCGAGCTCTACCTCTGAGACTGCGGTGTTGCTGCTGAAGATGATGGCTTTTGTGAGTTGGCTGACTTAGCGAAACCTTTGTTTGGGATGAAGGACTGTAAATGCCAACGAAGAATAAGGATTGACTTTTATTTGGCCCATATGGAGGTAGCTATGTCTACATGCATTGCTGAACGAGCATGCCTGGGTAGAAGTGATCTCACAACCTCATTAGGCTCCGGATCCAGGGGCCTGTACTCTCTCGGGAAACTTGCTGCAAATGGAGGGAAAAGGGCATCTGAGGGAGCAAGGGATTTATGAGTCGAAATATTGCACGATGGTTGTAACCCTTCTATTTGTCTATGGAAGACTGCATTTATTGATGCGTTGATTCAGACGTGACTTTCATTGACTTTCCTTCAACGGAGCCCGCTATTTCGATCGATCTCTCACAAGACGCGCCAGTCTCGTGCCCTACGAGTATAGCAGACGCTATGTCTCACGTCGCTCATGCCGTGGAGACCTCCAAAACGTGGACTCGAGATGGCTTTATGATATCCACGGATACAGCGCTGATACCAATCGACACTCTTAACAAAGCCTTTGCCTCGGAGGATATGTATTGGGCTTCACCACTTCCCGAACCAGTCATGCGGGATATGCTGGATAACTCCATCTGCTTTGGCCTTTACTCACCCACGCCGGCACCACCTCCGGCAGCGGAACCGAGTCAAGAAGGCACCGGTGTGGCGGCGGCCCCTGACCCTGCGGAAACGTTGCATGAGATCGCGACATCCGTTAAACCAGGCGTTAACAGCAATCCCACAGCCACAGCCCATGCAGAAGGGCCAGTAGGAACAACAGCGCGAGAGGAACAGGGCCCTTCACTGATTGGTTTCGCCCGTTGCATCACCGATCGCGTCAGTCTTCTCTATCTGACCGATGTGTACGTCCAGCCCGAGTGGCAGGGCCGGGGCTTGGGGAAGTGGCTCATCAGCTGTGTCCAAGAAGTCGTCGAAGACATGCCCTATTTGAGACGGAGTTTGTGCATTATTGGCCATGACAAGGAGAGGAGCATGGAGTTTTACGGCAGGTTGATGAAGATGACGCCAGTTCAGGAGCCCGTAGCTGTGCTCAATTGGAAGGGCCCAGGGAACACGTTCTAAGAGAGGGCGGGAAAGTTCCCATGGACGGCACAGGAGGAGCCCGCGAGATACATACCAGTGAACAACCCAATATCACCTCTCATTTTCCAGTTCCAATAACATCTCTTGTGCTGATGTCTGTTTTCTAGGCCATCAGTTCAACTGCTAACGAAGCCGTTTCTGAAGCGCCAATCGTCCAGCACAGATATCGCTCCTGAGAAAGAGGATGCCTGGCTACGTATATTCCCTCTCTGCCACAGGGCATATCGACGACGATATTGAGAGTGCCATAGTGTCACCAGGCCGCCAAGTCCCTGCACTGTCTGGCGATCGTTCAGCACTACTTGCGGCAAGCGAGGCAAATGACTTGCTTCACCCCGTCCCGGCATCACCGAGTGAGTGAAGATGTGGAGTGAATCGATTCAGATCTGTCACTTCGGGCTCAAGTGATCGCAGGTTGCATCTGCCTTGCAGAGGAGCAAAGAAAAACCTCACTTGAGTTTCCTGCAATGTGAGTCTCTTCAACCATACCTCGCTGTGCTCCTGCTCCGTGTGCTCTCTCGCATCCATCTACACTCGTTAAGCAAGATGATCTTCAAGGCTGTGGTAGGAGTGGTGCCCACACTTCTTCTGCTGCTACTTCTTTTCACCCCGAATCTGAGCTTTGCCGCAGCTCCATTCTTTGCCTATCCAGACGGTACAAGTCCGAACGCGAAGCGGAATGTCACGCAGGCGTTCAGAGATGCCATAACACTTGCAAGGGTTGTCTCCCTAACTGCCACCGACTGTGACCCGGTAAGTAACAAGTTGCAACGCACAGAAAAGACGAGAGTTCATCGGTCCTTTTTTCCCATCCAGACATTCCTGACCCTGACGTGGCCTGGCCTTTTTGCTAACGCCCAAATGTTTCTGTTTTTGGGCAGGCCTTCCTGCGATATTTCAAACCCCAAGACTACACCTTCGTGCAGCGCATGTTCCGAACGATCGCCAACATTGACCCGTTCGTGGAGATCAGCCCGGTAGACATCATGGTGATGCTCTCTTCATCCAACTCGGCGGCGACGTGGAATCCGGACTATGTCGACCTGTGCATCGCGTACGGGGACAACCCTTACAACCCGCCCGTTGACATATCGTGTGGTGAGGATGAAGGCCACACATACGGATACACCGTCTACGACACGCGTCCAACGGCGCAGTTTTCTGGCTTGATATCAATGTGCCCCGATGGCGAAATATTCAAATACTGCCTCTCCCTAAGGCAGACGGAGAACCCTCCTGCCTGGGCGCGTGTCGGCGGCCAGCCCGACGGCGCGCCCCTCCCGGGTTTTGGATGCGACGGCTTAGGGGATCGCGACACAACTTACATGAAGGTGCTCGGGTCGTCGATATTGCACGAACTGTTCCACTGGCCGTGGATGTTTTTGAGCATCCCCGGCTATGAAACTAACATCCCGGACCATGGCCACCGTATCTGGGACTACGACGGGCCTTGGGTTCCTTCGGCTTATGGTCCGTGGAATGCGATGCACATCAACCAGCTCCCCGCTGACTCAAGGTCGGGAATGTCTCAGTCGCTACAGAACGCCGATAACTATGTCTGGTACGCACTCTCGAGATACTGGTCCTATAAGTGTGACAAGACTTTTGGACCGCCCACCTCGGCGGATGATGCTACGATTTTGGGTGAGAGGCAGAGGGGGCCTGGGAACTAGATCTCACCTTGGGATGGAGAGTCGGGTGGAGAGGGGAGAAAAGTCAATCAAGACGGAAAAGCCAGACAGGCTGGAGATAGGGGGGGAGAGAGGAAGTGAAGGGAAAGGGACACTGGGATCCGGAACTAGACCTCACGAGCCCGTGGGTTTCCTCACCATTTGATACCTAGATACATAGGTAAAATTAAAAGTAGGGACCCACGATATCCCATTCCCTTTCTAAAAAGCTGCATGTCCTCTCTTAATGGGGACTTAGACCTGTCCCATTCTATACCGCCTCTATCGAGATGACTTCTTTACCAATATCTATTGATCCACTCCGTCTTGTCTTGGTATATAAACCCCTCTAATCTACCCAAAGTCTGAGATAAGATGTACTTCGCAGCCAGGACTCGCAAAAGTTCACAACTTGGCAGTCAGGAGAGCGGCATCGTCCTTTGCATCATCTATCCGGCGGCCGATCTCGTCGAACTCAATCTTCTTGCCCGTGATCAGACTCTCTTGCAAGGCACAGCCGATCTTGACCGCGGCGACAGCGCCTTCGAGTCTGAACGGCGGCTCGGTGTTGTCGAGACAGCAAGCGGTGAACTCGTTCGCTTCGGTGATGAAGGCCTCCCGGAAACGGCCATAGTAGTGAGGAGGAATCTCGCGGCGGATGCCGGATGGCTCGTAGATGTTGACGAGGTTGGACATGGGCTGCGTGTTGATGGCGAGTTTTCCCTCGGTGCCGGTGACCTCGGTGCCTGAATGCCTCTGTCAGATGGTATACTCAAGGAATATAATCCTCTGGGAAAAGGGGGAGGAGAAATGGTAAGCCCTTACTGTCTTCTTGCCCTGCAGCCATCATTCTACTGCAGTACAGCTGAGCAATCTTGCCCCCGTAGAACTCGACAATGCCCAACGCATTGTCGCGATCGTTGTACTTTCGCAGTTCTGGGGACACCGCGGTGATGCCGATCGCACTGACCGATTTGACCACGGAGTCTTCGCCGAAAAACCACAGGGCCAGGTCAATGTCGTGGATTGAGCAGTCCACAAAAATGCCCCCGGAGAACTGCGCGTACTGCACAAAGAACCCGGATGGATCGAGCTTGTCGCAGGTCTGGGACCGAAAGACGGCCGGGCGTCCGATCAAGCCCGATCGCATTTTCTGATAGGCGTCTCTGTAGGATGCATCGAACCGGCGCGAGAAGCCGCAGATGACTTTTTGGTTGGGGTAGGTTTTCTTCGCCGCCCGGTATGCCGTGACGACTTCTTGCGACTATTGCGAGAGAGAAAATAAATGGATCAGCATGCCGGGACAGACACAGTGACACAGCAGGGAAAGGAAGAACCTGCCACGTACGATTTCGGGATTTGTGCTGAGTGGTTTCTCGCACAGGACGTGGAGACCCTGTTTGATGGCTTTGATGGCCTGCTCGGCGTGAACAATGGTCGCCGAGGCAATGACGACCGCCTGCAACTCCTTCTCTTCCTTCAGCATCTGGTCGTAGTCCAGATACGTCCGCACACCCTCCAAGTTTCGGGTCGCCCAGGCCAATTCTCTGGGGTCTGGAGATGAGACCGCAATCAAATCTGCACGAGGCGTCATGGTGTGGAAGTGAAGCGCATGACGGGCTCCCATGCGGCCTAATCCCGCAATCGCGACTTGGAGCTTTGGCGAGGACATTTTCGGAGATATATCTTATAAGGAGATTGACGCTGGAAGAAAAGGAGAGAAACTGGGTAGCGAAGGGAAGATGTATTGAATTTGCAAACAAACAAGCAACCGAAAAGTCTCTCACTACCTTGCAATGAGCAGAAGACAACAACCCTCAAGAACGGCGCATTGGTCTATATACGAGGGACCGATGGGAAGATTTCTTTGTTGACATGGACAATTTTAGACCACGATTGTTCTTGGCGGTGAGGTGAGGCTTTGGCGATCCATGACTGACTGCGCCGCCGCTACTCCCGCGGTTTGCCGTTCTCCCTTCTCCCTTCTCTCTCCACCTCTTCGTCCTGCCCCGAAACAAGCCGTCAGCCCCAGACCCTTCCGACCATCGGAAGAAATTGCCTGATCCTGGCCCTCGGGGGTTATTCGCCACATTGGACAAGTCGCCAGCATACAGATTCAGTGGTGGAGGATCGACGGCCCACAAACACCCAGCGAGAACCAGCGCGGCGGGGAAGATGATGATCAAAAACAGGCAATTCTCCTCCGGCTCTTGCATCCCATATGCTTCTCAGCTTTCTGTCGCTGTTTGAAACCTCCTTCGCCGAAGGTACACCTTGCCAAAGCTGACCCATCGTCGTCCATGACTCCATCCGGGTCGTTGATCAAGCCATGGAGGCTTTAAGCATTGAGCACCAGCAAGACGAGGGCCATAGCCGCTTAAGGGGCAACAATGATGCCGAGCACGTCCCAGGCCGAAGCAAACGCAAGGCAAGAATTAGTCCTTGCGATAATTGCAGAGGTGTCTCTCTCCCTCAATCCCTTGCCATACGCGCCCTGTTCTCCTAAAGCCTTGTCCCATACCTCCTTCAGACCCCCTAGTCCACGTGACGTACTGACAGTCATGGACAGAGAAGCATATCAAATGTAGGGCGGTGCATTTTCTGCCATGTTACGATGTTCGTCCATAAGGATGCTGAGACATTCTAGGCGATTTGACCCCGGGGCCTTGCAGAAGATGTCAGAGAACGGGCGATCGGTGCATTCGCAGTAGGACGGGCATCAAATTTCGACATGGGTCTAGTGCGAGATATGATACCAAGGGTTTCTCAACGGATCAGACTTGGTTGAAACCGAAGAGGGCGCTCGGTATGAGCATTTCCTGCTGGGAACATATGCTACTGACACTTCTACAGAACTAAAGTACATCGACGAGACTGCCGAATTGACGGCTATCTACGACCAGGATGCTGAGTTCGAGGATGCTGACGACCTGGACGCTGAAGACGAAGCCGTGCCCGGCCCGGCCTCATCTCTGGGTGACGCAGAAGGAGAAGACAATGGAGCTGGTCTGGCTGCTACAGCCACGGGTACATACCGCACAGACGATGGCACGACAGGTTTTACAAACGTGGAGCTGGGAGACATTTCGAATGCTGGGTCCGGTCCGTGGCCGCCACAAACAAGCAAGCAATCTGGCCTTGAAAGTACCCTGGAATCGACTACGGGGCCTTCACCTGATTATGTGCCCAGTGGCTGGAGTTCCCAAAGATCCCTGCCGTTTTCTTCCCCTCTTCAGACCAGGCAAGAAGACCTCGAGTCTCCGAGTTCGCCGCTATTCTCGGGCCTGGTGAAAAAGCCATCAAGGTCGTCTACCCTAGCAATACACACAGTGTTGGAGGTAATCCTTCTTCGTTACTTTGTGGACCAACTTGCTCGGTGGTTTGACCTCTGTGACCCGGAAAAACACTTCGAGTTCATTGTCCCTCAGCGTGCGCGTTGGTGTCCGCCACTCCGAAATGCGATGCTTGCCGCATCGGCGCGCCATCTCACCCGTGTTCGTCATTCGAAGCTAGGGCCGGAGAACGTCTATTACCTCGACGGCCAGCCGGTTGCTGACTTGACCGAGGAGACGGCTTTACACTATCACAGCGAATGTATAAAGGATCTGCTCAAACGGAGCCTCGACGCACAGCAAACCAGAGACGAGAACCTCCTGGCGGCAGCTATCATCCTCCGTTTCTACGAGGAGATCGATTCGCCCCTCCGCGCCGATGAAGAACGAGACAGTGAGCTTTTCCTTCGGGTCATGAACGTCTTTATTGACGCACAGATTCCCTCGGTCCCTCTCGTCCCGCATAGCTCACCCGTCATCAACGGTCCCAAGGTCGGCCCCATCGCAAGGTACAATGTTGTGTCAACCCCGGAAGCGGTGCATTCCCCCAATGTGCCCGCGGTCACATCTCCCTCGCAGAACTTGGGTAGTTCGGTTGATGGCCAATCGAGGTGGCGGGCAGACGGTCTTTGTCAGGCCAGTTTCTGGGTAGCATTCCGCCAGGAAATATACTCAGCCTTCTTGAAACAGCGACCTTTCAATCACGATCTCTCCCGTTGCGAAGCATTCCGATCCTTCTCGCCGGCCGAGGACGCTGTGTGGGCCGATAGGTTGATCATTTTCTGCGCGGACGTCCTGGAATTCTGTTACGGGAACAGCAACACGAGCACGCGCCTGGACAAAAACCTCTCGACTACGGACAACTGGCTCTCGCTCAAACAGTACGAGGAAATGTGGCCGGAGGTCCTGCCAGCCTCATTCGAGCCCATCTACTATCGAGACCCAGACAGGTCGAAGGGAGAGGTATTTCCCGAGGTGTGCTATCTGGCAGATTGTCACGTCACCGGGGTGCAGCACGTTGAACTGGCCAAGATCCTGCTGGCCGTTTATGATCCTACGAGACCGAAGCTTGGACCAGGCCACGTCGCCAGCATGAAGACATTGAGCCAGGAATTGAGGACGATTGTGCTGCGTCTCTGTGGGATCGCCATGAGCAACCGCAAGACGCCGCCTGGACTTGTGACGGCGCTTCTCGGAATCGTGGTCTGTGGAGATCACTTCGAGGACAGGATGGAACAGGATGCTCTGTTTGGTATCCTGGATGAGCTGGAATACACGCACGCCTGGCCCATTGGCAACACGAGGGATCAGCTGAAAGACGCCTGGGGGAGAGGACCTGAGCCCCAGTGACATTTCTCGTGATGATTGACGCTGTATTTCCATAGTGTTGCTCAGAAGAGGTCACCTCATTCTATGCTATGCCGCAGAATTGCCATGCTTTCAATCTCGGTGGATTCCATAACTGGGCACTATCTGCAATTCGAACCCATGAGAACCGGACGTACAAGCGTGGCGAGCAGCACACGTCGCATTGTTGCCCACGTGGAACCGCGAGTTAGGTCCGGGGACTCTCCAGCGTTTGTAGTGATTGTGTGCCAACAGCGGAGTTCATCCGGAGATGGAGGCGACTGGAAGAAGCTCCTTAGCTGGTCCTCTTACTCCTGTGCTAAAAGTACAGTCCCTCCCACAGGGAGAAAGTGGATGCAAGGTGCTATGACGCTGAGACTACGACCCCACGGGGGCAAGCGGCTTCTAGACGAGAAGCTCCACCTTTCAGCCTCGCCGACAAATTCCCCTTTTCGTCAAAAGGGGCATTATTATACGTCGTCTTGACCAAACATCCTCCCCCCTCCCTCCTCCACAAGCGATGGACATTCGGCGTGTCGGTTATTGATCCCTTTCGAGATCCGTTGATCCAACTATGTAGATGCCACCTATCAATGTTGGTGGGTAGCTAGCCGTCTCATACAGCGCAGACCATTCAGCCCGTTACCGCTGCCTGGTCTGCAAGTCCAACATGCAGCCGACCACCTTGGAGTACCCCAAAATATTGGTCTCAGCACGATGCATGTGTGTGTGTGACACAGAAGTGCAGCACCGAAAACGTGAGTGAAAAAGACAGACGAGCGAGGGGTTAGTGAGTCTCTGTGTTCCTCCCCTAAACTTAAGCGAATGAGATCTTTTAGTTGATGGGCCATTAAGATATGCCTTCCCCGACATCTAGAGGTCCTCTTCTGTTCTTCGCACTTACGGCAGCGCGGTTCAACAGAACCGGGTACCAGGAGAGGGAAAAGAGCATCAATCAAGGTGCTAGGTGTCACCGTCTTCCAGTCCATCTTCGTGTTTGCCATCTGCTGTTTCACCCTCGTCCCCTTGAATACCTACCTCCGCGATCCCAGGGGTCTGCGAAAATACTCGAACTTGACATTCTGGTCCGGTATATCGGACCTGTCCTTCACTCACGAAGCATACCAGAGCCTCCGGTCGCACATCCTGCTCAAAGGCCCATGAAAAATCACCTGTCGTGCGGATTGGGCCGAACTCGCTCTCGTTTTCCAACCCAGAGGCGATCAAGGACATTATGGACACAACACAAAATGCACAAAGGACATCTTCTACCAAGAGCTGGTGGAGGGTCATTTCCACCTTGCGGCTGTCATCGACAAACCCGAGCACGCGCGGAAGAGAAAAGTCTTGTCGAGTGCCTATGCCATTAAAAATTTGGAGGCGTGGGAGCACAAGGTCGCAGATATGACCGGTCGCCTGATTCGGGCGTTTGATTCTTCGTGTTCTGCACCACTTCCCAAGGGACAGCTGCCGACCGGGGAAGACCTTACTGTGGACTACCGCAGTGGACCAATCTGTTCGCAGTCACAGTGATTGCCAACATCGGACTGAGCGAAGATCTGGGCTTTCTCGAGCGTGGAGACGACCTGGTCATCTCCGAGGCGGCTGATGGAACTTTGAAGAAGGTCCATTCCAGAGAATGCCTGCACGCCACGGCCTGGGAACAGTCGAATCTGGTCTGGCTTTACACGCTCGTAGACGCTGGTCAGGCTCAGCAAAATCTTCCGAGCACGTACCGAGAGAAATGGCGATTGAACCAAGACTGGAACAGCATTGTGTGAAACCGAGCCATGACGAGATTCAAGTGATACTTGGCTGGTGAGCAATTGAACGACGTTTTCACGGTCATTTTGCACGACAAGTCAGGCAGGCCCAACAACCTCGAATGGGGCGAAATGGTTGCCGAAGTCAGCATCAATGATGAACGTGGAGAGTGATACTACTGCTCCTGCAATGAACAATGTGATGTTTCTGCTCTTGAAGCACCCTGCCTGGCTGGAGAAGCTTAGGGAGGAGTTGGACAATACCCTGAAGAAGATGAAGAGATCGCAGCGTACGACAAGATCAAGCACCTCCCTTACCTCCGCGCTTGCCTCGACGAGAGCCTACGCCTCCTCCCACCCTCGACCTTTGGCCTGTCTCGTCGCACGCCGCCGGAGGGAGCGCCGGTAGCAGGCGATTTTTTTGCCGGAAACACCTCAGTGTCCATGTCCTCGTACGTGGCGCACCGGGTCAAGACTATTTTTCCAGACCCGGAACAGTACAAGCCCGAGAGATGGTTGGGTCAAGCAGGCAAGGAGCTGCAGCCATACTTTATTGCCCTCTCTGCCGGGGCCAGGGGATGACTTGGTCGTGATATAAGCTATTTGGAGCAGAGGGTGCTGTTGGCCTCTGTGGTACACCGGTTCGACTTCGGACGAGGAGGGAGAACTTCAATCTCTCGGCAGCGCCGATGCCCCTGAAGGTCTGGAGACGGAAGAAGACGCATCAATGAGAATGCCATGGCTGGAGGAGTGTGAACCATGGAGCAGTCGTCCTGCTTTCCCTCTTGAATGCGTATGTCGAGGGAGGAAGGGACTAACGTAGTTCACGAATTCGATCGATAAGATACAGCCGTAGTCGTCACTGACTGAATATATAGACGCCTCTTTTGGGCCATGCACCTCGCTTCGACGACCATCAGATTGTTGTAGCCTTGACATTGCTACATTTCTGCCCGATCCATAGATCTCTTTCGGAAACCTCGAAAGGTCATTCTGGCAATGCCACTGTGGTCAGGTTTATTGCCGTATGACTTTTCTAGGCCAAGCCCAAGCCCAAGCCAGGTTGACTCCAGACCTGCTGGCGAGCTGGGTGAGCTTTAGCCACCACGGCAGCTTCCCCCGTGTTCCCCTGCTCACAGAAGACACTGTAAGAGGCCTGGAGGCCTTGGTCTGGGGTACAGGCGAAGAATTACCCATTCCGACAATGTGGGGATCCTTTCGGCGAACGCCTTCGGATGGGATTCCGCAGAGTCCAAAGGGCCCGGATTCTACTAGCGATGGTCTTTTGCGGCGGGTGGATGAAATCCTGAGGCAAATTCTCGCCGGCCGGCAAATCAACCGCCCACACCAACGCCCACAGAGAAACCCTCCCCCAGACAATCCCCGGTCCTCCAACTCCAGTTCCAGCGAGTTAAACCTCCACGAACGGCATGGTCGACGCTGGGACGCCGGTCCCAGCCTCTTTAGACTTTCGTACTTGCGGCCAGGCCCATTGGCTCCCACTTTGCGGAGGATTCTTCGCGGGCATGGTCAAAAAAAAGAGGCAATTCGACATCATGGACCCCTCCGATTGACCGGCGGCATATACGACGGCTTTTCCAGAAACATGTATGATATGGCAATCCGGGGAGAGGAGGCGGGATTGTCTATATAACCCTCAGGAATTCCCTCTCCCTCCAGTGTTTGACACGACTTCAACCTCATCCCAACACCTCGAGTATATCGGGAGAGGATCAAGACTCGGAGAACAATCCACCATCAATCCACCGACTTAGAGGATCATCTTTTCATAGGTTCACTTCCCTCATTCGTCCCTTGAAGACTCTTGTCATCCACGATGGCGAACCGCGACCACGTCTCACTCGAACAGAAGATCCAAGAGAAGGCAAATCACCATGAGCATCTCGAGGAGCCATCTCGAAACGTGGTGCGAGGAAGTCTGCGTGCCGACAGCGTGACACGCGCCTCGTTTGACCGTCGCCACTCGATGACTTCGATGCCCGGCACAGGCAGTCGCCGCGACAGCATTCGGAAGAGCTTCGACAGGGCCAACGTGGCCATGGTAAGTCAGATGCACAATACGCACTCCGCTACACACGAGACTGACCAAAACAAATCCAGGTCTTCCCAGACTCGACCCACGTCGAGATATCCGACGATGAAATGGGAAAGAACTCAATCGACGACATCTCCCCATCCTGGTTCGTCTGGCTGGTCGCCCTGACTGCCTCGATCGCGGGCTCGCTCTTCGGCTACGACACCGGCATCATCTCCGCCGTTTTGGTCTATCTCAACAATGACCTGGACCACCGCCCGGTCTCGTCCAACGAGAAGGAACTCATCACATCTCTGTGCTCGGGAGGGGCTTTCGTCGGTGCCATCATCGCAGGCCTGACGGCGGACAAGTTTGGTCGCAAAATGGCAATCTACGTTGGCTGCGCTCTCTTCACTATTGGCGCCATTCTGCAAGCTGCCGCGTACTCGATTGCGCAAATGTCGGTCGGCCGACTCGTTGTCGGATTCGGTGTGGGCTCAGCTGCCATGGTGGTAAGTTTCCTTCCTTCTGAAAACCATCCTAGAGGATCCAGCGAGTGTGATACTAAACGAGATAAATCCACAGGTTCCCCTTTACATCGCCGAGATTGCTCCCACCAAAGTCCGTGGAAGGCTGATCGGCCTGAACAACATGTCCATCACCGGCGGACAGGTAGTATCCTACGGAATCGGAGCCGCCTTCGCTCATGTGACTCACGGATGGCGATACATGGTCGGCTTGGGTGCGGTCCCCGCCATCATCCTCGCGTGCCTGTTGCCCTTCTGTCCAGAATCCCCCCGTCAACTCGTCTACCACGGCCGAATCCCCGAAGCGGAGGCGGTCCTGGCAAAGATCTACAAGGGAGCCACGGCCGAACAGGTGCGAGCCAAATGCGCCCTGATCGCCGCCGCCTGCGAGGAGGCCAAAGAACTTAACGAAGACCAATCTCGCTGGGCCAAGATCAAGCAACTGCACACCAAGCCGGCCTACTTCCGCGCCTTGATCTGCGCTTGTGGACTGATGGTCATCTCGCAAATGTCCGGCTTCAACGTCCTGATGTACTACTCCTCGACGCTGTTTGACATTGTGGGGTTCTCCAATCCTGTGGCCGTTGGGTTGGTGGTTGCCGGCACAAACTTCGTCATGACCTGGGTCAATATGATGCTTGTCGACCCCATTGGCCGTCGACGACTGCTGATCGCCACCGTCTGGGGCATGAGCGCCGGTCTGGTGGCCGTCGCCATCGCATTCAGTTTTATTCCTATTGATACCAAGACCTTGGCCATTGAGACGACAAAGGTCACCACGCCGGCGATCGTGGTACTCGTTTTTATCATTTGGTTCGTCTTCTTTTACGGTGTCAGTGTTGGTAAGTTTACTCAACCCCTCCAGCAAAAAGCCCACTAGCCTCTTCTCTCACTGACATGTATTTCTCTCCCTAGGCAACACCGCATGGATGTCGACCGACTTTTTCCCCATGGAAGTGCGCGCCATGGGCACCATGTGGCTCACGTGCTCGTGCTGGGGGTCCAACATCATCGTCTCCTCGACATTCCTGTCCATGATGAAGGGCCTCAGCCCGACGGGCGCGTTCGGCTTTTATGCAGGAATCTGCGGCGTGGGTTGGATCCTGATCATCCTTTTTTACCCGGAAGTGTCGGGCCTGACGCTGGAGGAGATTGGTGAGGTGTTTGAACACGGGTTTGGGGTGAGGTATGCGAGTCAGTTGAGGAAGGAGAGGAAGGCCGAGATCAAGCAGAGGATCAAGGAGCGTGGGAGGACTATTGCCGTTGGACACTAAATCCTTTTTTTTGGTGCTGCCAGGGCATAAAGCGGTGAGAAGGGGGACCGTCGACCAAATTCTCGTTGTACAGAGCACTTTTTGCACATATCGCACGTAGAGTGGGATGGAGACGAAAAGAGATTTTGTTGTCCTTTGTGCTGCTGCCACTCGTGTCTCATCCATTCTTGCCACGTGTTCTTTGGGTGATGATTTCACCTGTAGGCATTGAATCAATCCATTGACTCGTGGGACATGCCAAACGGATGCCCTTGTGTCTTGCATGGCGTGCCACGACGTGATGTGTTACACGAACATAAGAAGGGCGTGCGTGTGTGTCTGTCATGCTCGTCGGCAAAAAGTGTCCCGTTCATCTTTAAACAATGTGTTTTCCATTCCCAGAAAATGGTGGATGCTCATGTTCGAATTTGTCCATCAAAACATTAAATGAAGAATATACAATCATTACGAGAAAAGAGGAAAGGATCTCAGTCATATCTCCCCTCGGGGAAGCGGCCACGGATATAGCCGTAGCCCTCGGACTCCTCGATGACATCGAGATCACGCACGAAGGTGGTGTCATGGTGGCCCGGGTCGGCGGGGTGGGGACGCACGCCGTAGGCGATCTTGTAGGCGTGGCCGAGGCGGTCGGCCATCTCGTCGACGGTGAGCAGGCAGCCGTCCTGGCCGACCTTCCTGATGACCGGGAACAGCAGGTGGGCGACGGTCATGAAGCTGGGCTCGAGGATGATGGCCTTGTCGGAGAACCAGACGACGCCGACGAGCAGGAGGAACTGCACAAAGGGGATCCCCGCCAGGATGGCGCCGGCGTCGGCCCATTTCACGTTGACGACCTGCGCGGGACTCGGGGACGCGGCGCCCGTGAGGTTCTTGGTGGGTCCGTTCATGTTGTCCAGCGCCGACAGGGCGCCCACGGTGAACTTCATCACCAGCTCGGCCATGGTCTCGGCCGTGGCGTTGCCCGGCGGGTTGAAGGGCGTGTCTCCGTCGAAGAGGAAGTACTGGAGGTCGTCGCTCTCCGTCTCCAGTCCCGTCCAGCCGATCGAACCCGCGAGGTAGAAGGCCTGGTCGTCGGGCAGGGTGAGCGCGTCGGGATCGCTGAAGCCGCCGTCGGCGATGCCCTGCACTTGCCCGACCGTGTTGTTGCACGACCACATGCGAGGGTGAGGCACCGTGTGGTTGTCGGCCGACTGGAGCGCCAGGATCCGGCTGCATCGCGGCCCACAGCCCACGTCCTTGCTGCTGGAATTCCCCATCCAGGTCGTAAACGCGGTCGCCACGTTTGTCACGATGTCGCCGAATTTGTTGCCCTGGTTGTCCTCCCACTCGAGGAAATAAGTCAAGGTCGCGTTGTCGGTGTTGAACCCGGCATATCCGCCGAACAGGACCTTGTACTCTTCGCAGTGCGCTTGACTGGTCACGGTCCTTGTAGAAGTGATTGCTGTCTTCAGGTCGGGTCCCAGGTCCACGAAGCGGTACCACCACATATCCCTCGCCGCGGTCGTGAAGACAAAGGGTCCCGGTTGGTCATAGCCGCCGTCGAGCGTGGTCGTGACTACTGGGAAGTTCTGACCGACTTGGCCCCAGAGATTCGCGGCGGCTTTCTGGAACTCGAAATCGTAGCCCTGCCCGTTGTTGGGTTGCGGTTGGCTGGCAATGTATTGAAGGTTGGCCACGTTGACAATGCCTGGTGCTTATGTCAGTATGAAATTTCGTCGATTCTTTCATTTGGAATATGTAGGACTAGCCCAACGGACAACATACCGTTGTTAACGGATACAAAATCGTCCGACACATCGATGGAATACGTCAACCCGAGAAGCGCAGCGAAAGTGTTGAACACCACAAAGATAAGTAGCCAAACGGCAGCAACCACTTGAGCTTTGCTCGGGTACCACGTGCCTGTGCGCCGCCCTGACCACATTATGCGCAAGGTGCTCCGGTAACTGTCGCATCCGAGCACGTCCTCGAAGTCTTGGAGGCTTCGATACTGCGAGGCAAGAAATCTCCATCGCATCATTTCGGCGAACTGCTTGAACTGAGCGGCAAAACTCAGGCCGAGCACAATCGACAGCCCAGTGATCATGGCGTTATAGACGTACTTTTGCCGGTGGGAGAGGCCAGTCTGGATGGTGGAAAAGCCATACATGGTGCCTGCAAGGGCGCCACAGATTCCAGCCGTCCAACACCACATCAGCAAGCAATCGATGAAGACTCTGCGTGTCTGCCGGCGAGGATCAAAGTATCTGACAGTGTCGGTGTTTGTCGGTACATCCCGGAGGTGTTTCTCGTTGAGTTTGTGTTCCCAGGGCGATGACGCGACCGACGGGATGCTGAATCCAGAGTTTGTTCTGTAGGTCTGGCCTTGAGATTCGGGTTGATCAGTATTGGGGATTGTGGAACCTCACATGGTCGACTGTACCTGTCACACCTGGCCGAGCATTTAGGTAATCTTCCGAATCATTTCCGGGCTTCAGACGATCGTTGAGTGAGTCGTCGCTATACCCCGGCCGGGCCCAATCTTCAAGAGCGTGACCTTCCATACTCCTCAACGGAATACTAGGGGTGCCATCTGCCGAGTTAATTGCTCCATCTCCCAAAAGCTCTCTGCTCGAATCCTGCCGATCCAGACGAGAGTAGTGCGAAGTCATGTTAGCGACAGGAAATTTGCGCAATATACAAAAAAGAAGATTCCGCCGTGGCAGGCAGTCACCAAAACGACGGTCGCAATCCGTGGGATTATGAGTTTGCAACAGCGGGATCTTTAAAGGAACGGGACCTTTCTAAAATAACCATAGGGACCCCAACGTCAACACGAGTGTCTGCTAGACGATTGGGGCCAAAAGCCTAAAAGAGCCGCCACAAGGCCTGAATATTAGTCGGACTTACTACCTAGGTATGTACCATATCGGCAAGCAAGATTTCGCATTTGATTGGAGCGAGATGATCTAGGATGGCATGAGAGGATTGAAGCGACGGGAGGATGCGGCCGCAACTGAAACGATGACCAGGGCATCGTGTTCGATGGAGTCTAGGTAGGTTCAGCTCTGTCCAAGGACTGTGGCTGCAATCTCGGCCGGGCTAAGGAGGCTTAGTCACAGTGCGCGTCTTGGTACTGTGGTGTTTGTTTGATATTTGGAAACTTTGGTGTTTGTGCAACTTTGCGAACATGATCGGTTTGTCGCACGGCAGACAAAGCTGAAGTTGAATGAGGCTGGATCTGGACCGTAGCGAGTTTGAGGAATACATAGTAGAATTAGGAGGTCGAAAAGGGAGAGCGAGATTGCTGGGTTCACGTAGGCGAGGTGTGAGAGGAGAAGTGGAGGATGAGGGATGGACTGTTCCAGTTCCTTGGATCGCACACTACGAGGCGAGTAGGGTACTAGTAGTACTAAGTACCATGTAGGTGGGAAATGGCAGCTCCTATTTACCTAGGAAATGGCCTTGAATCCTTGAATCCTTGAATCCTTGGCTCCACGCTTGGCGCAGGGCTCGGCTCAATGAGAGATTCGCAGCTGAATAGTAATACAGCAAATACTAAGTACTAGTAAATATTCTTAGAGGGGCGTTGCGTCGGGCCAGGCCTCCAGCCCTCTCTCACCTTTTCCCACCCTCGATGGAATTTGGCATTTGGCCCCTTCGCCGAAACGCTTCGATCAGCATCGAGGCAGCATTATCAGCCTCATACTCGGTATGTATTAGTATTCATTTGACTCGCAATGGCATCCCCGTCCGCTGCTTGTTTCGCAAAGTCAACGAGTCAACTCCTGCACCATGCCGATTTTTCAAGACTTCAAGCTTGACACCGAGTCTTCATGCTGGCCCACGGCACTCATCTAGCTACTATAGGGTATACGTGAATTCGTTCTCAAGGTCCGTCTTCTGTGTGACGTGATCGACGAGATAAGCTCAGGACTTTTGCTACCGGAAATGGAGAATCTAATATCCTTCGAGGGGCAAGGTTGGGTGGCCTCATGGCATCAGTGTAGCAACAGCAACCCCTTTTGCCGACTTCGTGTCAGGACGCTTTGCGTTTAGCTAATGTTAACCCATGCAGCTTCTCATAGGATCCACCGACGGCTAGGGTCTCGCAACATACAACGGCCACTGCCCCCGCAAAGTGTCGACGGGAATTTTAGGAGTACATATGTACATACTATAGTAAGTATGTACTCAGCCCCTGTCGATTGTCACGAGCACCGCAGCGCGAGAGCACCAAGAAACAGAATGTCCCGCACGGATTTTCCCGACTATAGAGCCGCCAGCTCTACAAGAGTCACGTGAAAGTGGTACGATCGACATACGTGCACGAGAGCAGATCCTAACATTAAAACCGCGTATGCGATTGAGAAAGCTTAGAAATGTCTTGGATCGCCTTGGCCACCACACTTTCTCCTCACCTTCGACCACATCAAAGAATCAACATCATACATACTGTATTCACCGTAAGTTCCCAAATATTTCGGACACTGCGATCTCCTAGAAGCAATGCCACATCCTGCACACACCTCTCACGCGGCACGGCGTGACTCGTCACACCACGGCCACAGTGGTAGCCACACGGACATTGCGACCACCATCGACGACATCATATCGAATCTAAGCGAGATAGCCATCGAGGAACAGACTGAGCCCAATGGAAATGCGAGATACGTGCTGGGCGACAGAAACCGTGACGACGATGAAGATGATGAGTATGCATGCATTCTTGGAACTTTTTCAAGCCCAGCTCAATTACATACTGGTATCCAGTTCAGCTACTAATGACGAGACCCAAAAAAAAAGCTACGTATGGGAAAACAAGCCGACCGTGAAACCATTTGATGGAGACCTCAGACGTCAGTATCTGGCGTACATCCACAAGATCAATACCAGCCCATGTGGCGCGGGAGATCTCGCCGACTTCGTCAAAGACGGCGTGGTCCACAACGACTCTGCGCCAATGCCAGTTGATGAGTACGCGAGGCTCATAAGTGACAGCAAAAGGGACCTCCCGGAGTTGCACTTTGAGGTGGAAACGCTCGTTGTGGAGAAGAATCAAAGTAGCAGCCTGAGCAGCACTACTACCACTTCTACAGCCACCAGCAGCACGACCACCACTGGCACTCCCGGGAAGGATGGCAGTAGGACACAGAAATACGATGGCTCGATCGCGGCCAGGCTCAAGTTGACCTACAAGCCGACACCAGCGACACAAGACACGTTTTACGAGCATGTCTTCTACGCCCTTGAACAAGGCAAGATCTCCAGAGTCTGGAGTCTGCTGGACGGAGCAGGATTGAAGTGGAAGGAGAAGAGGGACCAAGAGGTCGCGCGAATAGGGAAGATTGAATGACTCAGATCCGGGTCGTTGAGAGGGGGGATCAAAGCGGACTTGGAACGTAAGTATGTACTATGTACTCGGTACTAGTATTGGAACCAATTGCAGAAGCGATTTCAGATCGGTTCAAAGGCGGTTTAACACGAATTGACCCGGTTTGACTCCGCTTCCGGCTCGATACGGAAGCGACGTAAGAATCAGATTGGGCTCGATTACTATGTACTATGTACAGTTTGAAGAGATTTAGGCGGTTTAAAGCAGCTGAAATCGAACCATATAGTCTATCCTTTTGGTACCTATGATAGGACTAAGGATAGAGAAGGTGCGGCTGGGGATGCTGTATAGGGAAGGTGCGGCTGGGGATGCTGTATAGGGAAGGTGCGACTGGGGATGCTGTATAGGGAAGGGGCAACTGAGGATAGGTTATATAGCATCTACTACATGGGTACTTAGTATGTAAATACTATGTATCTACTATAGCAATTGGAAGTGGTCCCCATTGTTGATATACTATATGTCAACCTATACTATGTACTATGTATATATGTAGTTTAGCGTATACAGAAATTACATAGTACTTACTATATACCCTTTTAGGGTAATTTTGTGAGATATTACTACAGTAGCCAAAATAAAAGGTTCAAATAGGATACTATATATACATAGTATTGATAGTACTAGGTACTTAGTATATTGGTTCTGTGTTGATACTAGGTTTGTTTAATACTCATGGCCGTCATACTCTGAGCAAGGTTCGACTCTGAGGTGTCGGGGAGACGAACTCCTTTCTCCAGAAGATTCGTCGCAAGAATATCTTGGTGGTTTTCAATGGCAAACCTCAGAGCCTTAATACCACAGTTGGCTGCATTGAGGTCCAGTCCATACTCATAGAGACAGTCTAGAACCTTGATATAACGCGACATCGTCTCTGGGTCGCTGCAGCTGGCCTTAGCAGCAAGTAGGAAATGACCGGCGGCCAGTGCATGACCATATTCGCCGATACTCGTCACCCGGGTGAGCAAGGTGCGAAGCACATTTGCTCTACCATTCACGCAGGCAGCTTTTACAGCATCGAGGTCGCTCTGAAGGCTATGCCGCGCGCCATGGTCGAGTAGGACCTGAACAATCCCATTCTGACCACGGGCTGCAGCAAGAAACAGGTGCGACCGACCGCCCTCGGTCTCATTCACATCGTAGCCCATCTCAACAACGATGGGGATCAGCTCCGGCACGTCGTAAACAACAGCCAGATGCACAACGAGGTGCTGAACTGACGCTTGGTTGTTTGGAGGTAATGTTTGTAAAAAAAGGCGAATGATATCGACATAGCGAGTATCATCAGTACTAGCGCAATACTTCCGCACGGTCGACCATAACAGTCTATCGTAATCTGTCGCGTCGAGTTTGACGCCGTACTGGGGCTCAAGTAGTAGTGCAACCATTCTGACATCGCCCGATAGACAAGGTAGCTCAATGAGCATCCGCTCGTATCTCGGCGAACAATGCGCATAATGATGTGGGGTGTTGACATCCGCACCGTTGTCCAAGAGGTACCGGACAATATCGTACCAGTGGCTGGTCACAGCAAGGCGCAAGGGATCGGCAAAAATATACTTCCGACCGGCCATTTGAGGCTCTTGCTCTACCAGAGCTTTGATGGTGGCAATGTCCTTCATGGAAATCGCAGTCACTAGGGCCCAAGAAAGGGAGTCGATCTGACGTGGACTTCTGGTCAGACGAGCCAGCGGCACACATAATGGAGATTTGTCACCGGCGAGGAACTCGAGGACTCCAAGAGCGACCATGGAGGCAGTCTGAGACGTGCGATCTCCCGGCTCGAGTCGTACTGTGCCATTGACTGTGTGAATATATCTTGCTTGAAGATCGTCTGTAATGTGGAATGTGGGATTCGACAAAAGGATTTTAACGGCGGCTTTTAAATGGGTAATCAGCGCGGTTCTGGACTGTCGGGCGCATATTTGTCCTTTCAATAACCGGTACAAGTGCTGGAGCCCCATTCTAAGCGTTGTTCGATCAGTATCTTCGTCCATACTGGTGTGTATGTTACCGAAATCAAAGTATTGAGCCTGAATTTCGCGATCGAACAGACCTGCCAGACGATGTGTCATTGTTAGACGTCAGATAGAAGAGAGGGGTTTTCGAGACGACTCACGGCTAACACTTCGCAGAGGTAGACCTTCTTTCCATGATGAGTTGTCTGCGACTAACCCAATGATCATAGAGTGTACCTCGGGAGGCAGTTTACCAAATGACATGGCTCTCGGGTCCGATTGATGACTGTATATTGCGCGAGGATTCAAAAACCGGCAGGAAATGAAAGATTCCCAGAGAGCGCGTCAGGTTAGTATGTAAGGTGATCAATTAATTAACAACTTTGAAGGTTGTGCCGGGCAAGTGCGATGTTGTTGTAGTTGAAGGAGCAACTCCGACTTCGCACTGAGAATGCAGAAGGAAATGACGATGGATGTAGATGGAGATTCTTTCGGCCGAACTTCGGCCTTGACCAATTTGCAGCAGGCCAAATGCGTTCAGCCTTGCAGCCTCGCCTTAAAGACTACTTATAGTAGTACTTAGGTTGTATATAGTATAGTATGTATTAGATAGAGTACTGTTGAAGTGTTTCGTACCAGACGCATATACAACTGATCGGCTGCCATTTCAGCACTTTAATTTTGCTTTAGCAGGGGCCAGTGTGGTAGATGTACTCTGTACCACATAGGATCTGCACGCACAGCGAAGGCTGTCGCAGAGTTCTACGTCTGCAGCTGCTGATAGAAAGCCGGCGAGTTGATGAATGCACATCGATGCAAAAGCTGAGGTTCAATCACAGCTGATGGCAACTGCGCTTGTCCGGCGTTCGGTCCACCAATGATTCTAACACTTGCTCCGGTCACATTCTGACTCGTCACTGCAGCTTGGGACTTGTTATACGCTGGAGTCCAACCTGAGAGAGTGATAGTAGAGTTGCCGCTTGGGTTGCCCGTCGAAGCGAAATGCGCCCAGCTACCCGACATTCTGGTTGCCGTCAGGTTCGCTGCGGCAGTAGTTCCGAAACCGACGTTTGGTTGGTCAAAGACGAAAGGTACATCGGAAAAGTGGATGACTCCTTCGAAGGTGGCATTGAAGAGCTGGAGGACGCTGGTCAACGATGTCGTGTTGAGCACGTACAGGTAGCTTGCGCTGCCAAACTGAGTAACACGATGAGCGACATCGATCGCTGGACACGCAAAATTAATGTCGCGGTAGATCTGCGATGCCTGCAGGAAAAAGGGTGAGATCTGAGACGCTTTGGCTGCTGCCACAAAGTCGCTGATTGGGTACAACGAGGTCAGGCTTGAGAGCGTAGTCGAATTAAGATGCGGGTACGATGAATGCAGAAAAGCCTGTGTAGCAGTGGAGCCGTTAAGTGTTGGAGGCGCGAAGATGCTGCCGTCGTTTTCATTCCATCCAGCAATGATGGATATGTTTTTGTGAAATCGACCTGTGCGGATCAGAGTCGAGGGAGCAGCAGGTACGTAGCTTCCATCAACCGTCGGGAAAAACAAATCTTGAGACACGCCGTTGGCTTGTGTAGATGTGGTTGAGTTTTCAAACAAGAGGACGGCATTTAGGAGCTGAACCATGGGGATTTGCCGGAGACAGGTCAGGACAAGGCTGCTATTAGTTCCTGTACAGCCTGCCAGTTGAGCCACCGCCGCAGTGTTCGTGACAGTCGCATTGCCAGTGACACCCGGATCACCCGCTGGAGATCCAGATTGCATAATAGCTCGGCGGAAGGGAGCAGTACCTGTTGGTGGTAATTAGCATCTCCATTGGTAGGTGGTCGTAATTCTTACCATTCCCACCAAATGACGTTATATGCCTATCGCGTGTTAGCGTCGACTGGTGGTATCATGAAAGATCAAACTCCCCGCCACGGCTCTATCAAAAGCAGTGCAGGGTTTGTTGGGGAGACTCACAATCCCACACTGGTGCCGCCGTCACTTTCGCCAAATATCGTGACATTCTTTGGATTTCCTCCAAATGTGGCGATATTGGACTGGACCCATTGTAGTGCCAGCCGTTGGTCGAGCAAACCGGCATTCAGTGAGCCTTCCGTCTTAAGCGCAGGGCTGTTGGCGAATCCGAAGACATTGACACGGTAGTTCATTGAGACATAGACGACCGGCGTGCCCTTGGCAGCAGAGCCGGCCACAAGTGCTGTAGGGTTGTACAGCGAGTAGTTATATGAGCCTTCCTCGTCACCTTGGCCGGAGATCCAGACCATTACAGGGAGATTCGCAGCCTGTTTTGTTCCCGCTGGCCTCACGACCTCGAGGTTCAAGCAGTCCTCAGAGACATTGAAGACGCCTGGATTTTCGCTGATGGCACCAAGAAAGGACAAGATGGTGTTTTGCGGGCAAGCGGCGCCGGCAGCTGTGGCTTGGACAGTGGTACCATTGGGATAGGTAAAGGCCTTGGGAGGCTTGAAGCGGTTGGCGCCAGACGTGTCCTGGCCGAAGTTGATGCCCTGGAATTGTTCGGTTCCTGCGAAGCTGAAGCCTACATAGGTGAGATTGTGGGCATTGTCGCGCACTGTGACTGTGGACTGAGCCACGGCAGTCGCGGCGAAGGATGAAATGAGAAGCTTGAGTAGGAGCATTTTTCTTGAAGACCGCAAGAGTTGGCCGCGGGAGTTGAGCAACAGCTTCAATGTGCGGCTGAGCGTCAGATTTATTCCTCTGGCAATACTATATGTACCGAGCAGAGCTTCATCGCAGCCTCTGACGTCTGCGGACTCGTCAGCTCTCATATGAGAGGTTGTGATGGCGGTTCATTTCAAGGCACCGACAAGTGAGGCTGCACGGCTGCCCACCTGGCACCAGTATGGCGAGAGCTTCGTGGCCTTACGAGGCCTAACAATGTGGGTGAGTGGTCTCGTCGAGGGGGCTTAGCTGAGAAGGGCATGATTCGTGGTGTCGTGGCTTGAAGCTCTCGAAAGGCCGCATATTGGCGGGAGTTGATGGAAAGGTTCGCATTGTTTGGGCCAATTGTGCAACATGCTCGGACAAGATTTCGAATCAGCTGGCGGCAGATGATGACCCGGCAGCCCCTAGGCCAGGCTATTTTGCAGATTCCGGAGAGACCCTTGCTTGTTCCCAGGCCAAGGTACGAGAAGGCGGGGTATGCCGTTCCAATCCTGGTACACACAAAGTACCCAAGGTACGTAACCATGAGACAAAATTGATGGGTGAGATGCGGAGTCTGAGCGCTCATGATAATTCAGCAGCCACCGCGTCGGAAAGCTTCGTACGCGTCCTGCAATGTCGAGGTGGCAGGTGGCAGGTGGTCACCAAATGATCTCACCTTCTCGCTTGTGTGGACCTGAGTGGGTGCCAGTGGGTGCCAGTGGGTGCCCAGTAGGTGCCCGGCACAACTTCGGTCGTGGAGGGCTGAAATTTTTGTGAAGCACTAGGTACCATTTTCCTTCGAGCGCCGTATCACTGCGAACCTTGACCTCAGGATACAGATTTGCAGGGACGATGGAGAGCCTCGTTGAGAATGGCGATGGCCAACTCACCATCCACAACCTCCCACCTCCCACCAAACGAAAACCTACGAGCACCACGACGGGGCCCTTGACCGCCGAAGACAAGGAAAACCAGAAGCGAGTGGCCGACGCACGCAGAAAATATGGCCGGGGCCGTCCTGTGCGGGTCAACGAGGTCAAGGACAAGAAGCTACGGGCGAATCTGAAGAGGATCGAGAGCAAATATCGGACCGCAGTTTTGAGTGCCAAAGATGCAGAGATTCTGTACGAGAACGAGGAAGGGTTTCTGCAACCGGAGACGGAACTCGAGAAAACGTACAAGGTTCGACAAGATGAGATCTTGGATGCTGTGGGCATCCAGCAGGCGAACAAGTCGATCGAGTTCAAGCTCGACTTGGGGCCCTACGTCTCCGACTACACGAGGAACGGGCGCAGTTTGCTCCTCGCAGGGAGGAAAGGTCATATTGCAACCTGCGAGTGGCGCGCAGGGAAACCGGGCTGTGAGCTACACTTGAACGAGACAGTCAGAGATGCAAAATGGTTGCACAACGATCAGTATTTTGCCGTGGCACAGAAAAAACACACATACATTTACGATCACGCCGGAGTCGAGATCCATTGCCTCAGAAAATATGTCGAAACCACACATCTCGAGTTTTTGCCGTACCATTTCCTCCTTGCCGGCATCGAGAATAGCGGGTTCCTTCGATACACGGATACTTCGACGGGTCAGGTCGTGGCTGAGCACCCGACCCGAAAAGGAGCGCCGACCGCCCTTGCTCAAAACCCTTACAATGCTATTCTCCACGTCGGTCACCAGAACGGGACGGTGTCACTGTGGTCGCCCAACTCGACGGCGCCATTGGTCAAAATGCAATCCAACGCAGGTCCTGTGCGGTCCATAGCGATCGACCGCTCAGGCAACTACATGCTCTGTGGTGGACAGGATCTGCGTCTGAAACTCTGGGACATCCGGGCTTGGAAGGAGATTCACGCTTACACGACGCGACAGCCAGCTTCTTCGATCGATATATCAGACCGCGGCCTTGTATCTGTGGCAAGCGGCACGGCCGTGACGATCTGGAAAGACCTTCTCACCAGTTCTCCAGTCTCTGGACCTCAAAAAGTTCAGTCCCCCTATCTCAACTGGGGCAACGATGGCCGCCGCGTCGAACGCGCCCAGTTCTGTCCCTTTGACGATATCCTAGGTATCTCTCACTCGGACGGTTTCAGCAGCCTCATCATCCCCGGTGCAGGTGAACCCAACTACGACGCCCTCGAGGTCAACCCGTACGAGACGCGCAAGCAAAGACAAGAAGCCGAAGTCAAGTCTCTCCTCACGAAACTCCAGCCGGAGACCATCGCGCTGGACCCAAATTTTATTGGTATGTTGGACACGCGCAGCGCGGAGCAGCGCCGGCGTGAAAAGGATCTCGACACCCCCGCGGAGGATCCTCTCGCAAAGTTGAAAGCGAGGGAGAAGAATCGTGGCAGGGGCAAGAATAGTGCGCTCAGGAGGCATTTGAGGAAGAAGGGAGGGAAGAATATCATTGACGAGAAGAGGATGAGGCTCGAGGAGATGAAGAAGGAGAGAGCCGAAAGGGAGAAGGAGAGGTTGAAGCAGGACAAACTCGAGTTGGGGCCGGCCTTGTCGAGGTTCGCTAGGAGAGGGTAATAGGGGGAGCCTTGACAGATGGTGGTCTTTTGATACCTAATACATGGTGATCAGATCTGTAACAAGGCCACGGTGTGCCTCATGCGTCCTTTGGCAAAATCCATGTTTTGCCACTGTCCCGCTTGGTATCATAGTAGTGTCCAACCGCAATATCGTCCCTAGTTCCTCGCCATCGCTAAACTCCACCTGCCATGAGTGACCGGCTGATCGGGACAGGCCTTTACATCCCACAAATCCCCCCAGTCCAGTGCACGACGCTACCTTGAACCGGCGAACACACTGGTATACCTGTTATTAGTAGGCTGCTCGCCACTACCCCTCGGCACGCCCTTTGCCCATCGCTCCTTACTCAGCTGATACCCTGTGGTGCTCTTCCACGCCGACAGAATCAAATTGACGGTATCCTTGACGCCCACGCCGGTCTTGATCACGGCCCTCACAACGGGTCCGCCCTCGCGAATCTTGTTCGCCTCCCTCTCCATCAGATCCACGTCCGCACCCACCGCGTTGGCCAGATCACACTTGTTGATGATCAGCAGGTCCGAGCCCGTGATTCCCGGACCGCCTTTGCGGGGCACCTTGTCCCCTCCCGCGACGTCGATCACGTAGATGATGAAATCCGCCAGTTCGCGCGAGTAGTTGGCCGCGAGGTTGTCGCCGCCGCTCTCGATCAGCAGGAGGTCGGTCTGGAATTTCGCATGCAGCCCCTCCAGCGCGAGCAAGTTGGCCGAAATGTCTTCTCGGACGGCGGCGTGCGGGCATCCTCCTGTTTCTATCGCCACGATTCTCTCGGGTGTGAGGGCGCCGTGTTTCGTCAGGAACTCGGCGTCTTCTCGTGTGAAGATGTCGTTGGTCACGGCTGCGATGTTGTAGTCTTTTCGGAGCGCCAGGCACAGCTCGAGCATGAGCGCCGTCTTCCCCGATCCGACGGGCCCACCGATACCGATTGTGAATGCCCGGTCGCCAAAGTCCCGGCCCTCGACGATGGGCATTTCGCGGTGCAGGTACGAGCCTGGTCCATCGAGGATCTCGTGTGTATGGCCATGAGGTGCCCCGTTAGTGTGATCGTGGGTGTGAGAGTGAGAAGTCCCGCCGTCGTGAGAGTGGCTAGCCATGTTGGAGGGGAGGGATGGCGGGATGTTTGGGAAAGACCCCGGCTGCTCTAGTGGACGCCCAGAGTGATGGTTTCTTGAGGCGCGTAGGGTAAGTCTATATCGTTCTCGCAGAGATCGAGTCTCAGGGAAGCGGACGGACAAACGGTGTCACCAAACTCAGTGGCAGCGTAGATATCTTCGGGGTCTCGTTCTTGTTATAGTGACGATGAGCTCGGGGAGCACCTGTGCTCTCGAGGTTGTGCTAAGAGCTGTTCTTGTAAGAAAATTGATCGTGTGGTCGAGGAGTGATTGTGTCACAAGCTGTGAGAGGGGCAGACGACTTGGACAAAAAGATGTTCATGTACCCCGCACAAGGAGGCTCCACGTCTGGAATACTATCGGCTTAACAATTGATCCATACAAGGTACATATAGATCATTGTGACGCGCAAAGGAAAGGAGTTAGGTATTCTAAAAGAAAGAATATTTCCATCCACAGAAGCGAATCTCGACCCAAGCATCGTACAATGGCAATCGTGCACATTGTCCTTTTCAAACTCAACTCTGCGCTGAGCGATGCAGAGAAAAAAGAGGTTTGTCCTGCCAATGCACGCATTGGCAACCCATCTCTAACCGAACCAGTTTTGCGATGATATGCTCTCCCTGAAAGACACTTGTATCCATCCAACATCCAAGAATCCATATATTGTTTCTTCATCTGGCGGAGTAGATAACAGCCCGGAAGGAGCTCAGGTTCGTCTGATGCCTCAGTCCATTCATGGAGTGAAGGGTGTACACTGATCGAGTCGCAGGGAGGATTCACCCATGGTTTCGTTGTCGAGTTCGCATCAAAGGAGGACCGCGACTATTATGTTGCCAACGATCCGGTCCACCAAGCATTCGTCAAGAAGAACGGGCCCAGGTTTGACGATGTCCGAGTAATTGATTATGAGAAGGGGGTATACTAGGGGTTTCTAATGGTTCTCAATGCTGGCCTGCACAACATAGACATTGGCTGTACAAATTTTCGATCGCTGCATTGGCTCTTCGTAAATACGTGCTGTCGAGCCCGGAATATCTGATGCATTTGTCTATTATGACACGCTGAACGACTCGCCACAGCCGCATTGCTCAGTGATGTTGGGATTCTTGAAGATAAACCTAGCACTCAGCTTGTCTTCCTGCCAATCCATTTCACTGCCGATAATGCTGAAGAGTGCTTTGCTGTCAATCAAGACTTTTACTCCCTCTTTCTCAACGACTTCGTCAAACGCGGCAGGCTTATCCACATATTCCAAATGATATGCGAGACCCGAGCAGCCACGGTTCTTAACACCAACCCTGATCATTTTAGGCTCGGGTTGATCCAGGAGCTCGCGTAGATGAACCAGCGCGTTGGGTGTTATCGTCATGGCAGCTTTCCGAGGTCGTAGCTTGCTTCGCCGGGGTTTCGCTGCTTTCGCCTGCTCGGGCTGCGGCGTCTGTACTGGCTTCGGTTTCTGCGCCACTCCTTCTGGCACACTTATGCTTGCAGTTTCGTCAGGGTTGTTCTGCTGCGCCACGTTTCCCTGATTTTGTCTCATGTCACTGGGTTGCGGCTTGGGTCCAGCGATGGAGGTGTCAGGGATGTTGGTGTTTCGAGGAGGCATAGGGAAATCGGCGGGTAGTGTATGAGGCTGATAAGATGGGGTGGTATATAACTCTCGCTTTGACGATTGCCGAGCGGCTATACTGGAAGAGAAGCTTCTCAAAGCATGGTGGGGGCATGATCGGGCGGTTGAGGCAATTGCCAGGGCTCGGAAGAAGATAATGGACGACGACGTTGTAGGGACAAAATGTGTCGCCGACATTGTAGATGTATGTCGTGACTGTCCAGTCTTTTCGTATCCAGGTGAAGCTATAGCGCTGGGAAGAAGAGCATGTGTGAAGACGTATAGGAACGTAGAACAGATAATATCCAAGTTCAACTTGAAGGCGCAGTTTCAAGAGGCAGTTCCGTCATTCTCTGTCTCCGAGTTTGTCAGCCGAACTCGCTCCGTTGGCCAGCCAATCGGCGCTGACTGATTTCAATCACCACGTGATTAGACACGTGATACGCGGTGAGTCACATGACGCCGATAAATCTCCTCCTTTCTTCTCGTTCTTTATGCTTTTGTCGGTTCAGTGCTCACGTTGGGCGTGTATGAGATATGTCACTCTGGACTTCAAATAAGCGGTGTTTCTGAGTCTCTCGCTCAGAAGAAACGACCTCTGCGCTTTGACACTAGCATCTGCCAATTGTGACGAGGTTCACCCTTGCACGGCTGCGCCTCGTCCGCGTCATTTGCCCAACTTTGCATACTTCGTTCAGCAAGAGCACTTCATTTACAGCTTGCGGTCATTTTCTTTGCCCTTATCGTAGCTGCTCTCGTCCCGGTCCTGGACTATGAACTCATACACGTTTGCCAACGAACCCAGCCCTGAACGCTTGCCATCGACATGGAAACACCCCTGACACAACAAACAAGGCCAGATTCCTTTGAGCCCAAAATCATCCAGCTCTATCTCCACCTCTTCAATGTTCTCGCAAACGAGGATGCCGATGACTCGGTCCCTTCTGAAGGGTTTTGGCGGGAGTTCTTCCTCCTCAGGCCCGACAAACAGCGACTCTATGACATTCTCGAGCCCATGACAGCTTTTGATCTGTTCCATATGCAAGTATAGTCAGCTCTCACGCTTGCGTCTGCTCGTTCCTCGCCTCTAACGGACTGTCAGGCTCAGATGAGGGTATTCTTCAAGCGTGCCATAGCTGAAGCAGGCTCAGGAGATCCCCCACGCAATGAAAATGCCCTAGACGTATGTTGCTCCTGTATTTTTCTCCTGCTCGACTGACGTTGGCCTCTCCAAGAACCTGACGGCTTTCCTGTGCGCTGTCTTCACCAAGAAGTACACCAATCCCAACACCGACGTCATCGAAGTACTTTCCGGGCTGGACACGATTGATAGGTTGATGTCTGACCTTGTCCATATCCTTGAAACAACCATCCGCCAGGCGGATAAAGATTCGTTGCGGAGCAAAGCACTTGATACCGCCCTCGCACTGGTTGCTGGCGGATTCCATACAAGTCTCGTTACCTATTTCATGCACCGTGATCTGTTCTCGGCGCTGATGAAGGTAAGCACCGTCCCAAAGACCTGGAAGCATACTCATCGGCGTCCAGTATGTCCACGATATCCCCGAATCTCCAACCACCGCCCTCAAAGCATCTATTGTCATCGGTATATTGTCCAGTTACAACAAATTTGAAGCTCAGAATGTGTACCAGAACCGGTTGGAGGATTTCGTCAACGAGGAAACAATTCGACTTCTGGTTCGCAATTTCGCCACAGCATGTTTAGCTATACGTGAGCAATACGTGTTTGTTCAAGATGATTATCCTGCACCGTGGAGTTTGAACTCGACACTTGTCATGGTGGGACTGCGGGCGTTGTCAACTGACGCAAAGAAACCAGCGCCTCCCTCGGAGGAGGAAGCCAAGGGTTTACTCCTTTCTCTGCCAGGGGAAGATGCGGCTTGTGTCCTTTCGCTGTACTCTTTCACCCAAGCAAATAAATTGTTTGCCGCAAATCTTTTGAATCTACCAGCCGACAAAGATAGGGAGACCCCATTTTCTTCATTCTTGTCGATGACCTCGTATATCTCACATCATGCCTACCGCGGACCACGACAATCGACATACGCCATCTTGAGCCTACTCTCCATCAGGATAATCGTGGAAGACCCTGTTCTGGCCAAAAGACTTTGCTCGGCTGATTCTAAGGCCTTATTTCGATTATGTCGACAAAGGCCACCCCACCTTCCATTAGTCACGTCTACCAGGATCCCGGCGACTGCCATACTGGATGTATGTACAGATATTCTCAGCCACAATCTGAGAAAGAGACTGGACGTGCGGCTGTACAGCCTTGCCTTGGGTATCATCTTACGGATAATTACCCATCTTGAACAGACCAAGACGCGTCTTCAGCATCATTGGGCATACATTTGGGGCTCGCTCTTATCACTCATGCGATTCCTGACGCAGTATGCTAGCGACCTCAAACATGTCAGAGACATTCGGGGAGATTTGTGTGCGACGCTTGCGAGTCTTGCTGCATTCTGTTTGTCAAAGGGTGACGGATTTTTGCCTGATCCCTCCAGTTTTGACGACTTCTTCTACAAGCTCATCGAGGCGAACGATGTTCTGCACAGGTTCAAACAAGCATATTGCGATGGAGGCTCCCAGTCCGAGAGCTTGAAGCGATCGGTTGAGGCACTGATTAGTGTCTCATCTCATTACCATGAATTGTTGAAAGTACAACATGGCAAGAAGACGCATCAGTCACCGGCAGCAATTCAAAAGGTCATCAAAGAAGGCTATGAAACGTTGAATCTGGAAGCTGATGAAGGGTTTGGCCAGTGGGACAAGTGGCGTGAGAGCAATTGGAAAGCCGAAGTGAAAAAGATGATCAGAGTTGCGGTTGAAGACTCCAGAATCTTTGCGCTAAGGTGAGAACTGCACGCAGGAACCGGCAGCAGATTGAGGATCAACCGTGTGCCTGTGGATATCATGGCTATTCCTCAGCACTATTCCAAGTCTACCGGGGCCAACTATCAGATTATCTGAGACGCGTCTCTGGAGCCATACTTGGACTACCGCTGGAGTGGGAGTCTTCGATGCACAGTGGCCATCTCTGGCAACTCTGACCACGCCAGATTGACAGCGTGGGTTCTATCAAACAGCCTTCCATGGTGCCGTATTGTCACAGGCTGGAGACCCTTTCGATCCAGCACCAGGACTGACCTTGATGCGGTCCTGAGGAAGATCCTTGAGTCTCTAGCAGTGTCGAATCTCTGAAGACATGCCAGGATTTCAATCTCAGGGACCGATGCAATCCGTACAGTACATAGATACGTCCGGAGTACGAGGTGTTGATGGCACTGAATGATCCAAGCAACGTTCAAGTCACGTGGACGGCACGTGGAGATGCGCACTAGCATGGTTTCAATTGCAATCGCCCTCGCGCCTTTCAAGTTTCCGTTTCCTCACTACTCGGATACTTCCTCAGTCTCCCCCCCCCCTCAACCAACTCTTTTCGCCTCTTTTATTAGCGCCGGAGTCCAGCACCCCGCTTTCGGAGCCCCTTTTTCTCTGCCACTGGCGTCCGCCACGAGGCTCCAAGCACACAACCGACTCAGATAGTGGCTTCAACGGACTTTGCGTGGAAAGGGTTCGAGGCCTTCACGTACACGCACATCCGATCCAAGCAAATCTAGAAGTGCGCAAATAAACACAACGGTATGTGTACGCGGATGAAGCCCGCGGAGGACAATCTTGATGCCTACCATCTGGGGGTAGGTTTCATAATTAATACCTATGCAGGCCGGGACGGTAAGGGAGCCAGGGGGGAAATATCGTAGAACAAAATCATTTTTCGTCATTGTCATTGACTTTCTGACATGGATACCGATATATGCACCAGCGTCAGGTTCAGACCAATACGGGCACAATGCATCCAAGAACGAACCTGATGCTCTAGCGGTAGCCTTACCGAGTCTACGAAGTACTCAACTGACGGTGAGGAGGGCCTAGACCGCCCACAAGACCTATCTCCGAGATGCCTCTCTCCTTCTCGCAATTTCAACTGTACGAAGCGAATAGGATGCAGGCTCCCATCTGGATTGCGTTCGTACAAGAGAATAAAACCCCCGCCAAGATCTTTATGTGTGTCCTCTGACTCCTCTCTTTATAAAACGGCCCCCTGAGTGGCCCCCTGACTCGTGCAAAGCTGCCGACTCGTCAGAAGCCGAGAGCCAGACCCAGCCCGGGCCCGAAGCGTGGGAGTGCACCGAGGGGCGCACCATGCAACCGGAAAAGGGTTACTTGTTCATGTCGGACACGCTCAAGAAGTGAGTAACTGAGTGCGCGATCAGGGCTTCACCAACTCAAAACTCCTTCCACCATAGCACGGGAGCAGCAAGCAGACTCGGACCCCAGCAGACGAACGAGCAGAGGGAGAGCTCAGAGGAAGGAGGTCAGCGGGGGAAAACAGAGAAAAAGACGGCCCCCAACCCAGGAACCCGGGGCGGTGAAAGATCTCGCAAGGTCAACGTCCAGCCCAGCACAGAAAGGGCACCTAAACAACTGCAGGTGGGCCCCTGGCGCAACCTTTTCGGGGTGCGGCCCCCCTGTCCACCCTCCCCTGTGGCGATGCGTTAGTGCTCAGGACCCTAAGGGAGGCAAGGACGGTTGGCGGCGGTGGTGGTAGTGAAGTCGTTAAGATGCCCCTCCATCCACTAGTTCGCACCTGACGATCCCCGTGAACCAGTGACAGCTGCCCCTCAGCGTCGGGCCCCTGGCAGCGAACACAGGCTCTGAGCGTCGCCCATTAGTGGCCGCTAAAGCCAACTAGGCCGATCGCCCTCCCCCACTCAGAGCATTAGCTGCGGCTGATGGACTGTTAAAAATAATATTCCCAATGGAACTTTTTGGTCGAGGGAAGCCGGAACAGGAGGGGGGCACAAAACAATCACCACCCCTTATCCTAACACCGTGACCACAACTCAATAAAACTCATTTTCCTCGACTTTGCTCCCTTCTTCCTCGAGTGCTGTACATATCCCCTGCTCTTTGTCTCTTTGCATCTCTTGCAATCTTTTGGATACTATTCAACTGCCTTTTGGACGTTTCACACACAAACAAACCCTCCACACCGCCCCCACCATGTCTAAACGCAACTCGACCAGACTTGCCAATGGCTCTGCCCCCGTTGTCGACCAGCCGGTCCCCAGCTACCTCCTCACTGGCAAAGTTGCCATTGTGACAGGATCAGGTACGTCCTAGCAAGAGGAGGTCGAATCCAGTTCGAAGACTGCGAGCAGCCTTTCGCCGAGGAAAGATTCCTCGACCTGGCCCTTCACCGCCTCTTCCCCAACCCAGAAAGATAGGAGAACAAAAGAAAAAAGCTAACAGAATGGGCACATTGTTGCAGGGCGAGGTATGGGTCGTGAGACTGCACTCGAACTCGCTCGCCGTGGCGCCGACGTTGTGGTCAACTATGCCAACTCCTCCAAGGCCGCCGATGAGCTGGTCGCCGAGATCAAGGCCCTCGGCCGCGACTCCATTGCCGTCCAAGCCAACGTGTCAGACGTCCAGCAGATCATCGACATGTTCGCCCAGGCCAAGAAGCACTTCGGCAAGATTGATATTGTGGTCTCCAACTCGGGCGTCGTTTCCTTTGGACACTTGAAGGACGTCACCGAGGAAGAGTTTGACCGTGTCTTCAACATCAACACCCGAGGCCAATTCTTCGTGGCTCGTGAGGCATACAAGAACCTCGAGGTCGGCGGCCGCATCATCCTGATGGGTTCCATCACCGGCCAGGCCAAGGGTGTCCCCAAGCACACCGTCTACTCGGGCTCCAAGGGTGCCATCGAGACCTTTGTCCGCTGCATGGCCATCGACTGCGGTGACAAGAAAATCACCGTCAACGCCGTGGCCCCCGGTGGTATCAAGACCGACATGTACCACGCCGTCTGCAGAGAGTACATCCCCAACGGCATGAACCTGACCGACGACCAGGTCGACGAGTACGCCGCCACATGGTCGCCCATGAACCGTGTCGGTCAGCCCATCGATGTTGCCCGTGTAACTGCCTTCCTGGCCTCCCAGGACGGCGAGTGGGTGAACGGCAAGATCATCGGCATTGACGGCGCTGCTTGCATGTAAAGTGCAAGAAAAGAAAAAACAAAGAGTTTTCTATCCGACCCGAACATGACATGAAGAGAGAGAGAGAGAGAGCAACCAAGGTGTGAAAAGATAGATGTAAGGGGTGTCGACATGTTTTCCTGCGACCGATGATAATTTATGATTTGGGGCAAAAGATCTAGGATTTTCTTTTGGTCGTTTAGGGAAAGAGAAAGAACAAAAAGCGAGACAACAAATCTCCTTTGCAGTTGGATTACTCTGCCATAGATCACTCATCTGGAACCATTTGTGGAAGAAGTCATGACGTTGTCGTTGTTGCCGGTTTGGGAGTCCTTCGCATGTACCTACATTAGCTACATAGACACAAGGGGGACGGTTCGGGAAGCGCGCTTTTTCAATCTGCATTCCATCCAACAGAGGCGTATAACGCGTCTACTATTTGTTTGTCTCTCCTCCCTTAGAGGGTTCGATGCATGCACTGCAAGTGAGCTTTCCAAGGGCCACTCACTCGTCATCTACCTACTACCTACCTACTTTTCCCCCCTCGCCCTGGCGATCAACCGCTCGTCCAACGCGTAGGGCTCTCCATCCTCTGCCCCGAACACGACGTCGTCCTGCAAATACACGAGGATCCCGCGATTCCGTTGTCTCTCGGCATCTTGTAACCTGTACAACAGCCGACCAAACGCGTCGGATTTATGCGACGTTTGCAGGAGGAGGTTATGCTCCGAGCACCATTCCTCGACGAGCGATCGGAACGTCATCTCCTCCATCGCCTCGTTGAGGCCGGCCGTCGTGGTAGGACGTTGCGTGGTCGGTGTGGGTGTGGTTGAAGGGAGCAGTTTCTGTTTCCTCGACCCGAGCAGGGGCTTCCAGTGTGCCCAGGAATCGGCGTCGACTTTGGACTTGACGAGCGATTTTAGTTCGGGGAACCGTTCGAGGTCGAGCGTCTCGGAGGAGATGAGGGTCCACCAATCGAAAAGCCAGGTGTGCATGTCCGGAGCTCTGCTGGACTTCTTCTTGCTTCGGTCGGTTGTCCCCAATAGGCCGGCTGAGTCGAGCGTCTTTGGGAACCGTTTCACAGCCTCGATTAACCGCGGAAGGACGACTTCATGCAGCATCTTGTAGATGAGGAAAGGAGGGAGTAGTGGCGTCCAGGCGTCGACCAAATTATACGCCGGCTCGGGATCGTAGACGTCCCATTCCTTCGACAGCGCCGTACGTACGCGCGGGTACCAGTGCAACAGGAGCAACGACTCAAAGTATGTCGTTCGTTTGCGGTGGCGGGATGACCGTGACTTTTGAAGCTCGAGAAGCTGGTCGATCGACTTCAACGAGTCGACTAGGTGAGTAGGATCAGAAAGAGGATCCCACTCGACCATCTCGCGCCGGAAGGGGGTTTCGAGGCAGGAAGCGGTGAGTTCAGGAAGGGAGAGCTCTGTGATGTAGAGGAAAGAGCGGTCTTGGATTTCTTCTAAGCGGGAGATGGAGGCATTCCAGTCTCGGGACTCATTCGAATCGTCCACGGTGACCCGCTCAAACGCAGAGATGATGTCGTTGTAGCGTCGAATCTCTTCTTCGTGCAATGCCAGTGCGGCACCGAGCTGGATTTCTTCCTGCTCTAGATGACTTTCTTGGTCCTTCGTCGAGTCCCACGCGTCGGCAAAAGCCTGCAGTTGGAGCTTGATGCGGGAAGTGGCTTTTGCAGCTTCCAGTGCTGGTGATGGCGAGGCTTCTCTGGTTGGAGTTGAGAAACCTGACAACGAGGTCACAGTCTTGGTTTCGGCTCCAGTTGCATCGACGATAATTTGCTTCATGGCTTCCGGGACGTGGAGGCCCCTCGATTCGATTGCTGCGACGGCATATTTGGCCTTTGGGGGCGCCTTGATCCGTGGTGTGCTTGTGCCGGGTGTCGAGCCCTTGGAAGACGTCTTTTCCTTTCCTGCATCTTGTCTCCTACGAGGCTCGGCTGTCCCGCTTCCTTGACCCAGGCCAGCCCGATTTTGGAGCACTTTGGCCTGGATGGGTGCTGTTATTCCCTGCCCCGATTTTCCAAGACCTTGACCTTCGACATAGCCTTGTTTGGCCATCATCCGGGCCGCAAAGGAGTTTTTGTTCATCCTTCCGCCGACTCCAAACGCTGAAGGGCCCATGCGCTGAGGCTTTTCTGTTTGCCGTTGGGGAGACATGTCCATCGGCGGAGTGGCTCTTTCTGCCTCTGCTTCCTCGTCGTTGTATTCGCCTATGTTGAACGAGCCTCGAAATCCACTCATACCGGTGCCCATTCCCATGCCCATGCCCATGCCCATAGAGGGTCTTTCATCGTCAACGTCTTGTTCTTCGTCTTCGTCTTCCCTGTCTTGTGCATCGTCCTGCGCTTCTTCTTCGGTGGTAGATTTGACGAACCCGAGCCCACGACTCCGCAGAATCTTTGTTGTCTTCCGTCTTTTGTGCGGTCGCTCATCGTCAGATTCTTCATCGTCATAGTCGCGAAGGTTGAAGGGTTGATCGTCTTCTGAAGAATCGCTCATTGTGCCTGAGCATCAGGCTGCGCAGCAAGGCCGCACAGTAACGGTGGAGCCAATTTGAATGCGCCTGGTAGAGAGACTCGATACACGCAAGAAGATCGCATGCAGTGAAAGAGTACGTGTCACATGCAAGGGTTGTTGGATCTGCGATGGGCCTGTGGTGCCTGCGGAGAAAAAGTTCTGGGAAACTCACCAACTCCATCATGGAGCCCGAAATTCGCACGAGGACTCGGATTTCCGGAATAGGCACAGTGACCGCAGCGACCACAGTGACCGCAGCGACCACAGTGACCGCAGTGATGTAATTTGTCCAGCTCCATCTCTCCATCTCGCTCTCTCCAATTCCAATAAACATCCGGCAGCACCTCACCACCCATTTCCAACTCCTTTCTTACAAGTCTCAGCTTCCTTTGTCCCGCTCAATCACTGTGAAATCATCTCAAACATGGCTTCGTTGTTCCGATCTGTCGCCCGTCCCTCCACCTTGAGAGCTGTTGCAGCTACCAATCCCGCTCGATGCCTGACCACCGCCGACAAAACTTTTGTTCGGATGAAGGCAACTCTTCCTGACCTTTCCTGTCAGTGAAATACTTTGGTGATGTTGAAAAGCTAAGGCTGACATCTCAATCAGACGACTATGGTGCCCTGGAACCCGCCATCTCCGGCAAGATCATGGAGCTGCACCACAGCAAACATCACCAGACCTACGTGAACTCGTACAACGCCGCCGCCGATCAATATGCTGCCGCCGAAGCCAGCGATGACGTTGCCGCAAAGATTGCTCTACAGCCACTGATCAACTTTCACGGTGGTGGCCACGTCAATCACACCTTGTTCTGGGAGAACCTTGCACCCAAGAACTCGGGCGGCGGCGAGCCTCCCTCCGGAGAGCTGGCCAAGGTCATTGATAGCACCTATGGAAACTTGGAAGAGATGAAGAAAAAGTTCAATGCTGCTCTGGCAGGTATCCAAGGTTCCGGTTGGGCTTGGCTGGTCAAGGACACCCAGACCGGCAACATCTCGATCCAGACATATGCGAACCAGGATCCTGTTGTTGGCCGATACAAGCCTCTGCTGGGTGTCGACGCCTGGGAACACGCTGTAAGAGAAACCCCCTGCCATGCTATGGAATCGTGTATTTGTTGACAATCAAACAGTACTATCTCCAGTACCAGAACCGAAAGGCCGAGTACTTCAGCGCCATCTGGGATGTCATCAACTGGAAGGCTGCCGAGAAGAGATTTTCCAGTTAAGCAGGTCAAAGAACTGAGATAATGTACAGCACGAGCGTATAATCAAATAAGTCTTACAAGCGAGTAGCAAAGTGACGATCCTTTAAAGCTTGCAAACTGGAGAACATGACAACAGACTTTTCTGCTAACCACCGCTCAGCGACCCTCCCAATGCCTCATGCCTTCTTTCAAATTCCTCACAAATGCCGCGTCAACTGCATCTTCTTCATATACCAAACACTTGGGATACTTTTGCCATTCGAGCCATGACTCCAGCCGAACAGCACCCTCGATCTTGGGTTCCAGAAGTCCGAGACCGATGTCAATGGTCTCGAGGCCGTGCTTATAGTAGAAGACGGTTGCACCACATTTTGCACAGAAATACCGACTCACATCCGACGATGTCTTGTAGTGCCCGAGCCTTGCCCTGTCTACCAGCAGAGACTCGAGAGTTTGGTCTGCCACCATGATGAGACTCTTTGGTACGGTGGCCCAGCAGGTGATTTCAAACCCAGTCACGGTCCGACAGGACGTGCATGCATCGAGGCTCGCTCCAAACTTGCCCGTTCCGGCATTGTAGTCGCTTGGGGGATGTGAGACTTCAAAGCGGACGATTTTGCAACGACACTGCGCGACAAGACGCTCATCACCATATTCTCTGCTGGCATGTACAGGCGCTTTGCTGTGTTTCATCAGGAGGTCCCTGACCGCGTCGTCGCTGACCATCTCGCTCTCCCGTCCCCTCCAATGCCTATCCATCCCCTGCAATTTTCCCTGATTGATCCAGCCCACCGCGCCTCCGTCTCCCCTGACATCCTCCACCCAGAGCTGCACCCGGTTCAACCTCCCTTGCAGCCCCTTCTCCCGGTCGTCGTCCACCTGCAAGTAGAGCACCCCCGTGCCGACCTCCCACTCTTCCTCCCCCTGACCCGCGTCGATGTTGATGACACTAGCCCCGCACCGCCTGCAGAACCAGCGCTGACACGTCCGCGATGATTCGTGTTTGACCAGTTTGCCACTGCTCAGCACGTCGGGCGGCAGGTCCGCGGGGATCACGGCCCAGGTCGCAAACAGCTGGCCCGTCGCGTGCCGGCATGAGGAGCAGTGGCACAGCGCGGATTTCAAGGGCAACGCCGCCGACGGGATCGTGAGCGACATGGAGGTGAGGCGGCAGTGGCACTCGATCTTGACCTTCACGTTCATGTCCAATTCTTTTTTCCTGGAGGTTCCTTAAGATAAGGGTGTGCTTCGGTGGGTTGGTATGGATATCACAGGGAACAAAGCGAACAGATATGTAGCTGCTAAGGACTAGGGGCAGGGAGATTATCGTATGTACATATGATGAACCGAAGGGCGCGCCCCGTTGAAAGCTGCCCTTGGGGATTTTATCTGGTTTATCTCAAACCACTCGTGAGTCCATGTCTGGTGCATCTCCCTCATTAGCCTTTTATGTCCCCGAGGGGATACGGAAGTTCTGAATTCGTCATTGGTGTTCGCGTATAATGAATGGCAGGTCCTGCGTATAACACGAAGGCGCTGAATGACATGAAGGGCGCGCGCGAGTGGCATCTGATTGGACATGCTGGGGTGGGGAAGCACCGACGACGAGGCTGAGCCAGCAGATCCGGCCCGCCCACCCCAAGGAGTCTCCCTAAGGACTCAAGAGGTCGGTAGTGGAGATGGAGCAGCAGCCGGTGGTGCTCGAAAGGTCTCACAGCATTTCTACAGCGAGGCTGACATACTCCTTGTGAGTAATGGTATCGCCAGTATTCTATATGTCTCACTCATGGTGCCAGCATAAATGGATTAAGACAAAGTCAACGTCAAAGCATATAAGCCCCACTGCAAGCGTCTTAGTCTCCGTCTTCATTACCGTCTTCTGCTCCACGCCTACTTTAACCTCCAAGTCGCATACCCCTCCACAACTCCCACCACACCTGCTACTGCTCCGGAGACACCGAAGCCTGTATCCAGACTGTGCCTCACCAATCCAGCAACAACACCCGCAACAACAGACACAATACACGACAGGGTCGAAAAAACCAGCAGTGCGAGTCTATCCAATTCGAGGTTTATCAAGACTGCGTCCCGGGAGACTGTGTTGTTGGGAGCTTCAGGCAGGACGGTGAAGCGGGCGTAGGACGTCAAGAGTGATGGGGCGAGTGGAAGTCTTGTCCCCGTTTGGCGCCGACGTAAAGCGGAGGTTAAGACGTGCGAGCAGTGAATCGTATCCACATCCACCAGACGAGGTAGGCTAGTGGTAAGGTCCTCGATTGGAACCTAAGATACATATATCAGAGCGTGTGACACGACTGAAAGGGCAGGGGTGGTACCGGAGCCAGTGTGACTGTATAAACCGCGGGGGTCATATACGGAACAGCTTTGACCAGCCAACTTTCGGAAGTCTTGTACTCTTCGAGAAGTTTGGCAATGATATCATGACCACGGTCCGTGGGGAGAAGGGGCACCTCGTGCAGGTAGTAGTCTCCATGATGGTGGACGACGAGACGCCAGGTCACTCTGGAGACTGGGTTGACATTCGAGGAAGGGACAAGATGTTGACCTGCTCCAATTGTTGGGGTCGGGAACATCTTCGTGCAATACGTGGGCAGAAGCCCTTGAGCTGGCGCCTTAGGGGTTGTCTATCTTCGGGTGGTGGTTGATGGAACGCAGGAATCAAGGAGACACTCCCAGAGAGCATGGTGAGGTTGTTATATACCTGTGGGAAGAGTATTTGCACCCTAGTTGTGGGAATGGACAGCGACATTGCACCACGTCGGAAGAGCGTCCAGGGGTTCGATGGGTGCAACTTCACAGTGAGTAAATGTGAAGCTGTAATTGAGCGCTGACCAGCACTGGGAAACGATGAGTATAGGCGCATAAGATCACACGTAGGAAGCGGTCGTGCAGATGAAACCACGTTGCGATGCGCAATGATCAATAATGCACTCATGGTCACTGAAGTGCACTTGCGCGCGACGCTTCTGATTCGAGATTGACCGGAGGTGGTGGTGGTGGTGGTGGTGGTTGTTTTCTGAAACACGACCGGGTGCCAACTGCCTGAAACAGGGGCTTCGACCGTTCAGCCTTCCTCCTCAATCCGTGGCGCTGTGGCTAGTGTTGCTGCTGTGGCCCAATTACATTCCCAGGTAGTGGCTTCCCAGCCCCAAGGCAACCCCAGGTTTCCCGTCAGCGAATCGCCAAGTGTAGCTAGGGAGTGACCACCTGGGCAGGCATGAGGCTTTTTGTCCTACCCTGTTACACCAATCTTCAAGTCGGACATTTCGTGAGCTGCGCAGTTGCGCAAGCTCAGCCTTGCGCATCTACATTCCTCGGAGGCATAAATTATATAAGGCCCCTCGCACCATGTCCGCACTCCTATTTCTCTTCCCTCCCTTCCCTCCCTTACGAGCGAAGGGTTGGAAGCATCTACTCATACTGTGCGTATATCCCTGAAAGCTGGTGGCTGTGGCTGTGGCTGTGTGACATTGTTGCTCCGTCATCCTTTCTGTTAAGTCTTTCGGACCCTCTACCAATACAAGGCTTCCGCCCTCAGCTTAGTGACATCTCTCCACCTCCGTGCGATCAGATGGACCTCGCGGCCGACCAACGGCCAACTCCCATGCTCATTTCGCATGAGGACAAATGTTACGATGCTCTTCAGCAGGGGCGCCAAAATCTGACCAACTTATGCGACAAACTCGTGGAGAGAGCGAATTACTTCAACACTTCTTCCGTCAAGACCTGGAAATCAATCCTTCCGCACGACGACGAGGTCCCCAAGTATTATGGAGACGAAGTTGATGATATATCCGACTGCGAGATGAGCATGGTAGGTGAGCTAAAGACACTTTTTGGTACTGAAAATGCCCGCGCAATTGTTGATGCGATCACAATCTTCTCGCCGGAGGCTGCTTTCAAAGGACCATTTTCCACTCTATAAGGGCTCAGGCAACATACAGCTGGATCTCGAAACATGCCTGCCTCATCTTCTTCGCAGTCGACACCATCATCGTCTTCGGATAAGGCAACGCGCTCAAGTGCCCGTGGAAGTAAACGAACACCCCCTACGAGTGATGAAGCCGTTGATGGTGGCGGTGATAATAATGAGGAGCAACAGCCTAGAGAACCCAAGAGGCCAAAGATGCGTGGCAACAAACTCGATGGAACTGTCCTTTTGCCAGAAGGCCCGTTGGAGACATTAGCCCCAACCCCTGTTGCGCACAAAGAGGCCTTGAATTCCGTAACCTCTGGGAACATTTCCGGCAGCACCACTACGGATGTGAAATTTGTGGGCTGAAACTCAGTGGGACGCGAGCTGATGTGGAACACAGTGCGCGACAAAAAGACTTGTCAGCCTGCAACCCTGGCCAGTACGACGGTCCAAAATTCGAGAGTGTAATTGATCTCTAGACAGAGATGCACAGCGTATACATTAATAGACGACTGACGAAATCAGAGAAGTAGACTAGATGGGGGAAGATGTTCTTTCCAGGCCACACCAATGGTCCTGATGGTATCCACCAAGGAACTATCGAATTCCCTGCAGCGGAGATTCCAGCATTGCAAATTGCGTTCAGCAATCGGTGGAATGCGGAAACACTGCAGGGGAATTTGCCCGTTCTCGACCATCTACAAATGCAACAGCGCAGAAGATCCTGGATGATTCCATCCGGATATTCAACTACACTCGACAACCTCGCTTCAGGATGTCGAGCCAGCTTCAACAGAATCCCAGTGTGCTCGAAACTGCGCCTGATCCTAATCCCTGGGAGCAACCTCTTCAGGGTGTGGGAAAAAATCCGTGGCTTACGACGGCTTGGGACGATATGAGAGGCAATTCGCGCCAGATCCAGTTTCAGCCACTTGACTATACCGACTTCCAGTAGGGTTGTTGTCGAGAAGGACCTTGTAATAAGTGCGATGTCAGGAATCGGAGTATGAGTCGCTTCCCACTTTGATCGAGCGTAGATGTATGGAAGTTAGGTTCAACAGTTTTTACTGATCTTGTAATTTATGACAGCTCTCATAGTTGGATGCTTTTCGGGTTTCAATATGCGACGAGATAGAGTGGCGCTGGTAGACGGCAGGGCCAGCCACCCAGGCCACTCTCTACGGATGTTGGGTTTTTTCAGCTGATTTCCTACATCCGCAATGCATATTCTTCGTTCGGCACGCCGGTATGGCAGCATTGCTTTGGCTCGGCGGCGTCGTATACTCTCAGATTAATAGATCAGCTTTTCTTAGCATAGAATTTGGTGTTCTTTTATTCGCTTGGTTTTTTACATTTTGGGCCAACCCCCATGTATTGACGTGTGGGCGTCCTTGTGGCACTCCTCAGCACTTGTTGCAGCTTCCAGCGATTGAGGAGTGGCGACCACTTCCGTCAACTAGTAAGGTGTCACCGGTATTGCATCCTACTGTACGTGACGAAGTTCCCTCGACGACGTCGACGGAGGATCCACGCAGCCGCCACTCTGAGCTGGAGAGACATGGTCCAACCATGGTCTTGATAAAGCACAACAAGAAGGGTTACTCTGACCAAAGATCTGACGGAAGGTCGTGCAGGAAGTCGGAGTAGACACAGCGACAAGACTGGTTCTGGTATTCAAGAGAGAATGCATAGGATCCACGTATTTGGTTGACCGAACTCGGGCGAGCTCCGCTCATTGACAGGGGCTATGTCTAAATGTTCTTTTAAAATCGCAATACGCAAAATGCTGCATCTAGTTGTTGTCTAGTTTCCCCAGCGCTGCCCTCCTTGAAGTACTGTTGGGGTCGAAGTAGGGCCTCTCTCCCAGGCCTACTGCCCTGTTTCCAAAGCGGTCTCCTTCGCCGCGATAGTCGTAGGTCGCAGAGTGGAACACGCTGCGGTTGTCCCAGATAGCTACAATGGGCTCCTTGTCAGAACATGCACATTTCCAAACAGTGGGCCATGTGATCACTCACCAATGTCGTTTGGATTCTCCCATTTGAACCGCACCTGAAGGTCGTGGTTCTTGTACACCAGATCCAGGAACCACTCAAGCAGATTTTTACTCTCCTGCTCGGTCAGTCCGTTGATGTGGCGCACGTGGCCGCCCACGGGGAAAATGCTCTTCCACCCAGTCACAGGATTGGTTCGAACGACGGGATGGATGGCCTTCAGTTCGCCTCCGACATTTTCTGGAGCTCCTCTTTCTTTGGTATACAGCTGGAAGCCTCCTTTGTCGGCAACTTCGTTGAATGCTGGCTGAGCGAATGTGGCAGTCAGAGTCTCGAGAAATTTCTGGTACGGCTCACTGATTCGATCGTAAATTTCATATCCCGAAGCCCACAGAGTATCTGGTGTCTGGTAAGTAACTTGAGGTGTTGTTCAGTGTGGAAGTGTGACTGACCTCCTCCCGTTCGAGGCAATTGGGTCAGTCGAAGGGATGTGTAATCCGCGGGAACTGGCTCAAATGCTATATCGCTGTGCCACTGCGCACTGCCTTGGATCTTCTTGCTCTGATCATACGGAGTCTTCTTGTAAAGTTTGGCGTGCTGAACAGAGCTGATGGTGCTGATCTCTGGATCACTGCCTCCAAGCTCTCTCTCAGAGTTGAGGATCGGGTGGATATGCAATTTCGAGGTCTGCGGCTTTCCGGTCAGCTCGCCGAGTCGCTGGATGAGCTGCTTCTGTATTTCGTTTGTGAGATTGTCCTGTTTCCTGAAGAAGACGACTCCACGCTCGGATACTGACATGATAAGTAAGATTTCACCCGAAGATAGGCCCGGATGGGCTTACTTTTGATTGCGAGGTCGCGCAGAAGCTCATCGGACTTAGGTGAATTCCACCACTCAACAAGATTTGCCTCAGGAAACTCCGTACCAATCACGGGAGTCAGGTCGATGGATTTAAACCGGTCGAGGGAGCCAGACGATTTTAGAGGCTCCTTTCCAAACAAGGTCTTTTGTTTGATGTAGTCCTGTTGAGGTGCGTCAACATCGATAGCAGAAGGAGCCATTTTGAAGAAGATCAACAAAAATGCGGCGCGGTTGGCTTTCCGATCCTCGAAGAAAATTCTTGGTCTTCAACCCGGAGTAGAGCACGATTTTATAATCTTTTGGTACCAGCATTGAGCATTGTCGGGTGCAGGCACGCTGCAGTGGACGACGTATGATGCCACAGGTGCATTTCTCGACGCGATGTCTGTCCTGTCCGCTAAGTCGTCTGGATTCCGCAATCTGCGGGGTCCCTGGGCTCATCTTCATGGGATGTCCTCTTCCAGATAGTCGCGGTGCTCACCGAGGTGCTGACACCATTCGAGGTACGAATGGCGCGAGTCGGCAGCTTCGCGTGCTGTTCTATCCTCGACAAGTTCGGACCCCTCAGATTGGCTCACTCGAAGCCGCGGTGCTCCGGAATTGATGAGGGCAAACGAGTCCATCATCTTGTACACAGCTCATCCGCGCCAGGTGGAAGCGTGGGAGAGGTACGAGGAACATTTTCTCTTCTCAGGAGCTGTTGACATGTGCCAGCTGTGCAGGTTGCCGCTGGACATTGAGAAATCTCAAGATCACGTGAGGCTTGGCGCCACCAGTGCCAGCATCTCAACTTCCCCCTCAAGTCTCAATTTCCTTCCACTCACTCCCTGGACCATCACTTGATCCACGGTCTTTCCATGATCACGGCATATTACACGAGCTGACATCCATGTTCCGGCATTCACAGAGCCCTGAACCAGTACCCGGTACGCGCAACCCTCTCCGCTCGCAGTCGAGACTAGGAGATGGTCTGGCGGGAATGATAAGGGCAATTTGCCTTGACCAGAGAACCAATGAAATAAGTCAATTGTTGTCGTCCTTTGCAGAACACAGTGCGCTGCCCGAGACCTGGATGAGACTCGACCGGCCCGGAGTGGAGTGAAAAAGGTGTCAGAACGCTCGTGATGGCGTGCTTCGTCGGTCCAAGACGTCGGTTGCACTTCGACATCAAGCTTGCAGTCGCTCTCCACCAATCACGTCTTTCTGTACAAACCCTATCTCCACCACGGTGTATCCCTTTCCACCAAGTTAGCGAACCAAGCATGTGGCAGCCGATCTAAAGATGTCGAGTTCCTTGCTATTGTAGCCTTTGGGCTGCCCACTGTGGTTCTCGTCGGAGCAGGAGCTTTAGCCTCGGACTGCAGGGCGCCTATTTGTTGGATAGATACTTCGAGCATCGATCTTTTGAGCTCCCTGCTCGGATAAGCCACTGGCGCAAGGATTCTAACAACACATTGCAGCTTTCTTTCCCCGCGGCCACATGGATCGGCAAGCGTGGGACGCCAAATGTAGTCAGATGGAGCGGCGCATGGCCGGGGTCGCAACGCTGTCGACAAGTCGGTGGGTTTCCAGAGCATATTGGCTGGGTGCCCCTCGCAGACCACTTCCAAAATGGAAGGATACAAGCCCAGCAATACATGTTCCCAATCACGCAATCATCCCACGATTTGACTACACCATTCCAACAGCTTGGTGTGGCAATGGTCTCTGAAAAAAAGACAGAAACTCCGGTGCTGGTGTCGTCTAGAACTTGGTGCAGCCCGCATCTTGCCGAAAGCCAGACCGCTGAAGGGTATTCCCATCCGAGAGGTGGCGGGAGAAAGTGGTTCGTATTCTATATAACTCTCCTCTGCGCCCTATCCTCCGGTCTTGAAAAGCGTTACCTTACAACCAAGTTCCTTTTGTCCAACCCTTGCAGTGACCATGGAGAAATCATTTGAGTCTGAGGTGATCCAGGCCACCGCTGTGAGGAACAAGGAAGCAACCAGGAAGCCAAAACGACAAAGGTGGTGGCAGCTCGGTGGCAAGGATATCAGCCATGTCTCCGTCGATGCCGATATCGAGCTGGACTCGGAGACCTCGTCTCTAGAGCCTACTGACCCCTCGATTGTCAAGAACGTGAATAGCGTTTACGAAGCTCCCGAGGCCACGGAAATCTACAAGCCGATTGAAGGCTTTGAAGGCACACATCGTTTCGATCCCACGGCTGAATGGACTCAGGCAGAGGAAAAGGCTTTGCTCAGGAGGGTATGTCTTGACATCGAATACCGGTTCTTGCTCCTAGCTAACACGTCTATAGCTCGACTGGCGAATTGCCCTTCCAGCATGCATCATGTTCTTTGCCCTTCAACTCGATCGAGGCAACATTACCCAAGCACTATCTGACAATATGCTAAGTATGAAGGTCGTCCTGTTGGCATCTGCAGGAAACTAACGAGCGTGTAGAGGATCTCCACATGAATACCAATGACTATAACAACGGCATGACCATTTTTTACTGTTCCTTCTTGTTTGCCGAGCTTCCGTCGCAGCTCGTCAGCAAGAAGCTTGGCCCAGATACCTGGATCCCCATCCAAATGGTGGCCTGGAGCGCCGTAGCAGCATCGCAGGCTGCGTTGTCCGGCAAAACAAGCTTCTACATCTGCCGTTTCCTTCTCGGTCTCATTGAGGGGGGTTTTATTCCCGACACCATCCTTTACCTGAGTTACTTCTTCACGAACGCGGAACTTCCCAAACGCCTGAGCTGGTTCTGGACCTCTTATCAATCTACCCAGATTGTGGGAGCTTTTCTCGCCTACGGCATCCTGCATCTTCGAGGCCACGGCATGGCCGGATGGAGATATCTGTTCGCGATCGAGGGCGGCCTCACCGGCGCGATTGGCATTTTCACCTGGTTGTATCTGCCGGCCTCGCCTACTCAGACGGGTCGCGACGCAGCTGCCCATAGGGGCAGCAGAAAGATCCCGACAAAAGGGCTTCTCCGACCAAAGAAAGGATGGTTCACGGAGCGAGAAGAGACCATCATGGTCACACGCATCCTGCGCGACGACCCCGGTAAAGCGACCATGCACAACCGACAAGGTCTCAGCTTGGACCTCTTCTGGTCGGCTCTTACCGACTATGATATGTGGCCGATCTACCTCATTGGTCTCTCATGGACAATTCCGAGCACGCCTCCGCAGGCCTATATCACATTGACATGCAAAGCCCTGGGGTTCGACACGTTCCAAACCAATCTGCTCACCATCCCGGCCTACACCCTCTTCATCATCCAGCTGTTGTTCTGGACGTGGTTTTCGGAGAAGGTCAACCAGAGACTGCTGCTGGGCGTGATCTGCCAGATCTGGTGTCTTCCCTTGCTAGTCGCCCTGGTCACCTTGCCGCCTCACTTCCACGGCTCCAACTGGTCGAAATGGACACTGTCCACCATGCTGGTCGGGTATCCCTACGTGCACGCCATCCTCGTGGCCCTCACGTCTCGCAATGCGGGCAGCGTGCGCACGCGCACCGTCGGCTCGTCGCTGTACAACATGGCCGTACAGGCGTCCAACATCTTCGCATCGCAAATCTACCGCCAGGCTGACGCGCCGTACTACTACACAGGCAACAAGGCCCTGCTGGGCGTCGTGGCGTGGAACGTTATCGTTTTTATCGGTGCAAAGATTTATTATGTCCGCAAAAACGCCCAGCGCGACAAGATCTGGTACTCCATGACCCGCGAGGAGAGGGTTCATTATCTCCAGACGACAGAGGACAAGGGGAACAAGAGGCTGGATTTCCGATTCGCGCATTAGCCTTGCCAATTCAAACTGCTCGGAGCTGCTGCCTCTGCCTACCCTGTCCACCCTGTCCCTTACTATCCTCCCATACCCCCATCCTACATTTACCTCCCGTCTTGAGACTGGAGGAGACGAATGATAAGGCCTAGATTAGATAAGTCCCATGTAGACGAATAAACCACATGTGTGTATACACTTGAGCGGCTCTCTTTTGCGTCTTTGGATATCTTGATTTTAACAAACTGCGTCAAATACTCGGTCAACGGTTAGAATGGCCCACCGCTCACTCCCTCTTGCTCTTGCTCTTGTGTTCCATGGCCCCATGTTGTGGGATTCGTCGCTCTACGAGTATTAAACCCTCTCGATTAAAATTCTAGAGGCAAAGTAGATATCATGACCGTCCGTGCCTACGTGTGGGTGAGGTATAGCGAATGGATTCTTATCGAATGAGTTGACGGCCAGGGATTTCTAATTTTGCTTTTCTTTCCCTTTCCCCTTTTCCCTCTCCGTCACGAAAACGCACCCCCCGTGCCAAATACCAATTAATTACCCCTCCCCATAATGGGGAGCGTCCGTTTTTTTCCCCGGCGCTCCTATACCTTCTGCGCGATGGACACTATAGTCGTTTCTCCCGCAAACTGATCGCGACTAACAGGCCCAGAAAGGCAAAGGCCAGGGACATGGCTGTTGTTGAATTGAAGTGGAGAGAAATGTTAGTTTTTTGTCCCCCTGCGAGGGATAGAAAGGAAAGACACGAGAAAGAAAGGGCGATGACTTGCCAAAAGTACAGCTCAAGCCGTCGAGGTAGGCTCGCAGCACGATATCCCTGATCCGCGGCGGGAGATGGCGGATGGATTTGACGCTGGAGACGGCGGACTCGATGATCTGTTTTGGCGGGTTTTGGCCACGTTAGTTCTTCTTCGATTCAGCGGCTTCTTTTTCTAAAGAGGGGGGGAGCTGTTTTTTCCTTTCTTTGGAAAAAAATTGATTGAGCGGAGAGAGGGGGAAGGGGGGGGGCGGAATATGAGGGAATCTTCGCTTGCTTCTCTCTCTGTCTCCCGTGAATGGCAACGATACGCACAAAACGTGACAAACTACAACATACTTTTGCCTTGTGTTTGACGCCCTCCAGACCCGATTCCAAACTGGCTCTCAACCGGGCGTGCAGGAGCGCGGTGGAAAACTGGATGCCAATCAGGAGAAAGAGGTTGTGGCAGAGGTACAGGGTCGTTCCTGCGATGGCCATCTTGCTCTGCTCCAGGCTCGCGGCGAGGTGGATGAAGGTCGTCGACTGATTTGTGCCCGAGGCAAAGCCACCGAGGAAAATGTAGAGCGTCTCAGCCGGGTGGATTGTGCCGCGCCACCGGAGAAGGACCATCAGATAGCCCAGACAGCCGCCCGCGTTGCCCAGCACGGTGAAGAGCTTGTACCGTCCCGTCTTGAAGATGGTGTAGCCGGCCAGCAGGCCCGCGGTGGCGTTGCCCACCACGGCGGGCACGAGGCGGAGTCCCGCGTCGCCGACGCTCGAGCCGGAGATGATCTGGAAGTAAATGGGGACCGAGTAGAAGAGGCTGAATTGCGCGGTCATCTGTAAACCTGCCAGGAGGTAGGCTGTCAGGGTCGCCCGGCTGGTGAGCAGCTCGATGGGCAGGATCGGCTCCTTGGCCCAGCGGCTCTCGATGATGTAGAAGAGGGCCATGAATGCCAGGAAAAGTACCGCGGGAGCCACGACGTAGCCCACGGGGAGATCCTCGTTCAGGAACTCCAGGGCCAGAAGGAAGCTGATGATGGTGACGATCAGGGCGACGGCGCCCATGACGTCCACCCGGGCCAGCTTCTGCTTGAACGAGGCTTCCTCGTCAGGTTTGACGGTCGTTTTTCGCGTCCGGTTGGGCAGTTTCCACAGGATGAGGAGCAGACCCAAAATCGTGGGAGGGACTTGGCCGTAGAAGCACCATCGCCAACCGATGGTGTCGCAGAGCCAGCCGCCCAGTGGTCCACCGAGCGCTCTCCCTGTTGTGGCAGCAATGTTGACGTAGCTCCTCCAGGTAGCGACTTCTCTCACGGGCACCACATCTGCAGATATGTAAGTCGGACACCATCAAGAAGCACATGTGAACCGCACCAGCAATGATGATAGACACCAGAGCCGTCATACCAGCACCTCCAATGCCCGATATGGCTCGTCCGGCGACCACATGCCAGTATTCACGACCGATACCGCTGCGGTGTTGTTGTCAGCATGGATCCTGGCCACGTTTGAGTCTCTCCTCGCCCAACATACCAAAGAAAACACCCCGCCGCGAAGAAAATGTAGGCCACACTCAAGTTGCTTCGGCGGCCAAAGATGTCGCTCAACTTGCCGTACTGGTTTGGTTCGAGGCATAGGTCAGCAGTCTGTCTTTGACTAAAGTTTCGGTATTTGGCAGGGCGTCTTACCAGAGGTTGACTGGCACAAAGGGCAAGCACAAAGCTGGTAACCAGCCACGACGCACTGGACAGTGCATTGAACTCTGAAGCGATCTGCTGACTCGATGCGATGATCAAGCTGCCGTCGAGGTTGGCGACGAAAACACCTTCGAGCCCCGGATCAGCGTCTGCTTGATCGCCTCCCACAGATGATACCGGGCTTCCTCTCTCCAGACATACCTAGTAGCGAGACAGGGACAATCGTCCAGATGGTCAGCGCCGACGACGGTTCAGCATCCCCGGCTTTCGACGTCGGGTCTTCGTGGTATGGAGGGAGGTTGGCGGAGGAATGTCGGCGTAGGTTGGTCCTGTATGACTGCTGCTCGGGGTCTGAGGCCTCGGAATCGCTCCGCAGCAGCGCTGTCGTCTCATCCGCCGCAACGTCCCCATCTCTATTCCTATCCCCCATGGCAGTCGATTGCGGTGATCTCTCGAGGGGCGAGGGTCAATGGAACAAAACATTTTTATGCCGTGGTGGGCGTGCGAGTCATGTCGGCATCCAGTCAGAAATCCCCAGGTTCGGAAGGATCCCCCAAAAGGTCGGTCAACAACGGACAACGTGGTACTGGTGGCCCAACTAAAGCCTGCACGGGCTGGATGGGCCTGACGGGAATTGCCAGCCGCTGGAAGGGTCCGCATATCGTGATCACGCAAAAACACCAAGCGAGCACGCATCGAGCATGCAAGCATTGCTAGCCAAATAGACCCAGGCCCGGTCTTCAGCACGCCACGCACCTCGAGTGGAACTTTTCCGCTGCAGGCGCAATTCTAGACCTTTGCATTCGCAGGGAGAAAAGGATGCCGAGTGCGTGGACTTTGTAGATGACGAATTTCATGGTACAGAATGCTGAGGCGCGCTGAAATCCGGCGGTGTGCTTTTCTATACAACATAGTGTTTCTATACAAGCTCACTCCATTCCACTCCTCCCCTGGGTCCAAATTCCGAAAGTGAGAATGCCCTAACATGCCGGGGCCCTTCGCTCTCTAGTATATAACCCTTCTCGCACTTTTCGAACCGAACTCTCTCCTGCTGAAGCTCGTAGAAGTCATCGTAGCGTGCATCAAGGGCATCTTGCAGATTGCCTACATCGCCGCGAGGGTGGAGAGTCTCCCATGGGTGAGTACAAGTCCGTGCTTTGCATGTCTTCAGAACCATGACCAGTGAATCGAGCCGAGAGATGAGGTGCTGCAAGGTGGTGGTGGTTGGTGGCGTCTCCGGCGCTGTGGCTGGGAACTCGAAAACAGAGGAGTGATTCGATCTGAACAGGTTATGCGTCTCGTAGGGATCATTCTGGGGGTTGTCAGGTTTGCGAAAGATCCCACATGGAAACATGATCAATGAGAAGGAGAGATAGGCTTACCTTCAAGTCGTAGAGTTCGTGCTCACCACTACACCACACACTGTAATAGAGATTGTAGCTGGCGCCGATCACCCTGAGGCCCTTGTAGGTGTTGTTCCAGTACATTCCACTCCCGTATTTGCCCTCCGCAAGTGCAAATCCCCAGTACTCGATATTCACATGCTCTCCACAGGCGTTGACAGCACCGTCACCAAGTTGATCGGAGGTCAAGGGGATAGCGCTGCCGTCAAAGTCTGATCGAATCTCTCCACCTGCAAGAGATAAAAACGTAGGCGCCAGATCGGTGTGAGAAGTTACAAGATCACTCTCCTCCCCTCTTAGTATCCCTGGACCACGTACGATCAATGGTATATTGATGTCTTCTTCATAGCCGCATTCTTTGCCCGGTTGCAGACGGTGTTGACCGATGTGGTAGCCATTGTCGGTCGAGTAGAAGACGTAAGTGTTGTCGAGGATTCCGTGCTCTTTCAGACGAGCAAAGACACCGTCGACAATCTCATCGACCGCTTGGAGGGCGCGTAATCGGTTTCGATAGAACTCGTCGTTGAAATCGACGTTCGTCTGGTTCTGTTTGGGCAAAGTGCTGATCCAGGAAACGCCGTGAGGCTGCGCTCGAGTGGTTAGTCTGAGCCTTGAGAAGAGATCCATCAACCCACCTCATCAGGATTGAAGCTTGGAGTGCGCGGAATCACGGCATCTGGGAATAAGTGCTTGTGCCTCTCTGCCGGAATGGGAGGAGTGGTCAAGATGGCATGGGCCGAAGCACTGCCGTTGAACCAACTTTCCTCAAACTTGACGTTACTGTGCGGAGCATTGGGGGCAATGGCCAGGAAGAACGGTTTCTGTTCTGAGATGGCATCTTCTAGGAACCCATACGCCTTCCTGGCGAGGACGTCGGTGGAATACTCTCCTTCGTGGCTCACGGGTGGCTCTCGATTTCGCTGGAAACTGGCGTTCAGGTATTCATAGGTGTGAGGATCTAGAAGGAAGTCGGAACCCGTGAACCCATTGAGGAATGGAGAGTCATAGTTCTTCACGCTGTGTGCGTTGAACAGTTTGCCCGTGTAATATGTGTTATAGCCGGCGTCTTGCAGCCAGATGGGAAGCCACGCCTCATTGAAACCCTGGCTGACGAACTTCGGATAGCCGCCTAAGGAACCTCGCAGTCAGAACATGAACGATGATGGTGGTATCGAGAGGACAAGAACAGACCATACGGGGGATTGACATCGGTGACGTTGGTGTTGTGGGCGGCCCTTCCTGTCCACAAGCTCACGCGCGACGGGCAGCACAGCGCGATGGTGCAATAGTGGCGCCGGAAGAATGTGCCTTGGTCAATAAGGTGCTCCTTCACATGTGGCATGTAGGACAATGAGTCCATGCGCAGGTCCTGGTCATCTGTCAAAATGAAGACAATGTTGGGTTTGGAACTGGATGGCTGGTCGGGCGTGAGAGGTTGCTGCCATCCCGCCAGGCTGCCGACTGCGGCTCCCAGTAACACAAGCCACGACGACGTCCTCCAGGCCATTGCGTCGTGATCTGCTGTGGACCAATTTCGTTGTATCTGCTTCTAAGCTGCTCCGATCATATGGGAAGCCATGTTTCACATACCTACACGTTGAATTCAGGCAGTTGCACATGTTAGAAACTGGCAGATTTACACTGTCAGTCCCAGGCGGTGAAACTGAGGACAAGGCCCTCCGAGCTTCCCCCGAGTAAGGCCAGATGCTGACTTTCTGGCGTCTGCAGCCCCAACAATAGGCTTTCTAGGGCCTGTGAAGCCTGTGCCCATGGGTGACTTGCGGCTTAGAAAGGCTGCTTTAGACGTGCTTGTCCCACAGTATGGCGTGATCAGACCGCAACTCCAATCCTTATTGCAGTTCTAATGGCGACTTCAGATGGAATGCTTAGTTGCCAGACACGGCAGAAAGGTCACTCTTGGACTGGTTGACCTGCAGCAGGAGGATTTTCGTAATCAAAACTAACAGCGGGCAATCGTGCGAAATGAATATGTTTTCCATGCCTTGTAGTATTAACTTCTCTCCAGTCTCCAGCGCGACCCGTGGATGGCACTACTTGGGCCTTCTGCATTGTACTTCGACCAAAGCAAGCACAGATCCCCCCCTCGCTCGCCTCTTCAAACATCCGTCGAGTTGTAGTTGTAAGACTGCAATACCTGGGAAATGACTCCGGTCCTCAGACTCTATCCTTCGTGATCTGTTTCGCTCGCCCCGTTAACAATATGCCCATGTGCCAATGCCTCGAGATCGTCGTCATCGTCCTCTCTGAACTCGCCCGCTGGTCTCTTGTTCTTCTCTGTGATTAGCTCCTTCAGCCACTTATTCTCCATCTCGAGTTGATTGACTTTCTCCTCCAGTTTCGCGTTCCTGTCTTGCACTTGGCTCATTTTCCGTTCCAAGGCCTGTTCGCGCTGTTTCTTCTTGATTCGAAAACGGGCACTGGCGGCGGTGTTGCGTTTGCGCCTCTCCTCCTTGGCCGCCATCTCGGAGGCATGGTCAGGATTTTGTATATAGTAATCTAGTCGTCCTGGAATTTGCTGCGCATCATGCCCGGCATCGCTTGGCGACAAGCTGGAATAATAATGCGTATCGACATGGTTGTATCTCGGAGGAGAGAGGGGCTGTAACATATGTGTGGCCGCGGGAAACTGTGGCCCTGTGGTTATCGCGGCAATGTGGGCGATGCTGGACTGTCGCAAGGCCTCGATGCCTGTGGGCAAGTCGATATCTGCGCTCTTGGGGCCGTTCATGGAATCATCGGTAACATAATTTTCGGGGTGTCGTTGGTGGAAACAAAAATTGTCGAAGAAAAGATAATGGATATCCGTAGACATATAATGCATCGACCTTGGCCGCCCTGCAACCCCGTTTCTGGTTAGTTTATCAGCCCAAGCCGCTCGACGTTTGGTGACCCAAGGTTACTGGCGGTGACTGGCTGCTTGCCTGCGCCCGTGAGGTGTTCACTTCAACATCCTTTGTGATTGGGGTTCGCGCACCTTACCCCCCAATCGCATTGAGAAGGCTCCTGGAGAGAGTTGTCATGTGCACTGAGATCTCGATAGCTCCGCACAACCGTTATTGGGGTTTTTGTTCGTGATCCAGCCACTTCCTGAACGCAGCAATCGATCAATAAGCGGTATCTTCGGTGTGCAAGCGGCGCTGCTGCCTCTTCCCCGAGACCTCCGACGCCCCAGGGATCATTCCAGCCAAATTTGCCGCCCTGCACTCCTCATCGTGGGCTTGGCGACCGAAAACAAGCAGCCAAACATGTGAAGCAAAAACCTTCATGCGATTCCTTTCCCCCAAGGGCCAGATAGAAGCCCCTTTCAGATAATAATTTGGCTGGCGGAGCTCGTGCTGCGTGGAATCCGTGCTGCGACCCCCAAACCTCCCTTTGCGGAAAGCGGCGATTTCTCCAAATGCGAATAACTGCTTATCGCGGGTCAAGAGCCTTCCATTCAACCTGACTCCTTGAGTCTGCGCTTCGAGGCGTCGCGAAGGGCAGCTGTGGTGGCGGGATGGTCAATCTCTCTGCTTTTTACAACAACTAGCTCGCAGCCCGCAACGCTTGTTGTCTTCTGCTCAACGCTGCAGGCGATCCAACGTTTATCTTTCACTGCGCTTGGTAAGCGTAGGGAAGAAGTTGGTTCGTGAGATCATTCAGTCGCTTCAGGGCGCAAAGCTTTTGTGTCGAGGCCTCACGCGTTGACCATGGACCCTGTTCGGATATGAATGAAGTTGATTCGAGCCGCCGGTACTGGACAGGAAATATATCCATAAACTCATTGTCGTATGCCAATCTTGTGAACCTCTTGTTGACTCCAGGCTATCCGAAGGGAATGTCCAGAGTGGTTTTCGGTCCGGGAAGACAACTATTCCGCGGCTGGTCCTGGTCGAACTCTTGAAGCACAAAGCCTGCTTTCATCCCAGCAGCGTGTTCCCTTCAATCCTCAAAGCGACATGCTGGAAGACATCCTCGTGAGGTGGAGGACCCCGCCCGCAGCCGCAGAGTCTCTCGTTCTCTCCACAAGTCTCGAGGCCAGAGAGTTGGTCGTGGAGGTCCGGCTGGTGGTAGAATCCAGCTTTATCCGTTCACCAGTCGGCTCGGATGGTCAGGCCATAAGGGAGCAGGATGTCCTTCGTGGTGCCATCGCCATGGATCAATGTAGGAAAGGTTAGTCGATCGCTGATTCCTCCACCTTCTTGCAGTGCTTGCTCACGGGCCAGGCGACGATATTATCGGTAGCAATATCGTTGGCCTGGGGCCTCAGCCTCGAAGACGACCTTGATCAGCCCTCGTAGCAAGAGGGATGACTTTCAAATGAGCCATAAGTGCTTTGGCCTCGACTTTGGCCGTGAAATAGGTCATACCCTGAGGTATTCAGCGTGCTGGGTTCCAATTCAATGGATTCTGGGCTCCCTCAAGAGCTGGTAGACGATTTTCCCAGTGAACCCCCAAGTTGTATATCTCTCAATCACCATGAAAATAGCAAAGGATCAAACATTACACAGGGGTGTCATGCGAGAAGAGAAAAAGAGACGAAGTCGGCCCGGCCGTCGGTGTCGATGTCACAGCCAACGAGACCGACTACCGAGATTGCTTGGCGCCGGAAGGTCATTTTTCCGGGTGGGAGAGAGAAGGAGATTCCGACTGGAGGATGCGCTCTGTTACAGTAGATATTGATCTGTCTGCTCCATGACCCATCTATAGCTTTCTGTGTGTGTCAAAGACAAAGTCATCTCTAGGAGAAATTGAAATCCACCAATCCTACCTGCAAGTGCCCAGGCCAAATGTCTCTTCTCAGCGTCAAGAGACCGGCTTCACTTCCAACCCTTCCAGCTGACCAGCCTTTTCCCAAGCCTCGAGCGTCTCCATGAAATTCTGGATGCCCTCGCCCCATATTCCCATCCTGGCAGCTTTCATCTTCACCTCCATCGGCATCTTGTCCATGAGTCCTTCTCCATTGAGATAACCCGGCGTACAGCCTGCCATGCCCGCGAAGGCCATGCTTCTCTTGAGAATTTCCCCCGACCACATCTCTTCAGCTTCCTTTGTCGGCTCAATTACTATTTTCTGGCCGGGATACTTTGCCTGAGCCTGAGAGATAACATGAGCAACGTGGTTACTCATGATGTCATGAGTGAAGTTCTGGTTTCCTGTTGCAGCCGCTTGGAAAGGGCCAGGCATGAAGAAGTTGGGGAAATCGTGTGTCATGATCCCATGTAGCGTGGCCACTCCTTCTTCCCACTTATTGTCCATGTCTTTGCCGTTCCTGCCCGTGATTTTCTGCGAATCCCTGTCAGTTTGGTACAGGAAATGATGGGACCGATGGTAGCGGCTCTCCCAAGACCAAAACAGACTCTCAACAGAAAATATTAACTTACCATACTGGCACGGAAAGCAGGGCTGCCAATTGCAGGGGCACGGAAGCCGGTGCTGAAGATCAGAATATCCAATGGATACTCCTTGTGGCCCACAATGGCTCCAGTGGCCGTCAGACGATCAACACCCTTTCCGTCCGTGTCAACAAGCTCGACATTTGGGAGATTGAAGCACGGTAAATAGTCATCATGAAATGTTGGTCGCTTGCACCAAGAGCTGTACCAGTGCTTGAGGGCCTGAGCAGTCCTTTTGTCCTCCACAATCTCATCAACCCGCTGACGAATTCGTTCGGCGCGGGGCATGTCCACAGCGTACAGACGTGCCACAAATGCCGGGATCTCGTCTATCGAGTAAGGCGGATCAGGGCCTCCAACCAGGGCACGATATGAGAGGCAAGTACTCCACTTATCGTTGACAAGGTTGCTTTCGGCGGGTTGAGCTGCGCCAGAAAGATGGGCTGCCAAATTAAGATTCCGGTCTCTCCACCAACCAGGACGAGAGGCAACAGCAGATGCCCATGTGTCCTTGTCGGTAGGGCGTTGGCCGCGTATGTCGACAGAAGAAGGAGTCCGTTGAAAGACCACGAGATGTCCGGCGTGTTTGGCGAGGTGCGGAATAGCCTGGATCGCCGTGGCACCTGTACCGATTATGCCCACCCGTTTACCAGCGAGCTTGTTAAGAACGGGATTTTCTTGTGATCCGCCAGTGACGGAGTAGTCCCAGCGCGACGTGTGGAACGAGGTGCCCTTGAAGTTCTCGATGCCAGACACGGCGGGGAGTTTCGGATGCAGAAGGAGACCAGACGCAGCAATGACGAAATCCGCAGTCACATCGATCTGAAGTTGAGAGCCCGACTTGCGTTCCTTGATCATGCCGACTTTCCACTGGCTCGTTGATTCGTCCCAAAGGAGGGTGTTGATCTTGGTTCGGAACATTGCGGTGTCCGAGAGTCGAAATCTATTCGCGACGGCGTTCAAGTATTCCCTGATCTCGTGGCCGTAAGCATACTTGTGCTTCGGCATGTAATCCATCTCTTCAAGAAGGGGAAGATAGCAGTATGACTCTATATCGCACATCAGCCCCGGATAGCGGTTGTAATACCACGTGCCTCCCACGCCTCCCGCGGAGTCGACGATACGGATCTCGGAGGCTGATATGCCTGCCTTGATGAGCTTGATGGCGAAGAGAAGACCGCCGCATCCCGCTCCCAGGATGAGATATTTGACATGTTCGCCGTTGCTGATGGTCACTGTTTCCGAGCGCTCGTCTAGCCAGGGGTCCTCTCGATAGTGCTTGAACTGCTCTGACAGTGCCAGATCAACATACTGGGCGTCGCCGTCCGGCCGGGTTCGCTTCTGCCGTTCTTCGTTGTACTTCTGCTGGATCTTCATGCCAGCTTGAGCAGCAGCACCTCCGTGTTGCGCACTGGCGCCATTGGCTTGGTCTGTGGCCTCGGTGTCGAGTTGAGCCTCGTGGGCCTCAACTGGAACTGGACTGTTTGGAGGGATAGCCGTGGATGCTTGCCCGACCATCTTGCTTCCAGCGTATAAGAATGGATCGCAATTTCAACGACCCAAGTGATGCAGGGGTTGCATTATCCCAGAGATGAGGATCTGAGGCTTTAAGAGCGACATACTTCGCTTGTGAGAGTCATACGCGTACGCCGTATCAGGCACCCTGCACCGGGAAGTCGCGTTACACAAGTGGGTTGCCTTAAGCACAAGGATCCCATCTCGGCTGTTCAGCTCCCAGATACATAACCACATGGGTACGCGAGGTTGACCAGTCAGAGTAGAGAGTGGACTTATTTTGAAGATCTAGGCCTGGTAGACTCATGAGAGGGCCGTAGGGATCTGTCTTGACGCATGGATGCCACCAACAGGTACAGAAGTTGTGGGTCTGCTCCTTGAAGTTGTCAGCAGCTTCGATGTCAGATCACGCAGACCTAAGCCAGGAATACCTTGTATATTCCACGTTCCTAGATCTACCTTGGACATTATTTGCATCTCGAGAAATCACTGGCTCCTGCCGGTCATTGCGAGTCTGACATGTGTTGCGGTGTCCGTCTTGGATGTATGCCATTTCCAAGCTCTACTTCATGATATGATAATATATATGGATGCCAGCGTTGAGCCACTGCTGTTTTCAAGAGGCTTAAGGCAGCTGGTCAGCCTTTCACGAAACCCAACGACACAGTTCGCTTTCATGCTTGCAAGTTCTTGCGTGGAAGCTGATAGAAGTAGATGAGGAGTGTCTTGTACAGCGGAGAGCATTCCGTAGAGCTTAAATGGGTATGTGTTTCGAGCGAACCTTATCCCTGCAGCTCGATCGTCTCCCGGACAATCTCTATGTTCGGTTTCGAATACACTGCCTGCAGAGATCGACGAACGTATTCCCCTGAAGTCATGGGCTGGAACTTTGGCGGCTGATCAGGCGTGACGAACTGCTCAAGAGCCTTCAACTCGGCCTCCTGGTTTGCTGCAATGAGTCAGCACGAGCCATTGGCGCGGACTGATGTAAAATACTGACCCCCTAGGAAGAATGGGACCGAGTACCGATCTCGCCTCGAGAAGTTGAGCACCCTGTGCATGGTGGACACAAAGAGGCCATTGGTAAGCATCGCCATGGAATCTCCAATATTGACCACAAATGTCCCCGGAATGGGTTTCGCCTGAATCCAGCGCCCAGTATTGGACAGGACCTCAAGGGAAGGAATGTCGTCCTGTAACAGGATGGTCAAGAGCTCGTAGTCTGTGTGGGGCCGGATTGATGACGGTCCCTCTGATCCAGAAAGCACTCCGGGGTAGTGGGCCATCTTAAGAATTGAGTATGGTCTAGTGGCGAGGTGGTCGAATGAACGCTCATCCAGATCGAGGCCAAGTGCAAACATTCGAAGCAGAGCTCGACTTAACGCGAGCACATGAGACATATACTCCTTGACATTCTTCTCGTAGCCAGGGAGCCGCTTCTCCGAAGGCCACCAGTTGTCGCCGTTGTTCTCTGAAGTAACAGCTCCGGGGTCGATTGAGGGTTCGTATCCATAGTTGATGCCTTCGTTCAATTCTATAAAAGGTGAGGAATGCCAATTCCGGGGAAGCGGCAGGACGTACTTGCTCCTGCAGGCAGGTTGGGGTCAAGATTGATCGGGTAGTAGCCATAGTAGTGCTCATGCTTCTCTGTGTCATACTCCATTTTCTCCTCCAGACTCAGTTCTTGAAAGAAGCGTTTGGATTCTGAGAAGATGGATTCGATGACCTTGGTTGGGACGCCATGATTGCTAACATAGAAGAAGCCCACGTTTTCTGCAGCATGGCATATCTCTCGGGCCACGGACCTTCGGCGTTCTCGATCAGGATGGCCTATATCACCAATGTCAATGACGGGAAGGCTAAATGTGGCTTGGGTGCTGGCCGGAGAGAGCACTCTTCGCCATCCTAACCCAGTCCTGATTTCCTGGTAGCCGTCGGGGCTGGTCCTGATAATATCCGTCATCGAGAGGATGGTCTACAGTGTCGGTAACCGTCATTGCCTAGCAAGGATACACTCTTCATTTATCCAAACTGTTGAGCCTCGATCGCACAAGTCCGCGGATCGAAACAGGACTAAAGACGCGCCGAGAATGCTAGGTTATCGCACAGTGTGCACATGTCCGTGGGTTGGGATTCAAGCTTCAGTCAATTGCTGAGAATCGAGCACGAATGGCCTGAATTTCATGCGATATAGAGTTGATTGCAGCGTCTTGCGAGAGATTTCGTCGGGCACCTTGTCAATGGCTAGACTCCTGTGTACATTGCAACTTGACGGCTTGGGTGTGGGAGCGACTTGCTGCTCGCTAGAGAGGTTTGATCTCCTGGGAACCAAAAATCGTATCAAAGTTATGTGAGGTACCAGCTTGTTGAGACATTGTTCACCAGTCCCTTAGCCATTTGACGCTGCTTGGGATCTGGGTTCGCGTGTTCCGAGCTTCTTGTTCGCCCAAGATCTAGGAATGTGATCAGATGTAGGACAAAATTTGGGGAGGGAGCAGTTGCCCCCCAGAGCCCCCAATGCCAAGGCCACCGCCTAGCGGGCGATGATCTAGGCATCACTAGCCCCGCCAATGGCGATTTAGGCACCAATTATTACCACCTGTACCACCTGGAAAATAGCTTGGGCACTCTTCTTCTGCGGGCACAGTGTCTGTCTGCCTGTCCTGGTCTCCTCGGAAACATGTTGATCGCATCAACTCGGTTCATCTAACAGCAGGGTTGTTCGATCGATTGGCGAGGGATCATGGTACCTCCTCGTGGTCTTTCTTGAAACACCTATATTGTTGACAAAAAAGGCAGCTTGACGTGTACCACGGTCTCCGAACTCGTCGACTGTTTTACCACGCGCTGTGCAAAAGGAGATGCACTGGTCGGGGCAGTCGTGAGGGATTATGACAGCTTCACCTCCTTTTGTCGGCTGACTATTTACCCCGTAATACCTCGTACCTTCCCAGCCACAGCTTCCCCTTATACGGACCCTCTTCCAAGACTACGATCGTTCATGGACAAAGTGAAACTCGACTTCAAACAGGGCCCGAGGGTGCTACGATTGGTGCTTCAGATGAGCGACGAGCAGCCAATCGCCAGGCTGATCCCCGCATGCCCCCTTGGCCGATGCGACAAGCTGCGACACTCGACGAGGCTGAACCCCTTCTCCACCGTCTCAGCCTCGCCCGTCGCTGTTTGACCGCCGATGTCTTCTTCGTTGATTTGGTTGTCGATTGGATTGAGGTTGCATTATCCATCAGTACTCCATTGGAGATTGTGAAGTGTTCATCCAGCCTCATGGTATTTTGATGCTCACCGACGAGAATCCATTTGCTAATGGAAAAGGGGTTCTTAGGTAGGTTGCGTCCCTGATGTCTGCGTGATCGATGCCTTCAAATACGCCCTGCACCTCGCAGCACTTCGTTCTTGTCATCCATCAACAAAGTTCAGTCTCTCCTTCATTGTGCTCTTTACTGTGTTCTACCAGTCTACTTTCTGTGACAATATTTTACATTCCTTCCATCCATATCAACTGCCGGTACAGTTCAGCGAAGTTATATTCAAAATGATCACAAACACTCCTTCGAGATCTTCCTCCCTGATATTCTTAGTACTCAACTGTATGTCTTTTTCCCTCCTTCCTCACTACAGAAACACGAGCTGACACTAGACGGTACAGTGGCACTCCTGGTCCTCGGCCAAGGCACACAATTCATCACTGGTCCCTGCACGAGCGATGCTGATTGCGCCTCCAGCTGCTGTGGCTTCAACAGCGGCCTGTGTGCCGGCCCGGTCATAGCCCAGACACGCGACGGGGGATGTGGCTTCGGTGATGCACAGCCCAACGACATCGCAGCCCAAGCCTTCTTCAGCTCCCAGTCAGCTGCAGCAGCGGGTGCCACTTCGCCTGCAACTGCGGCCCCTGCCCCAGCGGCCACCACCACCGCCGCTGCTGCTGCCTCGGGTAACAACGGCAACGTTGGTACTGGGACGCAATTCATCACTGGGCCTTGTACGAGTGACGCAGACTGTGCCTCTGGATGTTGCGGTTTCAACACGGGTCTGTGTGCGGGTGCCATTGTTGCCCAGGAGCGAGATGGCGGATGTGGATTTGGCAACGCTCAGCCCAATGACAACGCCGCACAACTCCTTCGTGGAGAACAACCCACCTCGGCTGCTACTTCTGCACCAGCTCCAGCGAGTACTGCCTCGACCTCTTCGGGCACTGGTACTGGAGCCGGTAGCAGCACGTCTGGCTCTTCTTCCTCCGGGTCAGGAACCAGTGGCTCGGAACCACCCATCGATACCACCATTCCGGGATCGGAAAACGTGGGCAAAGCCAACGGCTCGCAGTTCATCACAGGTCAATGTTTCAGCGATGCAGACTGTGCTTCAGGATGCTGTGGATTCAACACTGGAAAATGTGCTGGAGCAATTATTGCGCAGACTAGAGACGGAGGGTGTGGGTTTGGAGATGCCCAGCCCAATGACACCGCGGCCAAGGCGTTGGAAGGGGGAGCAAAGAAGAGGAGAGGCATTAGCGCTGTGAGGGAATACATGGCATGATTTACGACACTGGAAGATGATGATAATGATGATCTGCATAAACCCACGCAGGTAGTGGCGACAGGCGAGGTATTCTTGGGGTGATTCAAAAGAAATGCCAGCTTACGGCAATGGGCTTATTTCCGGGCGCAAGGCGTGTACGAGAGCCTTCTGTCTCGCAATTATCTTTGGAAGAAAAGAATCCCTTCTAAGAAATCAAAGGACTCTTACAAGACACATGCATTATCCCGCGTACGAATGGATTGGTGTGACAACACCTCAACATGATGGCCTTCCTGGCATAGGACAATATACCGAGTAGAGTAGTCTTCGGCGTCGGCAAATTGTGCCCACTGCTCTTATGTCCAGACCTTCGAACGTGCCGCCATCTCGTTGAGGCCGAGTATTGCCGTGCTTATAGCACGTGGGAATGAACCTTTGCGCAAGGCTGCGTCTATCTACCAGTTCAGGATGTTGGCATCGGAAGACTTTCATGATATTTATTGTTCCGGCCCGAGCCCCAAGAAGGCAGACAGACAGACATGCAAGTCTCTACTGCGGCCGCCGCGGCCGCGCCGAAGCGGAAATTGTCGGCTGTCAGGTTGATATTATGCACCGAACATCCGAGTATCTACATGTAAGTACCTCGTACTGAGCTCGATTCTTGTTGTTCGACAACTGCCAGCAACTTCGGCGATAAAGAAAGAATCCCGGCCCAGTGTCGTTAGATCCGATTAGGCTTCCTAAATTGTTTGCTGATTTGCCCGTTTCGGGCATTGGGCCTTGGCCCTCGCTGGAGACTGATGGAGATAGTGGCATTTTCACCAACACCTACCTACGTGGTCAGTGTCTCGCAACAGAGCAGCTAGTAATCACAGGAGCTTTGTTCAGTGCCTGTCGCGTCAAAGATGGACGTATATAAGATGCCTCCCAAAGGTCCAGCAATGGAAGAGGGGCAAACCGCAATAGACTGGTGGTGGCGTCACTGACTTTGACCACATATCATTCACTCCCACCCGCCAGATCACTAGTTCAGTTTCCGCAGGCCAGAAGCATTTCAACTGGCCAAAGATGGAATATCAATACCTGGGCAGGAGCGGACTCAAGGTCTCCAAGGTCATCCTGTAAGTCTCGACAACCGTGTTGGACGATGTCGGAGTGCTAAACTGCACGTACCAGAGGAGCCATGTCCTACGGCACGCCAGATTGGCAAGGTTGGGTCCTGAACGAAGAAGAGTCTTTACCTCTGCTGGAACATGCCTATAAGGTCGGCATCAGAACCTGGGACACGGCCGACGTATACAGCCACGGTCGATCCGAGCAGATCATTGGCAAGGCCATCAAGAAATACAACATCCCCCGAGAACGCCTCGTGATTCTGAGCAAGTGTTTCTTCGGTGTGACTCCCAATTCTCCTGAAACACAGATCAGTGCCAGCACGGTCAACGACGGCGACATGCTCAACCAGCAGGGCCTCAGCCGCAAACACATTCTCGACGCCGTGGACAAGAGTGTCGCGCGGCTGGGGACCTACATCGACGTTCTCCAGATTCACCGCTTAGACCGGTCGGTGCCGCGGGAAGAGATCATGAGAGCGCTCAATGACGTTGTCGAATCTGGCAAAGTCCGCTACATTGGCGCCTCCAGCATGGCAGCATGGGAGTTCCAGGAGCTGCAGAACGTCGCCGACAAGCACGGCTGGCACAAGTTCATCTCGATGCAGAACTACTACAACCTGCTCTACCGAGAAGAAGAGCACGAAATGATTCCCTACTGTAACCACACGGGCGTCGGTCTTGTGCCGTGGTCGCCTGTCGCGCGCGGAGCGTTGGCACGTCCCTTCAACGACCGAGAATCTCTTCGTGAAAAGACCGACAACTACCTCAAGGCCCAGATCCGGTCAAGAGAGGACAAAGTGGACGAAGAGATTATTGGGCGGGTCGAGCAGGTGGCCAAGAAGATGGGCAAGACCATGGCTCAGATTGCCATTGCGTGGTGCCTGAGCAAGAAGGATGTCTGCCCGATCGTGGGCTTGAACAAGAAGGAGAGGATGGACGAGGCAATCGAGGCGTGCAAGATTAAGCTCAGCGACGAGGATATCAAATACCTCGAGGAGCCGTACATGCCCAAGAAGAGGCAAACATATTGATCTGACAATGGTCTCGGTGGTAAGGGATACCCACCAGTATCACACACAGGCAGCATCGCCTTGATCAAAGACGTTGATTGTCAAGCATTCCACGACCCGCTGTATGTGAATTTCAGTCCATTTCCCTTGTGACCGGTACGTTGATCCCAGCCTGTGGTGCTTGGCGGCTGTCACGTTATTGTTATTGCCGTGTTGTTTGTGAAGTTGGTCCTCGTCGACCATCACGAATGCCGTTTGTCTTGATCTTCACTTGACTTTCACTCCCAGCTTCAGTCCCACGCCACAAACCAGACTTTGACGCTCTCTGCTTTCATTGCCTTCCGTGGGCCCGTTCTTTCCTCATCCCGCGTCATCCTCCTGACCCTGTTATACCGTTCCTACACACCCCTCTTCATCGGCGCCGACCTCAGAGGCCGTTTCACCCGACATCACTCAAGCACATCGACCGACGACGATCCGCACTTTCGGTCTCTTCCAAGACTGCGCCTCAAAGACTCCGCGGTAGCAACACATTATCCACGTGCGGCTCGCTTGTACTGCCGTATCCCTCAGTTGTCAACGTTCAACCGCTTGTTGCCGAGCGCATCCTCAAGGATGGGCGAGACACACTCCAGCTTCATTCCGAGCGGCAGTGGGGCATATGGCACGGACAGTGAGCAAGATGACTGGCCGCAAGGCAACGGCGCAGGCCACGGCGTAGCAAGCACACCTGTAAGGCGCCGAATCTTGGCTAACCCTACGAGTCTGCCTCCTTATGGCATCTCAAACCTCATCTACAAAGCGAAGCGCCGTAACGAATCCACAAAGACTTGGAGACGCACACGGGTTGGAAACTCAACCGCAGCCAACAAGTCTGCAGCACGTGGCAATGGCCGTGGTTCTGGCAAGTCCAAACCTTTGGAGTCAGCTTCCAGCAACAAATACCACAAGGCGGTCTTTCCTGGCATGAGAGTTCCAGTGTATATGCGCAAGGATGGTTGGGGAGCCCGTGCAGTCACCCAATCTCGCCAACCTGAGTATGTGCCAGTTATGTCGGTCCAATGCCCCATGCCTGGTGGCACAGCAGTCACTATGGCCACCGATCCGGTGCAGAAGGTCAGATGGGGCCCAATCACGAGGATTGAGGCAAGCAAGGAAGCACGAGAGCTGATCAACCTTTGGCGTGAGGCCGTGGAGGATTCAAAGAAAGCAAAAGGCAAAGCCAAAAGCAAAGAAGGGGATGAAAGCGAAGAAGACGCATCAGACAAGCCTGTCAAGACAAAGAAAGCGAAGAACGTTGATAATGGTACCACAGTTGCCACAGGTTTCGAGTTTGATGGAGAGTCTGGGCATCAAAATATCTCCTCCATCAAAGACGACCTCACACCAGCAACAACCTCTCAAGCAGAAACTGAGGCCACTACAGACACCAACCCTCCACGTCGCTTCCTGAAACCCCCACCTCCAACACCTCCTGATACAATTTTCCACAAGACACACTCAGTAGAAGCAGCTCTGTCGATGCCGACTCTGCCGATGCTCCACCGTATCTCTGATCCACAACTGGTCGAACAGTATCGCCTCCAGCATGCCATGGACCCAGAAGCCTTCGAAAAAGAAACCCGTGCCATCAAGAAAGGGCTTGTGGGTGCAAAGGTTGCCAGGGGTGGGAAACCGAGACTGTTGAAGAACGAATATACTGTTGAGTTGGCGAGTCGCGAGGATGCGGAGACTGCAGAAAAATGGGTCAGAGACCAGGGGAGAACCTTCGGAGTTTCAGACATGAGAAGCAGGGCGAACAGTATGCTGGCGGCAAGCGATGCTGGGTCTGCATCTGAAGAGCTGCGTTTGAAGATGAGAGGCGGAGAAATGGGGAATGCAGATTTGGCGAGCACTGTGAATACAAAGAAGGAGTGTAAAGAAGAAGACAAGCCACAGGACATATCGGAACAGCAGTTTCCAACGCTTCAACCCGCCAAGCACGCTGCAGCAGACGCAGAAGGGGTGGACGAGACCTTGTCTGCAGAGCCAAAGGACAAGCAAAACACATCCTCCGATTCGACCACGACTGCCAAATACACCCTACTGAGATCCAAGCCAACGCTACGCCACATCAGATCTCAGCTATCGCGCCTCGACCTCTCAGAGCACGTAAGTAAGATCACTACTTACGGCAGCGTGCGTCACCAACATTCTGTCAAGAGAGAGGCTGATGATCTCGGCGAGAGGCGCACGGTCAAGACTTGGATTGAGATAACCGAAGTCTATGAAGTGCCGAGTGCCAGCGCACTCACTTTTCAAGATGTTGTTGCAGCGGTTGATGAAGAAGCTGAAGAGCGTGACACTGAGGAGGAAGGTTGGGAGGGTGGGAGTGACGAGGAATGGAGCAGGGACAGCGACGAGAGCGACAATGACACTGCAAAGGAAAGTGGGAAGCGGATGAAGAAGAACAAAAAGTCCATATTCAAGTCGAAGGGCAAAGCCAAAGCATCGATGACCTTAGAGAGTGACGAGGAAGAGTACGATTCAGACTCCAATTCCGCGTTGTCTTCGTCCTCAACCACATCCGAGTCCGACAGCGCGTCCGACCACGCCGGCGTCCACGCATCAGCCAAAGGGCATCACGACCCCGAGGAGACAGACGCCGAAGCACTATTCCGTTCTCTCTCGCGTTTCGGAGAGGTCAACGCTGAGAGGATTGCGCAGGTGAGCAGCGACCTGAGAGCGTTGATGGCCGGTTTGAGGACAGAAGGGAAGTTGGAGACGAGCGAGGACTGAATGCACAGAAATGCAAAGCCACCAACGCACGAGAAGTAAATGCGACAGTCAGGGTGGGACACAAGGACGCGACAGAGGGACACCGATTGCTTGCTTGTTGGAACTGTCAACGCACTTCGAGTATCGGTGTCGACCATTTCAACCACACCAACCGCATGAAAGAAGACCAGGTGCATAATGCTGGATCCGTGAAGATTGATCAAAGCGATCCGAGATAGTGGGTTGAGATTGAGTATGAGCTGAAATCAAATGACTTGGGCTGTTCGACAGGACATGGGGACAGCGTCTGGAGAATGCACTGGGCGAGCCACTGGGCTGATCATATGAGTCAAACAAACTGTCTAAGGTGAGAGCTGAGAGAGAGTGCCTACAGAGGGAACTACAAGGTTCTCACACAATGCGTGAGCGAGGCGCTGGCATAGGGCTAGGGCTAGGAGTCATCGGCAGGTAGTTGGTGATGTGAGCTCGTATGGCTCATGCAGATAGCTCATTGCTCTTAGCTCGGACACAATATTAGCTCAAGCAACGCTCGTAAAATTGAAACAGGAGCTACAGTAGGTAGCTAATGTGCTTACTATGTACTACATGATACTTGGAACGTATCCAGTCCAGCAAGTCCAGCAAGTCCGGTCCCAGCACCACCCACATATCCCAGCTCTGCATGCACCTGCCCCATGCGGGAAAGAGAGAGCGAAGTGGGAAATTGCACTCCTGGGAGCGACGATTCCGGTGTAGAAGGGGCTGGGAAAAGACTTGCGATGTGTGCGCAGGCAGGATGATGCACGTGCGCATGCATGGGTATATATGTGCACGTAGATATTCTTTTTGATTTCCTCATCATCCGGTGCCGGATCTGATGCCTCGACTGTCAACGAGTGCGCGGTCAAAGACCCCTGGCAGCATGGACCATCGGGCCTATCTACAACACCTTAAACGAATCGTAGTTAACATAGGATTCGCCCCATAAGACCTGGTCAAGAACGTCGTCGTTCCAAGCCTCCAACTCCCTCTCAATCTCGTCAGCAGACCAAGGGCTCAAAGCGGTTCCGACGTTCTTTTCACCGTAGGACAAACGCTGCGTATCGCTCAAGCGGTGTTTGATTGCTTTGCGCACCATGGAGACCCAGAACGTCATTCCATCACCGGTGGCCGGGCGTGGTACGTGGCCCAGAGCACAGGCAGGTGTAGGATTCTCGCGTTGAACCGGGGCAATGATGACATGGATACCGCGTCAAGGGTGTTGTTGAAGGCCTCGCCCCCGCCATCTTTGGCGATGCACTTGTCCCATCCCACGACGAATCTCTTGTTAAAGTCCCCTTGCCGTGTAGCGAGCTCCATCAACTGAACGTCATGCACCCCGCCCAAGGTAATTTGGTGCTGGGCGAACAGCGCAGCCGAGGCGTTGCGTACGTCAAAGAAGGCTTTGGGGATAGCGTCCGACTCCAGAATTGCCTTGAGGGTCCGTCCATCTCCACCGGGCACGCAGAAGGCTAAGTGGCCAAGGTGCCGAAGCTCAACGACATACACGGTCGACTTTGGGGGGATGAATACAACCATTTTGGAGATCTTTCCGTTGGCTCCTAGCTTGATTCCCTCGAAATGAAGTATAGGGATACGGGCAGCGTCGGGAGATCTGACACATCGACTAGGTTTTGTATTCCAGACACCGAGCTGATATTGACCACATGAGGCCTATTGCTGGAACTTTGTTTCTGGGACGACATCCTCAACTATCCTGGGACCCCGACAAAAGGGGAGGCTAGAAGTGTTATGAACAAATTTATCCAAGTCGTTGAGATGTTGGGAGGTGCAAGTTGTGGATTCTGCGTTGACAATAAACCCTGATCAAATATCATTTCGAGGAGTCAAAAGCACTGATTCTAAGCACTGATAAGGCCAATCATACGCTGACACGCAATCGTTTTTGCCGTCTGTGAAGGACCACGGGGAGAGGTAGATCCAGCTGAACAAAGCTGCAGTCGTTTCCCTCAGGCGTTCCCTGCATGAGCCGCAGTCCATATGCACGGCTAGAATCCTCTTTGTGGATCCTGTTATGTATTGGTACGCCGTCCAGGCTAATTTCTGGGGCATGGAGAGGCCTGGGTTACTGAAAATGCCAGGAGTGCAGTCCCAGAATTGACTGCTTCCTAGCTCGTATGTCTTGGGCCGTCCCGCCGGCCAGGACCCCTCCAGTCACAGGAGAAAGAATACCGTAGGACATCAGTTATGGGCCAGAGGAGGTGGGATAGGCGTCCTACCACAGCGGATATCCTATGATTCCCTTTAGCCTGGGCGGGACGTCCCAGAGATCTCTTTGTTCCGGGACAATAGGCTCAGGACATATTTGAGACTGGACCCGGGTGCCCAGAGCCTACGCCACTCCTGGACCTCCCCGCTTCTAGGAACCCTGTTCTACCTCGTGACAAGGCTCAGGTATCACCGCGCAGAGCGCGCTAGTGTGGGCTCATGAATCTGAAAGCTGATTTCAGGAAGTGTACAACTTCTGACAGTGGACGCTCATCGTGTGCCCACACCCAGCAGACGATATTCAATCTATAATCAATCCTGTCACTCATCCATGCCCGCACAATGCGTCCTCCAGAGAATACCAAATCAGAGTCTTAACTAGTCATAGATAGGAAGAGCCATACTTTTCGAAGGCTACCCTCCAAGTCTTGGAAATCCTCACCTCAGCCAACGGAAAGGAGTATGGCACCCAGGTCGCAAAGCTCGGCTAGACAGTGGCTGACAATACATCACACGGTAATTCCCCTCCCTTGCGGAGGAGTTCCATGAAGGTTGGTGAAGCTGTAAACTTGCCACGATGGATTGCAATGAACTCTGATAACATTCTTCGGAGAACGTGCTTGTCTTTGGAATTGCCATCTGTGTCGGAACCGGTTGTGTGATTGTACACGAGCTCGGTGACCTCACTGACTGTAGCGATGCTGTCTCCGTCGAGTGGCTCTCGAGTCAACTTATGGTACAATGACATCAATGCCGCTTGCGACAATGGCTCGATCTCATAGATATCTGCAAAGATTGCGAGTCTGGCTGTATCGGCCAAGGTGGCGGATGGCGGGTGCGGCATTGCAATAAAGCCCTCGGTAGCTTCCAAGATCTCTTTCACGCGTAAAGGCATGTCGAAATGGAAGCTCTCAAGATCTTCCAACCGTTGCGTCGGTTTGAGCTGCACTCTGCTTGCTCCGTCAGCCGTAAAATCATCGCGATAGTTGAACACATCCAGTTCTCTTAAGCATTCTGCGCAGAGAAGACCCTGCATGTACCCCCCACTGTTCGAGCACTTAAGCATGATGCAGTAAGGCAACCATGTCATTTTCCTGAGTTGGTCTTGACTGCATTTGTCGCAGTGTGGAAAGGACAAAGAGAATTTTAGCTCCGAGGGATTGCTGCAGCCTTTGCACGTGAATGCTTTATGCTTATTCACAAGCAAGAGCTCGATAAGCCGGCTCGTTGACATTTGTTGTGCTGATGATGTGTCTGTGGTTGTCTCGCTGCCTGATGCGCCATTTGTCCTGAAGTAGGCATATGCAAGAAAATGGCCAAAGGTTGCTGGTTCGACTTCCGGAAGCTCCGCACCTTTCTCAATGCTCTCTTTAAAAGGCCCCTCTATAAGTCGGCGCAGTACTCTTGAATGCCGAGAAACGATATCTGCATGAACAACGAAAGATTTCCTCGACGGCCCAACTCGAAAGGTGAAAGTGTTCTCATTGTAGCCGTCCCTGTTGGCATGCTCAGTGATATGCTCCCAAAAAAAGGCTGCAAACTACCTCTTGTCCGTCTGGTAAGAATCCCGTAACGTAGTCGCCATGAATAATACCCAAAACTTATAGATTCTTTCGCCAAACGGAGTGAGCAACTGACGTTACATAAGACGAGCCGACTGCATGATTTTGGATATTCAATGGCAAGCCGGTGGAGTCTCTCTTTCTTAAAGGCATTGCTTTTATCTCCGGAGGCTTGTCAAGGGACAGAACCTGAACACAAGCAAGGAATCTATGTGTATTGATGCTGGGGAGGGAGCACCTCTTCACAGAACTTGTTCCCATAAGTGCCTCGTATTTCCGGAGCTCATGGTCGATGGAGGAGGCGCTCATAACTGTAAATGTGCGTTAGCGCTCCATGCTCACCGTGCTCATCGTGCTCAGTGCAACCCAACAGATCCACTTCTTGACCACGCCTCTCATGCACGTGGCTAAGTTCGTAGCTCCCTCTGTCAGCGACAACAATTGGGACTTTTGCGATTGTGTGCAGTTTTGAGCGGGCACACGGAGTCGACTTCCGGAAGAGCCGTGGCGAGGTGGATGCCGCCAAAGGAACGGACCTAATGCAGTGACGGCAGCACATATCACAATTTCGCCAGAGGCTATTCGTCTATCTGTCGCTATTGATTGCTGTGCGTTCAACAGGCATGGGGGAAGTACGGAGTAGAGAATCTGGTGCCACTTGTTGTGGGGACCAACGTTGTTGATTGATCTGTCTATCTATCGAGCTATCGACCAAGTGGAAAGACCCCGGTTATGGCCAATGGGAACTTTTGTCATAATCCTTGGTGCGAAGAATAAACTCCCGGCATTGCAATCCTGCAACCAGCGCGAGCGGGAGGAACTCGCCTACTTCCGGACGCACGAGTTCCCTTGGTCCGCCCGTTAGCATTAATTGTAGCTTCCCGCCGGCATCTCGTGTAAAGATGCTCGTCATCATTGACTCAAACTATATTCTCCAGCCACGCCTCTGTCGGTATGAAACTGTGAACGACTCTTTCTCTATGGCGAGTGAAGCAGGAGAATCAATCATCCCATCTGTAGGGGAGATTGGCAAGGACCATTTCCGTAAGAAAGCTGATGATGCTGCTTAGGAACCCGATCAAGGGCAAGAGGAACAGGAGCTGGACTCAGCCTACGGCGAAGACACGTACGAGTTCCATCTGCTCTTGGTCGAACTTTGAAAGAATAGCGGACGATGGCTGACAGCAAAAACTGGACAGCGCAAGTGAGACTGTCTCGTTGACGTCTTCCATCACCAAATACCGGTTTGAAAATGGACGGCGGTATCACGCATACAACGATGGCGCATACTGGGGTCCCAATGATGATGCGCAGAACGACCAACTCGATATCGCACACCATATTTTCTTCCTACTCTTCGACAACAAGCTCTTTCAAGCCCCCATCGGCTCCAGCCCTCAGGAAGTGCTCGATGTGGGCACCGGCACCGGTATCTGGGCCATCGACTTCGCCGACCAATTCCCCTCTGCAATTGTAACCGGGACAGATCTATCGCCCATTCAACCCGACTGGGTCGCGCCTAATTGCCGCTTTGTGATCGAAGACTGCACCGGGGAATGGAGTTTTGCTCCGAATCGTTTCGACTATATCCACGTTCGCTGCCTTTTCGGGTCGGTCGCAGACTGGCCCACCTTCTATCAAGAAGTGTATGCACACCTGAAACCGGGAGGGTGGTTCGAACAGGTCGAGTACAGCGTCGATTGGATTGCAGACGACGATTCGATCCCGGAAGGGCACATCTTCCGTAAATCCTCTGCGCTGTACATCGAGGCCGGGGAAAAGAACGGGAAGACATTCAGGATCCTCGACCTCCAGAAGGATTATGTCCAAAAGGCGGGTCTTATCAATGTGACGGAGAAGCGATACAAGATGCCACTTGGACCGTGGGCGAAGGACAAGAAACTAAAGGAGATTGGACGATGGCATCTCTTAGAGGCTAATCAAGGGCTCGAGGGATGGACATTGGCACTTTTTACGCGCGTTTTAGGCTGGACTCTTGACGAGGTGCAAGTATTCATGGCACAGGTGCGACAAGGATTCAAAGACAGAAGCGTCCATGCATATACGAGAGTCTCTGTCGTCTATGGGCAGAAGCCGCTGAGATAGTTGTACATTTTTCCCATATCTCTGTCCGTCTGCCCGTCCTGCTAGATGGCGATAGAAGGGCTCCTGGGCATCTTCGCTTGGAATTAGGGGTTTCGCTCTTCTCTCGATCCCCCACCACGCCCCCACCACCGTCCTACGGCATGCATGCGTTGTCCAGTCACGCCAACCAACAACGACACGAGAGGAATGGGATTCTGGCGCCTCCACTCCGCACATCATTATATTCCAAGGTTTCTCCCAAACTCAAAGGTAAATTCAACCTTGTGTGATCTCCCGTACCACTTTTTCCCTTAGTAACCTTGAGCTTCGACTCCCCTTTGGAATCCTGGATTGAACCCAGATTTTACACCATGTCACACGTATCTCCCCTCACTTGGCTGCTCTTGGTTTCGTTGCGAGCTCTGGGCATCGCATTTGGCGTTTGGGTCGTCTATCTCGTCTTTCTAGTTGTCTATCGCTTATATCTTAGCCCTCTGTCCAAATTTCCCGGGCCTCCGCTCGCCGCGCTGACGCTCTGGTATGAATTCTATTACGACGTCGTCAAAGGAGGGCAATACACGTTCAAGATACGTGAATTGCACAAGAAATATGGTCAGTTGGCCAACGCCGTCCTTTGGGGGGAATTCATCGCATCGGCTAACACCCCCCATCCAAGGCCCGATAATACGGATCAATCCATACGAGATTCACATTGACGACCCTGAATACTATGATGAAATCTATACGGGTCCAACAAAGCCGCGTGACAAATGGGCCTGGTCCGCATCCATGTTTGGGAATTCGTCATCTCACTTTAGTAGCGTGCCGTACAGTTTGCATCGGATGCGACGTGCACCTTTGAATCCCTTCTTCTCCAAGAAAGCCGTGACTCAACTTGAACCTACAATCAAGTCACTCGTCGAGAAGCTTTGTACGCGGTTGACTGGCTTCCAACGGACGCAGGAGCCTGTCAATCTCCGCTTTGCCTTTGCCGGGTTGACGATGGACATCATCACTGACTATTCATTTTCCAATTGCTACAACTGCCTTGACGAGCCAGATTTTGCACCCGTATGGGTTCAAGCAGTCGATTCACTTTCCGTGCAGAGTCATGTCAACAAGCAATTCCCGTGGATGCTGTCTGTCATGGGTCTACTACCGTTGTGGCTTATTGAAAAGCTGAACCCGCACATTATGCGCATGATCAACTTCCAGATTGTTCGTACAAACCTTCGCTTCCTCCAGCTGGGAGAGGGACAAGTACTAATGAGGTTCATCTATAGAGCTTAACACAGCAAGTTTTGCAGATTATGGCGGATAAAGACGCGGCCAACAAGAACCAAAGTCATCCTACCATCTTCCACGAGCTCATTCATACAACCGAGCTGCCTCCGGAGGAGAAGACGCTCCAGCACCTCGTAGAAGAGGGCCAGTCCGTTGTTGGAGCAGGTATAGTGACAACGAGCCATTACCTGAATACGACGTGTTACCATATCCTGGCAAACCCTGATATTGTCGAGAAGCTGAAAACCGAGCTGAACGAGGCCATGCCCGACGGAAAATTGCCCTCGTGGCAGAAACTCGAAAGGCTTCCCTATCTCACCGCAGTGATATTCGAGGGCTACAGGATCTCCTATGGCGTGGCTCACCGTCTCCAGCGCGTCTCGCCCAACGAACCGCTAATCTACCACAACTATGTGATCCCAGCAGGCACACCGGTGAGCATGACGGCCATGTTCATACACGAGAACGAAAAGTACTTTCCCGAGCCCAAGGTGTTCAAACCGGAACGATGGCTGAACCCGGGCTCGCGAGATCGGCTGGAGAAATACTTGGTCAACTTTAGCAAGGGCACACGGGGCTGTCTGGGGCGACATCTCGCCGAGGCAGAGATCTATCTCACCCTGGCGGCCATCTTTCGCCGATTCAACATGGAGATATACCAGACGACCAGAGAGGACATTGATGTCGCGCACGACTTCTTCAATCCGCAGCCAAGGAAGGGTTCAAAGGGCTTGAGGGTGCTTGTGAAGTAATAGCCTTGTCTCTCATAGTGGTCGCGTCTCAAAAGGTTTGACCTGCCGAATGCAACGTCCTCTGGCTGGAGGTTTGCAGCGGGCGTTCTTCAATTTGGCCAGACTCAGAGCCTGAACTATATATGCATCGTGGCTGGCTGTCAGCAGGTCGAAGCCAATGCATGGCGCACTGCAATGCATATCACACGGCACAAGTGTGTACAAATCAATGCTAAGTCCATCCGGAATTCAGCTACGCCATGAAAGGTCTCGCCTTTAAATGCTACGGATTGCCCAGCTGAAGCCTCAGCCAGCCAGCCTCGCTGTCTTCTGCCATGAAGATTGAACAAAACAAAATAATCGGTGACATGGCTACATAACACCCCATCCCGTGAATTTTTGCTAGCCGGCTGAGCACGGGAGCATCGAGGGGGGCTGCCGTAGATTAAGGGGGAGCGCCGGGGGAGGGAGCCTTACTTTGTCGAGTGTAGGCGAGCTGGAAGGGCCGCTGCCCTCATGCCTATTTGTAGAACCTAGTTGGGCCTTAGGGATTCCCTTTAAGGTACGCCCTCGGCAATAAGGACCCAGCTATGTCCCCCCATTCGTTTTAGCCAAAGGGCTGCTGCCTTAGACACCTCCATCCGTCTGTCGTGACGACATGACCTGCCTAACTACAGAGTCAGTCTAGAAGGGTCGTTTGGTCTCCTAGGGTTGACCTAGGGCCTTTGAGGAGGCCCTTTTTGGCTTGGTCTGTCACTCACATTTTAACAAGATTTGGCTAGCGGAGGGTCGGAGTTTTCGAAGGTCCCGCAACAACGGTCATGATCGTGGATGGTTCGGTGAGACCTACGGATGTAGAAGCATCGAGGACCACGAGCTCGACATGGCAAAAGGCGGCAATGGGCGTCGAGATCGATCCTCCAGTGCTTCCGGCCGTTACAGGGGTTGGCTTCAACAACTCCCGGTGTCCAGTGTCCAATTTGTCTTGCCAACGCGCTCACAACTGGAATCCCGCAATACTCAGCGACGAATCTTGACCCTCTCCAAAAACCATTTCTGTTTCGCGACCCAAGCAACCCGCCATTTAACCCGAGCCCTGACTGCCTGGTAAGCAATGTTGAGCTGTGGCTGTGTCTTTCTGAGCTCGGGCTTAGCTCAACTTCGCGCTCCCCGAGGACATAGTGCTCTGTGGAGCGTGACTATTGCCCTGGCGCAATGAAAGCTTCCATGACTTGGCCCTTTAGTTCCCTATTCTTGGTGTTTTACGATTTGAAGAGCTCCAATTTCCGGGCAGCTTCTCGATCATTATTGTTAGCGCCAAGGGAAGAAGATATAAGGTAGATCTCCATGTTAGCTTTGCTAGCTAAGTGGCCTTTAACTATTCAACGATGTCGAGCAGTGGGATTCGGGTGGGAATCGTTTCCTCTCGTTTCTCAGGCGTTGAGTCGTTATGTATAGGAACTACAGATAGTTGCAACAGCATGCAGATCTCCAATCAGTTGGCCCCTACCGTGTGGCGTAGGTCCCGATAGTTCAGGCCTGGAAATATATCATGTCTCCTTCTCCTGGAAGATCGTCCATTTCAAAGACGTCAAAGTTGTTCAGCTCGAGCAAAGGTTCCCCGGCGTAATTGATCTTTTGATCTCAGTAAGAGTAAATATCAACGTGGGCAATGGAGGACTAGCACATACCATTTCATGAATCATGGCATTGTTGGAAGCCGTACTTGTCGGGCCTGCTGCTGCTGCTGCTGGTGGTGGCGTCCCAGGTCTCGCAGGGCCAGACTTACTCTCTCTGCTGTACCTCACCGTGTTGTATGCGATTCGGGAAACTTCTCGGGCAAACGGGTAACTGAGCTCCAATGCAGTGACCACTTCCAGATGTCCAAAGTGTCCGACCGCAATATCCAAGATTGACACATCGACAGCAGCCGAGACAATGTTGGGATATTTGAGAATATATATAAACAAGTTAATCAAGCCGACCATGGGAAAGTAGAATACCAGCCTCCAGAACCGAGAGGGTCAGCATGATCGAGCCTGACAAGAATGGGAGCTTCATCTCTTACCACTGTGGCGAAGTAGCGTCGGTGCTGATGACTCTAATTGCTTGGATAATATCCCTTGCAGCTTCTGCCACCACCTTTGTGCTCTCCACAATCTGTTGGGTATGCGCCAAATTTCGAGGATCAATGCCGCAAGCATACGAGATCCATGGATAAAAGAAGATTGTATGTATTGCTGTGACGCTGCCATAGTAGGCAAAGTGTACACACAGGGTGCGATTCATGTCTCGCACCGAGCGAAAAGCAGAGGGATCAATGGCGGCAGGTTTCAAGTGATCAGGAAGGGAGGTCTTCCAGGTTTCCAATTGCTGGCCTAGCACGGCCATTCGTTCCATAATGACTCGCGGAGATTGTCGAAAGCCGGAAACGGAAAGAAGCTGTCGGCAGATTTGTGCTGAGATGCGAGCATGATGCACCATCGCCGTCATGAACGAGAGATCGATCGTACTGTCAGCGACAACAGTCGTTGGAATCTGACAGCTGATGTTGTCTTCATCAATCGTCTAGCATTGTGTGCTATATCAGTGCACGGTCCGTCACAAAAGGGGGCTGGGTTCCTGAGGGACGCACGGATGGACGACCGGAACGGTGAGTGACTTGTCTTTCGTGTATGTAAATCGCCCACCACAGCCACTTGCGATGAAGGGCCTCGTCCTGCGAGAGTCCCCAATGACTCGGTGGTTCCCGGTGTAGACCTTTGGTTTGCGCCAATCGTACGGCGCTGGCACACATGACCGACTCGAGAGCCGCGTTTCCGGCACCTTCAACATGAAGATTCTGAATATCACCAGTGGTCAGATGTGAAGATGGTACACGCTTTTTCTGCAGATAACACGACCCACCATTGCCGCCAGAGCGCGAACAGCAGTAAGTCCGGTGGGGGCGTAAAGCAAGTCAACGTAGACGGAAAGGGCGTTCTCGAAATACCCCCAGGACTGTCGTTGTGCATCGGACCAGTTGCACGATTTCTGCTTGGCCAGATACGTCCTGCAGCCAGTGGCATACACGACATTCCTCAAAGCATGCCACGTAGGGCAATTCATGCCACGGTAGTTCAAGTGGTCTTGGAGCCGCGCTTCGAACTCGGGACGGTATACGACACCATAGAGGGCCTCGAGAGAGTCTTCGAAATAAGCTGCAAAGGTTAGGCCCAGGCACACAACAACGCGAGAGAGGAACGGTAGAAACCCTTGGTATACAGCCACGCTGTCTGAGCGTCGGGTTCTGGCGACTTGTCTCGATGTTGAAGCCCGGCGAATTTCAGACGTTGAGACCAACTCAACGTAAGGTCCTTTGCGTACTCGGCAAGCGCATTGGTCCCTGATCGTTCTGCAACCCATTTCAATCCTGGCAGAGAGCAAATGGTGATCCAGGAACTCGGGCCTGCAAAATCAGTCAGGATCCTGGCAAAAGGCCGAAAACAAAGGCACCGGAGCTGACCCATATGTTCCCAGTTGAACTGTTTTTGTTAGATCAGTTGCACACGACGCAAAGTCGGATGATTGATTTCGTAACCTACCTCATGTGGAGCGATGGCAATCTGTTCCTGAACATTCACCGAGTCCTGAACAGCCGGTTGGTCTATGGACCAGTTTGAATGAGACTCGGAAAGCAGGAGTGTGGTCGGACTCTGGGGAGCCGGGACGAGTTCAAAATCAGAACCCTGAGTCTGATGATTGTGGTTCCCGCCTTCACGGCAGGGGTAGGAATGGTGGAAAGGAACGATGGAGCTTTCGCTCACCTGCCAGGGATGGATGGCCACCCGTTGAGCATAAGTTGCATCGGTCGAAATATTTTTATCCCCTTCCGGCGGTCCGTCCAGCGCCCCAATCGACGACAAGGCTGCTGGTGAATTGGTTCGGGCAACAGACGCTGCATCGGGTCCCAGATGCACCCCAGCATTGGATGATGCAGAGTCTTGCCGGGACTGTATTAGAGTCTCCATGCGCGCCATTCGACTTTCCAGCATGGCCGTGCGGTCATTGTCGGCTTGTCTTTTCGGACGGCGAGCGGGGAGGACGAAGCATTGTTGTCTGAGACTCTGGGTCAAGGAAGAATCAACTGGCTGCATATCTGGATCGGAGGTTGACTTACGACGCATTTTTCACAAGGAAAGCCTCCACGGCCTGTTTGCCACGAGCCTGGTGAGCAGCTTTTCCCTCTGACGGAAGCAGAAAGCTCGAACTTACAACGTATTTTCTTCTCGCGACAAGCCACACAAGCGACAGGGATTTTTGGTGGATGCATGATCCAAATGTTGCTACGAGTCTGTCTGTCTCATGGGCCAAAAGAGGTGAATCGTCTTTTGGAAGAGGTCGTCGTTGAAGCCGAGGTTTAGAAGGGCAGACATTAACACTTTGACGAATCCAGCAGCCATAGGCAGATTCCGCCGTCCAGGGAACGAGAAATGCTTCCAGCCCATAAATTCCCTGCTAGCGGGTACATGAAAATGCGCACGATACGTGCTTTCCCCCGCTTCAGGCTATTTGGGAGACAGCGCCGTCGTATTATCAGCTGGGCCACAGTGTTTACGAGGTAGAGAAGAGCAGTTCCAAAACCTTGTTGCCCGCTGTTCTACAAATTGCGCTGCAGATCAGATCGAGCATTGTACAGGACTGAATGGCGGCATGGTGGCAAGTCCAACGATGACAGTCCATTGGGTGAATTCTCTCGTCAGGTGCATGTCCATACACTGATTCTAGATCCTGAGGCTCCAGTGTTCCTTTGACATGCCCTGTAGCTCTCTGGAACATGATTAGAGCATTAGAAAATCTCGGAGTCTTGGAAATCCTCGGCGCCGATGGAGTTCTCATTTGTCAGGGGATGATTGACAGGTGAATGGGCGAATCGGATGACCCCCAGCCGAACACCGAGTTAGACCAGAGAGAATGACCCCAAGGATGAATTTGGTCCGTCTGTGGTCCGTTCGTGGTCCGCGGACCCCTATTCATACCTTTATGAGAGGTCAGGCGGACTTGGAAAGACTGTAAGGCTGGAGGAAGCAACAGCGCCTTGGCCGCAAGCATTTTAGCACCCGAGGCGTAGCAACAAACTATCCCGACGGTGAAAACGGGGGCCAACTCTCTACAGCGGAGGTCCAATGTACATAGAGGTAATCGGTTTGAGTCCCCGGGTCCCCGTGTAAGAGAGGGCCGTAAGATACTGATTGAGTATAATCGTGCAAGGAATGCTACCAACCAAGTAGATGGCAGCTATAGGCGTGCTCCTATCTAAAGGGTCTAGAAAGTACTTCTCATCGGTCTGAGAAGAGGAAAGGAAACGAGAAAGGCACCGGCTGCGAAATGGATGCTGACAGCCGGCTACCGGTAGTCCTTTGGAAAACCTCCTATCAGGACCTACGCCACACGGTAGAGACTGACTGACTGGAGATCTGCATACTATTGCAACTATCTATAATTCCTATAGACAACGACTCAACGCTTGAGAAGCGAGAGGAAACGATTCTACATAGATGACATTTCCCAAGAGTTATTCCACAACATCTGCCCCGTTGTTGCAACCCTAACTATCCCATCTTCAGTCAGGCAATTGAGCGCTAGGAGGGAGTCTCGCGTGCTTGTACGTCTGCGGCCAGTAATGAGCGGCGGCGAGACCTTCCAACGCCGCGCCGTAAGGGAGTGCGGTGTTCAATTGCTCCTTGATGACGGCGCCGAACGTACGGCGGGTCAGGCGTCGCGTGAGCTCCGGCACCTGCAACAGCTGGCGAGCCAACTCGTGTGCTCGTGGAAGGAGCTCCGCTGGCGGGAGGACCTCGTTGACCAAGCCCCAGTCTTTGGCCTCTCGGGCATCGAGGATTTGACCGGTGTACATCAGGTAGCGGGCGCGGTTCATGCCGATCAACATGGGCCAAACCACCTGGACACCATCGCCCGGCACCAAGCCATTGGGAAAATGGGGCTGATCGCCAAAGGCCGCGGTCTCGGACGCCAGCACAATGTCACAGAGGAGTGCCTGTTCGGCATGCACGGTTGCCGGACCATTGACCGCGGCAATCATGGGACAGTCAATGTCGATGTGGTTGTGCGGGAGACGCAAGACAAAGGGGTGATAATGTGTTCCCCATTCTGACGCGGGCAAGAAGTTTGCTTCCGATGCGAGGTCTTCGTAGTGGATGAAGGTACTCCCACTTCCGGTGAGAATGACGACCTTGTTGTCGACATCGTTGGCCACATCCGCGTAGAGTTTGCCCAATTCCTCGTCGGGCTTGGGACCCCAAATGATGTCTTTGCCTTGCGTGTGGAATCGGATGGTAAGGATACCATCTTCCGTCCGTTCAAGATGGTAGTAGGTGTAACGATCTTTGTACTCGTCAAATTTGGTCATGGCAATTGTCTGTCATCGACCTTTGGATCATCTGCGAGGCGCGGAGTTTCCAGGTTTGCACAACAAAGAGATCAGGTTCACTAGGAACAAAGTCTTTGGACATGCTTCCAGAGGAGTCATTTTGAGCAACGCGAGCCTTCTCGCTCTGATGATCCTTTTCAAACCATCGCCTAGTGTTGGTCGGCCGGAGATGGCACACCCGTCAGGAGAGAGGTAGGTAGGAGGGCGTCCGTCGGCACAAGATAGCAACCCCGGCAGCGAGTTGGGTGAAAGGTGTTCGGTTGTCCTGCTGGCTCGACCGATTCCCATGGTCTGATGACCGGTCATGACCGGGTGCCGAATCAAGTTCACCCCCCATCATGTGCACCCTACCTTTTACTGATCAGGTTTTCCCACTGTCGGGCTCGTGAACGAGGAAACAATGGCTCATGTGGCTTGTACAAAGAACAGCTGGCAGCACCAAAGGATCGGATTACTCTTCGGGCGGCGAAAGGGTTTCAGAAGACGGTCACGATTTTTGAGCGTCCATGCCGCTGCCACACAACATGATCTCGAAATTGGAAGTCTATAGCAAAAGCATACCGCTGTCAGTACTAACGACAGTGCCCGTGATGTTCTGGTCCGTCATGAGGTAGACGTAGCTCTGCGCTACGTCCTCGACTCGCCCAATCTTGCCCGTCAACGACTGCGCTTCTCTCACCCTGAAGATCTTTTGTTTGTCTTCGGCGGGCATTTTCCAGAACTCCGTGTCAACAGCCCCCAGGGAGACCAAGTTGACTCTGATGGGCTTCAGGTCGAAGGCGAGACCTCGCACCATGCCATGTAGACCCGCCGCAAACGCACTGAGAGCAGACCAATGTGGGATTGGTCGCTCCGCCACGGCCCCGGTGGTCAGTGTGATGCTGCTGGAAGGCGTCGGGGTGAGGTGTTGAAGGGCGTATTTGGCCACGAGCAAAGGCGCGTAGAATCTGACGGTGCCCAGCTTCGTGATGGTTGCCACATCGAGCTGCCTGATGTCAACTCCTGCAAGCGCATCACCGGCGGTGTAGACGATATGGTCGACGTTGCCCACCGAGTCGAACAGTCTCTTCACATTGACCTCCAATGTGTCGATTGTGCCGAGATCGCACACGTGCCCACTCACACGGGCCGCAGGATAGGATCTCTTCAACTGATCGACTTTGGTCGCAATCCTTGATGGATGCGAGGACGAGATGTGCACGGTCATGCCATGCTCGATACTGGCTTCGGCCACACCAAACCCAACGCCTGTACCCAAGAACGCGTGGTCAGTCACCTGGAGACGTGGTGAAGAAATGCGGCATCGACGGATCGACATGGAACAAGATTACCGGACGAGCCACCAATGATAAGAACTGAAGCTCCCGCGAGCCTTTGAATGTATCGCAACTGACCCGACATTATCACGGTCGCGGTCGCGGTCAGCAGAGGTTTAGACCTTGGATGATGAAGCTTTTCTGGCTGGCACCACGCTCGAAGCGAAGAGAGAGATGATTGGCAGAAAGTCTCATCCCCAAACGAGCGGACTGAACGTTGCGAGACCCGTGCCTCTATTTAACCCATTGAATGTTATTAGACCTGCATAGTCGATGCAGACTGCGTCAATATCCCTAAAGACCGGGACCCGGTCGAGGCCCACCCGATTGGTCGTCCGGCCCGAACTTTTCACCAAAGATGCATATATCGTGGCTCATATTCCAAAAGAAGAGTCTGAGATCTTAGGCTTATAAATCTAATCAGTGATATCAGAGTCTTAGACTGTGAACGAATTGCTAGAATCTGCATCAATATGGCTCTTTCCACAAGTCATGGTACGCTGCTCGTGCCGCTTCTTGATCAGCCCACTGTTCCCGGATCATCTTGTCCCTAACCAGGCCGGCCTCCCTTCCCGCGGCGACACGCTCCGTCCCTTGGCTTCTCGCCGTCTGAACAGTGACTGCCGTCCTCGCCTGTCGCTTTTTAGCATACGACGCAAAGGCCGTGGCCAATTCCACGGTGCTCAGCTCCTTGTTGGCACCCGGGAGTACTTGATTGAGCACCCAGCAATCCTCCAGTCCCTGGTTAGCTCCTTGTCCACGATGCGGGCTTGATGGATGTGCTGCGTCGCCCAGAAGAACGCATCTCTCATGGTACCAATGCTCCGGGGCGCGTGTGGGACGATCGAAATGCCCGAACCGGAGAATGAACTCGGTCGACTCGAGGAGGTCTCTGACCGCGTCGGGCCAGCCGTCGACCGCGTCCAGAAGTTCCGCCCGGGTCTCTTCTAGCTTGTCCACCTGGCGCCAGGTGTCCTTCTCGGAGCCGGTGCTCAGAATCATCGTCCAGCCCGAGTGTGTGCGGGAAACTTCAAAGGCCACGACCAATCTGGACTCTCCCATCCAAGCAGAGACTGTTTGTGGTGCTAAGCTCTTCGGAGTCGGAGCAATACCACTCAGCTCCACCAGTCAGTGCGCATTCGACATGATTCCAATGGGGTACCTACCGATAATTGTCCGGTCGCATTCGCGGGAGGCTCAGAGATGCCGTGTTTCTGATTGATGATCTTTCGGGTGGTCGAGTGAAGACCATCGCAGGCCACCACGAAGGATGCGGAAATCGTTCGACCGTCTTTCGTCGTCGCAACGACGCCGTTTTCCAGGTCGTCTATGTCGTGCAACTCCCAGTCTTCATGAATCTGCACACCCAGCCGCACCGCCTCCGCCTTCAGTGTTTGTAGCAACACACCTCTCCGTACGAAAGCGGGCCAAAAGCCATACTGCTCTTTCGCATAGGAGATATCAAGACCTCCCAGGTACTCTCCATCGGCATTGTAGTCCCGAATGTTGAGTACGGGTTCTCCAATGTTGGCCAGCCCGATGGTATCTAGAACCTTCAACCTGCACGGACACGTCAGCCAAGTTCTCTACCCACCGGAGAGGAAGATGCTTGCCCATTCGGCTGCAGAGCAAGTGAAACACCTGCTGCACTTTCCGGTCGCTGAATTCTTTCCACAATAGTGACTTCGTAACCTCTTTGCCTTAGCATAATGGCTATGGTCGGGCCGATGATGCCACAGCCCACCACGAGGACTTTCGACATGATGGACAAGACAAAGGTCGATTTCTTCGCTTCAGAGAACGCTTGTTGGCTGGTCTCGAGATCAGAGGGCGTGTAGTGAGACCGCAATGCTGGCTTTTGCTCATAAATACCAGCGCGGTTTCGAGCGTCATGATAGCACCGAATAAATTAATAATATTTGATTCGCGGAGACGATGCCTATACCAATCGGGTGGCAGCCAGCCGTCCCGAATCGGGCGTCGGACGTACACGACAGAATCATACCGGCCCTCCGTGCGACGCCGAGCAAACCTGTGTTCGGACTTGCTACGTAAATTTATCATGGGATTGGACCCAAGTTCTTGGGAATTAGAGTCTCAGTCTTCTGCTTGCTCTGAAGAGCTGCTGGTTGCTGTAATTTTTCTTCTCACAAAGCCAGCTTTACCAAAAATGCCGCGGAAAGACATCCACTTCCAGACTGACGACGGTGTCACGCTCCGAGGATGGCTGTTCACCCCCGAAAACCACAGTGGCAAGTTGGCCTGTCTTGTCATGGCCCACGGCTGGTCGGCAGTCAAGGAGATGGATTTGGAACTCTTCGCGAACCATTTCACGTCGCACCTGGCATTGGCCTGTCTCGTTTTCGACCATCGGTCCTTTGGCGCCAGCGATGGCGAGCCGCGACATGAGATTGTCCCTTCGTCGCAAAAGAACGATTATTCTGACGCAGTGACTTACGTTCAAAGTCTGGATGGGATCGATGCGGACAGAGTTGGGATATGGTATGTCTATATCATGGAATTCACGACGTGAATATGCTGTTTCTGATTCTCATCGAATAGGGGTACTTCGTAGGTCTCTCAGGATTGACAAAGCTCATCGAGATCAACGCTGACGCGTCGCTGAACAATACAGCTACTCTGGCGGTGTGGTGCTAGAAGTCGCTGCTGTGGATAAGAGAGTGAAAGCGGTGCTGGCACAAATGTACAACGCTCCTTTTCATACCCTGTCAAGGAGAAAAAGGAGAAACTGCTGACCACGAGCCTTCAGACCCTTTACAACCGGACCAGAAACATATCGCCGACTAATGAGCAGCGACTCTTTGCCGGAATGGGCGAAAATGTTCCAAAATGGTATTTCCCAGATTCAAAATTCTCAAGTATCCGGGCCACCACTAACATTGCGCGTCTGAACAGATCGCCTGAACCGTATGGCTGGCAAGGGGCCAACATACATTCCAATTGCGGGCAAAGATCCTCTAGCAATGGTCGCCCTCCCCAAGTGGGATTGCTACCACTTTATGATTGAGCTGGGTCAAGTGCCACCAGAGTGGGTCAATCGAGTGACAGTCAAGAGGTAAATCACAGTTGACAAAAACTTTCTTTTTCGTGACAACGGCCGGCTCACTCGTTGCTTAGTGTCGAGCTCATGAGTGTCAACGACCCCGCGGCGCAAATTCATCGCATATCACCAACACCGCTCCTGATGACAATCGCTGAAAATGATACCTTGACGCCGACCGATCTTGCGTTGGAGGCGTATTCGCGCGCACGAGAACCGAAGCAACTACACCTCATTCCCGGAGGACATTTTGATGGGTATGGAGGACCGAACTTTGAGCGCAACGTCGGGACGCAGACCGAGTTCCTGGCCAAGTGGTTGTGTAAGGGAGGCTCCAGCGTTGCCAACTAGTCTGTCCTGACTAGGTTATCCTAATACGACTCTCGAGATTATAATCCTGAGGTCTTCAGGAATTATAATCTTAACTAGTCGATATCAAATTAATACTTGGCAGGCTTATTTAGCCAAAAAGAGACTAGCGATATGGGGACAGTGGATCCACTATCACGTGATTTCTATGTTGCCCGTATCCACTAGCCCTTTTTAGTTAGCTGGGACTGCTAAGCACTGGTCAGGTCAGGTAAGGACATCCCTATTAGCACCCACCGAGCCACCTAGGGTAAGGATTGGGATTAGGATTAGTGGGACAGACAAATTGGCAACGCTGAAGAGAGCGATACCGATGTGACTGCCACTTCCGTGGCAGTAAGATTCCCTTGACAAGAAACTTCTATTGCACCTTTGGTGTCTTTCGTCTGAACTCGTAAATGAAAAGTGCGACTTGTCAAATTTCTCATCACATCTACGATGTGAAAAAGTCGACAGAGTATTCAAGGAAGTCGGTTGAGCTTGCCTTTAACTCTCATCATATGGTAAGGATGAGAAATGCAATATAGCTTTGGGGGGTTTCAAGAGTGCTGAGCTTGGCGACTGTATAGACACGGATCGAGGTGGGCAGCTTGTGATGGACAAGAATAACCCAAGTCCTGAAAATAAACAACTCTTCAACCCGGTTCAAGCTCAATCATTACTGCGCGTTAGAGGCAAAACAGCTCAACGATGCGAGAACCTCCTTCTTCGTGACCGCAAAAACCAACTTAAGCCGCTCCAGCCCCTTCATCTTGCCGATGTCCATCTTTCGGTTGCAGTTTCTCAACTGGTGCATCAACGTGGTAAGTCATGATTTTCTTGATGTCACCAAGCCACCAACAGCCGATCATTGACACGAGCACAAAAGGTGCTGCGATAATGAACGTGTATCTGATGGCATCAGCGTATGCTTGTTTCAAAGCAGTAATGCCAGCCGCGATGATTGATGGAGTCACTCCAGCGACGCGAGCCAAATCCTCGATCTCGTCTGCAGCGAGGGCGCGGACAAACAGGGGTATCGAGGCGGCGGGAAGGCCTGCCGCAATGGCAGCTTTCGTTATGTACGTTGGGAGATAGTTGGCCAGTTTCTGCGTCACCACGGACGTGTAAATGGAGGTGAAGACTGTTCCCGAGATGGCTCGCGCGACAATCGCCACGGCGGTCGCGGCTGAAAGATGTGAATGTTGCGAGGCCACCTGAACGCCCGCAATGCCTTGCGTCAATACGGCCGCGGTGCCTAGCCCCCCAAACGCAGCGAACACCATGGGATTTGCGTTTTGTCCTGGTTGGACTGTCGCCATGCCGATCAGGCCGATCAAGGCCGCTCCGAATCCTATGACCAGTGACTCTCGGATCGAACGAAGTTTGACACACATGATGCCAAAAATAATCGTGCCAATACCAGCAGAAGCATAGTAGATTATTACACGGGCGGCGGCTTTGAGGATGTCTGCCTCGAAGACCACTTTTGTTCTACCGTGATACTTGACGTCAGTCAAATTCGCACCCGTCTCGTCTGCGATTCAGACAGAAGGGAGAGAGAGACTCACAGGAGCGGGTAGAAAACAATAAAGGCGTAAACCAAGACACCTTCAGAAAATACGAGGGCAACGCAGATGCAAAAGGTGCTCAGACTTCGGCTGTGCGTGAAAAGCTCATGGTGCATGATGCCCGTCTTAGTGCCTTTCCATTCCCACACTCCAAAGAGGATGAGCAACGCAATGCCACTGAGCATGGTCGACAGAACCGTCGCAGATGTCCACGGGTAGACACTGCCACCCATGTTGACGCCGGCCAAAAGCAAGCACAGGCCGGATCCGAGCAAAAGGGCTCCCAAGAGGTCCATTTGTCGGAACTTGTGCCATGCACTGAGATGATCCAGCCGGGTGTGTCGCTTGGGAGGCCGATACCCGAGGAAGAGAGAAAGGGCCGAAGCACCCCAAAGGCCGGTTGAAATCCACTACCACTTGGGTGAGTCTGGTTCCTTTTGCGTAACAGCTAAATCGGGTTGTCAGGGTATTTCTTACATAAAAGTTTCGCCAACCGTTGTTCAGGTCGCGTTTGGTCAAAGCTCCGATCGAGAGGGGAGCTGCAATCATGCCAAATGCTCCCGTAGCTTGTAACAAGGCTTGTACCACTGCGACGAAGGGGTTAGTGATGGTGAAGAGCAACAGTGGGATTTCCATTTCCACCTCAAATGGAGACATACTTGGACGCCATTTCATGGGCAAAATCTCACTCGGCACAGCAAAAGTCAGGGGAACACACACATAGGCCACTCCGATCAATGTCTGAGCGGCAATGAGTCGACCGACTGTTTGAGCGCCAGGTGCGATGGCGGATCCAATGAATGCGAATGTAGTGCACCCCACCAATAGATTCTTGCGTGCTTGAAACAAGTCGGAGTACTGTGAGGCGATATTGCAGAATACACCTTGAGGGATGACGAGAGCGGTGACGACCCATGCCTGGTTCGCAGGACCACCAGGGAGCTGCGCAATGATGGTGCTGAGCTAGAAAGACGAGGAGATCGTCATCAACAGTCAAATAATAGTGATTTGAAGTGTTCAATTGCACTATTCAAGACCAGGAGTGGCTGACTTACCGCCGAGGTTGGCCCCAAGAGTGACCAAAGCTGGCAAAAGCTCTGCAGACACAAGGCCAGCAGAACAACGTACGTCCGCAGATGAAACTTTGGCTGATGCTCCTCATCAACATACTCGAGGTTATTGGCGAGCAGGTCGATCTCGTTCGACAGACTTTCGCCGCCTGCTTTTTCAGGTTGTCCTCGGGCGGTGTATTCTTCGTGGACCGATTCAAGACCGATGTTTTTGCTTTGGGCGGATAGGATTGCCATGACGGTTGTGCGAGATTCAGAGAAGAGGATGACTAGTCACGACGAGACGCCTTGAGATCAGGTGGGAAGCTCACTTTCTATACAAGTCTCCGAACCGTGAGCAACAGTTTCTGGACTGCCTCTATACTGGCTTCGGTATTGTTACCCTAACCTTACCGGGAAAGGTTAGGGCAACAGGTGTTGACCCGAAACGACACCTGAACAACGGGTGATTCGGGCCGGAGCACCCTTTTGTACTAGTTAGATTACTTCTGACAACGAATAGAACTAACCTTGAACGTCCAACTTCGCATCAAGCACAATCTAGACTCTATATTAGCCTTGAATTGCTGTTGGCGCTTCCGAACAGAGAGTGGTCAACCGGCAACATGCGCGACTCAACGATCTTTTGGCGTCGGGCGCGAGTCAAGACACCCGGGGATACCATCGGCAACACGGGCAACGTGCGCATTACGGCTCAGCACACGGCGCCTCTGTCCGCAAGCCAGCTCAGTTATGGCTGATTAGGCACATCCTCATCACCATTCGGCACCCCAACGAACTCCGACCGCATGGGCTTCTTTTTTCGCATAGATTCGTTCGGCATTGCTTGTTGGAGAATCAAAGTAATGTACGAGGCATCAGCCGAGGCTCAGGTAGAGCGCGGGTCTGAAGTTATCCATCATCGACAGGTGGATGATCATCAGCCAGTACTCGATTTTGAGCTTTCCTCTCTCCATTAGGGGCCTTTTTTGATTGGTTTTGGACAAATTTGATCGGATTCACGACAGACAGGCGTCCCTCGCTTATCAAGCAATCGCCATATCTATTGCCCATTCCCCCAAATCTCATTCGCCGTGTCTTCTCTTCCCTCGCTTACGCAGCTACACAACCATACATCTGCGAAGCCATGACACCTTTAAAGGACGGCGAAGCGTTCAACGAAATGGGCTGGATGGTGGGAAACGCTCGAGGATACCGTATTCTCGAGCAGCCTTACGATTCAACGCGCAAGTTCCGTGTCATCCATATCGGCGCCGGCGCGTCCGGCATTACGTTCTCCAAGTTCCTTGAGGATCGTTGTCCTGGGGTTGAGCTGCAGATTTATGAGAAGAATAAGGATATTGGGGGCACTTGGCTGGAGAATCGGTACGTGTTACCCAGTATGCAGGTATATTGTTGGAATTTGGATCATGTGGTTGCGCCCTACATTGTGCGGTGTGCTCAAGCTGATGGTCTCGGCCCGATAAAGATATCCCGGTTGCGCGTGCGACATCCCTTCAGCAGCATACCAATTCACCTGGGAGCGAAATCCATACTGGTCGCAATACTACTCCGAGGCGCCTGAGATCTGGCAGTACTTCAAGCAGGTCGTCGATAAGTACGGCTTGATTAAGTACGTTAAGCTCGAGCACACTGTGATAGGCGCATATTGGCAGCCTCAAGATGGAGAGTGGGAAGTTCATGTACGACGACCGGACGGCTCGGCATTCGTGGATCGATGTAATGTGCTTGTGAACGGCGGAGGAATTCTCAAGTACGCGGTCTCCTCCCGATCCGCAAAGAGGTTTGAAATACTAATCGATTTGGCGACAGTAATTGGAAGTGGCCAGACATCAAGGGCCTACACGCCTTCCAAGGCCCTCTTGTGCACAGTGCCAATTACGATACGTCGCTAGATCTGAAAGGCAAGCGAGTGGCTGTGATCGGCATCGGCAGCAGTGGAATTCAGATTATTTCCAAAATCGCATCGCAGGTGGGTCAGCTGTATAGCTGGGTAAGGACACCGACCTGGATTACGGCTGGGTTCGCCCAGAGGTTTGCAGGCCCGGACGGCGCAAACTTCTACTGTAAGTCGTCCTCGACAGGGCAGCATCGGAGAATAAGTATGGTACTATCGTGGCTGACCATCAATTAGATACTCCTGAACAGCAGAAAGCATTTGCCGAGAATCCCGAACTGTTCCTGAAATATTCCAAGATGATTGAATCAGAACTCAATATCCGCTTCAAGCTTATCTTGAATGGAACCCCAGAAGCAGAGGCTGCCAAAGAGGTGAGTGATCTGTTGAGAAGTCGATGGACTATACTTACGGATCGTCTTAGTTTGCAAGGGAGGAGATGACGAAGAAGCTCGGTCCGACCAATCCAGCTTTACTCGACGCAATTATTCCTAAGAACTTTGGGGTGGGTTGTAGAAGACCGACGGTAAGCTTTTCCGGAGATGTACACGGCTTACAAGCTGACTTTCGTCTTTCCAAGCCGGGAAATGGCTTCCTTGAGGCGCTTATTCAAGATAATGTTAAGGTGTTTACTTCGCCTATGCAGGAAATCAACGCAACTGGATTTGTGGATAGCAAGGGAAAGCAGTATGATGTGGATATAATAATATGCGCGACGGGGTAATTGAAGCCTAGGTTACAGTCACCACGAAAGGCCGATCAACTAACGACATGCCTCTAGATTCAATACCAGCTGGATCCCCAGGTTTCCAGTCGAAGCAAACGGCCACTCCATTTCCGAGATGTGGGCCACAGAGGCCGTCTCTTATTTGTCGATCGGGGTGCCGAACAGTACGCGAGTCCGTTCAACCAGACGAGGTATCATGCTGACTTCGTAAAGTACCGAATTACTGGACGATGAGCGGGCCATATGGACCAAACGGCCACGGATCTTTCCTGCCTGTTATCGAGACCCTCACTGGCAATATTATTCAATGCATACAGAAGATGCAGAAGGATCGAATCAAGAGTCTAATGCCAAAGCCGCAGATTGCAGAGCAGCTCCGAGAGCATGCACAGTTGTTCCTCAAGCGAACAGCATGGACTGGGGTAAGTTATACATATATTGATTTAGTTAAGATACCTATATTACTAACACTTCTCCCGCAATAGCCATGTAGTTCGTGGTTCAAACAGGGCAAGATCGACGGACCAGTGCCTATGTTCCCAGCCTCGAGATTAGTATATATGGATTTGATGGCTAATCCGCGTTTCGAAGACTATCAAATTGAATACATGAATTCTCTCAATATGTTTGAATTTCTGGGCAACGGATTCGCGGCGCGAGAGTTTGACGGTCGAGATCTGTCGTATTACCTTGGTTTGCTGGGTGATGATCGTCAAATTGACCTGGAAGGGGATATCCACGAGGATTTGGAGAAGTTGCATCTGATACAGCCATAGACAGAATAAGATCCAGCAGCGTAGCAGGGCATCCTCTCAGGGATCCCGCCTTTCATCAGCGCCGAGACGGCCCATCACAGACGTGATTGGTTGAAGTCACCACGAGGCTGAATATACGCCACGTGAGCACAGTAATGCAAAGGACTGAAGACTTGGCCGAACGCGAGAAAGTAGGTGTGTCATCTAGACAGGAGCACCTCTCGTCTGTGATTGCTCAGGAGATGTTGGCTGAAGCTGTTGCAAGGTTTCGTCGATGAAGCCCGTAGTGAATGATCGAGAACCCGTCTTCTGGCTTCCTAGTTTTGCCTGGTGAAGCCAGAGAACCTGACCTCCGCGATCGCCTCTCAGTCGACCCATGGCCGCCATGGCTTCCATCATCCGAACAGCAGAGTCGTCTGGAAAGTTTACCCCTAGCTCCTTTCTTGCGTCTCCCATACCTTCAATGCAGCACCTCGCGGCGAGGTCATATTGCTTTGCGTGCATGTATATCTTGACCAATTCAAGCAACACGATCCTCGACTGTTTCGCACAAGTGTTAGGATTTGACCTTGTTTCATCCAGGAGCTGAAGGCACAGTCGGCGAGCTGAATCGAGCTCACCATGGCGCCTTAGGAAAGTGATTTCCGCTCGCTTCCATCGGAGAGTCTCTGCGTGGAAAGGATCCAGGTGTTGAGCAAACAGATCTCGGACCAGTTTAATGACTTGTTCTGATTGTCCTCGATGAGTGTCGCCTTTCCGGAGCTCGAAGCAGACAATTGAAAACGGGTGTTGTTCTCCTAATTTGTCCTTCGCTTTTTCCCAGAGAAGTTGCAAAAGTGCTGTACGCAACCCCGGACACACTTCCGTGTTGACGGGTGACATTGTTGCGAATAGCTCGCCCATAAAACATCTTGGCTCAGGACTGATTGTCAAATCCACCTTTTCTCCAACTTTTCTTAATCCTTCCCACGCTCTCTTACACGCTTTGGGAGATTGTTTGTTGAGTAGAGAGATCGCGTACTTTATGTCTCCCCAGAACGCAGCTGCCGTTAAATCAGATGGCCCATCTCTATATTCGATGCTGTCTGTTGCCTGACGACCGAACTGTGATTTAAGGTGACTGTTGACACTATGTAAAATTAGCGCAAAACTGGAGTCATCCGAGCAGATGGGCAGAGAGTCTAGTGGCAGGCTGGTTTCGTATATCCTGTAATAGTGAACTTGGTCGTTCCAAGTGGTATCTTCCGGTATGATCTCGCTGCATGGTGGGTTAGTTGTATATACATCAGACTCTGCGAGAAAAGAAGGCGATATATCATGGTCAAAGGTTCCACTTCCAGGGCTCGTAGGCTGATCTGGTTGCCTTGATAGAATCTTCACTCTCATCGTTTTTCTGCCACTGGCATGATTTCGAGAAATGTCGATTCTCACTCGAACGTGTGCCGGGCTCCGTTGACCAGGGTACCGAGCATCGAAAACAATGTGGCGATTATTGCGCGGCACTTCTGGATATTGTGCGGTGGAATTCTCATTCACATATCGCTGGAGTTTATGGAGGTCTGTTGGTAATATTTCAATCTCGGTTATCTTCCTCGATTGATTATTGGCACATTCAGCTATGATCCGAGTGAGAAGATTTTTCTTTTCAATAGCTGAAGTGTTTTTGCGAACGCCCCACGCCTTGAGCCTCCTTTCGTACATTCTCTTGCTAATTACGACACGATCAGCGGGAGGCCGGTGCTGAGGTCCGGGGCGCGGCTGCTCAACCACCTACCTTGCTACAAACCCATGGTCCCGCTCCATTACTGTGCGCACTTCACTTAGTTTCATCTTCTCGGAATATTGAATGATACCATCCCGATGAAATCTCCATTCCGCCTCGGTGGGCGCTTTTTGGTAAGAGGGAGCGGCTCCTCGTGTGGCCATACGGTACACTCCGAATTGTATCGTTGTTCGATATCAAATGTGTTGCTAAGGGCGCGTCCGCGGCAACCGAGCCTGAAAATTCTGAGACGGGATACCTTGTTCGAACTTCAAGAGACTTGAGGATGTTTTGGGGGTGTAGGACAATGCCCAAGTTTTGCGGGGATTCAGCTGGCAGCTGACCCGCTTTGTCAAGGCATGCAGCTACAAAAGCACCCTTCACACCGGTCGCAAGCACTAAACCAGATATCGTTTAGACCTTCCCGGATCGACGTGTCTGAGCCCGAAATCAGTCGCAGCCTGTCGTTCTCTTCATAAATCACATGGAATACTCTTCATTAAAGGTCGTACAGGATGCATGCTCTGATCGCCCACTCTCCCGGGATGGATACAAATATCTCTTACATGTCATGCATCTGGTTCTCTCTTCTCTGAAAGGTTGGTCATACTTCTCAACCGACGAACGGGCTATAGTTGAGTATCGATATTGGCATCATGGCCTCGCCAACTTCTTCCCGCCCCCGCTTCATGAGCTCTACCATATCTTCTAGATCCAGGGCAACTTCGACCGCCTCCAGCACCAGATCTCCACCTCCCAATTCTGCACGAGTCAAATCTAGAGATGTCTCCACGCCGTCAGTCAGGGACAGCATTGAGGCAAGTAGAACTTCTTGAGTGCATTCTGACGCAGCGTCAGCCTTGTACTTTATCAATATCTCCTACGGCTGACCCGTTACCTAGCCTAAGACACCAACCCAAGATGACAACGTTGCCAGAACCGACGCGTCTGTCCCACTTGTTACTGCTCGCATCTCGGGAAATTCAAGGACCGCTGAAGTCCCCGTCTTGCCTGAAGGACAGCCCCTCGCATTGGTTTTGGGGAGCACAGGCCGATATGGCCCACGTCAATCTGAAACCAGAGATGGAGAGAACGTCGATGTCGAGCCTGGCCAGGGTGCAAATTTGGCTACTCCTATAGCCACAAGAACTCTCTCAGCAAGCATTGTTGAGCCAAATGAAGACGAGCCAAGAAACTTGGAGACGGCACCAGGATCCGTTCAACGCTCGGATCGCACTACGATTAAATTAATTTTCTGGGACAAGTCCAAGTCAAAGCATAGGGAGGATGCTAGAAGCGGTAAAGTGGACTTAAAGAATAAGTGCCAAGTGAGAAAAAAGAGAAACTGAGACCTCGAGCTGGCGGTCCTTTAATTATAGGCTTTGATGCTAGGGGCGAGATAGCACTCCAGTCACTACAGAAGCTCGACGAAAGCGAGTGTTTCTTGAGAAAAAACTTGTCGGTAAGAGGCCCTCTCTTGCTTGGCCTTGCGGGCCACGGCATCGTGCTGATAGACACCGTTTGTCGGTGTATGACTTTGAGCCGCGTTTGGAACAATATTCAAGCCGCCACCAAGCGCCTAAACCTCGACGGACGTTTGATGGGTTGCTTGGTTGCTTAAGTCTTTGGCTCCTACACCCCAATACTCAAAGCTTGTCCCTTTTTGATTTACTGTGGCGGAGTAGGTTCAGGGCACGTGTTTATTCCATTCTGATTGAGGATTTCGAGAGCTCACCAGGAGCGGAAAGAGGTCTAAAGATGAGCAAAGCCGTGCCAGTCCAGTCACATGCGGAAGACGGGTTGACAGGTCTTCCATGCGCCAAACTACCCGTCGAGCCCGTGTTCACGTACTCATATTCCTCTTTCTACGTGGTCAAGCAACGAGAGCCCGAACCGTCTTAGCCCAACTTTGTCCAAACCACATTCACAGCGTGGGGTCCCTCTCAAGTCGAGATACCGTAGGAAGAGGGATGTGGGCAAGTGAACACGGGTACGGAATACGGGTATGCGTGACCTGGGTACGTTCCATAGAGACATCCCTAGCCTTTAAAGGGGCCGGAAAAGTTCACATACCCAGGTCCGCTTACCTATACTCCCGTACCTATATTTGCTTAACTGTGCTTGCATACATGTTCCTCTTCTCTTGTGGTGGACAGCCCATGGTTCGCGCTGCCCCCAGACCGGCCACCAGATCTCCCGTCCAGCGGGAATGTGGACAGCATGACTTTGTCGTCGGAAAGTCCACAACTGTCCAAGTTTCTAGGCTAGGAGTCGTCACAATGGGGGCGACAGTCTCCAGACCACGGGCTCGGAAGACATTGATGTCGATTCGCAAGACGATGATATTAGGGACGCTTTGCTCTGCGACAATTGGCCTAAGACTCGCAGAATCTTGCATTGGGCGATGTGTCAAAAGGCTCCCTTTCCTGAACGAAAATGGTGAGGGACGAAGCATAGTTCGGGGTATATATATATGCACGTAGCTGTTGTTTTTTCAATTTCCTCATCCCAACAACAAAAGCCAAGATGTCTTTTGCAAACCGGAATCTATTGTATTACATGTGGATTCCCCCCTTTCTGCTTTTCCTTATTCGGCAACCCAAACCGCAGCCATGCCCCTGTTTGTTTGAAAGGATGTTGCGTTAGCGAAAGAAGAACTCGATGAGATAAATCAAGGAAAGGAGAAACAAGTGAATGAAAGAGAAAACAACTTACATTCCCGTGCCCACGCACATACTCGTCACACCAATCTTCTTACCCGTCCTCTTCAGCTCTGTGAAGAGGGTGCTCACCTGCCTAGCACCGGTGCAGCCGAGAGGATGGCCAAAAGCAATGGCACCACCCTTGGGATTGACCTTCTCGAACGGCAGGCCGAGTTCCTTGACGCACCAGACGGCCTGGCTGGCAAAGGCCTCGTTGATCTCGTAAATGTCAACATCGTCCTTGGAGATGCCGGCCTTTTGGAGCGCAACTGGGATAGCCTTCCAAGGGCCAATACCCATGAGCAAAGGCGGGACACCGACCACGGAGGAAGCCACGAATTTGCCCAGGATGGGTTGACCCAGACGCTCGGCGGTGCTGCGTTTCATCAACAAAACCGCAGCGGCGCCGTCAGAGACCTGGGAAGCGTTGCCAGCGTGGATGGAGCCGTCCTTTGCAAATGCGGGACGGATCTTGCCCAGGGACTCGGCGGTGATGCCTGGTCTCGTGCCATCGTCCTTTGTAACTGTGACGGTCTTCTCTTCCTCGGTCTTGGGATCAGTGTACTTGACGGTGATGGGGGCGATCTCCTCATCGAAGAGACCGGCTTGTTGAGCTTTCAGGGCCTTTTGGTATGAAGAGGCGGCAAAGGCATCTTGGTCCGCACGGGAAATCTTGCGGTCCTTGGCCATCAGCTCAGAGAGGACGCCCATGGGCACCTTGCAGTTTGCGGCTTGCATGTGGTTTTCCAGGAGATCAGAGAACTCGGTCACTGCGCCGGGGCCGTACTGGGAAGACATGCTCTCGACGCCAGAGCCGACGCCAATTTCGATCATGCCCGCTCGGATAGCATTGGCAATGTCCACACATGCCTGCAGCCCAGAGGAGCATTGTCTGTTCAGGGATTTGACCGCGGTTGACTCCGGGAAGCCTGCAACGAGAGCAGCTGCACGGTATTCAGTGGCACCACCTCCTGGAGCAAGCACGCAGCCTGTGGCAATATCCTCGACGAGACTCGGATCGATCTTTGAGCGCTGGAGGAGATTCTTGAAGGTGAGGGCCAGGAGGTCGGCGGCAGCGGTGTCCTTTAGGAGACCTTTACCACCTTTTGTGAAGGGCGTGCGAAGAGCACAGGTAACGACGACGTCGTCGGGGGATTTGGAGAGAACGGATTGCTTGCTGCTGCCACCGAGGTGGCCGGAAACCTGGGAGAGGCGGGCTTGTGCTATATACCAGAGTTTCACATGTTAGTGACCAGACGACAGGACCTGGGTTTTGCCTGACGACGGCGGCTACATACCTGACATGTTGGCTTGCAAAGCGAAATCACGCAAGAAGGGCAAGAAGAAGTGAAGAAGTCAGATGCAGAGAGACTGTCAGAAAATAAAAGGATCAAGGAGTGTGGAAAAGGACTGAATGATTTATGATCACCGAAGTCACAAGGTCCATGTAACCTTTTAGAATCCGTTCCTGGCGAATTTCCTCATCAGAACTGAGAAGCATATGCGTCGTTTTGAATTGTCGATGCCGAGGCATGTGGGCGTTGCAGCGACAACAGCGCAGATGAAGTCATGGTTCGGTCACCGGTCACGCCGGCCAGAGCCTAACGAGGACGGTGCAGTAATCAATAGCCAGGGGGCGCCAGGCACTTGCTAGGTCGATTATGTGTGGTCAGTGCCTGGGCGAGATGCATGTGCTCACCCCGGACTTGGACCAGTAGCCCGGAGACCTCACGTCTCGGGTCGACTCGGAAAATCTATTCTTCCGCTTCCACCTTCAGACCATTGTTCGTTTGTGCTCAACTGCGAAAGTTCAATGCTCATTATTGCCAGCTTCTGAAGTCCGGCATTTCTACGAATATATTTTCCATCGCCGCACTCCAGCGATGGCGGTATCTGCAAGAGCCTCCCGTGCTCTGCTGTTCATGCGCCATTGCCGGCGCTCGTCCCTGCCGGTGGTCCCAACAACCAGCCGCCATTCTTCATCCCACGCCGCATCATCCGCTTCATCGCCCTACGCACCCTCAAACTTCACCCGCGAGGCACCACCTACTCCTTCAGCGGCATCAACGTCCAAGCCGGACAGGACGTCCTACGATACCTTCCCATCTCCCTCATCTTCTTCCATCCTCTCCTCCCTCCCCACCCCCCGACCTCTCTACGCCCATCCGAAATCCCGTTCCCCCCCACCAGCACCACCCGTCGAAATCCCCGGCACCCGACTGACGGCTACCTCATGGCTCCTCTCGCTGGTTGGCATTTCTCCAAAACCGTCCGCGTCGTACACGCCCGCGCCCTTCCGCGTGACCAACAATCCGTACCGCGCCCGCAAGAAGTGGCCGCCGGACTTTCGCAACCTCGACCCGAAGCAGCAGTTCCATTTTGAGAAGACGTACAGGAGGAGGGCTGCATTGAAGTGGGCACGCCCCCGGTGGAACAAGGCCATCAAGTTGCTACAACAAACGTTGATCACCGCGACACTCATCTATTTTGTCTTCATTTGCGAGCCGAGTCATGGGCAGGGCACGCCGTTTGACGGGGTAAGTAGAGGGTTTCTCCCATTTTTCATTTTTCTCTCGCGCGAATGGGGTTTTAGGGTATCTAGACTAACGCTCGGCTTGACGCAGTTTCGTATATGGTTCTTTGATAAGCTGGGAAATTTGGGGCAGTTGCCGGAATCCACTAGAGAGGAGGCGGATAAGTTGAGCGAGGAAGCAAAGAAAAGGATGAAACCTCGTGTTGAAACGTCTCCTACGACTGCCTCATCTTGAATGGACGTAAGCTTAAGCTATCTATGCTTCGGCCGTATTTATATTTCAGGATTTCATATAGCGCCAGATGCCACCGAGTTCCTGACCTAGCATCTCTATTCAATTCTGAGGAACCAGTTGACGATGGACTGGGACGATCAGCTTTCTTCCCCCTCTTGAAGCATTCCAGCTCCCCATTGTCCGACACGACATCTCTTTCGTCTTTTCTCTATGCTTTCCCCAGACCAACCAGCACCAGCAAAGCCACATTCATCACCACTAGCACAAGCCAGATAATCGTAGCAAGGATTGTGACAATCCAACCGTTCCGCATGTTCACAGATTCCCAGCTGCTGTCGGTCCTCACAGTCATGATCTGGCTTCGACAGGTGAACCAGAGGAGGGGGGCAGTGACAAAGGGCAAAATGACGCTGAGGCACACTTGACTCGCAGTCAAAGCCGAGTTCAAGCCATCCTTGCCCACGGCTGCTGCAATAATGATGCTGGGGATAATGCTGATGGATCGGGTGATCAGTCTCCGTACCCACGGTTTCACTGTCCAGTGCAACATGCCCTCAGACACCATCTGGCCTGCCATGGTACAGACGATGCCGGCAGAGGTACCGGAAAGCAGAAGAGCGAGAGCAAAAATAGTACCCGCTGCCTTGGAGAGGTTCTTACTGAGGAGGTCGTGGATACCAAAGAGATCCGCCTGGGTGGCCGCTGTTTGCGGATAAAGAGACGATCCCGAGACAATGAGGATGGCCGAGTTGACGAACAAGGCAAATGTGAAGAGTGAAGACGCTAGCTCCACGATCGAGTACTTGAGGCAGGCTCGGATGGCATAGATGGAGGGCACGTATTTCTCCTCTTCGCTGTCTGATTCCTCGGCTGCTGCGATGTGCCCATTCTGCCTATCGAATTGCTTTAAGCGCGGTTGCACCACGCCAGACCCCAAAAAGATGGAATGAGGCATGACAGTCGCTCCAATGATGCCGCAAGACAGATAGACACCGTTCCCTTTAACGACTGCCGAGGACGGAAGGTATCCCTTGAAGACTTCGCCGGCAGTGGTGTTTTTGAGGAAGGAGAGTTGTATACAGAAGCACACCATGACACCGAGGACAAGGCTCATGACGAAATACTCGAACAGTCGCAGATGCATCATCGAGCCATTGGGACGATAGAAAAGGAGAAGAAGCAGGACGTCGACCAATGTTATGGCACATCCCGCAACTAGAGGGATGTGAAAGAGAAGATTTAGAGCTATCGCCGAACCAATGACCTGGATGGATTGAGGTCAGAAGAATCCCGACAGCATGGGCTCTTTCGACACAGAACTTGACTTACCTCTGCAATATCTGTAGCAATAATGGCAGATTCCGCAAACAAATACAGAATGATAGTTAGCCACTTGGGCAGATGCTTCCGGCAATTTTCAGCCAAGTCGAGCCCGGTGACGCTCCCCAGCTTGATACAGAGAGATTGCAAAAAGATGGCAAACAGATTGGACATGAGAATGATAAACAAAAGACCATATCTCGTCGCCGCGCCCGCCTGCACATCCGTGGCATAGTTTCCTGGATCGATGTAGGCGACGGAGATGAGAAATCCCGGCCCCACGAATTTCGCATACTTTTGTGCGACGACTATAGCCTTGTTCATGAAGGCTCTCGGGGAGCGAAAGGTCTCAAATCGTCGTGGGTGGGTTTGTTGAAGGGCCGCTTGCTGCTGCTCAGGCGGATCAACATTGACTGCGATGGGTAACTTGAGGGCATGGGAGGGTGATTCTGAATTGTCGACAGCCACGACTCGAATATCTTCTTGCGCATCATTCTCTGGACTCGATTCTGTGGCTCTGTCCTCCCTAAGGTTCACAATCCCATTGAGGTCTGCCCTAGTCGTCAGGTCTGCGCTCAAGGCTTGCGGATTCTGGTTCCAATCCGGATGAGCTTCGGTGTCATCTGTGCGTGAGGGGCAATTCATGATGGTGATGCTCTTGAGTACAGGTCTTTTTGTGGCAGAAACAGAAATCAAGAAGGTGGGGTAAGGAAATATGAAAAGGTATTATATCATCTGTAACCAACTATGTGGCCAAAAGGTCTGTTACCCCGTACACGGTTTTTTCCGACCAAAGCTTCGATACGGTAAGGGTGGAGATCGATCTATGATGGAGGAGCGACGGAGATGACGACGAGCCGGCAGTGGCACAGCAGACCGTCAGCAGCTTTTCTTGGAAGCAAATCTCGGACTTGGTCAGGCTTCGCAGCTGACAAGGAATTGGTCTCCTGGCTGGAATGGGAAAGGTCTTGAACTGTTTTTATTTCTGAAGAACTGAAGTGAGATTGGTGCTGGTCAAGGGTGACGAGTGTCCTCAATTCAGGTACTTCATACAGGGCACACGCTTGAAGCGGTAGGGGGCGGGTGTGGAATTTCCCGGAGGCAAAAACACGAGGACTCGGCTGGAATCATGAGACGAAAAACGTCTAAGAAGTGAGTCCTGTTGAGTAGAGGTTAGGACACTTTCGTTTTCTGCTGTCCTCTTGCGTCATTGAAGGCTGAATATGGTGATGAGGAAGATAGAATTGAAGCGGGTTGTCGGGAAAAGCCCCAGGGTTCGCAGAGGGCACAGTGTGAGGAGAGTTCAATGCACTGATCTTGCCTATTAGGTACCTACCTAGGTACCTAGGTAGGTAGCGAGTGTCGGGCGACTAGGCGATGCAGTGTGCCCCGGACTTTCCAAGCCCAGTGGCTGCACTAGGCTTATTATTTCTACCGGGTAGGCTCGATAGGCTGGCTAGAACCCCAGCGTTTTGGGCTTGGCCCCCTTTGGAAAGGTCGTCTTTTTCTGTCGGGGGCTTGGTTCCGCTTGCCCTGAGCCAACGGCCAGCGCCCACGAGCCTCACCCGCCCGTGCCCAGGTAGCAGTCAGTGCCCGCCCCGAGGTTCGAGATTCCCAAACGCCTTTCGAAAGTGGTGGTGGCACTTGTGGAGATCGCTGACGACTGCCAATGTGGCAGCTCGATTGGCTGATCCTGCCACTCTCAACCCGCGACAGGTCGAGTCTCGACACCCGAATGCGTGGAATTGATCTGTCGACATCTTCCTCGTCTCAATGGGTATCCAACCTCGTCAACAATCCATCAGAAAGCACACTGATCTCTTCACGACGTCTGTGACCCCATAACTTTTCGAGGCTGCCTCACGATCAGTCTGTGCTGCGAGAAGGCTGCGCCCACACTGCCTGCGGGAGCTGCAGACTCCAGTCGAATCCACCACCTGCGAACCCAAGCGACTGTTCTTCTCACCTCCAGCAATGCAGCATCCTTAGTCTTTTATCCTTCTAGGCCAGGAGGGAAGCCAGAGAATGGTCATAAATGAGCGTTTGGTGGTTGTTTCGACCTGTTGCCCTTCAGAATCCACAACATGAACGCCAGCAACAAACCGACGTACGCCCCTCTGCAGCGTCGCAGGCGGAGATCTGATCAGATTTCACCGTCCTCTCCCTCCTATCCAAGACGACTTCTTGACCGTCCAAATAGACATAGCGAGGCGTTCAGCCCGATCGATACTCCCTCCGCGACAGACGAGTCGGACAGCCCTTCGCTGAGCCTCAACCTGACTCTCACATCTCCCTTCTACGACCACTCTGCACCTTTACCACCAATTCCTGCCTTTCCAAAATCTCCCGTTCCTGAACCAAAACAATACCAGAGATCCTCCGATGAGACCACCCGCCACAGATTTGGCCCATCAGAGGAAGATGTCCGTCCTGCGACAAGTGACGCGATCGACCGAAACAATGCTGCTCCCATCTCACATGTCAAATCCCCACTCGTAGGATCAGACTACGCGTCCAAGCTATCTCCTGTGCCACCTTCTATCCGTCTCGACAATAGGGAGAGAAAGGTGCTCGATCCGCCCATAAGGCTTGGAGACAATGCGTCCTCTCCAAGTCTTCGGAACTACAGCTTTTCCACCCAAACATCCGACAAGTCTGTGCACGATGAACCGGTTCCGGGAAAAGGACACACCGGGAAAAAGAGCAGGCTGAATCTTTTAAACCCAATGAGTTTGTTGGCCCGCCGCAGGTCTTCTCAGAACCAGAAACTCGAAGACGTCAATCTCACATTATCTGTCCCAGCCTTGCCGGATAATTTCGACCCAAGAATCCGAGGAAAGGTTGTACACGACTTTTCTGTTCCGCGATCGCGAAGGCTCTATTCACACAACGACATTAGCAATATAGAATCTCCAGCCTTGCGCTCTGGATACGGGCCAGACCCCAATCGAAGCAATGATTCACCCATTTCCCGAGTGGCGCCTAATGGAACACCAAGTATCCCATACAGTCCCATGTTTAAGGAGCACTTTCAGGACGACCGGCCGTCGTTGCAACCCGATCGCACGGGCTATCTGCATAATATACATGCATTCAATATGGCCAATGACCGCCAAGATGAGAATGCCGTGCCAGCTTTCGCCAGGCGGCTGCCGTCCGCTGTACCACAAGCAGGGCTGGATTCTAAATTCGAGCCATTGGAGGAAGAAATTCAACTGCCACCGCTACCACCAGGAAAAGAGAATCGACCGCTGCCGCCAATAGGAGAGCCCTCACCTTCCCCTCCAACACCTCCGCCGAAGAGCACGCCGTCCCCTAAGTTTGATATTCCGCCACCCGCGGCACTTCCAAAGCACATGACCAGTACTTCCTCCCGGTTTAGCTTCCAAATCGGCGGTGGAGGGTCATCAGCACAGGAAAAGTTGCTCGAAGAGAAACATAAACAACAGGAGGCAATCAAAAAGACCACTACCCAGGGCGCAAATGAGGAGGACGACTATGATGATTATGATTTCGACGCGGACGATGGTCTGGAGGAGATGATTCCTGGGGTCAACGCGGACTTCGAGGAAGATGATGGCTTCGGTGATGACGTTCCGGTTGGAAACGCGCTTGTGGCTCGTTACGGTCCTTCCGAACCCGAAGGACCCGTCGCATCAGATGTCAAGACCACGACTTTACAGCGACAGTCGCTGCAAGGATTCCACTTTACCCCTCAATCCATGACATTTAGTCCCACCAGCACCAACAATGCCTCACAGCCTACTCCTCGGGACCATGAAGGCTTTGCTATTGGGATCGCCGACTTCAGAGAACCTTCCCAAGACGGTGCACCGGAGTTCCCACACAAAGATAGCTTCATTGATGTTGAAAAGGTTTCGATGCTCGGAGGGCTTGGCATTACGACGACAGAAATACATGGCAGGCGCACGCAGCAGACCTCTCGTCCTCAGGGCGGGGTCTTTGATGATGAAGACCTGTATTTTGACGATGGCGAGTTTGATCACGTGGAGTTGGATCCTTCCGGAACAACGTTTGACGAACAACTATTTGATGACGACACAAGCGAGCTTCGTGATATTCCAGCCGAGAATGCTCGAAAACTCGCGGCAGCCAAACAAGCAGCAGGTCTGGACGGAGAGGTGAAGGTAGTCAATCCTTGGGAGAATGCCGTCGGAAAACTTTCGCTGGACAGCAATGACCGGCAGAAGAGCGTCAAACCAACCTCTGAAGAACTCTATCCAAAGACCCAAGGAAACTTTATGCAAGGTGGTTCCATCACTGGACTCACTGAAACGAATCTTGCTGCGTACCACGACGCGTTGGCCTTTGCGGCCAACCAAGCTGCTGCAAATGGCCGATTCGACCGGAAGGTCAGCTTCAGTCAGACCTCAGATGATACTTCACAGTCACCATTCGAAAGCAGTCAACATGGTGTTGTCTCCGAAGATAGCCGTATCAGCTACAATTTTAGCTCCGCGATTGCTGAGGACGATGGATTTCCGTTCGACGACGATATGGATGACGATCCTATGATTGCGGAGGCCAATGCCGAGGTCCTGGAGAACGACGACGAAGGGTTTTATGGTCAAGAGTTTGGATTTTATGCTCGGTCCTATAGTAAAGGCAATACAGAGCTCGTTAATGGCGGCTATTTTGCGGACCGGGGATCCAACGGGGTAAAGCGAAGCCACAGTGGAAAGGCGAATTTCCAAGAACCGAGCTTGACGCCCATCACCGAACGCAGTGAATGGAGCACTCGAAATTCGGTGGTATCACTAGCGATACCAGGAGGAATGCCCGCTTCAGCCCATTCAATGCCCAGTCCAGGGATTGCCGAGCTACTTCAACAACTCGAGTCGCCTGGGTACGATGATGATATGAGCTTCAGTGGGCTGATGAAGCTCCGAGGCAGAACGTTTGGAGGTAGTTCGTCAAGCATCAGCAGCTCAGCAGCCGGGAACCCAGCTAGTTCACCGCTTGCGCACGTTTCTAACCATCCATTCCCTCACTCAGATCTGAGTGCGAGTCGGATTTCATCCTCGATTCATGGTCGATCGTCGCCAGCTGGAATACCCGAGTCGGAGGAAGAGGAGGAAGATTCCGAGAGACCCACCTTGACACAGAATACGCCGCGCAAGAAGATGAGTGAGCCCGTGGCGGTAACGTCCCACGAGGAATTGCCCGCCTCTCCAGCATCCGCAGGGGGTGAAAGACGGAAAGGTCACCACAGCCGCACCAGCAGTGGTGCGGAAAGTGTGAGCTATGCGCGTGATCTAGATGGCGGGTGGGTTTTGGAGAGGAGAAGGACCGATGAAGGGAGCGGAACGGAAGTTATTGACCGGGAGTATCTAGCCGGAGCTCGGATCTGAGAGAAGGATGTACATTGTGTACCTAGGTAAGGACACCTTTGGAAGAGGAGGGTCGATTGATTGGATATAGATTATGGCCTTGCAAAAGCACATTGGAGACGACGATATGATACCCCATAGAAGCTTGAAAATATATGTATACCCACGTATACAATTCACAAACCACCGAGCCACCCATTCACCCCAGGTTTGTAAGGACCTGAGAAGGAAGAGGACTCATTGGTCTGGCGTTCCTGCCAAGACTCAAGGGACCAATCAAGTCATGCTTATGATTCATGCATGTCTTGGCCCTCGGCTATGTTTCCCGGTCCATCGATTCCTATTACGGGCTGCAACATCTTCCTAAACCGGGTTGCGGGATTTGCGTAACAGCCTTGACCTTCAAACCTGGACTTCCTCAGACTTCCGTTTCCTGCACTTCAGTGTCTATCCCTAGCCTCAATTGCCCTTCCACCCCCTCGTCCGTGGTGCGGTTCACTCATTTTGAACCCGGTTTTCTCTCCTATGGATCGTTCTCTGTATCATTAGCTCACCAACAACCCCGACATCATGTATCGCTACGCTGCGGGCAAGCTCCCTTTGAGGGCTGCGCAAGCTTCAAGGACTTTCTGCACTTCGTCTAACCTCAGAGCGGTCTCCGGAGGTCGTCAGAATGCCCTCATTGCTGGCAGGAAACCGCTAGCTGTCACGGCTCAAAGCTCACTGCAGCGCAGGAGCTATGCCATGACAGCTGAAGAAACCAACAAGGGCGTGGTAAGTATCTACTCAGCTGCCTGGGTTGCAAAGAGAATGGTTTTCTAACTGCTCCAGCAGGATCCTAACGACTCCTTCCTCCAAGGCAACACCGCCAACTACATTGACGAGATGTACATGGCATGGAAACAAGATCCCTCGTCCGTCCACGTTTCGTGGCAAGCCTACTTTCACAATATGGAAGAGGGGACTATGCCGGTCTCTAAGGCTTTCCAGCCTCCTCCGGGCCTCATTTCCCAGGCGGAAGGGGCAGCCAGCCTCGCTCCAAGCGCAGTGACCGGCACTGCAGGCGAAGACGTCACGAATCACTTGAAAGTCCAATTGCTTGTGAGAGCATATCAATCGACCGGACATCACAAAGCCAAGACCGATCCTCTCGGTATTCGTGGCGAGGCTGAAGCATTTGGGTACCGCAGGCCAAAAGAGCTGGAGTTGGATCACTACGGCTTCACCGAGGCCGACCTGGACCAAGAATTTGTTCTCGGACCAGGTATTCTTCCCAGGTTCGCCACAGACTCGCGGTCCAAGATGAAACTGCGCGACATTATCGCTGCTTGCGAGAAGATCTATTGCGGGTCATATGGTGTCGAATACATCCACATCCCGGATCGAGAGCAATGTGACTGGATCAGAAACAGGATCGAAGTGCCTACCCCGTACAAATACTCTGTGGATGACAAGCGCCGCATCCTGGACAGATTGATTTGGAGCTCTAGTTTCGAGTCTTTTTTGGCCACAAAGTACCCCAACGACAAGCGCTTCGGACTGGAAGGTTGCGAAACCCTCGTTCCGGGCATGAAAGCCATGATTGACAGGAGCGTGGACTACGGTATCAAGGATATTGTCATTGGGATGCCGCACAGAGGAAGACTCAACGTTCTGAGCAACGTCGTCCGCAAACCCAACGAGTCCATCTTTAGTGAATTTTCGGGCACCACCGAGGCAAGCGACGAAGGCTCAGGGGATGTCAAATACCATCTCGGTATGAACTTCGAACGACCAACACCGTCCGGGAAACGAGTCCAACTGTCTCTTGTCGCAAACCCTTCTCATTTAGAGGCCGAGGATCCCGTTGTGCTGGGGAAAACTCGTGCCATTCAACACTACAACGACGACGAGAAGAAACACCAAACGGCGATGGGTGTCTTGCTTCACGGTGACGCTGCCTTTGCGGCCCAGGGTGTCGTCTACGAAACTCTGGGCTTCCACGCTCTTCCTGCTTATTCCACCGGTGGTACCATCCACATCATCGTTAACAACCAGATTGGGTTCACCACGGATCCTAGATTCGCTCGATCTACCCCTTACTGCTCGGATATCGCCAAGGCCATCGACGCGCCCGTTTTCCACGTCAATGGAGACGATGTGGAAGCCGTCAACTTCGTTTGCCAACTAGCTGCCGATTGGAGAGCTGATTTCAAGAAAGACTGCGTTATTGACATTGTTTGCTACCGGAAACAGGGCCATAACGAGACGGATCAACCATCTTTCACTCAACCGCTCATGTACAAGCGAATAGCGTCCATTAAACCTCAAATCGACAAGTATGTTGACAAGCTGATTGAAGAAGGCACCTTCACCAAAGAAGACATTGACGAGCACAAAAAGTGGGTGTGGGGAATGCTCAATGACAGCTTCGATCGAAGCAAAGACTATCAACCTACAGGCAAAGAATGGCTAACCTCCGCCTGGAACGGCTTTAAATCGCCCAAGGAGCTTGCCACCGAAGTCCTCCCCCATCCGCCCACTGGAGTTCCTTCTGATATGTTGAAGGAGATAGGGTCGAAGATATCCGAGGCCCCAGAGGGTTTCACGGTCCACCGTAACCTCAAACGTATCCTTGCCGGTCGCAGTAAGGCGGTTGAGGAGGGTAAGGGCATTGACTGGGCGACAGCTGAAGCACTTGCTTTCGGTACCCTTTGTCTTGAAGGTCACCATGTGCGCGTATCCGGCCAGGATGTGGAGCGAGGGACCTTCTCCCAGCGTCATGCTGTTCTGCACGACCAAGAGACTGAAAAGACATGGACACCTCTTAGCAACCTTGCTAAAGAGCAAGGAGCTTTCACCATCTCCAACTCGTCCTTGAGTGAATACGGTGTTCTAGGTTTCGAATATGGCTACTCACTCTCGTCGCCCAACGCGCTTGTCATGTGGGAAGCGCAATTCGGTGACTTTGCCAACAATGCTCAATGTATCATTGATCAATTCATTGCATCTGGAGAGGTCAAGTGGCTCCAAAGGTCTGGTCTCGTTTGCTCTCTTCCTCACGGTTACGACGGACAGGGACCCGAGGTAAGTTTGCTGCAAACCCTCTTTAGGATGGGAATAATCAAACTGACATCCTGGTTCTACAGCACAGCAGTGGCCGTATGGAACGGTACCTGCAACTTTGCAATGAGGAGCCTCGGGTATTCCCATCAGCGGACAAGCTCGATCGACAGCACCAAGATTGCAACATGCAGGTTGCATACATGACGACGCCCTCGAACTATTTCCACATCCTTCGACGACAGATGAACAGGCAATTCAGAAAACGTGAGTGAAAACAGCTATTCTTGAGAAAATTTGCCTTTCAACTGACACACACTTCCTTTCCTAGCATTGATTGTGTTCTTCTCCAAATCTCTTCTGCGTCATCCTCTCGCACGCTCTGATCTTGAGGACTTTACGGGTGATTCCTACTTCCAATGGATTATCCCAGATCCAGAGCATGGCAAGGGAATTGCTGAGCCAGACGAGATCGAGCGCGTCATCCTATGCACTGGGCAAGTGTACGCAGCGTTGCACAAGCACCGGGCGGACAAGGGCATCAAGAACGCCGCCATCACCCGTATCGAGCAGCTGAACCCCTTCCCATGGGCCCTGCTGAAAGAGAACCTTGACACCTACAAGAACGCCAAGACGATTGTCTGGTGTCAGGAGGAGCCTCTTAACGCTGGAGCATGGAGCTTTGTCCAACCACGCATTGAGACGCTGTTGAACGAGACAGAGCACCACAACAGGCGGCACGTGATGTATGCAGGCCGAGACCCCAGTGCGTCGGTGGCGACGGGTCTGAAGGCCTCTCACGTCAAGGAAGAGCAAGCATTGCTTGAGGAAGCGTTCAAGGTCACGCAGGATAAGTTGAAGGGCGAATGACTAGCCGACGGTGTGACCGGGGCGAAGGTGGTAGAGGGATGACAATAATGATGAGACACGAGGATCTGTCATGGCAGTAGGAGGTTGTGACAAAGTCGCTGCAAGCATGGCGGACGTAGTCAAAGCCGGGATCGAGTCGGGATCGAGGGCTACTGGCGGTTGTAGGACTCGATCGTCAGTAAGGGCTTTGCATCGACCCGGAATGTTGATTCCACAGCCTTGCACATATCAGCACAATTACCAAATTGAAGGTATAGGCGTCGCCCAGCTGGCTTTATTTTGCATATTGCCGTTCGGCTAGCAAGTTTGAGATCAAAATACTACCAGATTGAAATGCAGTCAATTCATTTCCTTGTACGGAGTTCCTATCATCCATCATCTTGGTGCCAGCGAAAGGGAAGCGACGCACTCATACCTAGGTATTTGTATACATACCATATCTACACACTTTCTGTACATACCAGATTTCACTTGCCCCTTCTTTTGGTGCGTGTATGCTACGAGCGCGCGCCAGCTTGATCTCTCTCTCTGTCTCTCTCTCACCCGCATGCTGAGTTTTCCCCCTTTTTATTTTCAAGAACTCGATTTCAAGAAGGAACCTCCCTTTTCGACCTTTCCCCCCTTGTATGCTTTCCCAGAACACAAGGAGGGGAAAACGGGACGAAACTTGTTCCGATATATCTGCAATCGGGTACTTTACATACTATTATCTTGCGAGGGAGGAGTTATTGAGAGTTCTTTCTTGGCAAGGCTTTCGACCCCCTGACTTTCTCTCTCTCTCTCCGACTCTCGTGGCTGATTTGGCCGAAGAAGAGGAACACAGACAGTCCAAAGGCACTTGAACCGCATTGTTGTTGTTTTTTTGGTTTGTTCGGGTCTTTGTGTTTCCGCGTTCTTTGTCGGCATGGTTCAAAGGTCGCGCAGGAACAAAAGACCTCCCGCGACCCCGACTCTCGAGACACCAAGACACTTCACACTTACCCTTTGTTGTATGCGTGTCCCGAGACTTAATGCCACCCACCCCATCTTTGTTAGGACCAAGGCCGGTACTGGAACAATGGCACAATGCAAGCGAGACTTTTGGCGAGGCTGTGGCTCACCCAGGGGGGTTTCCAACTGCCTTTCGAGAAGTTTTGACGAGGCTTTACCAATGACTGGCTCTGTGGAATGCTCGAAGGCAGCGTCTCAGACTGCCCTCGGTGTCCTTTGTTCTGGGGAGACATGGACTGCATTGTTGCAGGCAAGACATACCTGCCCTGGGTTGAAGGCACCTCGAAGCAACAGCCTTGCCTGATTCTGCGTGATAGGGACATCTCGTCTCTTCAAAAGCTGCGATGCGGCCTCTCCATCTGGACTTGGGACACCCATCACATCGCACTTTTTTCATTCTCGGTCAGCTAGTCAACACATCTCGCACACACACAGTCAGTCAGTTGTCCAAAACAGTATCAACCGTCATCGGTGAGGGACCAGGTATCTTCCTTTCGACAAACCTGTCAAATACCTGAGTCCTTCTTTGGTAGCAAGTCTCTCGATACCCTGCTCATGGATCAGCGACATGCGACGTCGATGGTGAAGGGTGAGTCCGCGTACTCCCTCGTCCCGTATACATATACCTCTAATATGTTCGCAGCAGCGTCGCGGTCGAGACCCGGAATCCACGAGAAGCGCGACGATGCGGAACCTCGAGTCTATTGCGAATTGCCGTCCTTCCCACCCTTTGACGAACCGGTCCCGCCCGAGGTGTCTCTCGAGGAACTCTGCGCCAAATACCCAAACCACCTTCGAGGGTCCTACTTTGACGCCTTCATCCAATGGCACTGGTCGGCCGCCGACATGTACTCTTGCCTGACCGAGTTGGCCATCAGCGAATTCAAGTCCTTCGGCATCTCGACTTCCAAGTCTTTCGCGAACCGAGCCAACTTCTTGATGAAGAGACTCGACGCCCGACTGACGGCCCTTTCTGCAGAGGAAGTCACGGCCCTGTGTCTCGCTCCCAAGATCCGACCGGCCATGGCGGACGGCACAGAGAAGTACGGCGCATCCAAACTGCAGGGCAAATTCCACAACCCCAGTGCTCCAGCGGTTCGAAAATACCCTTACCGGTCGGGCAAAGAAGGCAATCGCAACCCTCCTCAACAACCGGCGGCATTGAGGCGGACTTTTGTGTACAATGACAAGGAATACCAGCTCTGGGATTCGGCCAAGGAGCTCCAAGAGTACAGCCAGAGCATGGCGACTTACTGGGGGTATCAGCGTGCGCGTGTCGAACAGATCATCAATGCCGACGCAAAGTACCGTGCAAGCCCAGATCCTCAGCGCATCAGACTCATGCTCCAGATGGCAAATTGGCCATGCAATGCTGCAACTGAGACGTTCTTCAGCTTCCAATATATCCAGGACTGCCAGGCTTTCGAAAATGCAATCTTGGACTTGGTTGTGGCGGCTATCACGAATATGCTGGATGCTTTCCCGCCCGAGGACGCAGGTCAGCATCTGCAACTGGCTCGACAGTCGGCCGTTTCTTACGTTTTCGCGGGCCAGGATGCCAGATTGGCTAGATTGAATGACTTGTTGACGGCCATGCAGGCTGGAGGATCGACGTGCGGCCTGGTGGATCAGGTATTGTCGTGGACCGCAGACCTGGACGGAGAGTTCTCTGAGGCGGTGGAATCAGACCCTGTTCCCGGAAATTCACAGGAGGAGGAAGCGGTCAGTTTCTTCCTGCAGAACTACCTGGAATCTGAGGGAACTTCAGATGTCAGCCCCCCAGTCGCACCGGGCTCAAAAAGCTCGAAACGAGAGAGATCAAAGTCCCCGACTGCCGTGAACCCCGTCAAGCGAGTGAGATTTGCGGACACCACCACCGTTTTTGGAGATACAGGTGAGACAGTAAATGCTTTTTTCTTGCGCGAGGAACCACGTCAAGGTGCTGGGACGGGCAATTTTGGGCCAGACTGGAACATCGATGACCATGACACGCTCCAACATGACACGGCTCCTGTCGTCGATGGAGAAGACGTCGTTTTCACCCTCGATCCACCAATGCAAGAGCTGCTTGAAGGATTCGATCTGGAAGGTCTGCCATGGGATCCTGTCCAGGGTTTTTTGGATACCTCAATCGATTTGACGGCCGCTGACTATCCACCAGAGGTTGATGGGTATGAGTCCGAGTGGGCACAGTTGTTGAGAGAGGCGGGAGCTCAGGACGATGTTGCCCCAAACACGAACGAGAACGGGATGGAGACATCATGGGAGCTGCCCGAGCTCGTCGACAACGATCCAGACTGGTTGAGGGAGGCTATAGCAGGGGCGGCGACTCAGAACGATGTTGTCCCAGACATGAACGAGAACGAGATGGCGACGCTGTGGGAGCTGCCCGAGATCGTCGGTAACGACCCAGACTGGTTGAAGAAGGTCATCGCAAAGGCGGAGGAAGACTAGAGTGAATGTTATTGATTTCCTGTCTGTGATCACAACGACAGAAGTCTGCGCACGTGTATGAGACCGGCTCAGGGCCTCAGTGTTCAGAGGTTGTCTGGAAAAAGCGCTTGTGACATTGTATGGAGCAAAGTTGCATGATTCTTTCGTGTGGGAAACTGATATGGGAGTGATAACATTGGGTGAAGTCTGGATAGGTGGACAAATGGTTGGCTTGCAAAGAGGGAAGTGGCGCAATAAATGATTGTCTGGATGTCCAACCTGGGTGTTCCCAACAGTGTCATATGTGAGGCTAGTCCTCCTCTTGTTCTTGACCACTTCAACCAAAATACTAGATACTTGAAACGCAGCTATTGTGGGTCCCCATCTCTATTCAAGTGTTTCTTTCCGGCGCTTGCCTTGCCTGGGTTCGGGACATACATGGCGTAGATGTTTCTCGAAGAGTAGCACAGGCTTGTCGATCTGAATATAGATATTAGGCTATTTGAGAAGGGCTTCCTTCAACTGGTTAGTTTCCGTGCAAAGGATAGAATTTGGACCCACAAGAAGCACAGATAAGTCAAAGAAATACTGACCAGCTTCCAACATCCTCAGAGCTTGGATCATGAACCAATATCTTTGCTCATACCGATCCGGTGAGTAATATGATCAAGAACAAGTGCATGTGGTGCGACGGTGTTCATGCTTGTCAATGCCCCAAGTCTCGAAGTTGGTGGGCGCAGCAGGATTCGAAACTGCTTCGAAGACTTTGTGTAGCCATATTTGTTGCTTGTAGACTTGACAATTAGGACATGCCCATCCAAGGGTTTCGTTTATTCCCTGCGAAAGACAGCCAATCAGTATCTTCCATTGAAAAGATTGGTGTTATCCGTTGCAATGCCCGAGGCAGACTTACATCGCCTGGACCCGCGTGAAATAGTGTCGTAGGCCAATCAACAGGTACACTGCCTAGTTTGGAGTATCACCCCTGACAAACAGAGCCTTGTCATCGCCCGACTGTCCACAGTGTGTCATGGAGCCAAGCTCTCTTTGTTTCATACAAACTCACAGCCAGTGTGGTGTGTGTTTGCCACTTTGATGTTGGCCACGGATAAGCCCCGAGAAGAGACTGTTTGCTGTATCTGTCCAGCGCATAGAGCAGGAAATGACAACCGAGGGAGGGCGGATGTAATGGATCGATCTCTGGTTGTTCCGCTGTGATCTTGAGGTCCAGGGCTGCTGATCAGTCGACTGTGCAGTTTGCAGACGAGCATGACCCATCGACTTTGTATGTGAGCCGCATGACCTTAGGTGTACAGCCTCTTCCTGTTTGGTAAGTATACTTGGGTGCCTTTGAGTGAGAGAGGTGTCTGCGAGGTGTCTGTTTGTCCATCTCCTCCATTTAAGCCGATCTTCGACTCGGATGCTTCTCCGTAGACTGCAGAACATTCCTGATCATCGAGCCAAGTCCTGTCCAACCCTTCGACAGTGAAATCCGTACTGCCTCACCAAATATCACCGGAACAAAGCGTTCTTCATCCGATTGGCCTGTGCAAAGTCTGCCTGTGTATTCACGCTTCAGATCGGCCGGACCTGGAAAAAAAAAATAACAAAACGCATCTTCATCCTGGCACGAACTTTTCAACCTTTATCTTCATCCCCCAGACCCAAACCGGCGCACAGATCATTTGCCATCTCTTCTCTCAAGGAGTAGAAGCTTCAACTTACTGCACTGTAAGATCATTGAATCGTTTCTGTCTTTAGAAAGTCCTCAAGGATCTAACTTACTGTCAGAGACCTTCCGAGCGAAAAGGCTCCTGAATCTGGCACAAACCTTTCAACCTTCATCTCCATCCCCAACACCGCCACACAGGCCATTTGCAATCTGTTCTCTGAAGGAGTAGAAGCTTCAACTTACTGCACTGTAAGATCATTGAATTGTCTTTGTCTTTAGGAAATCCTCAAGGATCTAACATATCGTCAGAGACTTTCAAAGCAAAAAGGGTCCTGAATCTGGCACAAACTTTTCAACCTTCATCTTCATCCCTAAAACCACCACACAGGTCGGTCGCCATCCGTGCTCTCAAAGAGTAAAAGCTTCAACTTACTGCACTGTAAGATCGTTGAATCGTCTTTGTCTTTAGGAAATCCTCAAGGATCTAACTTGTCGTCAGAGGCTTTCGGAACCACCCTGCTCTCAACATGAATACCCACACCGGCCACCGAGCCCCACGTAACCGGCCAACAGTCCCTCGGTCCGACCGACCGCAGGTGGTGCCTGGGAACTTCCAGTTCCCAACGGCGGCGATAAGGTTAGGCCGTGGGCTCAATTCTGGGAGGAACATGTTAGTCCTGAGAGACGGTGACAGTTCTCCTGTCACAAGGGCCCCGTTGATAATTGAGCGTGGCCGCAACGAAAGAGGGAGGGGGGACCAATATCCCCACAGGGATGACCCCCTCCCAGCGGGGCTAACGCTTTCGGAAGTCATTACATTGTACCCCAGGCATGCCTGGGGTACAATGCTCCGAGTGTTCATATCAGAGGGGTTGTCTGCCGACTATATCTGGCGGCTTACGCCGCCAGATATGAGAAATACAAGAAGTATCATGCGGCCATGGAATTACATTCAAGCCGCCATAGGGCGGGAGGTGGACAGAATGGTATTCGAGGAGACGGGCATCCGGAGGGTGCCTCCTCCAAGACCAAGAAGGACATCAAATAACAGCGACAACAATAACGACGACGACAACGACGAAGACGACTCCTCGGAGTCAGACGATGTATCGTCAGAGGATGCCGTGCGCACGCCGGCAGACTTAACCGTCAGGGAGCTTCAAGAGATTGCAAGAATCACACAAAACAGAAGTCGCGAAGTGCAGGCGACCATTATAGATCATACCGGCCAGGAACAAGTCCAGCGTGATAGGTGGCGGCAAACCCGACAGGACTGGGCGAGAGAGCTCAGAGACGCGTACGCCGTGGACACCGGGACGGACATGCCACCAACCAACAACCCTGTTGTCATGCTGCGTATCCTGTGGCGTTCACAGAACGTCCAAAACGAGGACGAGACAGTGGATGAATATGTTGCCAGAGCAAATTGGAATGCCTGGAACATGTTTGCCAGGCAGGCGCAGGTCTTTTTGCGAGAGCTCGAAGCAGAGCTGGAGGCCATTGAGGCGTTGGAAGAGTTGTGATTGTGAGATGACCCTTGGATGAGAGCCGTGTGACGCAAGAGCGCGGAGGATTGAGCATAGGAGCCTGGGACAGGCCTGGGACAAGACACGGAGTTTGTTCTTCTTGTATGAGGTTGAGTTCCTTTGTATGAGGTTGAAGGAAGGTCACGAGGTCTCCCCGGAAAGAGACTAGCGCGTGCCGGATAATTGTTTTTGTCCAGGGCGCCACATCCAGCGTGCCAGCCTTGGTATGCACCATCAAGTGCCGTGGTGTACATACAGTACACAAGACAATCCACAGTGTACCGAGTAATCAACAAACAATGCTCATTTCATCATCATTCAGACTCCCAACCCTCTCATCTCGTGGCTTGGTATTTGCGCATTGCATTCTTCGTTTCTATCATGTCCATCTGGCCGTAGGTTGACCACCCGCTTCATCTCGGCCTTGTTGAGCTATTCTTTGATCACCGTGATGACCACTTGTTGCTATTCTCATTACTGCCTCAGTTGACTGCCCTGTTTATACGGGCTTGATATCAGATACTACCTCTATGAGAGCTCATAGACCGCCATTAACGATTCAGCCTGACAACCAGATTGGGTCCAGAGTTACCATCTATCTTCCTGATCGACCAGACTACCCCGAAGTGGACCATGTCTAGCCTTTCCCTGGTCTAGAACTACACGAAAACTTGTAGAATGAAGTCGTTTCACCGATCATTGTAATTGGGCATCAATACTATATCACTAAGCGCCTGGCGTTTGCACATCTGACCATCCCTTCGCGTACGCAAAATTCCAAACAATCTTATTCTACAGAGTGTATACCTCTCCACTGTCCTCCAAGAACATGATTTGATTTGCCTCATTCATTGTCCTAAGCGCAGCAGTAATCTCTTCCTGGGAGAATTCTGCCCCGTGAGTCTCAGACACGCGATGATTGACTGCAGCACTGACATCCGCGAGAGTAGCCATGTCATTCTGGAACAGCGATGTCTGGGTCAGGGGGCCCAAAGCAGCACGGAATGACGCGAGACGTGGCTGCGAAATACTTGGCCCTGAATCCCGAGGCGATGGCTCCAGAGCTTGGGATTGTGAGTCGGCTTGCGTGGATGGTAGCTGGGAACTGGGTATGGAGCTGGCTATACTCATGCGGGACATTTGCGATTCTGCACCTGTCTGTCGCTGGCTTCGGGAGGAGCTAGCCCGCTCGACTGATTCTGCTGAATCGTCGCTTTCAGGGTCAGCGTTGCCGTTGGCTCTTCCATTTGGCGTACCATTCGTTGTGGTATTGGTGCGAGTCGAGCGCTGACTCCTCGTCTGTGGCATAGTCCCACGGGTACCACCTGACCTGGTCCCATGGTACGGGGTATCTTCATCGCCATCGTCGTCGTCACTACCAGACTCGCTATCTGCTTCCGAAGAATCATCATTGCCATCACGGGTCTTGCGTCTCTTGTTTCGCCCACCATCTTTGACCGCAATTTCTCTGAAGAGGGCAAATTTAAGGATCTCTTCCGCCGCAATGGCATCGCTCTCTTCGACTCTGCTCGACAGTCGGGCTTTCGCATGGGCGGTCGATAAGCGGATCAAGGTCTCCAAAGTTCTTGCAGTCATAGGGCTGGTTCTGCGCTTATTTGCTTGCAATTCATCATTCCGAAGGTTGGCGTAGGCATTAACGACATAGTCACTTGCCTCTTCTGTCAAAATAGGTTTGCATCTGCTTTTCGCGTACTGAATGTATTTCTTGATGAAGGCCATGCTGACGGGCACGACTTGTTTGTTGCCTCTTGTCCTGGCTCCAGCCCGGAAACCGGCATGAAGCACCACGTTGAATTTCTCGTAAACCAGCGACGATTGATTGGCATTCTGATCTTCCTGGACACCAACTCCAAGCATTTGATTGGACTGTTCTCGGATCGGAGCTCCTTCTTCAGTTCCAGGCTGACGATACTCGTGCATTCGAAGGACATGCTCGCTGACTTCTCGATCTCTAGTGTCGTTAATGTCGTCGGTAACGATAAAAAGCAGATCGAAACGGGACAATAGGGAATCGGGCAAAGCGATATTCTTGTGGGGGTCTTTGTTGCTGTCATATTGACCGAAAATGGGGTTCGCGGCCGCAATGACGCTGCATCTGGCGTTTAATGAGGTATGGATGCCGGCTTTGGCAATGGTGACGGTCTGCTGTTCCATGACTTCGTGGATGGCCACGCGGTCCACGTCGCTCATTTTGTCGAACTCATCGATACATACTACGCCCCGGTCTCCCAAAACCATGGCACCAGCTTCGAGTCTCCGCTCACCTGTCTCCTTGTCGGAGGTAACGGCAGCGGTAAGACCGACTCCGGAGGAGCCACGGCCGGTCGTTGCAATTGCCAATGGTGCGGTATTGAGCACAAAGCGCAAAAGCTGAGATTTGGCTGTTGAAGGATCGCCCACCATGAGGATGTTGATGTCGCCCCTTAAATGGGTACCATTCGGCAAGTTCTTTTCCATTCCGCCCAAGAGCATGAGAAGGATTGCTTTCTTAATGTAGTCGTGCCCGTAGATACTGGGCGCCAGACTTTGTGACAGCAAGTCGAACACATTGTGCTTACGAGCCATTTTGTTGATGTTTCTCACGTCCTGATCTGTGATCGTGGCTTGAGCAATTCCTCCGCCGGCTTTTGAGGACAAGAGGACGATATTGTTGGCCAAGATGAGGGTCCGAAAGATCGATGATCCTGATCCAGCATTTCTATTCCCCAATGACCTGAAGAGGCCCACCAGCTGGATGCGGTCCCCAGGCTTGACCCGATCAACCATGTCATCGTCCAGAAGGACATCGACGCTTCGGGGAAGTTGCCCCGCCGGTGCTCGCTCGGGCATTTCTTGAATGCTGATTGTTTGATGATCACGATAGGTACAATAGCCATACTCGGTAACCAACTGACTGACAGTTAGCATCACGCTCAGAACTAGGTGGTCGGCACCCAACGTACAGGATTTCCCTCCCCATCTTCCTGTGGATAGACACTCAGACTTGCAGGAGCGTTGGCACTCATAGTCTGGTCTCGGTATTCTCTGAACATAAAAGTGCCTTTTTTCTCATTCCAGTGCACGCTTTTGACAATCTTTGGTCTGACCAGACTGCACTTTGTGACGATGCCTTCCAGACAGACCATCTTGTTGAGAAGTGAACTTCCCAATGTCCTAGGATTGCAGGTGTTCTCGCCAAATGAACCCGAATATGCGACGTAATATAATCGGTCCTCATCTTGCTCGAAAGGGGCACGGTTGGGTATGGTGCCAATGACGTTTTTCAGCGCGGCATCAAAGGCCAGGGAGTAGTCAAATGGTTTGTGCAAAATCCCATCCGCGAGTTCTCGAGAATGAGCTCGAACATCGTCAATGCTGACCACGAGTCGTCTCAGGCCACGGTTCAGCATCAAAACAATGTCGGCACGATAGGATCTGGCTTCATGGTCGGTGGGGTCGAGGAATTCAGTTGCCAGTCTGATTCTGTCGCGGACCGCTTCATCACGAAGCTGAATGGTACTGAGCGCCATTTTGCGCGAACTGTCTGTGAGGTTGTGTTGAGAGAGGTTCTGCGCAGGGGAGAATTGAAGGGCGGGCCATGGATTTGGAAGAAGAGGAATCGCGTTTCCAGAGGACGCGTCGCGCGCGCGGAGCGCGTAAAGTGATTCGGACGAGCATACGAACCGCTTTGCGCTACTACAGCAGAGCATTTAGCAAGAAACTGCACTTACTCAATTCATGATGATCAACGGTCCTGATACGTTGCAAAAGCCGGAGAAATTTAGATCTCGAGAAAGATTTGTTTTGGAGCCTCATTTGTCTTAGAGAGGGACTTTGTAGGCCACTGGAAACGTTCATGAAGAGTACAGAAGTCACAGAGAAGTGAACATCTTTCAGTCAATGCTGCCAGACTGTCAAGCGCGAGATTGAGTTCCATGTACCATCCAAGCAGAATGAACTTTGAAATATCACGCTCTCTCTTCAAATGATCTGGGTTACTCATCTAAAGTAGGAAAGAGTCGCTATGGAGTTCCGAAACTGACCAAGCAGGAGAGCAATGTCTTTCTTGTCTAGCAATTTGCCGTGATCCGACCATTCCTGGCCAGTTGGCTTCTAGAGACATGTAGCATGGAGCTAGACGTGGCAGCCTTGCCTATCTGGATCATTTCTCCGTGGCCAGGAAGGAAGCACGATTGAGGCCCATGTACTCGGTACGGAGCAGTCTCAACAGTTGGTGCAATGGCTGTAAATGAGAAACCGGGCATCCTCAAACATCCGGCATGACCCTTTTTCGTGGAGGGCATAATCATGCTGCATGCATGGCGAGACCGCCACCACGGTGGACAAGCGCAGAGCAGACTGTGTCCCAGGCTGTCCTGATCACGAACTTTTGACTCTCATGTCCGGAACTTCGCTGCAGAGGCTGGCGCCACATTCGTATCAAGTTCGGCATCACAAGGCTCCGGTCGTCGGGCTGTCTCTCCTCTCCTTTTGAAGTTAAAAGTACAGCCCAATCATGCAACATCTCTTTCAGGGCCAAGTTGAGACGACGTATTTTGATGATGCCAACGGCCACGTCGGGTCGAGACCCTGCGCATGGAAGCGTTGAGATCCCCAAACACGATGCTGCTGCCACGCACAGCGCGGCGCCAGCGAACCAACAACCCCATGGGGGCAAGGCTTTACCAGCGGAGCAAATGGGAAGCAGCACAGAGGGCAGCTGAGAGGGTTGCAGTCTGCTGCTGCTACGATGTGGGCTTTCTGTTGGGCACTGGGGTGTGGGCGCGACCACGCGGAGTCCATGTGCTGGAGTAGCAGGAGGAAGAGGCAACAGCGGTCATGGTGAGGTAGCATCGGGAAATCTTCGCTATTCAGGGTGCGTTAGTGAGATCCAGAGGCGGGTCATGCTAAACCTATGTTACGTGGTAGGGGTGGAGTCAAGATGGAGGTTTGCTCGATACCTGACAATTGAGATGCGAGAGGATCATAGTTCTAGAAGAATTCAGGAGAGAGTAATCAGTCATACCACCGATTGAAGTGGAGCTGGACCACAAGAGAAAAAATTGCACTGTCTCATAGTTGTGGCATCTTGCCATCGAGGATGCCACACCAGACGGAGTTTGAGTTGGGTTGGTGACGAGTTGGTGGCTGGTAAAAGTTTTTGCTGCCTGTGCCGAACAATCTCAGCGCTGCAACAACCTCGGCGAGGTGGAGGTAGAGAGAGGCACCTAGAGCGCTTGCACGTAACAGCCTAACAGTGTACGGAGCACCTTAGGGGGAGCACCGAGTACGAGCACCTACCAGGTACCTAGAAAGAAATACAGAGCACTTGTACCTCGTACCTGGCACCCACTGCCACCCACTGTCCACCCAGGCTGGTTGGGAAAGTGCCCCGGTGACCCCAAGGGGCCTCCCACCCACCTCCCTTCGGGTCCCCAGATACCATAATCGGTTATACGGCCATCCCTAACGGGCTTTTGTACCTACCCAGTCAGGTGGTGACCACTTGCTCGCGATCAGCTGCTGTCAAATTCAATTGTCACCGATTTGGTAGTGGCTAATACAAGCCGCACCAGAAGCTGGGTGACTTTCTGGTTCGAAGCTACCATCCAATACCCGAGGAAATTGTCCTGCGCGTGGCCTGTCACTGGCTCTTTGTGTCTCTCAGCAGCTCTAGCTCTTGCCCCGTCCCTCCTTTCTCTCACATTGTCGTCATCATACGCATTTCTCACATCACTCACAGCATTCACATCACCCATCATCGTCCATCACCGTCCATCCTCGTCCGCATCGACCGATGGCTGCATTGGCTTCTCCTCCACAATTGGCTTCATTCATCGTTGTGAGCCCTCCCCTCTTTCCGGGCACAGTCTCACGATTCCTCAGGCTTTTGAATGTCTCTTCATCATCATTCCACACGTAAGACTTTGCACGATGCAAAACTCGTGAGAAACAACGATCATACCTGTCCCCGCTTAGCGAGTTCCGCAAATCTAATCTCGGGACCACCGTCCTTGGTAGAGGTTAGTTCACGAGATTTTCTTGCGAAGAGTCTAAGCTTTTTTCGATCCCCGGACCTTGACCTCCCCTGGCCAACGTTACAGCGCGCTAAACGAACACCTACAATGTACGAATCAGCCATTGTTGGCTGCAGGATTTTGCCCCGCGGGATTGAGGGGTTCCCTGTCAAAAGAGCTGGCATTGGGATCCTGCTCCTTCAATAGGGAAGCCAAGCGCTGGGCAAGAAAGAGACAGACTCACCTGGACCAGTGCGAGTAGGGAAACAAGGACGTCAAGATGCCAATATTGAAGGTTTCTGGCGAGCACCCGGGGCCAATTGAGTTTGGGCCACTGACGTCTGATGGTCTCTCAAAGAAAGGCTGTTGTTCAGCCACCCCGGAGGCCTTTAGTCCTGTTTGGGGCAGGTCGCCGAACATCACCCTCTGGTTGCAACTGGGATGCAGTGGAGGCCAGCGGTAAGCCCGTGGATCAATACCAAGCACGCACAACTAGGTCGGCTCGGAGAGCCTCGTTGGCTTCTGCGCGGGGCTGGCGGCGAGGCAGCCAAACAAACCTGGACCAACTCCGTAACTCCGCGTTTTGCAGGGTGACCCAGCGAGACCACTTCTTCCAATGGAATGCGGCATCTTCATCAAAACACCTATATCACGGGGGCAACTAAAAATCTGGCGATGGCACCCTGGCACGCTACTAACCCACATTTCCCCTTGTCATGGTGCATGTGGGTTGCCTCGATTGCCCGGCCACTCAAATTCCATCTGGAGATTCTTTCCCAGAATTTCTCCATGTCTATGGAGGGGCAGCCACCGTGTGAACGACACGCCTGTCCTCTGCCAGTCTCGACCGCCCTCCCCATGGGTCATGGCTCCTTCAAATTAGGAATTCCTGATATCAATCACCTGCAGCAGACGGGTCTTCTCCACACCCCAATCCCCCCCTCCTGGGCGTGCGACCAGTAACAAGCCACAATGGTGAGTGAAAGCTCCAGAGTTCCATTGCATTTGTGACTTTTCCCTGGCTTTTTCGCCTCTGCCCAAAGCTCTCTTTAAAGAGACGATGCCTCCTCGTCTGGGAAGCTTGTCCTTCTTGTCTCCTTCTTGACTTCTTGTCAAGCATCTCTTTGCTCTCTCTCTCTTGGTTCAAGCCCCCCGAAAGAGTCCAACATGCCGGGCGAGCTTCGTGCTCTCTCTACCACCAACGACGTCAACCGCGTCGAGGCTCCAGTCACCTGGAAAGCCTACCTCATCTGTGCCTTTGCATCCTTTGGCGGTATCTTCTTCGGTTATGACTCTGGATACATCAACGGCGTCAATGGCGTCACGGAGTTCATTCACATCGTCCAAGGTCCCACTGCCACGGCTCTCTCGTCCTCCCACCAGTCTCTGATCGTCTCCATCCTCTCTTGCGGTACCTTCTTTGGCGCCATCATCGCCGGTGACGTCGCCGATATCATTGGTCGCAAATGGACTGTCATCTTGGGCTGCGTCATTTACCTTGTTGGTGTCATTATTCAGATGATCACTGGGCCCGGCCACGGTCTTGGTGTCATCGTCGCGGGTCGTCTGATTGCTGGTTTCGGTGTCGGTTTCGAAAGCGCCACTGTGATTCTGTATATGAGCGAAATCGTAAGTGGTGACTGCATGCTGTATACTCACTCCCCAGCTAACTGTCCCGCGTCTGTAGTGCCCGAGGAAGGTTCGCGGTGCCCTCGTCGCTGGATATCAATTCTGCATCACGATTGGTCTGCTGCTCGCCTCTTGTGTCGATTATGCCACGGAGCACCGCAAAGACACTGGCTCTTACCGAATCCCCATCTCTATCCAGTTTGCCTGGGGTCTGATTCTCGGCGGCGGTCTGCTATTCCTTCCTGACTCACCCCGATACTTCGTCAAGCGAGGGCGGATCGAGAAGGCTATGCAGTCACTCTCTCGCCTCCGTGGTCAACCCACCGATTCCGAGTACATTCAAGTCGAGATTGCCGAGATTATCGCCAACGACGAGTACGAGCGTGAGATGATCCCATCCTCCGGCTGGTTCTCTTCCTGGCACAACTGCTTCAAGGGCGGTCTGCGCAACCAAAAGTCCAATCTCCGCCGTACTATTCTTGGTACTTCGTTGCAGATGATGCAGCAATGGTGAGTGATCTCCAGCGGGCGAATCCAAGATGGCCTTCCCTATCCGCAGTTAGCTAACACATTCGTAATTGCAGGACTGGTGTCAACTTCATCTTCTACTACTCTACACCTTTCCTCCAATCGACCCACGCCATTAGCAACACCTTTTTGATCTCGCTGATCTTCACGTTGGTCAACGTCTGCTCCACCCCGATCTCTTTCTACACCGTTGAGAAATTCGGCCGCCGCCCTCTGCTCGTCTGGGGAGCCTTCGGCATGCTTATCTGCCAATTCCTCGTGGCCATCATCGGTGTTACGGTCGGTTTCAACCACACCCACACCGACGCCAACGGCGACAGCGTGGCCAACAACATCTCGGCTGTCAACGCACAGATTGCATTCATTGCCATCTTCATCTTCTTCTTTGCCTCGACTTGGGGTCCTGGCGCCTGGATTTTGATCGGAGAGATCTTCCCTCTCCCGATCCGTTCCCGAGGTGTGGGTCTTTCGACTGCCTCTAACTGGCTCTGGAACACTGTAAGTAGCATCCCGTGCGGCTGTGGTTTGTTTTTTGTATTTTAAACTGACTTCGTGTGTTCTCTTCTCCAGATCATTGCCGTCATTACCCCCTACATGGTCAACAAGGACAAAGGAAACCTGCGATCCTCCGTCTTCTTCATTTGGGGCGGCCTGTGCACCTGTGCCTTCATTTACTCATACCTCCTCGTTCCCGAGACCAAGGGTTTGACACTGGAACAAGTTGACAAGATGATGGAAGAGACAACCCCCCGCACCTCTGCCGGATGGAAGCCTACCAAGACTTTCGCTGAGCAGATGGGCAACGAGGGCGGTGTCCTCAACAAGGAGATTGTTGCGGATGTCGAGAGGAAGGGCTCCGTCTTTTAGATGGACGGACCGGGCGGCATCTGCAGTATCCTGGAAGAAAGGGTCTATGCGGGTTCCTATTCCCATCGCCCTCCACGGCTGGTGGTTTTGATCCTGCAACTTTCTTCTCAAGATGCGAGCATGATGCGTAGCAGGGTGAGGAGAAACCTGTTGAAATTGATACTTCTATTCAATAGTAAGACAGGACCGACAGACCTGATGGTGGCCTGACAGTGGCGAGTAAGCGGTAGTAGAAGGGGATGACCATAACATCATCACCATCCATAACAAGGAATGTGAATACATTTTTTGGACATTTAACTGACCACCTGCCGTGCACACATTGTATTGATGCGAGAGTGAGTTGTGTATTTTGTCCGTAACAGCTACACGATGGATCCAGCTCAGCGGCAGGGCAGTCATCAAGACACGAATAAGCACTCATGTCGATTCTCTCGTCTGTCTCTCTCTATCTGCATAAGGTATGCGGGCACTGTTCATTCCGACCTGTTCCGTCCTCTATCTATCTATGCCCCAGATCTCCGCGTCGGCTCAAGTGAGCAGTCTGTTTGAGTTGTGTACTTACCCGTCAAACCCCACCTACCCACCTACCTAGGTAGATACCTGACCTGTTACTTGTGTACCTACTTTGACATTTCGACAGCTGCGTGTGGAAGGCTAAAACCTAGGTATCCTGTGGAAGTGTCTCACTCGATGAAGAGGTCACTCAGACTGTCACTGACCACAGCTACAGCCCCAAGCCACGCATTCAATGCCATGTCCAGTTCCGAGTCGCAGCCAATAACAAACAGGACGTTGCCGCCCGGTATATACCATCGCATTTGGTTTCAAACTACCAGGTCGATACGTACCGTGACTCCAACTGTCAGGAACTAGTGAGGAACGAGGTAGGTCTGTACGAGCGTTATTTGGTGCTCCTCCCATCCTCTTTAATCCCGCACATATGCCCAACACCCTCTGATACGATTCGTTCCCCGTTTCCATCCCACCCACCTGCGTTGATTATCTACTTAGACCTCTCTAGGTGCGGGTGCCCGATAGCGGAGGACCCATCGCCATGGAGTCCGCGCCCCATCCGGTCTTCCAGAGGTCTTCCCTGCATGCCGCTAAGATACAAGAAAGCGTGGCGGGGATTGGAAAAGAGTATTCGAAAGAGTAGTTAGAGGATGCTCGCAGGTACGAGGGTGGGTTTCGTCCTTCTACCATGCATTGCACGAGGTCCGTCCTGTCTCGCTCTCGTGTTGGCCTCTTTTCTCACGAGCAGCTCCGTCGTCCATACTCCCATCCGACTCGCACGTCCGGTCCCGCCTTGAGTCTGGTCTCCACAGCAGCTTCCATGCATATGCATAATGGCCTACCCGATTCTTGATTCACCAGCTTCTCTCCCTCTCCAAGCTCTCTATTTGGTCCAGGAGCGAGAAGTGAGCAAGCGGAATGCAGGAAGTTAGTCAGTCACTCATGCAGCCAGCCAGCGACTCATTGACTGAGTCAGTGTGTTCATACCTTCCAACACACAGCTTCTCCAGACTCTTCAACGACGACAACGACCCCCCGGCTCCATGGTCCTGGCATGAAGACTTCCAGCCCCCCGTCCGGCCGTCCAACCCACCCACCCACCTTTTGCCCTCTTCCATGCTTCTAGAACGCCACCCCCGCCATGCGAGAAGGAGCTTGACCTTGACCTTGGAGCTTGCTTACGCATCACACGCATCATACCCATCCGGAACATGTATGTGTTCAATGGAATCCTGTAATCCTCGTTCAGGTGAATGGGCCTCCTTCCTGACCACCCACAGCAGCGCGAAATATCTACTAGTGTTGACTCGACCACACACCTCGACCTGAGTGGTATTGAATCACGCCATGCAGGTGGTCTCTAGGTCTGTTCCTATTCGAACGGGTAACCATTATGCTTGATTAATCGACGAATTAATGGAGCATCATTTCCGCAAAACTTGTGCCAGAAGAAGAGATATTCTTGGTTCCCAACCCGAACTGCTACGCTTGTCTCTGTGCGCCGGAAAGAAGCATAACCCACGGACAAGTAATTAAAGCGCTTGGTGTCCTTGTCCAGCAGCATGTGCAATTCATTCTCCCGTGTGATGCGAGTGCCCAGCTCGATAGTGCCTAGGGGCTCTGGTTCAATACTGGTGAGTATAACATGACCCCGATTTGCTCACCTCCCCCTCTCTCTGTGTACTCGCAACCGCAGTATGAGAGGTTCTCCCGGCATCCACACCACGCTGCTTGACTCGTCCGCAGTCGTGTCATGTGTATGTGCGTGGCAAGGAATTACATGCAAAACGACAACTGGAGCATCAGCATTATCCTACTGAACGAAGCCCCTTTTCCCACGCTTTCCGAAAGGTAGACTGTCATGGCTGTCTAGCTACTGAATCAAGTCCCATTCCCACCCCCTTTGAGAAAGGCTAAGGCTCGCTCGCTGATCAGAGGGCGTCTCACTCACTCGGAACCATCCGATGGCCGGGGCTGGGATATACGACGTACGTACATTACCGATTTCGTCCCTTCTCTAACGAGATCCAGCACCGGAGATTGCTGTGTGCACATATCTGCTCTTGTCAAGAATGCAATCCTGTCCATGGGAATGGACAAAGGGGGGGGGGAAAACCGCACTCGACTTTCTTCTGAGCTCGGGGTGTGGAAATTCTGCTACCACAGAAAAGAAAGGGGGGGGGGGGGGGGAGGAAATAAATATTATCTAGGTAGGTAGGGAGGTAGGGAGGTAGGTAGGTAGGTAGGTAGGTAGTAAGTAATGGCACACAGCATACTACTCGAGGTCGGTACGGTCATTGGTTTTCTCCCACGGGGGCAATGCAATTCTACGAGACCGCTCAATGCCCGTCCGTCTCTTTTGTACATACTGGGGGAAAAAAAGACAGAAGAAAGGGGAGGAGGGGGGAAAGCATATCACTCAATTCTGGTTCAAGCAGACATCTTTATACGAAGCACCTGGTTTTTGTCACCCCATACTACTTTACTGGAATTTCTTAAAAACACCGCCTCAAAACCGCACTGCACAAGTAGTAGCTGATTCCGCTTTCACTCCGTCCACCACCTCTACAGAGTAGGACACTAGCCACTACTCGCTGCAACCTCCTCCATCTTCACATCCCCATTGTTCTGCTCCGCCGAGGGCAAGTCTGCCCCAAGCTTGACCTCGAGGATCGCACACCTGCCGTTCTTGACGGCCTCGACAGCCTGGGGCAGCGCGTCAAGCAGCTCGGCCACAGTGCTCACGGTCCCTGCCCAGGCGTGGCCTCCCGTAGCGGCCTTTGCGATGCCCGCGTAGTCCGGGGTGGGTTCGAAGCTGATGTTCAGGGCCTTGTTGTCTACTTTGCTGCCTTCGCCGTGCGGGTGGACCAGGAGCATGGACCGGCGGGGCGCGTTCCAGCCTTTATTGTTAAGGACGATGGTTAAGATGGGAATGCTGTACCGTTGCGCGATCCAGTAGACGGAGCCCGGAACGGAGAAGAGGAATGTCCCGTCGCCGACGATCTGGCATACGAATTTCCCCTTGTTGGCCCCGAACCGGTCACCGCTCGCGAGATCGCGATGCTGGAAATCGGACGCCAGTTTGACACCCAACGCCCCGCCGCCGGACCACCCCAGTCCGCCGCCGCCGCAGTTGATCCACGTCTTTGGATGCACGGGCGCGATCTGGTCGGCGATGGAGATGCTCAGCGTGACGGCCTCGACGGCGAAGATGGTGTCTTCCGGCACGGCGGAGCGGATCTGTCCGCCCAGAACGTGCGGCGTGATCGACGCGGTCGACGGGTCAGAGGGGATTTTCGCCAGCTCCTTGGCCTGGTTCCAGCGCGCGGCGTGGGATTCTTGTCTCCTCTTGGCCGCGGCGGTGTGGGCGTCGTCGGACAAGGTTGCGGAAAGCGTCGAGTGCGAGGCGAGATACTCGGTGATTTGGGCGAACGAGGTGGCGGAATCGGCGCTGAATCGAGCGTGGGCGGGTATGTAGAAGACTGGCATCTGCCGCTTCAGCACGTCGACGTCGATGTGGATGATCCGGGCGTCCGCTTTTGGTTTGCACTGCGTCGGGATCCAGGGCACATCGCAGTCCACCACTAGGATAAAATCCGCAGTCGTTATGGCCGGGTCGGCGCCGTATCGCAACCCCAATGCCGCCGGGTGGTTCGTTGGGAAAGACATGTCGGAACCTCCCGTGTCGAGGACGCGAAGTCCCGGAATTCGGTCCGCCAGGGCCACGGCGGCGGTGACTGAGGCAGGGTTGCGACCCGTGTAGCCCACGACGAGCAGGGGCTCCGAAGCCTTGACCAGCTCCTCGGCGATGAGGGCCACGGCGTCCTGAGGCAGGGCCGCGGGACCCACGGGGTGCCAGACCTGCTGGTCCAGATGGTACGGTTCAATATCCTCCTCCATGGGCTCGCGGGCGCCGCAGAGATAGACGGGGCCTTTGGGGTCGCTCGTCGCGAACTGCAAGGCCCGATTGACCATCTGTTTCACGTTCCTGCCGCCCTTGATCTCGGCCGTGTACCGACAGTACTGCGCCACGATCTGTTTCTGGTCGGGAACGTCCTGGATCCAGTGGATGTACTCGGTCCGCGATCCGCGGTACTCGCCTTCGATCGTGTAGGGGGACAGACCCGCGAAGATGAGCACGGGCGCGCGACCGCACGAGGCGTTGTGCACGGCCGCCGCTAGCCCTTGGGTGCCCACGTCGACATGCACAATAACGCATTGCGGCTTGTTGGTCAACCTCGCCATGCCGTCGGCCATGGATAGCGCGACCATCTGCATGTGAAATAGTCGGTCCTCAGCATTGAAGCCTCTAGTTCCTCCGGGGGTTGGGATGGGGGGTATTGCAACAAGCATTCAGTTTGCTTTTGCTTTTGCTTTGTGTCTTTTTCCTTCTTCTTTTCTCTTTTTCTCTCTCTCTTTGACGTACCTCGTTAGGACAGGTGATGATCCGCGGAAAGTCTGCCTTCTTCTCCTTCTGGCCTTTGGTGATGGCCTCGATGATGGACGGATGGTCCGAGCCCAGGTTAACAAAGACATGGGTGATGCCAGCCTCCCAGATGGCTTCGAAGAAGGCGTACGACGTGGTGTAGTCGCTATGGCTATTGTGTCGTTGAGAAACAGTGCATGTCAGTCATGTGTTTTTAACAACCCCACTCCCTTGATCAGACCACGGAGCAGGGAAGGATATAGACAAAGACAAAGACGTACGATTTCGCGACGGAGCCCATGGTGATAGCTGGGTCTGCCGACCGCTTTGAGTTGCCCTCTTGCTCAATTGAGGTTTACAGAGTGTCTGCGGTCTGCTCTACAGGCGAACCAGGGTTGTCCGTTTCGAGGAAGAGAGTATAGAAGCTCTAGATGTGCGAGCGGTGCTCAATGGGTAAGAAGTAGCAGAGCTTACTCGGAGGGAAATACCAGACAAGAAGGTTCCTCAAGGTCAGATATTATTTTAAATACTCCCTTGACCCTTCAAGATGCTCAATGGGGGACGAAATGATCCGAGAGCGAGCGAGCGGGTGAGTGTGTGTGTGTGGGGAAGCGTGACCGTGAGAAATGGACAGTATCCCGGTGGTGGCCGGGCATGACACTATGCGTGGGCACCGAGGGATATTGTCCTCAGTCCCTGCAGGGTCTTGTTGCTATCATCATGGCCAGTCATCGAGGCTCGAACGAATAACCATATGAGAAAAGTACCAAATGGCGCGGGGTTGATTGCTTTGTTTTCTCTGACTTTGTGGGGATGTTTTCCTCTATTATTTGCCGATGTCGGTGTCGGCTAGATGCAGAGCGAGGGGGCCGCCTGGACGATGGGGGTCCCGTTATTTGACCCTGTCCTCCAGTACCCAGGCAGATATTGTTCACTCGCGTGGGTGTATCTGTGTGCGTGTACCTCGTATGTCTCGCAGTCCTCTTGGAACTCCCATCGGAAACAACCTCAGGTACTGACTGACTTCAGCGTAGCCGATGACATCTGCCGTGCTGTCAAAGAATGTGGAACAAATACGAGGTACCTAGGTATGCAAAGTTCGGGGTAATGTTCATGCAACGCGGAATTGACACCGCAATACTCCGCATCTCTTTATTCAGAATGAGTCTTTCTTCTCCTTTACGTCTTTGCGCTCATAATCTTGTGAATATTGATTCCATCCTCCGTCCACATTGCCCGCTGGCGCCCCAACTCCTACCAGGAACGACCCGGTCACCGCCAGGCCATCACAGACCGCAAGGTTGATCGTGGCATCCGGGTCCCATGGAGGCGGATGGACAGGGTTGTTGCCAGACAACTTGGTGTCCGGCCTGAATACCAAGCAATCTGTCGAGCCGCCGAAATGGAACATTCCGATCGACTGGCCCTTGTCGATTAGCTCTCCAACCTGGACGGTGAACTGGCATGAACACACCTCCGCCATTCCGAGGCATACTATTACCATCAAACCGATGAGAGGGTTGTCGGCTGGGATGAAAATAATTCCACGTGCTGCCACGGCTGAGGTATACGGTTGCGAGTTGTTCGGAGGAGGGTGGAAAGGGGAGGGCGGCGTCGGGTGCGCCGGGGACTTCGAAGCCTTGGGAGAGGTTCTCAGAGTATACGACCCTGCCACATGACGAATGTCCACCACTTTCCTAGACTCAGGCGCGTGCCAACAGTGGTATGACGTGACGCCCGGAAATGCCTGAACACCGAATCATCAACAAATTGCTCGGTCTTGGGATGGTCGTCCAACATGTCAGCCAAAGAGAAAGGTTGGCCCTTGAGGCAGGTATCGTGAAGCTTGACACTGGTAGCGAACTGGAGGGAGAGTTTCGTGAGATTGGGACCGGCCACCACGAGTCCTTGGAGGACGACGATGCTGTGTCCGCGTCACAGAGGCCTTTTGTGTGAAGCTGTTGCATCTTCTCAAGCTGGTCCAGCTTTGTGGCAAGCCATTGTTTGATATGGGCTCCGTCCTTGGGAAGCCGATGGCCTAGCGAGGCATGAGGAGGCGGGACTCGCCTGAGCTCGTGAGAAACCATCACTGAGGCTGCATGGTGAGCTTTCCTGCGGGACATAACTCTGGGGAGCTGAAGCACATGTGCTCTTCTGCATTGCGCAAAGTGGACTTCTTGTCGGATCTCGAGTAGAGCTGAACTTGGAGCAAGTGATAGACGGGTGTTTGGGTGTCGAGGTGACAGACCCAAGGCGCAGTGGCTCACGGAGAATCATTTCTCCGGCAACCTCGAGGCTCAATATCGTATTCCCATGGTTGAGATAGATGGATAGATACCTGTGCTCGAATATCACTGCCCGTACAATCTCAAACGCCAATACCATCGCTGTGTTTCCGACGCTACCCTCGCATATCCGATCCAGCACCACATGCCGGCCATCTGGCCCCTACGGGCTCAAAATCCACCCACCCCCCTTACCCGTTGCACTGCACCGATAACACCTGTGGCCCATGAAAACTTGCCTGCGTCGACACCAATCGCCCCCTCGGCCTGCTGGCCAGTCTTCGGATCCTTCCAACATCCAGCATCAGGTCCTTGATTCTCCGTTTTCCCATAGATGTGCGTGTTTTGATTCTGTCTGATTCCTTCCATCCACTTACCCACCACCAATGGACTATCAATCATGACGTTCACTTCTTGGCTGTGATACCAGCTCTGCGTGTCTTGGTTACCGTTGCCTTGAATGCCAATGTGGTCGTCCACGACCATCAGCTTGATGTGACATGACCGCTGCTTGAATTTGTTGTGGATGGGATGGATTTGATCTTTGGCTACGTAGGCATAGATGTCAAGGTTGTCGCGATATTCCGGTCCCACGTCGCGGTACAGTCCGTGTGCTATCATTTCGTTATGTCCGCCCTGCGCGGGCAGCAGCTCTCCCGCATCGTTGTATCCGAGACAGTAATAGTAACTGACCTTGACCCCTCGTCGGCAAGCCGCTACAATTTCGGGCAAAAGGGCTTCGGCGTTCAAGTCGGGTGTCTGAATGAAAACCGACTTGGTCGCATGACGAAGGGCAGACGTGAAGGCCTCATTTTGCGGGGTGTGCAAAGAGTGCTTGTTGGGCGCTCCCCATGGCGGGCGGCATACCATGGCAATCGGGAAAGGGTCATGTCGTGGTATCGGGATGAGAGGGGTCATTGCGTCGGCTGGTCCAATATCCGGTGCGCTCCCTTTCGTATCAGGCTGGATTGTCGTGTTGAGGAGGCGGGTGATTGCATTGATCCTTGTCTCTCCTTCGCGTGGTTTCAAGAAGGCCACGGCGCGCAGCACCTCCGACTTGATGTCAGGGTCGTAATGGGGGTCTTCTGATGTGTGCTGAGGCAAGTCCATCTGCGATCCATGCTCGGCAATTTCCCTCAGGCTCTCGTGCCCGTCCGGGACCGGCGTGGGCCTTCAGTAGGGTTAGTGAAACGGAAGCATATATCTCAGAGCAGCCAACGTACGCTTGATACACGGGGACCAACTTTCCGTTCTCGTCAAACAGGGTCGCATGGATGTCGCTCGAGAATGTGGGAACCGGTAAATCCGCAGCAGGTCGGCTCAGCAACGGCAGGGGTGGTTGAAGCGCATTGTGCCATGAAATGTGCGCAAGGTCATAGAATGAGTCCACAATTGGTCCTTCCAATTGCGTCATCATCTCCATGTTGTCGTTGTCTTGGATGTTATTGCTTTGTACAATGGCAATGCGGCGATCCACGATCATGTATTTGGCATGGAATGTCCCGAACATTGGTCGGTGGAAATTCATGACTTCGATGTCCATGTTTGGCAGCTCGTCAGGATGAGGGATTCGAACTTTACCTTCGGGGTCTGCAAATTCTTTCGGTGGCACTATGAGGTGGTTTTTCACAAACTCGTACTGTCAATATCGACTGACTTGCGAGGTGGACAGGACTCGCAGCTCACCTGTTTGGCACTTCCTCTGTCATAGATAATCTTGACGACGACCCGGCGGTTGGTTTGGACAGCCTTTTTTGAAAGCTCTCTCAGTGCATTCGTAATCAACCTGGTGGGTTCTGAATACATCCAGAAGTTGGTCGCTAGGTAGACCTCTTGTTCAGCCCTCGCTATCATGTTAGACATGTGCCGGCAGATGTCAGGGATAGTCGCCATGATTGTGAGCGGACAGACTCCGTTGCTGCCGAGGAGCGATGGAGCACACAAGCCCACCAAAGGGTTCTTTTCCAGCGTGCACAGGACATCATGATAGATCTAGCGACCTGGTCAAAATCGGTTCTTGACATTGTTACAGTCAACGGAGTTTCTTACCCTCAGAAACAGATCGCTGGGATTAGAGTTGCCCCATTTTCCACACTTTCGAGCCTCTTCCAGATCACTCGGTTCTTCCTTGCCCAGGTCCAGTTTCTTGGTGACGACCTCATCGTCGATGTTGACGCCAAAGAGTTTCTTGGCCGCCGCGTGAGGAGACAAGGAAGGATCTTTGGCCAGCTCGGAAGTAATCGACTGGCCATTCTGGCAGAGCTCATAGATGTTTTTGGGAATCATGGCGGCAGCACGTTGTGGTGGTGATCACGCGAGTCTCTATTGGAGCATCACACTGAGGGAGAACGCAGTCACGGGCTGATGGCGTTGGGACAGCTTTTCAGTTCTGGCAGACTCTGGGCAGAGTCGCTATTTGGGCAATGAAGGATTTCTTGTTCGAGGTAGCTCACGAAAGCGCTGTTAGAGGTTTCACAAAGCCAAAGAAGGATCGGGGCCAGGAACGTGAGAGCCACGCAAGCCAAACCTGAAAGTTGAAAGGTGCGCCCAAGGGACCGCCGATCATTGGCCTGGGAAGGTGAAGCTGATCCTTTATCGCGTGAGGAATGCACAGCAGTCTAGTTGGTCTAGGCGTCGATTGGGCGTCATAGGCACCATTGCGGGCGGTTTGATGATGACGGCATCCTGCAAAAGCGGGGATTCTAGGGGCGCTAGGCCTAGTCACACCAGCTGGGCACGCCTGAAGCGAAGCTTTTGCGCCCCTCCTGTTAAAGCTTGGACTCAAAGCTTGGCGAGCTTGTCCGCGTTCCCTGTTCACTGGCAGCTGGCCAAGTGCCAAGTTGCCCGCCTGGTATCGACCCGGTTCTTTGCCCTCAGCTTGTTGATTACCTTCGTCGACTGATTTGCAGGATTGTACTTCCGCACTGCTACGAGCATGACTACATACCTCATCCAAGGACAGAAGTTGGCAGAAGAGTCGTATGTATTCAAGGTTGTAGGCTTCCTCAGCAGCTCTCGTATTAACCTCCAAAAGGCACAATACTTGGTATACATGCCAGATTCCTCCGGGTCCTGCTACATCTATGCTATTTTGATGTCCTTCTCCCTGTCAATTACAAATGCAATACATCCCCCTCCAAGTGATTATAGCTAGCCATGGATGGAGTCCCTTCTTGTGTAACCAATGCATCCCAACGCCGCCCATTTTGTTTGGTCATCTTGCACTCCAGCAATCTGCCAGTAAAACATGTCGCTAGAGCAGGACAGACGCTAGACTAAGCGGACAAATCACAGCTGACCCGAGAGAATGGCTTCCGTTGCTGCGCCAGAAGTTAGTTTCTCTTCCAAGGTTGGAGTCATGGGCACAACTTACCACTTCCAATATAGGCTCGCTTCGCGTCCAAATTCACATTGAATCTCCGCTCCAATTCCTGCTTGATGCCTTTCTTCGTCACGGTCATAAGGTCCGCCGTCTTCAGTATGTCACGGATTTCGTTCAGGATCATATCATCAGTAGGCAATCCAGTCAGATCGGCCATGTCCATGTCGGCGACCGATTGACCTCCTGCCATCATCCCCCCACCCAGCATGTCCGAAGGCGCGAGAGACAACCTGGAATGGCTGTAGCCCCTCTCATACATAGGAGGATGCATGTCGAGCTGTGAAACAGATCTGGAAGGTCCCATGAGATGTGCCGTGCTTTCATAGACGGCAGGGCCACCGCCATAGACGGACGCGGCAGGGTGGTACGACTTGGTACCGTAGCTGTAGCCTGAGATCTCGGATCTTTCGTCGTCTCGTTGGGTCTGAGCATCCCATAGTTCTGCCTGATACTCTTCCCACTTCTTCTTTGGAATCGAGTCGGGGTCGAATTTGCCCTCGTCCGAGATTAAAATCTGTTTACCCTTTTCACCAGTCACCAGACGCGTATTACCCCAGCTGAAATCATCCATGTGCCAGAATGCATACAGTGGCAGCCCCAGAGAGAAGACGGGCATGGCCAGAATGTAGACGATCATCCAACCAATCATTTCCCATTTGCGGCGGAGGATGAAGATGATGGCTTGCAAACCATATATTGCTCCCAATAGAATGAATGCAGTCAGTGGTATCACGTCGGACGACGTGGAGAGAAGCACAATCAGGTAGACAATGTAAGCCACCGTGACGGGCGCAATCACAGTCGATAACAGATCCAGGAAGACGACAAAACGCATACTGAAACAGCAGAAACCGCACAACTGCTGTAACGGCAGCAGTTCAACTAGGTTGTGAACAGTACTGTTGATCCACCGACGTCGCTGAGACATGAAGACTTTCCAACTGTCGGGTGCAATAGTCCAGGCGTGGGCGTGGAAGATGTATTTCGTCTTATACTTGGAGTGATGTTTCAAGAGCAGCGTGGTCAGGTATCGATCTTCGCCCAGATGCAACAAGTTCTTCATGTGTAACGTGTCGACTCGGATCTCAGAATAGTCCTGGATGATTTCCTTGCTCACAAAAAGTGGCTTTCCCGTTTCCGCGGCCCGGATTCGATACATGGTGAAACAACCTGGTAGACATGTGACGGAACCAAACAATGATTCGAATGCCTTGGTGAGATTGTGCGAAATGTAGTACTCGTAAACCTGCATCATCGTGATGAAAGATGCCTTCGCGTTGGACAACGAAGTCTCTCCGCAAACAGCGATCAGTCTTGTGTCGCGTAGGAATGCCGAAACCATGCGAGTAGCCGAGTCGGGAGCCACAACTGTATCAGCATCGATCTGGAGCATAAATTCGTAAAACGTTGGATTGACCCCAATGATGTTTCTGATCTGGTGATGCATCTCCAGTTCCAGTGGGCTCATGGGCATGTTGTAATGAACTCGATTCAAGAAGCGCATGATGACCATCTGGGAGTCACGCTTGCCTCTGTTTCCAGGTTTCGAGACTTCGGAGGGTTTCCCGATTTTGACCACCACTAAGAAGGGAACGATGTGCCCTTGAACTTCGTACAGACCCGAGTATACCTTGCCCATGTTGTGTTGCTTCATACCTTCACCCAGAGATTCGAAGCTCAGTGGTTCCGGATCGACTGTCTCCGACACTCCCAAAATATCGAGGACAATACGAGGTGTCGGTCGATCATTTCCTTGACCAATAATCATACCATCGCAGACCACGATCAGCAATTTGCGTTTGTCGTCATATCGCATCCTCGCTGCCGAATCGATAGCTCGCCGAAGAGATTCTTCGTCTTCCGTATAGGCGGGAACCTGGCAGATGACGAACTTGTCGAGGTTTTCGGGTGCATTCTTGCCTCCAAACTGGAGCGCAGCCAAAAACTTGAAGCCAATCACGGTACAAAGCAGAATGGAGATGGCCAGGAGGATATACCGAGCGAAGAGACATTGTGCCGAATTTCTGGTATCCGTGACTCCAACGAAGAACAAATTGTCAAGGCAGAGCTGCATTCGACTCCTCATCCCAGAGTCCAGAGGAAGAGCGTTCCAGTATTTGGTAACGTCTTGTCCGGCCCGTTGCGTGAACAGATCAACCACAAGGTCATCCATGAAGTTGGTGTCAACGCCGGATGGAACTGTTTGACCAGGAGGAGCTCTGGTGCTGCGTCCACCTTCGTTGTAGGTGGTGAAGTCGTACACTCTACCATTCAATATGGCGATAGAATGTGATTTCTTGGCAAGAGTGTGCAAATATTGTGGAGTATATCCGATGCTTCCTTTCTTGTAGTTGGATTTCAACATGATCATTTGCTCAAAAAACCAATCCGGGCGCGAGTCATTGGTGAAGTAGCGGAAGTCGTGATATCGGCGATTCGGGTCAGTGCTACTGATGACTGTAGCAGAGCCTGTGATGTTCGTTGTCGTAAAATCCAACTGAACTGTAGGATCCACTCGGCCGTCTTTCCCTTGACAAAGGGCCGAAACCTGGACAGGGAACAGTCCAGTTGAGTCGAGACCAGCATACTTTTCGAGTGACGTTTGCGGGATGATACTGGGATAGTGGGCGGGTGCGAAAGCACCTAGATCGAGTACCACGCCTCGTATAGCCGTATATGCGCTGTGACCGTTCTTGCCGTCATGCGATGACAGTTCCGCCGCAGAGAACACGTTTTGCTTCGGACAGATGAGCTGGGGGAAGACGACGATGAAGAAAGCCACGAAAAGGCAGCTGGTCCAGATGATGATGTTGATCGCGAACTTCTCCCTCCAGGCAATTCTCACATCCTTCCGTTTCATGCCGCCAAACCATTTGATAGCAAAGTCTGGGAGGTACCAAGTCAGAAAGTACACAATCGCCAGCCACCTTTTACGTGACGACGAAACGGGTACAACATCGACTTCTTCCATCTTCTTTCTGTTACCCTTCTCAGCCAGTTCTTCCTTGGTCTCGAGGTTGCGGAACATATCCCCGGAGTTGAAGGCTGAGGCCCCGGCGTCAGATTTGGCGTCAAGCTCTCGGCTGCCAAAGTAGCCACCTCCTTTTGTTTCGTCGCCATAGAAAGAACCAGGCGTTCCCTCGTGAGAGGCAACTAATCGAGCTTTGGAATCATTGAAGGGGTTGAGACTCGGCGTATCGGGTCTGGAAAGTGCGGGAACTTCGCCGCCAAAGTAGGCGGTGCTCTGAGATCCCGTGAGGGCGACACTCGCCCAACAGCGTTCGCTGAGGAAAACACCAGTATTACCAATTCTTGCTTCGTTCCCGGGCCACTGTTTGCTATCCAGGACAAGCTGTGCCTTCTCGCGATCGCTTCCGACCACGCCAGGGTCAGCGTCGGTCAGCCCCAGAAATTCACCGAACGGGAGGAACACACTGAAATCAGCGGTCCGAAGTCGTTGACTGATCTCGGGTATTCCAAACATCTGGACCTGTTGGCGGACACACTTGCTGTCGAATTGATTGGCAATTCGCCTATCATTCGGCTTCAAGCAAAATACGAAGTAGTTGTTGACATTTGGTGCGGTCAGCGATTTGGTGATGTTGTCCAAAGACGACAGGAACTGCGCTGCTGCACCTTGATTCAGACCTGTCGCAGAAGCCTTTGTTTTTCTGGTTCTCCCCTCCTCTTGAGTATGTGTCGATTCTGCATCTTCCTGGAAAGCCGGCGAGCGATCTGCTCTTCGACTGCCCATCCGGCGCAGTTGGTCATGCTTCTTCCGGGAAAGGCTGGGCATGCGCAACGGCTTTGAGCTGACCTGGGCCTGCACAATGGCTGTCTTCTCTGAGGGATGGCTGATGGTGTTTAAGGCTTCTTGGCCGAACAAGCTGGCCACAAAATCACTTTTGGTAGCTCTGACCATGTTCATCAAGTCCCCGGAGACCACATCGCCGTTTTCTTCAACCAGGCGATGGACTGGATAATCCACCTCGCCGGCATAATGGCGGACAGTGAACGATGCCGCAAGATTCGTCGTAGCAAAATTGCTTCCGGGTAAGGTGGTGGTGGCGCTGCTCACCGTAATCGCCTTATTCTTGTTCTCGAATCGCTTTCGAATACTGTCTAAAAATTGGGTATCCGTCCGACCACGACGTGTTTGATCATCCAGAATGGCAAGCAGTCCGTTGCCATGCTTGAGAAGACCACGGACAGCATCCGTATTATCGAAATAACTGGTCGCAGGCACACTGACTTCTTCGCTTTCCAGCATTTCGGCCGTCTTTTCGAAGAAGCCGTGGAGGCAGGTATTGTAAAGCGACTCATTCGCAGCATTGTTCAACAGCTGATCCAGCACAGATCCGGTGGAAGTATGGTCCGCAAAACCTGGAAAGTCGACAATGGAGACGGTGTTGGCAACGGCATCCTCTGCAGCACAAATCCTTTGGTTGATGCTCTCCATGATGTATGCAACCAGGAGGGAGTAGAGCGTCGTTGCAAGTTCATCGGCATTTTCTCGAGCACCCTTTGGATCCAGCATGACAGTGACGCGCTCTCGGTGGAGTGTCTTTGTCTTGTGCCTCATGCTTTCTTCCAGGTCCTGAACGCTCAGTCCGAGAAAAGCCGCGACCAGAGCCAAGGTGTCAGTGTTCTTGACGACCGTGACTGTCTCGCCACCTTCGTGAGAATAACCGCCGCTTTCTTCAGCCGCAGTTAATGTCGCCTGACCTGTGCCAAATTCGAGCTGGCCGATATGCAGAATAGCAGCAAGAACTTGACATATTTCCGCGATTTCGGCTCTAGGGAACTCCAGCTTTCGCAAAGCCGTCTTAAAGTGTTGGAAGCCCTCCGCGTCATTGATGCCCACCTTCATTTGCGTTGGGTGACCAAGATATCTCCATCGCTTCTGTGCCACGGAGGCAGACCTTGTCAAGCCAGTGCCTGCCGTGGTGATGTTTGTTTGTCCGTTGAGGCCAAGATGAGACTTTTCTGCCGCACTTGTTCCGGCCAGAAGATAGTACAGCACATGAAAGCTCCTTTCACCGGTCGGTACATGTGAAATTCGACTCCTTTCCAAGCGGTGGTCTAACAGTTTGCCTCCAATGAGGGTGGGAATCGACGATGAAGCGTCATATTGTAGTTCGTAATACAGCCCAGCTTTTGATGCTGTTTGAGTCGTTGTAGTCTTGGTCGTGGTCAAAGTATCGAAGACAAAGGCAGCAAGCGACAGTTTGGATGATAGTGGTGTGGAGGAGAACGAAAGGAAGGAGGAAAGTAGGTGTGACCTGACTGTCGTTTTGCCCGCACCGGACTCTCCACTGTCGCACGATTAGCAGGATATCAATACCATATTGGCATTCAGCAAACATACAAGAAGACAATAGCCTGATCTTCTGCTCTACTTCCCAGTCTTGCCCATGCCCTACGGGCGAGATCCTCAGCCTCGCCCATGGCACTCCCCTCCTTTTCACCATTTGGTCCCCTGCTTGACGAGGTATACGTATTGAGGCATATCAAAGCCTGAGAGGATAACTTCGCGGTCGGGAGAGAGACATGGAATCGGCTTGCCAGGTGGGCCGTCAAATGGGTGTCTGATTGTAAATGAGGAGGAAGTGCAGGCAATGAAGCTTGCAGATGAGCCGGAACATTGCCACGAGCGGCCATTCTGATTGAGATGTATTGGACGTGTCAAAATATGTCTGAAAGACGAGCCACGAGTCGGCTCACACGCCGTCCCAATAACCCAGCTCTTCAATTCATCGAACGTAGTTGCGCGGTCGGGCAATTGTTGACTCGGGGACTCTTGTCAAGGAGGCTTTCGATTTTGCAACAGCGAATGTTAGGAGGCAACGAGCGTCAATATGTGGCGGGACAACCAAATATGCAGAGCGAGAGAATATAGCGAGAGATCGTCAAATCGTAGCAAAGATTGCAATTGAAAGAAGCAACAATAAAGTCAACGTGAAGCAAGTCGAGATGATTGAGCAACAAAGTTGGCTCGCGCAGGGGGGTTTTGGTCGGCCTGCGAGACCAATACTGTGGTATTTGGCGGACAGCAAGATTTGGGCGGAGCTGGTAACCGTCATTACAATGAAACCCTCGGCGGGTCATTTTGAGACCCCAGCATGCTACCGCTTTAGGCTTTTTCTGTGTCTGAGATCTCACCATCTTCCCAAGTGACCACAAACTGCGCCGCAGCCGGGCTGTCCCATTCCCTTCTCCAGCACTGGTAATTATTAATACTGTCGCCGTGCATGTCGAATCTGGCTGTACCTCTGATGCTGACAGATAAGAAACCTAATCCCGAGTATAGAGCACCGAGTCCCAAGTATAGCTTCTGCTCAGTTGGTCACCTCACTTACAAACTGGCTTATTGTCATACACACCCTACCCGAGCTACTTTTGCTACCGTCACGGCCACCTTGGAGCTTTCCTCTACGGAGTCTTTGGAAGCCGGATGGGTCATCAGACGGAGTTGCTGCGCGGCGACTCGAAAGAGCACTGGACTCGAAGAGGAGGTACCTAGGTAGGGAGGTTGGGGGATGGTGTCCTCCGCTCAGGACCGAGAATTTGTAAATGCACCTGTCGCCATCCAATAATAATAGAGATGGGACGCATACTCCAGACACACGCTCAGTCTGCAGCCAGCAGAACAAGACACTACCTCGTACATGCCTGTCAGGTTCGGCACTGCATTTTGGGATCTCCGACGTAACGCAACATGACCATGGCCTTACCTTCCTAGTCCTGTGAAGATGCCCCAGTCCGAGGCCAGAAAGGCTAGGACAAGGAAAGGAGGCAGCCATTATTAAAAAGTTTTATAGTGGCTCTTTTGCTGTGGCGGCGCTCCTTTTCCCTACCTCGCTCTCCGCACAGCTTCCCCAGTTGAGGCACACCACAAGCGAAGAGGATTTTCCAACAGCTCATCCTTTTTTCCGCTGGTGATAAGCGAGTGACCACATCTTCGGAAACTCAACGCCTAGAGGCTGACCACGGAGGCACACATACAGCCCGGTCGCCGATAAGACCAACTGAGACAGATGCGAGTGATGCAGCACTCAATTCTGCAGGTGAGCGAGACGGTGCAGAAGCGTGCCACATGCTGACTGACGGGTCATCACGTGACTTGAACGGGGCTTGGGGCCTGCGCTGGTTTGTGGCAAAAAGCACCGTGTGCATCCCGATCACCACACGATGGGCGTTGAGTGGGAACAAACTGAAACTAGGACGAGAGAATTGGTGCTGCTCTTTTCTTTCAGCAAACATCTCATCATGTAATAATATGAGGACCGAGTTCATTTCCATGTCTCATCTCGGATGGTTCTGAACACCGTGCGTGAGCAGCTGGATACCTACTTGTCATTATTGCCATCGTACGTAAGGTGTTTCGAAGCCATCACACTCTTGACGCGACATTTGACATGCGGCTTTGTTGACTTTTCCCAGTCCGTTGCCCTGGAGCACATTGACCGTTGGTGCGATTGGCCTGGACAAGATTGACCGGCTGTTTAGGGTTCCGGGCTCCCCTGCAGCAACCCGAGTGGCTTAGACCTAGAGCAGTATAACGCCCAGCAAAGGTCCGGGGCTCAAGTGCCCGGAAAAGGGCACCCAACAGAGGTGGCGTTGCAGATTGGCTGCTATTCTTGACCCAGAGTGACCGTGGCTGCGGATCGAGGAGAAGCTGGACAGGGGTCAATATTCTGTCGTCAGGCTACGGTATTGGTAATGCTCGATACACACTCCCTATCCTGGAAAAAAACATCCCTTTGGATACACTCCGCCATGTTCGGGGCCCATATCGTGGCCTTGCTCTCGCTTGCCGCGACAACCTCCTCCTACCCCCTTCACTCACCCTCTGCACCTTCGTTCACCTACACACATCACTCTCGCTTACATTGTTGAAATCTATTCGAGATCTAACGAGCATCTGTCAGTCCGTCACTTCGGATCTTCTCCCGCTCACTTTTTGCCTTCTGAAATGCTGCATTGACGACTTGACACGGCTCGCTGCTGTTTCAACCCTTCGTTCGACCCTCCACGATCACCGCCTTGTTTAACCGTCTAGACTGACAGAGTAACCTTCAAGAGGAGGCTTTCACATACTGGCGACATTGTTTTGCATATTGATCAAGAACCCCGAATAGTTGACGGAGGCCCTGTCGACCCCTTTGCTCGACAGGGGCCCATCATGGCAAACCGCTACTCGACGTACTCGAACAACTCTTCGCAAGTTGGTGCTGCCAGAACAGCAGCCCAACAGCCTACCCAAGTCTCGACTACTACGCTTCTCAACTCCCTACACACAATTTATGCCTCCGGCCAAACATACCAACTCGACTCGAGCACGAGCATTGCGGTCAACACGTGGCTGAGTGTGATCAATCCTGATGCCCAAGGACGGATTGGAGGTACTGTCGACGCGGATATCGCTTCAAGAGCTTGGGAACATGCCAGACGAAGAGCCGAGGATGGATGTATCATTTTAGGATCTCTGCATCCGTCGACACCCTCGCTGTTCCAAGCATTTCTTCAAGTTATACCTCTGCCCACTCCAGAGATCGCATACACTGCTCTAACGGCTTTGCGCCCTTTCCTCTCCTGTGTCACACCCCTCAATCCGACAACCTATAGGCACTCCTCTCTTGCTGCCAAGTATACCGTCGCTCTGAATGGGACAGTCACGGGATTCACCCTTGCCCTGTCTGGCTCAGGGATTGACGTGGAAAAGGGCCTGCTGACGATTCCCTCTGAGCCTGGCCATCGCGCCTTTGACGTCTTCTACTACCTCTTGACATCAGCATCCACTCCTACTGAGCGGGAATTCCTGGGTCTGCAACATCCTTCCAAGTACACCCTCTTAAATAGATCTGGATATTACGATCCGCCCAACTATCTTCCATCAGCTGATGACGCAGCAGCCGCTGAAGACTTCCGCTCCGCTTTGAAGTCGATTGGCATCAAGGGCGCGGCTTTCCGTGGGCTTCTGTCGTGCCTAGCCGGACTGTTGAAGCTGGGTGAGACGACTGGGTTCCTGGTTGACTCCGACGTCCTCGAGGAAATATGTGAGGATGTAGGCGGCCTGATCGGTCTGGAGCCCGAAGTCCTCATTAAGAAGTGTTCCACAGAAGATCGTGAAGTCTTGATCGCAGGCATGTACGAAGCTCTGGTGGACTGGGTCCTTTCAAAGGCCAACGATGCTATTGCCGCCGAGTTACGCTCCGGCGCTCTCACGCCTGACTCTAGCACCAAGACAGGTGATGAGGTCAGTCTCACGGTCATCGAGATCCCTGGCGAGCCGCTCGGAAAAGCTGTGGCTATGCGAAATGTTTTCGACGATACCCAGGGGATAAACGCCGAAATGAAGGACGATGGTGTTGAGGTTGTACCTGCCGGCCACTCCGTTCTCAAGGAAATGACCTCTGCCGTCGCGGAGGTGGAAGCTGACCTAGGTATCAAAGGAGGACCGCTTAGTCGGGAAAGAGAGCACGACCGGGATCGCAGGGAAGGCATCCTGGAAAGAATCGGTAACGAGGCCGAGGCTGGAGGCTTCCTTCGCACTTTACTCTACCCCGTTGATGGCGAGGGCCTGAATTTTGGCCGAAAAGGCCGCTTTGACCTGGGGGCTACTCTTGCCAGCAGTAGAGCATGGTACCAGCTCTCTATCCATCCCACCGATGATGCACCAAGTTCGTTGGCTGCACTGGCTTCGACGACTTCCGCCTGGTCTGCGGGAGCGGTATCAAGACAATTGCGAGCATGGAGACTTCCTGAATGGGCCAACCACCGCAACCGGCGGCTCGACTTCACGGCTGATTTTGATGTCGAGGAGTTCGTGACAAGGTACTCCAGACTCGGCTGCAAAGATGGCAAAGATGGGATAGAAAGCTTCTTGCTCGAAAGAGGCTGGACAAATGGAGAAGTCATCATTGGGCGAGAACGGGTCTGGATGCGTGAAAGTGCTTGGTGGGAGGCTGAGTCAATGCTCGACATGATACCCGTCGAAGGCGGCTTTTCCGACGACCCTGCCTTCGGCCAGCCACTCAACCCCTTTGCATCCAGCTACTCTGCCAATGCTCCTCACAACGGCAGTGGCTTCTTCCCGCCAATGGGTGACAATTTGAGCGTCGGAGATAGCCGGGAGAATCTGCTTGCTCAGGCTGGCGCAGAACGGGCCAAGTCAATCGCACCAACAATGGCACGTACGATGCACACAGTCGGCGGTGACTACGGCCTTGGGCCCAAGGGCGACGATCACAAGGACGCAGTCTATGATCCCGACCTCGGGCAATATGTTGGTGGCATGGATCCCGAGCTTGCCGATCCTCGAAACGTGGAGTCTAAGAAGACGTCCGTCGGCAGACAAGCTTGGGTGTCTCTTGTCTGGGCGCTCACCTGGTGGATACCCTCTATCTTCCTGCGCTATATTGGTCGCATGAAGCGCCCCGATGTGCGCATGGCATGGCGAGAGAAGATCGTGTTAGTCTTCCTTATCTTCCTACTGAATGCCTTCATCGTCTTCTACATCATCGAGTTTGGTAGGCTTCTGTGTCCAAACTTCGACAAGGCTTGGAATGCAAAAGAAGTCGGCTTCCACACAGGTACAAATGACTTTTATGTCAGCGTTCGGGGGAAAGTCTACGACATCACCAAGTTCTATCGCATACAACACAGTGACACGGCTATTCAAACGAACGCGGAGAATATGCTTCCGCTGGCGGGACTGAATCTTGACGCCTACTTCCCACCACCCTTGAGTCGAGCTTGTCCAGGGCTGAATGTCGACGAGAGTGTGCAGTTGCAACACAATGACACCAGCGCTATTCTCTACCCGAACGCCGTCCACACCTCCGGTCACCTTTATCAGCCAGATCAGCAGTCAGCATTGTATAGCTGGGATTGGTACAGCGACACTTTCCTGCCAAAGATCAACCAATATTTCAAAGGAGACCTCGTTGTCTCAAAGGGCAGTATCAAGAGTCAAGCTGAGAACGACGATAGGCAGTGGGTGATCATCCACCAGAAAATATACGACCTCACCGACTATTTCTACACCTTGAACCTCATGAATAATTTTGCAACTTATAAGTTCTTCCCCGAGGCGGTGACGGACCTGATCAGCAGCAATCCAGGCTCGGATATCACGAGCCAGTGGGGAACGGATGCCGAGTTCGCAAACAGTCTGAACTGTATGAACAATGCGTTCTACGTTGGCAAGGTCGACTTCCGAGACACCCCAAGGTGTCAGGTCAACAACTACCTTCTCCTGGCTTTTGCCTTGATCTTGTGTGTGGTCATTGGAGTCAAGTTTTTGGCGGCATTACAACTTGGGTCGAAGCGTCGACCAGCTGCACAGGATAAGTTCGTTATATGCCAGGTCCCCGCCTATACTGAGGGTGAAGACCATCTGAGAAAATCTCTAGATTCTCTCACAGCCCTTCAGTATGACAATAAGAGAAAGCTAATTTGTGTCATTTGCGATGGAATGATTGTGGGTGGTGGCAATGACAGGCCTACGCCTAAAATTGTTTTGGATGTCCTTGGTGTTGATCCCAAGATCGACCCACCAGCTCTGCCCTTCCGCTCCGTCGGCAATGGCAATGAGCAACTCAATTACGGGAAAGTGTACTCCGGACTCTACGAATATGAGGGCAACGTTGTTCCATATATTGTCATCGTCAAGGTTGGCAAGGAATCGGAGCAAACAAAGGCCAAACCTGGAAATCGCGGCAAGCGAGACTCTCAGATCTTGTTGATGCAGTTCTTGAACCGTGTCCACCACAGGTCACCCATGTCTCCTCTCGAACTGGAAATCTTCCACCAAATCAACAACGTCATCGGTGTCGACCCTGAACTGTATGAGTATCTACTCATGGTCGACGCAGATACCATGGTCAAAGAAGATTCGCTCAATCGCCTGGTCGCCGCCTGTGCCAACGATGCTAAGATTGCAGGCATCTGTGGCGAGACAAGCTTGGAGAATGAAGAACGCAGCCTATGGACAATGATTCAAGTCTACGAATACTACATCTCGCATCATCTTGCCAAAGCTTTCGAGTCCTTGTTCGGCAGCGTCACTTGTTTGCCTGGATGGTATGTTGTTGCGACCTTCCCCCTTTGCTCACTATCGCTAACTCTGTTTGCAGTTTCTGCATGTATCGTCTTCGAACCGCTGACAAGGGTCGGCCTCTAATCATCTCGGACAAGGTCATCCAGGAATACTCGGACTGCGACGTTGATACTCTCCACAAGAAGAACTTGTTGTCTTTGGGTGAGGATCGATATCTTACGACGTTGATGACCAAGCACTTCCCTTCGATGTCCTACAAGTTTGTCCCCGACGCTTACGCCCTCACTGCCGCACCGGAATCTTGGTCCGTCTTGTTATCGCAGAGAAGACGTTGGATCAACTCGACCATTCATAACCTTGCCGAGCTCGTCTTTTTGAAAGATCTTTGTGGTTTCTGCTGCTTCTCGATGAGATTTGTCGTCTTCATTGATTTGTTTGGTACCTTGATCCTTCCCGCCACCTGCACCTATCTCGGCTACTTGATTTACAGAGTCGCGTCACATTCCGGCCAATTTCCTCTGATTTCGATTGTGATGATTGCTGCAGTGTATGGCTTACAAGCGGTGATCTTCATCATCAAACGACAATGGCAGCACGTGGGATGGATGCTCATTTACATATTGGCATATCCCATTTACAGCTTCGTCCTACCGATCTACTCGTTCTGGAATCAAGACAACTTTTCTTGGGGTAACACGAGAATTGTTATTGGAGAGAAGGGTGACAAAAAGGTCGTCGCCATTCAAGACGAAGGCTTCGACCCCCGGTCGATCCCTCTTCAGAGGTGGGATGACTACGCCACAGCCAACAACCTGCCAGGCCGTCGTGGAAATCCTGGCGCATACCCAGAGAAAGGGTTTGAGTATGGCTACACTGACGACCCGGCGATGATGGAAATGGACGACATGCAGTCAAGCTACTCTTCCGTGAAACCAGCCAGCACGATCCTGGCTGGCTTCCCTCAGCAATCAGCGCCATATATGGCACCGCCTCGATCAACGACGCCGTTTACCGCGATGCAAAATAACCGCGCCAGCACCATGACTGGCCTCACACAGTTCAAGGATCAACCGCTCAGCCTGCACGGACGGAACATGAGTATGATGAGCCTGGGCAGCCAAATGCGACTGAAGTCCCCGTCGCCCGTGCCACCATACCAGGATAACCCGCGCAGCCGCAGCCCGTACCAACAGGGAGGCATGCAACATTCGGTCAGCAGACCCAGCCTGTTAGGCGTGGCGGGCATGACGAGCAGTCGGCCAGCATCTACGGTGATGGATTTCCGCACCGTTCCTTCGGCGGGACCCAGTGATCATGACATTGTCGAGGCGATCCGCGCGGTATTGGCCGAGGTGGATCTCGACAAGGTCACCAAGAAGCAAGTCAGGGCGCTGGTCGAGCAGAGGCTTCAATGCGAGGTGCCTGCTGGCGAGAGACGGGCGTTCCTGGACAAAGCAATTGACGGCGAACTGGCCAACATGTAAAAGTTGAGGAAGGAATCCAGCATAGCGTTAGCGTCATGGTGAAGGGAGCGGCCCATACCCTTTTTGTTTTTCTAATTGGCCTCAAACGGGGTCGGGGGTTGGGTACATGTTTGTCTGTATCTTGGGATGAAGATGATGAACGATACTTTGCCAAAATATTTTCTGCGGTCAAAGGCATGGCATGGCGTGGGATGGCAATAATGGGAGGATTGAACGGGCCCGGGGGGGAGGGGGCAAAAAGAAGGCTCTACGTGAAGACCCTCCTCATACTGGCTGGGGTCATTTAATGCTATATCTATATATATACTAGGATCTACGAGGAAAGGATGTTTTGCCCTCTAACAAGCCCCCCTCCCCTGCCCCTCCCTATGCATTTCATTAATAGGGGATCAATGGGATATAATACCTCCATCGGACGCACATGTATGTTTCCTATGTAGTCAGTCAGTCGGTCAGTCAAGCTATTTGGCCTGTAAGTACCCTAGGTATGTAAGTCGGTGCGCTGTGCTGGGAAATCGGGGATATTTTGGCCCCCTCTCTCTCTCTCTCCGTGTCTGTGACAGACGGGGCATGCGTGTATATAGGCCACATGTAGCGTCAACCTGGTATCATCTGGTGTCTGGTGTCTGGTGTCTGGTGTCATGACCCTTTGCATGTTGTTCTCGTTGTAGCTGTTCCCCCGGTGTATTGTCTATGTCCTTCTGTGCCTCCGCCTCCGCCTTCTCTGAAGGTCAGTCCCGCAGCCAGGGATTTTCATAGAACAGTGCGATTGTAGACAGTTTCTTCACCAGCGAGTGTGATTGACGAATTGTACCGGCAAATGGGAAAGGAACCTTTGCGAATAGACACATACCGCATAGAGCCTGTACAGCGGATTTCTATTAATTTTATAAAATTTTGGTCCTATAGAATGTATATACAAATCTACACCTGCCACCACTCGCAGCCTGTCAATCCTCGTCTCTTCAAGACCATGTGATCCCAAACCACTCGTCCACCATGACGAAGGTGATATATTAATAAGTAACGTCCTCGGTTCGGACAATGGCCGTCCTTCTCTTTGACGGGCAGTTCCACGTCCAAGTCTATATTTCCTTCCAATTCCTGTTCCAATGTCGAAATGAACCAAACCGACTGGGGTATCTCAAAATAAGTCAAGGAGTGTCTCGAAGGTCCAAATGCCTGAGCCAAGAATAAAACGAATGTACCCTCCAACTTTTGGCGAGAAAACCCGCCCTCGGTCCTGGCTGCCCCAGGGCCGACTGAGATGCGGGCTCTAGAGAAATGGAAGATTATCTTCTGATAGAAGATATCCGTAACACAAAGGAAAATTGCTGCAACTGCCTGCATGCTCTTTTCTTCCACCTCAGAAAGCAACTCCCACCCCCGGACTTCTCAAGGGTCCACCAATTTCTTTGATGATGAAATCGTCAGCGTCCTTGATGATCTCTGCGTAGCATGGTGGTACATCAGGGACACCGCTGACAATGGGTCTCAAAGTCCCGCCTCCCTTGGAGACACTCTTAACCATGCCGCTTCGACTTTGCCATTCGCCAGCTGTCGTGGTGGTGACACTTGTTGCGTCTGTCAGACTTTGGTTGCCATAGGAGAGAATGTCAGTGTCGATGGTGCTGGCGATGGTGGACTCCGTCATGGTCCTGTGATGTTGCCGCGGCCAGAGATTCAACGGTTTGGGTGGTGCTGCGGCTGGCGCAGAGAGCTGATAGAATTGAGTTCGCTTGCGGCGATGCTCTGCGAACGAGGACGACGTGGACGATGATTTAGTGGTGCTGATGGAGGAAGAATGACTGCGGTGTGCGAGCCACTGAGAAATTCGCTTTTGTGTCTGATAGTTGGGATGGAAGTAGCCTGAAGGCGAGTTCATATCGGCTGGTTTGGAGAAGTTCCTGGCTGGTGCGGAAGGCACAATTGGCGGTGGTGCTGGAGCTTCGGGAGGCACTTGGTCTTGTTGCTCTGCTGGAGTCTCGACGACGCGGGGGAAGTCGAGCACAGTATCACCGATAGTGACCGAGGTCGCCGGAGGGCTAAACTCCTCTTGCATTGGCGTCAGGATGGCCACAGATGCTTCTGAGCGGACACCAGCACCAGGGAAGTGGATTTGTGGAGGCAGGCCGGGGAAAGATGACCACGAAACAGGATGGGAGTGGAGAGCATCGTACTCGGAAGGCGGTCGAGACATCGATATGACAGTCGACGAGGTGTCAGGTCGTGCATGGGACATGCGGCGTTGTTCAATCATAGAGGCAGGCTTTACAGGAGCAGGCAGTAGAGAAACCTTGTGTGGAAGGAACTCTTCTGACTTTGTTCGCACCAATGCTCGCGGCGGGAGCTTGATATCACCGCCCTCTGTGAAACTCAGCCGATCAAAAGCTGGTAGGTCTGACAGGCGGTTATTAGGCATGTAGATGCTGAGCTCGAGCGGACGGAACTCCTGTGCCGCTCGCCGGAGGGGAAGCTGTTGCGCCAGAGGCAATGGTGGCTGAGGACCAGATATTATGGGTTTCGAAGCATGTCTCCGCATTGAAAGGCTTGATCTGAGGGAGGCTTTGCCTTGGGAAACCCATTGCGACAATTGTGAAGGGAGCGGAGGTGTGGGAGTTGGAGGGAGCCCATCAAATACGGTGAGCTTCATGGGCGGGACCAGGTGAGGTTGTTGATACATGATGCGCATTTCTCGCTCCACGCCTGTAAAACATGTCAATCAACTTGTTCCATCCCCGTACCGGAGAGAACCACAAACCAGATGGAAGTGGCTGTTTCTCCAACTCTTTCTCATCACTTCTCGCAAGGAGACAGTCGAAGAACTCAAAATGGCATGTTGGCTCCAGCGAGTCCTCGGGCACGGTCTTCGACCTCATGTCGGCGACGATGAAGACGACGTGTCAACACACAGTGTTGTGAGGCGCCGGTGCACGATTAGGGCTTGAAAATTAATGGGAATGTCGACGATGCCAGCATCAATAAGGAACGAAAAGCAGGAAACCAAGGTCAAGGATGGAGAAGAGGGGAGGGGACAAGGAAGGCGTGATGCTTCCAAAGCTGCAGCTGCAGCCCGACAAACTATCACTCTTCCTTGGAGAAAGAGAGGTCGAGAGGCCTGGCCAGAGGAAGAGGGATCTTTTTCTTTGAAGGACATGAAACGAAGCTTTCAACCGTGGCATTGCTGTGGGGGAACCGCAGTTCCCGCTAACACGAGCTCACTTTTCTCTCCACCTGCTCCTCCTCCTGCTTTCACTCACCGTTGTAGCGGAGCCGTAGAGAGCCCTTCAATCACATCCCCTCGTGGGCGCTTGATCACTGGTACCTGTACAAGGAAGGATGAAAAGGGGGCCTTGCGGCGAGATGAAGCTTGGGGTCGTGGCATTGGACACGAGTTGGTTGGATGAGAGGCTGCCAACAGAGAGGGTCAGAGGAGGTCAGCAATTATCCGAGAGGCTCCAGAGTTCACCAAGCGCCCGAGCCATGGCATAGCATGGCATCGTGCAGCGAGTGTCACCGGGTGTTGATGAAGGCGTATGCGAGTTGCTATTCGCAGGGGATTGAGGAGTCGAGGTGTGAAGGAAGATGAGGCGGGCGGTTAGTTGGTTGGCGTCTAGCCAATCACACGCCTCAGCCTGCTTTCTCTGCAATACACCAAAAACTCGGCTGGGAACAACACACGATGAAACAATCGCACAATAACAAAGAGCAATAGTCTTGAGAGTCGAGACTGATGTGGCTTGGTTTCAGAATCAAGTACGAGGCCGGAGTACCGAGTACGAGGAGATGGAACATCCGCTATGGTTGTGTTTGAAGTGCATATCGTATTATCGGCTGCGTCGTCCACAGCCACGCGCTTCCAAGGCTTCCCTCTGCAATTTACTCCCATACACTGTCCATAATTGTACACATGGCGACTGCACGCACATACGTGGCTCGCTCTCCACCATGACAACGAACACCGCAAGTCTCCACGACCAAAAGAAATGAACCCAAAACCCTCATCTTCCTCTCCCGTGCAATCTCAGTACCTCTCCACTACTCGCGGTCTCCCATCCATTGATCCGTCCAAGGTGAGTCTCTCCCTGTCTTCGGCATCGACATACCTCCTCTCTGGCTCCATTGGGCGGTATCTAGGTTGTTCTACAGGAACATACTCCGATAGGACGGGCCGCCTGTCGTCCACAAAGACGCTACCTTCGCGACCGACAGGGCGCGTACTCTGACCTCGCGTCACGAATTCCACCGGTAGAGGCTCTTCGTATCGCAAAGCTGGCGGTGGCCGCACGCTCCCCATCCGGACGGGCTCGCGGAACTCGGTCCGCTCATCAGCGTATACGGGTTGTCGTACTGGGCGATCCATCACCTGGACGCTAGAGCTTCGTATTGGTGGGGCCGGCTCAAGGTATTCTCGAGGGGCGGACCCGGGTACAGCTGAACTTCTAGGTGGCTCTGCGAGACGGTGGTATGAGACCGGTGGCGGAGGCATTTCGGAAGGATAAGCTCTTTCTGGCGCTGCCTCTACGAAGACCGAGCCTGCACGGGCTTGACGGGGATATTCTTCGTAGCGCGGCTCCACCTCAGCTCCTCGAACTGACATTGCTCGAGGCACAACCGAGGGCCGCTCCTGGATAATTTCGCGGAATCTCCTGCCGTACTGGTCGATGACGATCCGTTCAACGGGAGGCGGCGGCGGCGGCGGCATAGGCTCGACGGCATAACGATGATAAGTCCCGTCGCGATCATCGTAGACTTCGCGATAAACGGGTGCAGGTGTGCGCACCACCCTCACCTCCGGAGGAGGCTGGTCATACTCCACTGCAACCTCACGAGGGGGCCGACCTGGTTCCACCAAGGCAGGACTTTCCACTCGGGCGTAAGAGACGGCACGTGGGCGAGAAGGCGATTCATAGTACTGGTCGACGTATTCTCGCGGCTGCTCTGCTCGCAGACTGTGCATGCTTGCCACGCGGCGCAAGTCCTGGTCATCTCGCGCTGGTCTCACACTCGCCCTGGACAGTGGGCGGGGCTCACTCAAAGGCATCAACTGTTCAACCCGGCGCGGAAGTAGTCGCGAGGGAGATTCCACATACCGTTCAGGAGGGGGCATGTAACGTCCTCCTTGGACTGGATCCTCATCAATGACAATGGGCTGATCCGCTCTGCTGGTTCGGAATCTGCCAGAACCAAGTGGCTGGACGTCGTGGAACGGTGGTGGGGAGACATCTTCTTCCTTGATCAGGCCATCTGGAGACGTTCCACCGTTTCTTCGGGATTTTCGGGCATTGCGAGCCTCACGAGCCTCAAGCTTTCTCTTTTTCTTGGGTGGTAATGCTTGCATATCATCAGGACTTGTGGGAGATCCTGGTCTTCCAATCCATTGTTTCCGGCGGGGACGTGCATTCTGTAATAGAGGGGAATCCTTAGTTATAGCCAGAGGCGAGACACGAGACGGTTGAGGGCAAATGGGAGAGGTGATATGGTTTCTTACTATCCGCATGTTGGCTTCCGAGGGTGAACCGGGCCTTCCCCCACCGTCTTCCAGCTCCGAGTATCTGCGCAGGGGACGACCGCGTGGATCTCTACTGTCCTGCATTTCCTGTGCTTGAGTGACCTTGGGTGTGGGATATTGAACCATGGCTTCTGGGGGCGAATACTCTCCTTCCTCTTCATCCTCATCCATGTCCATTGCGGCAGTATCGACGGGGGCTGCAGATTTTGGAGGTAGGACGGCAAGGGGCGCAGGAGGCGCAGCTTGAGCGGAGATACCATCAGCAGCATCAGAGTACAAAGGGGCTCCCATGACGGCGCTGACGACGCGTGCGCCCGAAGGCTCGTCCGCCTGCTCTTCATCAGCGTCGTCGGTAGAGTCGCTAGGCGGTCTCTCGGGCGTCGAATCGGGGGCTTTGCTAGAGTAGTAGGCATCTTCGTCGAAGGAGTCTGTCGCATCGACATCTTCCTTGGAAGACGGGGATTTGACGGCGCCCGTCACTCTGGCAAAGATGGCTGGTAGGTCAAAGTCCGGTTTCGCCTCGGCAGGCGCAGGCTTCTTGCGGGCATCTGCTTTTCTATGTTCAAATTGTTCTCTCAATGCTCGCTCAAGTCGTTGTCGCTTCAGCTGTATTTCGGCCCGAACTAGATCATCCGACTTTGTCAAAAGGACAGGGTCAAACTCAGAAACATTACTGGTAGGTTGATTGGCAGTTGCGACAGAAACACCGTTTGGTTTTGTTTGAGCTGGGGTGGTCTCATCTTCACGCTTTCCCTGAGTCGCAGCTCCAAGATGATTTGGAGAAGCACTTGGAGGAAATGGAGGAGGTACATTCAACTGAGTTTGAGAAAGGGTTGATGGGGTCTGAGAAGCAGGCACTCGGATGGCATGGGCTGGCACTGTCAATCTAGGATGACTTCCAGAAAATACCTCGTCGCGAATCCTCAGTATCTTCTCATATTCCAAGGCCTCATTGACGGGTTGCAGAGAGGTCGGGAGAACGCCATTCAGTAGAGGGCCAGAAGAAGCGGCCATGCCTAAGGGATGCGCGTCTGAGCTGCGCAGAGCTGACAGATGGATTCTACCTGGACAGACACATGGCAAGGGTCAAAGGAGCAACAATTGAGAGACAGAAGAGGATGCTGGCAAGGGGAGTTCAACAAGGGTAATAAGGAGCCCCGGTGAGGAAGCAGGATCACCTCTCGAGAGGTTGATGAGGATGCGGAAGAAAAGGAGATGTTTTCGCGACTCTCCCCAGCAGGTGCAGGTGGTTTTCGAGGACACCCAGCCATCGCCAAGCATTGTATCACGTGGATAGTCACATGACCGAGATTCTCTTTTCCCTACGATCCTTTAACATCCACGGATCTCCCGCCAATTGCCACTTACGAATCAACCATGTTGAGGAGTCACAGAGATTTCTTCCGCTTCATATAACAACTTCGGTGGCCGACTGTAACTGATTCTTTCTGGAGCAACGCACTCTCATTCTGGGTATTATAGACTTCCTTTTTCTCTTGAATTTCTCATCATAGCATTGTATCGGTACCATAGATCTCATCGCGATCAGAGTCATGGGCTCAGTCCAACCCGACACCGCCGACAAGCGGGCCATTTTCTTCTTTGACATCGACAACTGCCTCTATGCCAAGTCCAAGAAAGTCCATGACCACATGGGACTCCTAATCAACAAATACTTTGTGACGCACCTCGACATGTCGGCCGAGGAAGCGACGTACTTGCACAACAAGTACTACAAAGACTACGGCCTGGCCATCGAGGGTCTGTCGCGCTTCCATAAAATCGACCCGCTAGATTTCAATCGAGAAGTCGATGATGCATTACCCCTGGACGAGCTTCTGTCACCGCATCCCGAGACGAGAGCCATGCTGGAGTCATTCGATAAGACCAAAGTCAAACTGTGGCTGTTTACGAATGCACACATTACCCACGGCATGCGTGTCGTGAAGCTACTGGGCATCGACGATCTCTTTGAGGGAATCACATACTGTGACTACTCCCAGACGCCACTCGTTCCAAAGCCACTTCCGGAGATGTTCACCAAGGCAGAGCGGGAAGCTGGCGCCACATCGGAGACCCCCATTTACTACGTGGACGACTCTTATTCAAACTGCCAAGCAGCGTATGTGCGTGGATGGACCAACACAGTCCATCTCGTGGAGCCTGGCGTACCGGATCCACCAGAAAAGGCGAGCAAGTATCAAATTAGCGATCTCTCACAACTCCTGGATCTATTTCCTGAACTTCTGAAAAACAGTAATGGTTCGGTATGAAGAAGTTGGATTCTAGAATATGGTCCTTTAACCAAAAATACAATGTTATTCCCCCGCCTCAAGGCTCTTCCTCAGAAGGATCATACTGAAAGCAGGGCTGTGCTTGAACGCTAGACATATATAAAGAGATTTCCCTTCCAAGGGGTTTGATGGTCATCAAATCGTGTCAAACAGAAGAAAGGACAAACGCATTTGCCACTCATGCAACGGCCAGCACACGCCGTCTTCCAGACAGATCACTGGGGCAGAATCTCCAAGCTCCTGCATGCTTCTTTGCATGCCAATTCCTGATGACGGCCTCAATGACCCAAGGTACGTTAGGGAAGCCACACTTCTCTCCGTCAATAGTGAAGGACTTATCCTGGCACCCTAACGTCCAGGGAGCGTCAGTGTACAAGCTGTTGTCCTTGGTGGCAATATGCTCTGCGTGCTTCCAGATCTTCATCAACTCCTTGCCGTCTAAAGTATGAAGGTTTGCCAGAGTAGGGATCTCATCGTGCAGATGCTGGATAAGATTGGGCGCAAAGGATTCAATGATGTGTCGAAGGGTGGCTCCATTGTACTCGGCCGACTTGGTGATGAAGACATATTTCTGGAAGATGGTGAGTGCCTCGGCAAATGACTCGTGGCCCTTGGTGTTGACTTCCATTGCACCGGGTTGGCCCAGCAACTTTTCATACGCCGGAAACATATAGTCGTCCTCAACATGATGATGGTGGTCCAAGGTGTTGAAGATCATTTGGTTGAAGAGAAGGAAATCAGCGGCTTCCTGTGTATCAGGTTGGACCAAAACTGCCTGGTTCCACGATGCATTCAGGGCACGGATGATGGTGTTGTGGATCTGGGCCATTTGACGGGCACACCACAAGGCTGGGTGATCCTTTGGCACGGAAGCAGGAATATTCTCCAGATGGATGGTGGCGATCAACGGGTAATGGTCGTCAACGTAGCGAGGCATCTGCATGCTGGGCTTTGAGAAAGCACTGGTCGACACCGAAGTTTGTGACCCTGCGGAAGACGAGGCGGTGCGATTTGATCGGACGGAGTTGGAAGAGCGAAGAGATGACGCTGATGACTTTTCCATCTTCGAGACGTAAAGCTGTCGCTCTGTTTCTGATAAATAGAGAAGATGAGAATATCTTTTCTGAGTAGGCGACGTTGACCGGGGCCGAGTGGGTGAAGAAGCGGTTCGGGGAGTAGGCTCCCTGATGATGGGAACAGTCTGCATGTTGTCGAACAGGAATACTGGCTGCCTTTGATGCCCAAGTTTTCTGTAGGTATCTTGTTCTGACTGGCAAATCCTTATGGTGTTTGATATGAGAAGGCAGTCGGTTACATGTGGGAAAACATATGATCGGGCTGAGGATCCCATCTCTTTATGTATCCCGCACCGTCCGGGACCCATGTCCACGACTCTACCTTGTACCTATGTGCAGTCAGAACCCCATGTCCATGCAGCAACCGGAGACTAGGATTCTGGAGACTGCTCGTTTTGGAAAGTTAAGCACGGCTACATCGCGGTAAGAACCAATGTAAGCGGGCAAGGGACCTCGAACCACGCCAACACAGAATGCGAGGAAGGGCCTAGAGAACGCCAGGCAGGCTGTGTCTGGTCAAGGTGGCACCACTCTAGCTAGGTTTAGAACGTCAAGGACCCATTTCTCCTTGCCGTACTGGATGCTTGCAAAAGGACAAGCTTTATGGGCCTACAGCGACGTGGCCTGGAAGTAAGTTTGTCGGCTCGCTGGCGTAGCTGATGTCGTGATTGAGAGTTCCGAGCCCCTTGCATCTCGCATTGGGTTTGGCGCCAGGTACGGTTGCAAGGGCAACTTTCGAATACGGGTTTCGACACGAGAAGGAGACCCAAGGAAGAAACCCAAGAAGTTAGAACGTCCAGGCCACGTCGCTAGTTTGTCCAGGGTACCACGTGTACTGGGCGTCTCTTTTGCAGCTGCTCTTGCAATCAGAGAGATCACAGGGGTATTCCAGTCGGAATTGATTGTTTGTCAAGTAGTTCGCCGAAGTTGTACGTCAGGGTTCATGCCTTTTCTGTAAATCACCTGCGTACCTGGTAATAATAACCTGGCTCGCTGGAGACATCCCAACAGGGCGCTCGGCGACTAGTCTTCGCTTGCGCGTTTAGATCCTCCCACTTCCAAGCCTAGTGAGTCCACAATGACAATTTGGCGTGATCATGAGACTTCAATGGAGGGGAAGTCAAGCTGATGAGGCACACCTCGACTAACTCTGCCCAAGTGGGTAAGGCGAGTATAATACTATTTGGCGAACGGACATCTTGGTCATTGTTCTTCGTAGTATCCAGTGTACGAGTACGATCGGTCCATCCGAGGTGCAGAGGGTTTCTCGAAAACCACCATATGAGCAGGTTGTCGCAACCACAGGGGTGACATTCTGGCTGCGTAGGTGTACCGATTCTGGCTAAGCGAACAACGTCTCTTCTCTTGTTTTGAGGTATGATGCACCAAGGATGCAGCAACTCCTCTTGGCTGGAGAACTCAACCAGCAGTTCTCCTCTCTCCCGGTCAGGCCGAACATGCCCTGGCCAACCTTGATGAGTGGGGTGTGATGAGGTGGACACTGCTGAGCGGCCACAAGCCTGGTGGCTTTCAAGGGCTATCGGATGGCTGGCTGGTTGAGTTTTGTGTCACACAATTGTGCTCCTGAATCAATGAACCTTCAGCAGCGTCTGGATCTAGATTTCCACTCTCTTGCCTTGTCGAAGAGTGCCACATGTTTCTTCCAGCCGCGAGGTCTTTTGGGGCTCGTATCTGTTGCCACGGACGCTCGCATCGCGTGAAGGCTCGGCTGATGGTCAAAGGGTGAAACACCAAACGAGGTTTGGCACTATGTTTGGTAAGCTGACGAAATGACTTGCAATGGGTGCGAACTGTAAATGAGTTTGATCGCTCAAAGTGGACCATGCGGTCGCGTACCTTGCAGAGGCCGATGCCTTTCACTCCAAATTATGCTGGTCTTGTTCAAGGAACAGGGAAGGTCCCAAAGGCAAATTCCGGGGTTGGGAACAGGCGCCCCAGGCACCTCAGGCACCCGGCTACACTTGGAGCCACCCAGGAGCTTCGGCCCGCCCGGGCTGATAGGCTTCTTCGATGACTGTTGCGGTCCCAAACTGACCGCCTAAGCTGCCTAAGCGGTCGCCCGCCTGCAACCACTTTGATTTATTAACCACTTTGATCGACCCGCGAGCTCATTCCTTCCCGACGGCAACGGCAGGGACCGTTCTTCGAGATCAGCATTGATTGTACCGTCGTCATCATCCATCATCCATCATCAGTCATCATCGCCGTCTCACTCAGATCAAATCCATCATCTCCAAACATCAATCAAAGATAACCGTACCAGATTCTGTCAGGACTCGAAAGCCTCGTACGTTGAGCCATCGACCCTGAGCTCCTAGTCATGCGTCTCCCAGGGGATGTCGCTCGAAGAGTCTAAGCGCCCACGCCAGGGGATGCGATGCTTGCCCCTCGAACACATCTGGGTCACGACTACTAACTCGTGTCACTGTACCTCGTACCTTTCCCCGCGCAAGCAGAAAGTGGGCTTCCATCCATGGTTGCCTCTTGCCGAACCCCACGAATACAGCCTCCATGCTGCGCTCAGCTGATCCATCTAGCCGTCTCCTGGAGCAAGAGTGACACGGCCTGACGCCGAGCACAACTAGTTCTAGATCAACGGAGAAAGATACTGCCACATATTAGGGGCTCCCAAACCATGCTGGCGCTCCCAATCTGGGTCGATGCGGGCCACACAACCGGATTTGGCTTTGATTTTCACGAATTTCCAACCGGAAAGCTAAAAGGGAAGGAGAATCACTTCTAGAACAAAGTATAACCCATTCTAGTCCTAATGAAGTCGATCACGACGCGACACAGTTACCCGAAAAGCATATAGAGAAGTCAACAGCCATGCGTGGCCGCGGCCAAGGACCTCTGTCTCAAAATCACAACAACACTGGATTTTTCGTCTTTATGATCTGCAAATTCTATTCCAAGGTTTGTCACCCTCCTTCATAAGTCGCGTGGTTGCTAACGCAGGCCAAGACCATGCACAACTCGATTGGACGTTTTGCCAGAGAATCATCTCAGTCAGGAAGGCAGTGCCAGAAGATCTCGTATTCCGACTTCGCCCCCTGAATAATGATCCGGGATGGCAAGTCAGAGCCGCACCCTTCATGTCACCCAGTTATAGCATTGGCACCCGACCGAAGCATGCACCAGGCAACGTCTGAGTCCTGAGAGAAAGACTGCTCAGGTATTTTCTGGATCATACCAGCCCCGTTCGAAGCAGCGTCAATCTCTAGGAAATATTGGGGCCAACATTGTCTGATCGGCCTACTTCTGCCGACAAAAATATCACATTCCACTACACGCAAAGCCACGTTCTCTGTCTGTCCTGACAGCCAGCCGACTAGCACGACCCTTCCAGAAAGCGTGACACCATTTCCGGTAGCACATCAACATCTGGAAACTTCATCCTTAATGCAGTGACAGGCGCCCCTCTTGCGGAGACCACCTCTGCGCAGACGTTCTCTAACGTGATACATGGAGAACAAACACTGTTGCTAGAAGGCCCAGGCGATTCGATGCACCTTGATAGTTAACTTCAGGTGATCTTCGCCTCTTTGAGTGGCCTTCTGCAGGGCCTGGTTCAACACGTGTTTTTCTCGATCCACCTCTCCTGATATCGTCTCTCGCGTTGTCGGCCCGTGTGCATGTGTTCCCCTTAAGCAGACAGTGTTGAGCTTGACTGTCCAGTCATCTTGCGACGAAAAGGAGTGCTGAATTGACTTCGAGAACTCCAAATCCTTTTTGGGGCCCCTTTTGACGACCCAGTCATCACTCGGTTACCTCCTCTTCATGCAGAAGCTCCAACGGGACAGGAGATCTGGGTCAGTGGTCCCAGTCTAGACCACAACTACAAATGTATCCCTTTGCTGGTCACATCTCTCATGGCGTCGCCGCGTGTCTGCTTCGAGAACTTTAGCATAAGGAGGATCCATAAACAAGTTCGCCCCAACTGTGTCCCGTTCTGTATCCCCATCCCATGGCAATGCCACCAAAAGCAGTCCAATTCTTTGCTACCCAGTGAATCCTAGCAATTTCCTGGTGCATTAGCGCCAGATATGCAAAGCACTCAGGAACTCTTTGATCTCAACCTAGGTCCATTCCATTTGCGGTGCAGAGAGGTTGTCCAGCTGTTCCTTCTCGGCTGCAGTGTCTGCCCAGACAACCTTTGTAACAACATCGGGCGTACATGAGCTGTCTTTCAGGTGCAGTGGAATCTCCCTCATGAGCCATGCACCGCAGGTAGTAAACAAACTGTGATGCTTCTCTGATCATGTCGACTAGCTGGAGTAGGTATTCAAACTGTTGAGCTTTTATCAAACAGTCGATGGCCAGGCTGTCCATGTTCTGGTGGGAGCGTGCTGGACAGAGGCAGGGATATTGCAGACCGGATGGGAGCGACGCCTCGATGCTGCTCTTCACTTCGCAAGTTCGTTGTTGCGCCTTCCATATTACGTATTTCTCCTTGACCAGCAGCATTTTTTCTCACTTTGATCCACCAACACTTTGCTCGAGCCTCTTCTCGAAGTCGCCAACCTGTAGCAAATGTATATTCCTTCTCTTTTCTGAGGTAGACGGCACTGAAGAATGACGCAATAGCACTCTCTCGGCTTTGTATCGTCGCTCGACAAGGTCTGTACGCATACAGGCTAGTATGTGCCTCGGACGTGCCGCGAGGAAGTCCAGTGTTGACTGATATGTTGACTGATCAGATACTCGAACATTCCCTCCTCGTCGTCAAAGCAACTCAGTTTGACCGGAGCAGGTTCGGCGGCCTGAACTTCGTATACTGTGGCCCCTTCGAGTACTCCCTCGATCCGCACTCTCCAGGAGTCCAGATCAATCGCGAACTTCTTTGACACAAAAGAGTCAGTACTGGTGGATTTGGGCATCTGCTGCGGGAAGAAAAGGATCTCCCTCACCGAGTGAATGTCCTCAGTGTTGTCGGCAAGCCACAACCTTCCTTCCAGCAGGACACTTCTCTTCCGCCCTTGAAGTGTCAACATCTTCTTGATGTATATATGATCGAAAAGATATCCGGTCAACAATGTCTTGATTGGGTCACACTTGACCCTCTCGATGAACCCCTGCGTCAATTTTGGCCCGTCAAAGACACTATTGTCCACAGGACCTGTTTTTCTCAGCTTTCGAATGGTCACAGTCTGTACCTGTGCCATCTTGTCCAAGACGTGATGCAGCCAATCCGTGCTGAAGCAATGAGTCTCCAAAATCACCACCTGCCGCATTATCTCGTATACCTGCGGACAGACCAAGTGAGGAGGGTCTCCTGGATGACCTGTAAAATCGAATGTGCCACGTGACAGGAGGTATGGTGCGACCTCTCTCTTCCATTTTCTGCACACTGCTAAGGACGCGAATGAGGTAGAGGGGGTTTGACTGGGGTTGTCCGTCTGGGTTGCCGAGTCGGGTGGTTGCAGCGGTTTGAAGACGAGTGCTCCGAAGGCGTACTCGTAGACCCTGCTGCGGATCTCTGCCGGAAGTTGAAACCATGACACCATTGTTGGATGCTCTTCAAAGTCTTTGCGGTTTCGCAGAGACTACTAATACTTGTCGACCTGATACACCGATCGAAGATCGTTGAAGTTTGATCAACTCAGAACAGCCAGCAAGCAAACTAAAAGCCGTTGAAGGATGGTTGGCTTGTCCATGAGTCATTAACAAAATCAGTTACCCTTTCAACAGCAGTACCCCATGGCTGGGAGAGCGATGGTAGAGCGTTGTCCTAGATAACGTGAATGAGCTGACATTGCACCACCGGGATTAGGGCAGCCCGCTCCACAACCTTCTAGCTTCGAGCACGGCATCAATGGCAAGTCTAGAACGGACTACCCTAGACTCAGCTGGTCGCAATAGGACGAACTTTGGCCATGGTCGTGACCAGAAGGGTCAGCCGCAGCCTTGGCCGTAGCCTCATTCCCCAGGCATGACGGACAACACAACCCAGCACGGCGTCCAGCAAGACGCTGGAGAGCAGGTATGGGAATGAGTAAGATTATTCTCTTGGGACGTCCTTGGCAGAGTCAAACTGGCCTGCTAGGGCTTACCAAATAGGAAGGCCGTTCATGAGGCCCCGGGCAACGACCAACGATGTTGACCTTTCTGCACTGTTTTTTCATCTGGAGATCAAAGCTAGGCCGCCCCCCCTCCCGCTCGCTCGCTCGACTAACAGCGTCATTCTCAATCTCCTGGCTCCGAAACCAGACGCGGAATTGAGCACCGAGAACGGCAGAATATTGGATGAATGCTGGAGGGAGGAGGTGGCGAAGAGGCGTAGGAGGAGCGGAAAGCAGCGGAGAGGTGGAATGTTGAGGAAAAGCAATGCGTCGGAGCAAGTCAAGAAGTCGGGCACAGCACAGTACCAGGACACGGTAAGACATGACTCACGTTCCTGTCGTCGAACGAACACTATAGTGTGCTGAAAATTCAACTTCAGCCCTTTGGTCGCCCTGGGGGAGAGAGTCAGGCTGTCAAAATGTCAGCAGAAAGAGAGAAAGAATGTGGGTCTCACAACCCTTAGCGCGTATATGCGTATACTCGTACGAGAGGACGAGAGGACTCGATGTTGTTAGGGTATGGGGGATGATACCCTGTGGTCAGGTATGTAATCCGATCCCATCCAACTCAATCACTCCATCCAGTCCACCCGGTACCGAGTCACCTACCTTAGGTAGGTAGTTAGGTAATATCGTGGACGTCAGATATACCTAGGTACCTACCTAGGTAGGCATTGATGCCAAATTGCAAGTAATCTGCCCGACGACGATATCGGCATCAGCAATCCTCAGGCCTCTCCTCTCGCCAATTATACGACGGTCGTGGAGCATTCGACTCGATTATTCGTTCTTACGACAATTTGAATGCGCCGTCTGAGTCTGAGTCTCTTCGTAGGAGTTCAGCCGAGATTACCCAGTACATACTCTCCCCCGTTTTTTTCCATTTTCTGATATAGAGTACCTAAGGTACCTAGGTAGGTACGTATATGTGTTGAGTGGGTGAGTGGCTATCCAGGCAAAGAGACTACCAAGGGTCACATCCCAATAAATTATGCTTCCCCCCTTCCTTGCAATGCTCCGCCCACATCATCCGTGCATGCGTGGTATGTATTCCGTTCCCCGAGGACCTCGAAAAGTGGTTCGTCTGTCCCGGATACCTAGTACTTCTCCGAACACTCGCTTCTGGTGTGTCTAATTCCATCCGTAGGAATCTTACGCCGTGCTTGGAATCGAAACTCCAATGCCCGGGACCTCGTGCTGGATTCTGCTCTTGTCTACCCATCTACCTAGGTACGTAGGTCAAGGCAATTATTGACTGACCCTGAGGACCGTCTGGTCCTCTTTTGCCGGACTCTCGCTCATTCATGGAAGTTTTTCGCTGGCGTAGCTGGCTTTGCTTTGAACAGTGGCGTGCATGTTGACTGAGGTTCAGGGTGGTTCTCCCCTCGGCCCTGATGGCTTGCTGCACCCTTCCCGCCCGGGATTCTTCCTTGAGGAGGACAGGGGCAGATTGAGACAAATGGGGTGATGGCAGCAACTTGCTTTCGCGGTGTATGCGTATAGGTAGAAAAGAGCCGAAATGACGCTTTCCGACTGGCTGCTCCTTCGCAGAAGCAGTGTGGGAGGTTCGTCCTGAATCCAATCCCACTGACCTGTGACTTCTGTAGTTCTGGCACAAAAGTCCAACGACTGCCGCCCCTCTCAATCCTCTTCCAACTCCTTAAGCCGCGCCTCCCACGCGTCCACGCCTCTCAACAACGTCTCCAACTCCTCCTTCTCGTCCTCCAGCTTGATCCTCCTCTCCGCGTCTAGCGGACAAAACACGTACCCGCCCTGTCCGTCAAATTGCAAGATGACACTGTGGTATTTCCACAGACTGCGTCGGTGACTCACTGTCATCAGCGTCGTGCCCAGCCCTTTCGCCGTCTCGTACATTTTCCTTTCCATCTCCAGCGTCACGGAGCTGGTGCATTCGTCCAGGATGGCATATTTGGGCTTGTGGTAGAAGAGGCGGGCCATGGCGATCCGTTGTTGTAAACCTCCGGAGAAGACGTCGCGCCACTCCTCAACGGCGTCCCATCCGTTGGGTCTGTTGATAATGGCTTCAATCTCCAGGATGGACAGGATCTGCTTGAGTTGCTCCTCGGAGCCGTTCTTGGCTCGGAATTCTCGCAGCGTGTCCGGGTAAATTATTTGATCTCTCAGTGTGCCTCGACTCAGGTACGGTCGTTGGGGAATGTAGAAGATATCTTCGAACCTGGGTTTCTTCACGGATCCGCCGTAGACGGGCCAGAGCCCACCGAGGATCCTGAAAAGTGACGATTTTCCGCACCCGTTGGGACCAACAATCAACAGGTGATCACCCGGTTTGATTGCGAAGGTCAACTTCTTGACCAGGACATCGCCGTTGGGACTCACGATAGGGACGTCGGTGAATTCAATGTTGTCACTCTCTTCGATCGTTCCTCTTCCTCTGAGCACCGCGGCGTTCTCCTCCGTCGAGGCCGAGCTGACCAGTTTCTTCTCGAATCGTCCAGCCGAGACTTCGTCCATGACATCGAGTAACCCGGCGACGCGGGATGTGTAGCCTGCCAGCTCCGTGATTTCCTTGTAGGAGAACATGATGCGGCCGAAGGCGTCGGAACTGCTCAGGAGCATGCGCCGGTTTGTGACAAAGGATTCGGTGTGGTCACCTCTAGATTCCCCTGGAGTGAGGTTTTGTCCGGGGATTTTGAAGAAGACTGGTAACGAGCACAGGAGGAGGCCAAGGGCACCCCAGAAGTACTTGATGACAAAGTCTTCCATGAAGCCGTGATAAAACCGTCTCCTCAATATGCGATTAACATGTTTGATCAGTGTGAAATAGCCCTTGTCCAGGCCGTCCTTTTCAGCCTCGTGGCCGGCATATAATGCAATCTCTTCACTGTAATCGATCAATCTTGTATGTTGGAAACGAAATTCTCCCTCTAATCGCGCTTCATCTGCAACGTATTTTCCGAAGGGGGGTGTCAAAGCGCGCATGACGTTGGCGGAGATCTGGACTAGGAGAGCCATAGCAAAGAGACCCTCTCCACCAACAGACTTGGAGAGGGAATAATTGTAAATTACCATGTCGAGGATGGGTTTGGCGAGGTTCGAGTAGAGTTCGGCGAGCGAGTTGGAAAAGCGAGAGACGTCGACGGTGATGAGTTGGTCGGCGTTCTTTATTCGATCGTCCAGGGCCGAGAGGGTGTAAAAGGTCATGTTATTGAGATACTTTTCGTGGATGTATTGTGTGAGCCGTGTCCTGTAGGCCAGAGCAAGGCGCGTCTGATGGTACTGAAGCATCGAATTCGTAAAGGTTGCGGGCACGGCCACCAGCATCCACCAAACAAGACCCAAGACAAACTCTCGACCTTTGCCGCGGACGAGGGCCGACACGACTTTGCCATCGAGTTCGGCGACGTAGAGAGAGAGGAGGGTGCGGATGACGAGAAAGACGCTGTGGGAGACGATGAGTCTCAGCTCTTTGCTCCTCCAGCCGGGGATCACGATCTTGAGGAGGCGCAGGAGATTGCGAAAGAACTCTCGGTTGATCTCAACTCTTTTCTTTCTGTGTTCCTCCTGTTGTTTTTCATTCTTCGCATCTGGATCTTCTGTTGTCTGCTGCTGCGAGTGCCGAGCGCGCTCTCGCTGAATCTCGGCCTGCCTCCTGGCTGCGGCCTTTTGCTCTGAGATGGCATTGTGGATTCGATGGATCAGGGCGACGACCAAGGTGATATAGACGGTCCGAGAGATGTTGGTGCGGTTTTTGAGGTAGAGGGAGGTCAACTGCGAGATGATCTGCTTGACGCTCCGGCCGGGGGGCAGCAGCTTGGACTGAACCGCCATTGTGCCGGCGGTGGGCGAGGATGCGAGGATGAGATGGAACGAAGATGGGAAGAAGGACCAAAAGGGTTTCTATCACAACATCATCATGGTCATGATTGAGGAGCCTGGAGTTGACATTCCGGTCCAGTTTTGTTCACATGCTTCATGTAAGTTCAGGATCACGGCCACCAGCGGCGAGGCGGGAAGCGTCCGGTGTTGAGTGTTCATTTGGTTCATTGGAGAGGCGCCACAAGCCTCGGTCGATGCATGCATGTGCTGATCTCGCCGTGTCTCCAGTGTCTCCCAAGTGTCTCCCTACGAGAACATGACGTATTGCATTCCATGGGGTATGCAGCGAGGCAGCAATAAACGAGATATTAATTCCTGCTTTGACATGCACCTTCACTACTAGGTACCAATACCGAATGCTCCATACGCTGGTTGACAACAACATTTCATTGCTCATATCTCATGGCATGTACAACCGCAACCACCAGGAACCTTCACCCCAAAACTTCATTAATCCTGCCTGTCAATTCCACCTTCAGCCTCAAAATCCGTCCAGCAAGTCTCTCAGTGTGATCGGTTTCCGAACGGCATTTGAGAAACCCTCATGAAATGAAACCCATACTCGACCCTCAGCTTTAGTACGTAGCTGCCCCATGCGCTCCTTCGCCCCTTTACCGGCCGACGTAGGTCGGCTCTCGTTAATGATCCGACCAAAGAAGTCGCGCTTAGTGCCAGGCCCTTGAGAAGATATCTCCTTCGCCTTGTCCGCTGGGCTTTCGTTTTCCTTGTTGGCTCCACCATCAATCCCTCCGTCAAGGCCCGAAGTGCCAGAGCGAGCGTGTCGGGTGACCGAGTTCTGCAATATTCTCTCCTTCCTCAGCTCTTGATCGAGCACTTGTCGAACTGCATATCGGACCGGTGCGGCGCCCGAACTGGATTTATCCATATGATAGCTTAGCAGTGTATCGAGAGGGCTGTCATCTATGTTAGCAGCCGAAGCTTCGACCCAGTAGACGGCGGACTTACGGTTCCATCCGATATGCATACCCGCCGTTCGAGTGAGCACCCCCGCCCTCGATTTCCACACGGACTTTCTCAAATGAAACATCCAGAGCCAACATTGTTCGAACTGCGTTGCGGATACAGGTCTTCTCGGTCTCTTTTCGCACACTAGCGACACTGGCAGAGCTCCCGGATCCCCCGATCACGACAGGCTTCACATCTGGAGCCAGCATCTTGCCTACATTTGGTATCAGCTCGGTCGCAATGTCGTCCACGGAGCTGAACAGTCTCAATAACGACCCTGAAAAGTTCGACTGTAGCTCAGTGAGCAAGGTGCGGTTCTGCTTCTCCGCCTCATAAGCGGCGAAGTCTGCTTTCAGGCCACTGAACGGGTGGACTTCCTTGATTTCTTCTTCTGGCAATTCTTCATTCCATGCCACTGTACCTTTATCGACAGCCGCAAAAAGATGGTGAAATCCACAGGCGCTAGTATTAAGGTAGGGCGTCAATTCCCACTCTTGCCCCGAGAACACTCGACTGGATAAGCAATCGTGAAAGTGAAGCCATTCGTAACTTGCATTTGGTTTGGACAGTCGGACGTCATCTTGGAATACTTGTGTCGGATATGTGGCAAAGCATTCCGTGACGACTCGGTCATGCTCCCCACAGGTATCAACCATCTCTCTGAGGGCGCTAATTGCTGCTCGCTTTCGAAGATTGGCGACTCCAACTGGGTTGCTTTTCGAATCAGCAACCAGTCTCGCGTCGTCTGCGCTCAAAGCAGTTGGGAGGTTAGGCAAGCCAGCCCCTTCCAGAAAGATTCGCTCAACAACCTCGCGAACGCCGCCCCGTCCAAGGCCTTTCTGATCGGTTCGAGCTTGTTCAAGCTGGGGTTCGAGCCACTGCCGTGTAAGACGGGCTTTGGTTTCGTTGGCACGCAGTTTATGTGCAATCCATTCGGCTTGTACGAGCACACTTCTGATGTCGCCTTCTCCAGATCCCCGAGAGCCTAGCCCTCTCTGCTTCCGCATTGCCAGGCCCCACGCGTTCTCGCACAGCCGGCGGACAGCATCGTTGTCACAGGCAATGCATTCCTTTTCGAAAACAGACCTGATTCGAGCAATGACCTTGTCCATCGGCGCCTTCCGAACATGGACGATTTCAGCAATGGAACTCGTCCGTAATGGTCGAAGTGAAGGTGCGTAGACGTCGTTGCATACCATGATCAATGGTCGGAGCATTCTGAATTTGTCACCCTTCTTTTTGCCTCTCGCGGCATCTTGGTTTCCACTTCCCAACGAGTTTCTCTGGTCGAGCTGCACCAGGTCGATCAGAGCTTTCACAAATCCGCCTTCACCACCACTTGCACTAGAACCCGTGGTGACACCATCCACTTCATCGACGACGACGCAGACAGGGCGTCCGGCTTTTCTAGCCTTGCCCTGTTCTTTGATACCGCGCACTGTCTCAGTTCCGAGGGCATCTTTGATCCTTCCTTTGACCACGTCCCGGCTTCTGTCGTCACTGGCATTGATTTCGAGAACCTCATATCCTGCTTGCCTCGCACAGACGTGGGCTAGAGTAGTCTTTCCAAGGCCAGGGGGGCCAGTCAGAAGCAGAATTTTTCGATGCTGTTGACTGGGATCATTATCGTCAAAGGCTCTCCTGGATTTCAGTTTTGCACTTCCCGGAAAGACCACTTCATCCCACTCTTTGAGCCATCGAAGGACCTGTCGATGAGTTCTTTCGTCACCCACAAGCTCCGTGAATTTCCTTGCGCGGTATTTCTCCGTCCACATCTGGTGGGCCACTGGATTTGAACCTGCTGATGTCATGTTTGTGGGCAAGTCCATGGCCTGCTGTTGACTTTTGCTCTGTTTCTCAAACTCGTCAAGTTGCCGGAGCGTCTTTGCATCGTCCATCAGCTTGTGGATTTCAATGCCGTAGTACGCTTTCTTTGCACGTCCTTCCACGGCTACCGAACGCTGCGCAATGGTCTGCTCATATGACAAAGCTTCAGACTTTTGCCTGGTGGGGATGTTCAACGCTGTGCCAGAAGATGTCTGCAGGGTAACGCCTCCCTGTTGCCGCTTTCTGAGCAACGGGCGAGGAAGAGGAGGCAGGTGTGGGCTGGACGGAGTATGTCGGCTTGTTGCAGTTTCTGATATACTATTCATTAGTGCGGGTTCCACGAGATCTTCCCGTGATTGTGGATGGGCTGCACCCTTGTCTACCCGCGAGACTGGTTGATCAACATTCTTCGGCCTGGTCTCAGCATTGTTCTCGTCCTCATCTTCGTCGTCATCGACTTCAAAGCCGGCCACCACCTTAGTCCTCTTTGATTGCTGCTCGACGGGAAACGGTTGGAACAGTCGGCGTTTCTTTTTGTTCGTAGGTAAGGGGGGTGGTGAAGAGCTAGGAGCATAGAGGACGGGAGATGACGAGAACATCATTGTGTCGGAGGTGAGGCCAATTTCCGAGCCTAGAGAACGCAAAAATGCATCAGAGGTGTTCAAGGTTGCATGTGTAAAAGTATTCGAGTCGGCCTTTCTTCCAAGGTCGCGGCGGTAAAGGTCTCCGAGGTCGACGAGGTCGGGAGAGGATGGGCAGATATCAAAGCTTTTCGTGTGTGTAGAAGTGCTGTCCTTGCGCCTCAGCTCCTCAATTTTGCTGTCGTCAAGTAGAAGTGGCATGTCCCTGGGTCTTGAACCACTGCAAGTTGCGAGATTCAATGGTCAACACTCCAAGGTGTTCACACACGCGCGACGCGCTTCTCCAACTGCAACGCGTAGCGGGAGCAGCGGGACCTGCAGCGGGGACCCTGCAGCCCATACCCGAGTAATTCAAACTCCTAGGCCGTCAAGCCGTCAACCTTTCGTCATACGATGCGGAAAAAGGTATGATTTTGTCTGACTAGAATCTTCAGTTGCAGGAAGGCGATGAATAGCACGGCGATGTGGGGAAAGTCGCCGCGTCAGACGAGACAACTTTTTGCCTCTCAAATCTCGGTTGCTTTAGAAGCGCAGTGCAGTCTTCATATCTACATATCCCTTCGCTACATTCCAACGAGTATTAATAACTAAAACAATGTCGCATGGGGCATGTGTCCGGTCGCATCGATCCATTTGTCTCAGAGACACCCATAAAACCCGCCCTGCGCACCAATGCGACTCCCAATCCGCCGAATACACTTGATCGCATCTATTCCACGTACCGTTACCGATCGCCTCAGCTTGAGATGCCCAGAGAAAGCATAGGAGACATCTCCGCGAAAAAGTTTGCGGAGTAAGTCGAGTCCCACATTTACTATAATCGATCTAACTTGAGACTGAGAAGATTGCGCTGACCCATGCGTGCGAGAAAAAGGTTACTATCTGGCCCATTGCTGGACGTCTTCGTCGGACCCGAGGGCCGCCGCTGGTCCTTGCATCAAAACCTCCTGGTTCACCATGCGCGCTTCTTTGACGAGTCCTACACAGTCAACGGTGAACACAAGCGCATCAAGGACGGCAAACTCGAACTCCCCGAAGAGGATCCAGGCGCATTCGAACTGCTTGTGAAGTGGCTGTATCAAGGCAAGATTGACGACGTCTCATGGATGCCCAAGGACGTCAAATGGGACTATGCATTCACATGTCAAAAGCTCTACCTCCTTTGCGACACCATCGGGCTGCAAGACCTCAAGAACCAAGCCATCGACCAGTTCCGGCGCGGCTGTCATGAAGCCGGCCTTGTGCCCGGTCCCGAAGAGATGAAGCCCATCTACGAGAAGACTGCTCCGAATTCTCCGTTCCGCAAGCTCGTGAGTAAGATTGCTGCAAGACAGATCATGGACCCTAGCACGGAGAAGGATGCAACCAGTTATAGGGAGTGCTTCGCCATCAGTCCGGACTTTGCTGTCGATGTGATAAATGCGATCAAAGAGGGCAGTGGTGGGTTACTGTTTGACGATCCAACAGAAGGTAACGGGTGTCGGTATCATGAGCATGAGGATGGTGAGAGCTGCCACAAGACCGTCAAATTTAAGGATATGTCCTGAGGGAGAGCACAAATCCCCAAAGAGATCAAAATACCTGGATGCGAGGCACGGGAACTCCTCTTAATGGAGTACAGTGCCGTGCCCATCGGAGCAACCAGATCTCTGTGTCTCCTGTACGGAGGGCTTATGCGCATGTTTTGAGCAACGGTGTTGTGATTGTACGACCCTCGACGGAACACCACAGAGCAACATATTTGGCTGAGCGGTCAGCAATCATAATCGGTGCAAGCGGAGATTACTTCGATAAGGATACCCATCTTCGACTTTTGTGCAGTCCCGATCTCTCTGGGTGGAATAGATATCATTGGGAGGGTCTCTCACTTGGCGTCCTTGGAGAAGGTATGGAACGTCATTTTGTCGAGCTGGCTTCAAAATCGCGGGTCAAAGGGCATACTCAAGTCAGGCAGCTCGGGCCGTCGTATCTTTGTGGATTCAATGGGAGTTTGGAGATGATAGAAACGATTACCTTTTGTCCCCTTTCGCTTTCCATTCCTGTAACCTAGACGATTCCCAAACGCCTGGTAGCACGTTCATCCGGGCCTCGTCCATTAGTGGCCAATTCCTCGATTGGACAGTGCATTAAGACCACATGATCAACCCCTGTGCCCTTCTGCGTTCCCCATGCAAGTGCTTCCATCCTGGCGCGAAGACTGAAGACGAGGACATAAGAGAGATTCTATCCGGATTAACCTTCCACCGAAGATCACGTGAATGAGTTGAGTTGCTTGGCAGCGGATCGCAGTTCGTTCGCCGCAAACTTGGGTGGCCGTGTCGCTCGCGACGCAGTTCGCGACAGGGTATCAATTTCCAGCCAAATACATCAATACGCACCCGCCCAAGTGATGTGTTCAGCCCCCCTTGGAATCTTCGGCGCTTGAAGTGTTTGAGACAGGCTGCGCGCACACTTTGACCAGTTCTTGAGGTTGGCGCGACGCCCTGAAGGATCCGGAGGGCTCAGGTGGTGGATTCAAATAATTCATCAAGTTTCATGATACCACAATGGCCGATTCACAACAACCCGCCGAGTTGAAGCATGAGTCTTCAGACGGTGGCGACCTGGGCGCAAATGGTGCCGAAGTCGCTGCCGCCGATGCACCAGAGACACAATCAACAGGTACGCGCGCCTCCCTGTCGCTTTGCTTTTCTTATTTGCCAGCACCCCTTTGGTGGAAAACAAAGCTGACGAGGCTCTACAGATGCTCAGCCGTCGGCCAACTCAAATGGAACGACGTCGACTAATCCTTTAGATGCCCCAAACGCACCGCGGGCTCAAGATGATCCAGAAGGCGAACAGGAGGATGCTGAAATGGGTGGAGTTGACGAGGACGCAAAGGTCGAAGATGTCGACGCTGAAAAGGACGGCGCGGAAGAATCTCAAGAAACTCCGGCCGCGACACAAGCCACAGATGGTCAGGCAGCACAGGCAAAGTCCAGCCTTGAAGCCGCAGCCAATTCGCACCTCGTCGCGCAGACACATCAAATCATCCTCCCCAGTTATAGCACATGGTTCGACATGCACACGGTTCACGCTCTGGAAAAGAAATCACTGCCCGAGTTTTTCAACAGCCGCAACCGCAGCAAGACACCCGCCGTGTACAAAGATTACCGCGATTTTATGATCAACACCTACCGGTTGAACCCTGTCGAGTACCTCACAGTCACTGCATGTCGGAGAAATTTGGCTGGCGATGTCTGTGCGATAATGCGAGTGCATGCCTTTCTAGAGCAATGGGGTCTCATCAACTATCAAGTAAAGTGTCCTTTGATGTTTCGAACGCCTCGATGCTGACTGCAACAGGTTGATCCACAGACTCGCCCTGCGAATATAGGTCCCCCATTCACAGGCCATTTCAGAGTCACAGCAGACACACCTCGAGGCTTGCAACCGTTCCAACCTGCCCAAAACACTTTCACAACTCCTGGAAAGCCACATCCCGCAACTGATCGGGCAGCTTCGGCAACTCCTGCGTCAAAGGCAGACTTGAATCTTGAACTACGACGGAACGTCTACGATGACAAAGGGAAAGAAGTCAAAAAGACCGAAGATGCAGAGAAACAAACAAATGGCGAAGGGGCGACTGCTAATGGCGCAGGTTCCGGCGCTGCTGCAACCAAGGCCATGGACGCTGCTGCAAGAGAACCCATCAAAAGTTTCAACTGCTTCTCGTGCGGAATCGATTGTACGAGATGTCGCTTCCACTACGCCAAATCAGATCCCGTTTCAGGCACTGCAAACGCCAGTGAGCTCAAGTACGACCTATGCCCGAACTGCTATTTCCAATCTCGAATGCCGTCCAATCATCGCTCGTCCGACTTTGTGAAGATGGAGGAGCCAGCATATTCCCATATTCCCGACAAGAGTGCCGCCTGGACAGATTCAGAAATTCTCTTGCTCCTGGAAGGTCTGGAGAATTTTGACAATGACTGGAATGAGATCTCGAAACATGTTGGTACTCGAACCAGAGAAGAATGTGTACTGAAGTTCTTGCAACTCGACATTCAGGATCAGTACCTCGAAGATGGGCCACTGAATGGATCCTCGGCGCTGAAGGCGCTGACAGGAAGAAGCGCCATTAGTCAATTGGACAATCCGGTGATGTCGGTAGTCAGCTTCCTTGCGCAAATGGCGGACCCTGATGTGGTTGCCGCGGCGTCAAATCGTTCCATTGCCGTTATGCAGAAGCAGCTGCGGGCACAGCTTGAGAAGGGCATGGGAGGAACCGAGCAAACTACGACCGGCGAGACGGAAAAGGGAGAAGTCAAGTCAGAAGATCAGATGGAAGTCGACGAGTCAGCTCCTCCGGCCGAGCAGCCAGCAACTGAGCCCAATGGGTCAGCCAAAGTCATCAACGACATCGCCACGACAGCAGTTGCCGCAGTTGCTGCACGTGCCAGCGGCCTTGCTTCTCATGAGGAAAGGGAGATCACCAGAATGGTATCGGCAGCTGTCAACCTCACGCTGCAGAAGTTCGAGTTGAAGATGGCGCAGTTCGCGGAGATGGAAGAAATCGTACAAGCCGAGCGCCGGGATCTCGAGAAGGGCCGACAGCAACTGTTTTTGGATCGCCTGTCATTCAAGAAGAGAATGAAAGAGATGGAGAACACGTTCCGTCAAGCCAGCCTGAAGGACCCGCAAGAGGGGATGCGCATGATGCAAGAAGCCGTCGGCACCAATTCGGGCCAGAAGTTTGGCTTCACGTCAGAAAGCGACAGAGGCGAAGGTGTTGTTGTCAACGTGACTGCCGATTCGGGTGAGGCAAGGACTATGGAGCTCTAGAGAGAGAAGATTCTTCAAGAGCAGTGTGCCAGCAGAGTGTGCACATGATGCAAGTGATATATTCTGCGCAAATCTGGGCCCATGGTTTAGGGGTTTTCGATCAGAGATTGGGGACGGTGCATTCGCAGCTGATACAACGACTATGGGTGTCCATGGCGGAGGCGGAAGGCACTATGAAGCCTTTGAGCGAGGGAATGCATTGGACCTTACAGCTGTGAAGGGATCACGGGGGGTATAGGGCTTGGGGCCTGGCGTTCTCGTTTCTCAATGTGTGTATGTACCGAGTACTAGATAAGTCACTCTGGAGGACCACCTGCAGCCCTTTCAGGGAAAAGAAAGGAAGGACAGGAGGTTCAGAGGAGAGGGCCGGCAATCGTCGAATGTGTTATCAACAGGGAAATGCGATATTCGAAAAAGGTTCTCCACCTGCAAGCTGTTGCAAGACCAGACCAGACCAGACCAGACCACTCAAACAAAGACAATGGATTAGTGTTTTGTAACCCACCTGCAGTCCCCCTGTATCATACAGATGGCCGACGACGAGGCTGAGTTTTCTGTTTTGTTCCCGCGAGGCTGCTTTGCATTAATATCGACCGAGCGAACTTCAGCCGAAAAGACCCGAGGCTGGAAACGCCGCTGGCCGCGGGCAAGCGACGCACGGCGATTCAACCGACACCGGATCTTGCATCCCCCCAAAAAGTCCTTCTGACGCAAAAGGATCCTGGATCGATAGACCGCCGCCGATTCTTCTCATCATAGCTCCTCAGTCTTGTCTTTATTCTAAATTGTACTCAGTAAAGTGCGTGCTCCTTTTTTTCCACGGTATACACATAGACAGTGCTGCGTGTCTTCGCGATCATAATAGCGTCTCTGGTCTTTGGGTCTGTTTCTTTTACCTTCGGAAATTCCAATCCTTTCCAACGCCCCCTTCTTTTTGAAAAAAAGTTCACGGGACAAAATGGTTGCCGATGATGTACGTGTTTCTCGACTCACCCCTACATAGTTAATGGCCCTCTTCTAATGGTTAATGTACAGGCATCGAACAAATCACCGCTCGTTTCGTTGATTGCAGGAGGCACGGCCGGGGGTGTTGAAGCGACCATCACTTATCGTAAGTTTTTCTTTCTCTCTCGTCTCCTTCCCCAAGAATGCAGAAACGACTGGACCGAGAGTTTCGTTTTATCTATGGGAAGCAAGAGCAGAAATCTGACAGGTTACAAACAAAACACTTGCAGCATTCGAATTTGCAAAGACGCGCGTGCAACTGCACGAACAGACGCCGACTCGAAATCCGTTCCTGGTCATCAAACATGTCATTGAGCAGGAAGGTCCGCGATCGCTGTACAAAGGGTGCACGACCCTCGTTGCGGGAACCGTGGCCAAGGACGCGATCCGGTTCATCTCGTTCGACACCATCAAGGCGCAGTTCAAGGACCCGGAAACAGGCACGCTGTCGCCGCTAAGAAACTTGATGGCCGGGATCAGTGCCGGTGTGGTTGCGAGTACCTTTGCAGTGACGCCCACCGAGAGGATCAAGACCGCCTTGATCGACGACGCGCGCTCGGAGCGCAAGTTTCGCGGTCCCGTCCACGCCACAGCCACCTTAATCAAGGAGCACGGCGTCCTCAGGGCTCTGTATCGGGGTTATGTGACTACGACTCTAAAACAAGCCAGCACCACTGCCGTGAGGCTGGGCACGTACAACATTTTGAAAGATTTTGAGCGGCTGCGCAACATCCCGCAGACCACGCTGACCACGTTCGCCAACGGCGCCGTCGCGGGCACGATTGTCGTCTTCGCCACCCAGCCGTTCGACACGCTCAAGACCCGCGCACAGTCTGTTAGAGGCCAGGGCGTGTTGGAGGCCTGGAACGGCGTCATTGCCGACTACGGATTTCGTGGGCTCTGGAGGGGCAGCACGATGAGGCTGGGGAGGACGGTGTTGGCTGGCGGCATCCTCTTCACCACGTATGAGTGGGTGGCCGCGTTGATTCAGCCGGCGTTGGAGAAGACACGGCTCGCACCCGCTACCGCCAGGGAATGAACCTGATTCTCCGGGATGATGACTTTGTTCGTTTCATGCTGCAGTAGGTTGGATAGGGGCTCGGCCCTGGCGGGGATAAAGAACCAATCGCCGAGTGTGTACTGCTCGAGGGCCTTCCGTTGCGAAGACAATGCAGAGAGACGGACCACCTCAGCTATGGACGCTGCTCTCGAAGCTCAGCAAAGCAAAGCGAAGGGAGAACCTGCCAGCATATATCACACAATCTTTGAACACAGGAATGAGATTGAGTGGGGTCAAATGTGTCAAGGGGAAGCAGAGAGGGAAGGACGAAACTCTGGTACAATAAATCGAGGGACGAGAGAGTGCAAGGCGAACACACACACGTCAGCCCACTACCTAGGCCAGTCCAACCCCATCGCCTAGGCCAAATCACCTTGAAACCCGACCAGATGAAATTGCAAAGACCCTCGAAGGCAACAGGAAGAATCCAAACATCCACACATCAAACTTTTCTCCCTGATGGCTCTGTTCGCCCTCACTCTGCTCCCTGCGGCACGGATCTGGTCCCGATCACCTCTCTCATCAATACATGCGCATCCACCTAATGGCAGAACGATTATGGCACTACAGATCGATGTCCTCACGACGAGCGAACTGCTCGGAGAGGAAGAAGAGAAGGGGGAACGTTTTGGGTTTGATGGGTGGTGGGTAATCCAAGTCAAGTACAGACAGAGGCGTGAAGGTGGGGAAGATTTAGCAGAAAGGATGGATCCCTCTGAATAGACCCCAGGCAAACGAATGGAAAGGGGAAGAGTGACGGGGGTATTCGGAGAGTTTTGTACCACCACCGCCTAGGTATGGCAGATACATACAGGCTCACGAGGAGTGACTATGTACGAGGTATGTGTATATGTTTAAAAAAAAAGGCAAAAAGATCATCGCTATGCTGCCCGCTCCGCTTGATGGCCTCGCTCACCCGTCTAAAATCGTAACAACATCCAAGCCGCAGGTTATCGGCCCAAAAGCCCTTGTCAAGAAGACAAATAGTACAGGCTTGGAAACATACATCCAAGCAAACATCGACGCCCTCCCCTCTAAGGGCAACCCCAGACACGACCACCCCAAAAATCCTCCTTGAGCGCCGCTTGCAACACCTTCAGGGGCTTCTGGGCGTTGGCGCTCAGCTCCCCCGTCAGCCGGGAGATCTCGGGCCCCTTCTGCTCCATCAGGCCCTTCCGCTCGGCGCGTTCCTGGGCGTTGTCGAGGTCGACGGGGGCCCTGTCGTTGGTCATGGCGTTGTAGCAGGCGTAGGCCTCGACGATCCAGACAGAGAAGAAGTCGACAAGCGCGCTGATGTCGTCGTGGACATCGCACCCGTCGACGAGCAGGATGAGGGACGCCAGGCTGTCGAGGGTCCTCTCGACGGCGGCGATGGTCATCGCGAACCGCCAGTACTTGAAGCGGAAGATGGAGATGCGCTCCAGCTTGTGGTTGAACACCCCGTAGAACTCGAGCTCGTACTCCTGGCGGATGGCGCGGAATTCCCGGACCCAGTGCCTGCACGCGCGTGCGGCGTCCGACGCTTCCTCGTACCACGCCGTCCACGCCTCGTGGCAGAACCCGACCCGGGATTCGCCCATGGGAGTCGCGGGCCTCTCGATATATGGGGTCCGTGGTCGTGATGGTGGTTGTCGTTCAGCTGGCCTCAGCTCGGTGTTCTCGATAAAGCTGATGCTGCTGGCTCTCCTGCTGCTGGGGCCGGCGGCTTCTTGGTCCGCAGCGACGAGGGTGCTGACGTCCTCGACGAATCGAGAACCTTGCACATTGATAGAGAAGTTGCGCAAGGCGGCCCTGGGGATCGGGGCCTGGAACTCGTCTCGGTTGGAGGCTGAAGCCTCCCCAGCGCCATTTGACGACGTGCTGGCGGCGAACCCAATATCTCGTTTTCGTTGGAGGTTTCCCGCGGGGGAAATGTTTCGCCAGATCTGTGGGATGGCAGAAGAGGAGGAGAAAGAAGAAGGAGAAGACATGACTGATGTGGATGGAATGTAGTGGTGACGGTTTTGTAGATGTTAGCACTGTTTGGGTTGAGAAGGCACTGGGTGATATGGTAAACAAGAAAGTGGTGAGGAAGTACGAGAAGAGCAGAGCAGAAGGGACGCTGGAAGACTATATAGATTTCTTTGGCTTGAGCAACTCTGCTGATGCTCGAGGACCTACCACACAAGGTTTTCCTTACAGATAGGATGGACCAACACACCCAGTCCACGCCAAACCTGCGCCAAGTCTGATATTCCGTTGGAAAGCCAGACATTTTGCTTGATCCAGGGGATGGACAACGGTTATCCCATGGAACAGCCATCGATAGCCCTGCGAGTCAGCCGATCTAGAGAGTGCTGGTGGGAGGACTGCGAAGTGAAAGAGTTCGGATCCAAGACCTGGTCCCCCATCAAGTTGATCTGAAGGTTGGAGGAGGCAGACCTGGTCAGAGTACTTAAACCTCAGCGGTGACAGAGCAGGACGAAGCACGTCTTCAGACTGAACGATCGATTCTCAAGGAGGTTTTTGCGTCGAGCCCATATTGCAGCACCTGTCCTTTCCGTCACGCCCACGCCACACAGGCTCTATACTCCACCCGGACCAAAGAAGCGCAGAAGCTTGTTCATCAGTTGTGAGGTTAGCCATACGCCGGAAGGCTGAAGCACCCCTTTTCGCAAGGTCATCTCTGCAGAGACCATGGAACATCAATTCTTCACCCGGTGGCTTTGGCCCTTGACATCAAAAAGAGCAACACCCTCATTTCGAATTCGTACGAAACTCAACTCAGACGAGGCTCTTCGCAGACTCCACAAGGTTCGAGCCTCTCTTCAAATGAGCAAGGAGGAAATCGTCGACATCTGTCAGATGGTGGAGCGAGAGGGTAAACTCCAACGGGCTTTATTCGAGGCCGACACTGAGCTCTTGGTGACTATCCTGGCGGTACGCACTTATCATGTCGGGGAGAGGGAGTATATTGGGACGGCGGTGCTTACCTTTGAGTCGTTGATGGCACGAACAAGGGCGCTGTTTCTGAAAGCACACCCAGCTCTGCGCACCTGGCGAGGCTCAACTCCGAGCGAACTCCATTTCCTAGCGAGGACGCTGGCCGAGGAGATCCACTCGAGCCTGGTGATCCTAACGAGTGTGCGAGAGAAGATCCGGAAAGAAGATTATCCTGACGATACCGCGAAGGTCGAGGTCCAGATCAGTTGGACAAAGTGGATGTGCCTGCCGTGTGGAAGAAGCAATAGCGGCAGAGGGATGAAGGCAGATAGTGGCAACAGCATCAGGCGGTCCGAGGAGCATCATGAGAGGGAGCACCTGTTTACAGGAAACGGGATGGCGGTCAACGGAGGACGATGTCGGTGTTTGGACTATCGATGAAAATGTTGAGACCAAGTTACACAGGTGGTCAGATGGCAACGAGGGAGTTGAACTGGCCGGCTAAAAGTCAAGGCGACGTGGATGTGATTTGATGGGGAGTTTTCCATTCGGGGCATTTCTCTGGTGTTTGGGTGACGGTTGGCAAGCCTCTAGGCGGTAGATTAGGTACCAAGAGGTGTCTTAAGCTTTTCCCCGGCACATGTTTACCGTCCAAGCAACTCTTAAGCACCCCCAAGCAAACAGCAACAGCCCCTAACACGGGTGCCATTCCCGGGGCTAGTGACGCCTTTGCTACAGGCTTGGCCCTGAGTCCAAGACCGTTGTCGACCGTTGAGTCCGCCACCAACGTACGCCAAGCTGCGCCCAGCAGTCAGCCCACTCCCATCGTCTGCGAAGACTGAATTCCTTCCGACATTGCACGAAAATACATCGCCATTCACACAGTCAAGGATACGAAGAGACGCTGCAGTCAGAAAAGCCACAGAGTATGATTCGGAGACTTTATCAATACCGAAAAGAGCAATCTCATGGAACCTCTAAAGAACACAATCCGAAGTCTCCCATAGCGTCTTCTTTCCGATCCATCCTCGTGTGGCCTTCGAGAAGCTAGATCGAGAACAAAGGGGACCCTGGATGCCAGCAAGCGTCATGATTGCCAACATAACACATCCGCCTATCCTGTCACGCTGTTGTGCCGCCCTCTCGACTCCCCAGCCCATCCATGCCCGACCTGCGCCGGTCGAAGGCCGAGCGATGTCACGCTTTGGCATCTGTGATTGACGCTCTAGCGCAGCAGCCTCTATGCCAGCCTCGTCTCATTCGTTGCTCCATCCAGATCCCCCGCAATTCGGACTGCCAGAGCACCAGTGGTGATCCTGGCTCCTTTCCCCCACGAAGGAATGCTCCAAGTATCCCACCAACCACACAAATGCATCACCAGCAACCCGACTGCCGTGTTACCACACCACTTATCTTTGCAACGACCGGGTCTGCGCCGATCAATTACCGTTTCCCTGCTCGCGTACGACCACGAGCTGCGAGCTGAAAAATGGGACCAAGTCGACCAGCATCCCTTGCAGGGCCTCATGACCACCCGCTCATTTGCCCTTGGGGGAAAGAAGATAAAAGGTTGGTCCATCCCGCCGGAGATGCGCTGTGTCTCCCTCCCCAAGCCTGACCTGCCTCACTGCGGTCCGTAAGGCTACACGAAACTCTGTAGAAGTGCGACTTCAGCCCCAGGCAAGAGGCAGACCAGTCAACATGGCTCACGTCAACTCTCCCACCAAGGAGACTGTGCCCACTGCCCGTCGCTACACCGATGAAGACGAGCTCGAAAGCACGCACATGTCTCCTGCCAAATATGCTGCGACGAGAATTACCACCCTCAAGCCTCCCATGGCGAAGGCACCCAATCCTTTCAAGCTCCTGGCCATGCTGAACACCCAACAATGGCTTTTCTTTCTCGTGGCCTTCCTTGGCTGGTCATGGGACGCCTTTGACTTCTTCACCGTGTCGCTCACTGTGTCTGATCTGGCCGAGACATTCAACAAGTCCAACACTGATATAACTTGGGGCATTACTCTGGTGCTTATGTTCCGTTCAGTGGGATCAACCATTTTCGGTATCGCTGCTGATCGATATGGTCGGAAATGGTACGTCCAGTGCCGATCGATGTTTGCATTAGACTTTCAGGCTGACGAGAACACGCTAGGCCCTTCATTATCAACAATATTCTCTTCATCGCCCTCGAACTTGGCACCGGCTTCACCCAGACGTACGGCCAATTCCTCGCAGTGCGCGCCCTCTTCGGCATTGCCATGGGCGGTTTGTATGGCAATGCCGCAGCCACCGCACTGGAAGATTGCCCCGAAGCGGCCCGGGGTCTCATTTCCGGGATGCTACAACAAGGCTACGCGTTTGGATATCTGCTTGCTACGGCATTTGCTCGTGCCCTGGTCAACACGACGTCGCACGGTTGGAGACCGCTGTTCTGGTTCGGCGCGTGCCCTCCAGTGCTGATCATTTTGTTCCGTCTGATGCTCCCCGAGACCCATACCTTCCGCGCTCGCCAGGCTCTTCGTGCGCAGCAGGGTAGTTTGGCGGGTACCTTCATTTCTGAGGGAAGAGTTGCGCTGAAGAAACACTGGCTTCTGCTCATCTACATGGTTCTTTTGATGGCGGGCTTTAACTTTATGAGCCACGGCTGTAAGTTTGGTCCCCGAAAGTCCTCACCAATCGTTCCTCAATAGAGTTTTTTGGGGCCACTTTGCTTCTACGCAGAAAAAGACTTTGAGATGCTGACAAGAAACCCAGCCCAGGACTTGTACCCAACAATGTTGACCAACCAATTCAGATTTTCCCCCAACGCCGTCACGGTCACGCAGGTTGTAGCCAATCTGGGCGCCATGACCGGCGGGACCGTCATCGGATACTGCTCGCAGATCTTCGGTCGTCGATTCAGCATTATCTTCATTTCCATCGTCGGCGGAGCGCTCCTGTACCCCTACACGTTCGTCACTTCCAAGGCGGTCATTGCGGCGGCGTTCTTTGAGCAATTCTGCGTCCAAGGCGCCTGGGGCGTCATTCCGATCCACCTGATGGAGCTCTCCCCAGGTTCTTTGCGGACGTTTGTCGTGGGTACTTCTTACCAACTGGGCAACCTGGCTTCCTCGGCATCTTCCACGATCGAGTCCACCATTGGTGAACGGTACCCTCTTACACCGCTCGTCAACAAGGACACAGGGAAAGTTACCAAAAGATACAACTACGGCAAGGTCATTTGTATCTTCATGGGCGCCGTATATGCCTACACGATTTTGCTCACCCTCATTGGTCCCGAGAGGAGAGGGCGGAATCTGAACGTCGAACACGACGAGGATATGGCCGAGGTTACACACACGGATCTGAGGCACCAGCAGGTTCCGGTGGGCCGGGCAGATTCCAGCGAGGACGAGAAGGCCGTTGCGAGCGAGAAGGTTTGAATTTTGGGAGTGGATGAGGATGGAATGGAAAGTCAAGGGATTTTTCAGTAGGCGAGATTGTGCCGGGGGGTGTTGGGAATGACAAAGTCTTCTTTGAATTCTTTATCGCTTTGTCTTGCAAAAGTGCAAAGGAACGGTCGCATGGCAATGAACCAGCTCGCCAGCTCAAACTGGAAGTATATGGGACGATCAGAATGAATACCCGATTTACGAAAGCATTTCTCTTTTTCCCCCATGCTTTCATTCTTGACCTGCTCCGTACATTACGGCACATATTATTTATTACCTATGGGAAAACGGTCCTGTAGGAGCGGCCGTCTTTCCTATCTCTCACGCATAAATTTGAGGGCTATCTATCGATCATTAATAGTTGCATCCCAGTGTCCTTCAATTCCAGGGGGCCTGGGTGGATTGGTTTGAGTTATGTATATTATGTTGCTTGGCTGCTAGTCACGGGTATATACGTACAACCAGCACGGGTAGACAGCCCTACGTGATGACTGATGTGAATCGTAATAAAGTGCGTCGCATGCCATAATGGAGTCTGCTCTGTCTGGAAATAATAATATTGATATGCTTGGTTTTTGGCAAAGGGAATTCTACACGAGACACTTGCCGATATGGGTACGTACTATACGTGCGGGGTGACCTACCTACAGCTCGTACAGAGATAAGATACAAACCGCCCCGGGAACACAAGGCATGCTTGCCTTTTCGTTGCATGGCTGGGGTCCGAAGCCCAGAGTAATGCTACTTCGTGGCGTGCTCGTTGCCTGTGCGCTACGAGTCAGCATGGCGGGAGACACCTGGATAGGTATGCTCGGAGGCCGAAGCTTTTGTAGGCTCGTAATCATGGCGTCGGTCGGACTTCGAGGATGAGAGGGACCAGGGAGGATGAGGACCAGTACTCAGTACCTCGTAGATTGTATCGAGCACCCAGTACCCAGTACGGGGATTCTCGTTCCGTCTCCGAAGGATTCAGGGCGTTCGAATAATAGCTTGCACGGATCACGGTTGCGTGTCGCGCATCCTGGTGGCTTCTGGATTCTGCCTTCTGAGTTCTAATGTAGCTAATCTGTACGAGTAGCCAATCTTGTGGCATCTTCTGGCGTCTGTGTTTGGGTAGGTTGAGATACGGGACACGAGTCTATTCGGAGCACTCGACAGCGGAGTACTCCTTCTCAAACGTCCTCTCCGTTGGATTTTGCACATGCGAGGCACTCATTGCACTCCTGTTACTGCAGTCTTGGGTGCCTTGACTGGACAGGGTAGTGTCTAATGCCATCGATGGGTTAGGTAGGAGAAGATGTACGCATCAGACCAGTAAGAGGGAGGAAAGGTATACATACACGCTGTAAGTAGCGCAAATACTTCGAGAAGTTAACCGCAAACCGCGCTCGGCTATTGATAACTGAGTTCGTGCTGCCGGCGTCTTTCAATATGCTGTCCAGATTGCTTGCTGAGCAAGCTTCCACAACCCATGTAGAGTCGTGTTGGAAGAGACACCCGTCGACGAAATGTTGAGATCATGTACCGGATACCTTTTCCAAGATTCCGATTCGCAATGCAAAGTCGTCGGATTCGTACTCTGGTTACAACACTCGTCCAACCCTTTGACTAAGTAAATAACCTTGATGATAATGTCGGGGTGGTGGTTGACTCGAACTTGTCAAACATGATTGACCATCGATCCTAGTGCTATCATACTTTGCCTGGGAGCAACCCAAAGTAACGCCTTGTTTCTCTGTCAAAGCAAAACAAAGAGGCTGGCTGAGAGCGTGGTTCATGGTGGGGAAGAACGGGACAAGCAACCAAGCTATTAAAAATAGCAAATCGAGTGGGAACGTACCTGAGAACAAAGATACATCACCACTAGTAGTTAGTCTTCTCACGGTCTGGGCGTGGGGGGATTCAGCCTTAAAGCAATTGCGTCGTATGAAGCATAACCAGGCCTTTCGTCGGTGCTTCATCCTGGCAATTGAGCCTAGAGTCCCAACGCTGGCAGGTTTTGACTCGTTGCTCTCGTTCCAGGATGGCCGGATCACACAGTCACGAACTCCCCTTGATCCATGCCTTCAGAGGTGAGAGTGTCGGATCGGAAAGAAGCTCCTTTGACACTGAAGTTCGGTCGATATTGCGTGACAGACAGAAATATCGCCATTGTCCACCTGTCCTAGCTGTATCAGGCCAAGGACTTACAGAGTAGTTGGACTACCTTTGTATCAGACCGGGGCTGAAAATGATGCTCGCATGCATTTCAACTGTTCGAATGATAATAACACACCGCTCGGATCTCAATTCAGCAACACTTTCGAGCTCCATAATAGCAGGAGCTAGCTGTGAGGCCAATGGAAGTCTTGGAACAAGTGCCACATCATCGCAAAGGATGGCCTAAAGCCTGTTGATATCTGGATTCTTGTCTGCTCTAAGTTTGATATCGGGCCTCTTTATGGTCTGTGCGCAAAGCTAAGTCCGGGGTCCGCTGTCGCTATCTGAACATTCCCCATCACGGCTGTCTCCCAGTCCCTGTGCCTCTTTTTCACGGGGATCTTGTAATCAGTTAGGTGCGTGTCTAACGTCGTAAATGGAAACAGGCGGATAAGAACTCCGTGGAGCGTAGTCCGGACGACAATGCGAACAAGAGGAGATTGACGGCCAAGCTTCGGAGGCTCATTTAGACATCAACATTGACCGCTGTGGCACTCCGGTGACTGATAAGAAGCGAGATGAGTGACATGGCGAGGCTTCCTTGTCTTATCTGCATCATTAACGGGCGTCCGCCTCTCTGCTCGTACTAGTAAATATATCGACTAGATTATCTGCGGCAATGAGATCTCTTATCCCGGTTTCAGCACATTGTTTATCTTTAGCCTGGTTTGAAAAGGTGGCTGGAGAAGTAAGCTGTGGATTTCGACACCCGCTGCCCCTGTATATCCTTTGCTGGCGGGCTGCAGGGGCGACAGAAGCTCAAGATAGCTTCATCCTTGTGCGCAGCTCTTAGCAGTATACTAAATTCTCGTCGTGTTTGCAAACCGGCACTTCTCGCCATCTCATTGGGGACTTTTTAACCACTGGAGTCGAGAGGGATTGTTCGATCTGTAAATGTGATCTGCCACCCTCTTGCTGTAAGAAACCCCAGAGGTCGGATACAAAGTCCTTTGAGGATGGTTTGATCGACGCAAGAAGATGATCTGTGGCTTTTCCAGATAACAGGAGAGCACTCGTAAGGCATACAACCTACCCGTAGATCAAATCTCTTGGAGGCATGGAGGATGGAGTGGATACTTCGGGATCAGGGCAGGACAAGGGTTGACAAGAGGGTAGATTGGCGATGATTGGTGTGCCTGGCAGAGATTTGTGTGCGAGGTATCTCTGGGGAAAATACGGCAACCCGGCACAAGACAGGAGAAATCCGTGTGGTTGATCAACTCGAAAGGCTCATCCTCCTTTCTGCGTTCAAAGGGGCAAAAGACTATTGAACGGAGAGTTGAAGCTTGTTGAAAGACTGATATGGCAACGAGGAGGACGATGACACGCGGTGGCTGCTCCCGTGAGGAACGTTAAGCAACCTCCGTGGCTGTCAAGGAAGCCTTGACTTGAGCAGCCCTGCCATCCACCTGCAGAGACTTGGTGTGGCGGTCTCAATCGGCCACCAAGCGTCAAGTTTTCAGTTAAAGAGAGCGCCCCCGGATGGGTCCTAGGCTCCTAGCTGTGCCCTAATCTTAGTCCGTTGTAGCCGACCATGCCCGGAACACCCACTTTTATCGGGCCTCCCAGTGCAACTAGTTCTGTGCTTATCCGGCCAAAGGCTTGTGGATTCAACTGCGCCCTCCTATGTACAAGTGCTCTCCGTCCAGATATTGTCTGCGCGCAGTTACCATATCGATGCGCGCCTTTTCCATCCGATTGATGTCTGCATCTTGGTTTTCCGTGTCTTCATCTTTACTACTGGACGGCTCGAGGACGTGACAGCCGTCGACTAATCACACCAGATCCATCTATATCGAGTCATGATCCCCAAGCTGACCTGCAGGGTCTACTCGCCCTCACACGTCTAAGGGTCCGCGCTCCTGACAATATACGACACTAGACACCACCAGTGACCACAGCCTCTTCCATCTCACCCGTGATCTTGCTCCAACTCCCGCTCCTGCATCCTGCAACGCTTGTCAGCTCCAGCAAATGGCGTATGCTTCAGTCGCCCAGGCTGAGCATGAAGCCGTATATCGCGAGTCCACCGCCGCCGACTCCGTCCTCCATCATCCGCATTCCTACTCACCTACCCGCTCCCCAATCCTTCCAGAAATCTCGAGTCCACCGCTGTCCCTGCCACTGTTCGATCAATTCTCCCGAGATGGCGATCTTTCAGTTGTCTCTCAAACGGGCCCAAGTTCCGTAGGCGTGGGATCTCTTCTTAAGTCTCTGTCTTCCTCGCAGTCGTACCAAATGGTGGAAGAGGATGACTATGAGGAGCCAATGCCCAGATATCCAGACCCTCTAGCACCGCGATCGAGAATGGACGCACAGGACACGCCTGCGTTCCAGAAAGAAGATCCTCCAATCAGGACAGCCTCAATCAGCCGTCACCTGCCCTTAAACCACCCGACCCCAGATTTGCAGTCGCTGCAAGGGGCGTTGGTCAAAAATGTGGAACGTCTGGAAGAAAGCGCCGAGCGTCTGAGCATGACCTCGAGCCTTGAGGAAGGGCTGAACAAGATGAAGCAAGATCAAAAGCGCCTGGAGCGGCAGTCCTCGGCGCCGGCGACACTGGACAACGCCCTTCGCCCAGCGGTCCAGAGACAGTACTCGACGGGTTCATGGTCTAATTCAATCATTGGCGTCAATCAGATGGCCAGGTTGGGAGGATATTCTCCTTCAGGATACCAGATAACATCTCCGACTGGTTCAGTCCGCTCCGGACCCTATCCACATCCGCAACACGTTGAACGTCACTCTTCAAAAGGCAGTCATCGCAGTAACGCTCTGCCGCCCTTGGAAGGCCGGCCACTGGAGTTGAGCCAAGATCGTCGTACCTCTATCTCCATTTACCCTGAAGACGAAGTAGCGCCAAATCCGTCACGTCGAGGGTCCGACGGGTCAGTTCAGGAGGAGAGGCCGACGACATCCGCGTCCAACGACACATATCGTCAAGCGCAGGCCGCCTTCAATGACTTTGATGGCGTGCATTACGGAGCGCCCGTGTCCTCCGAAACTGCTGCCTCCATATCACGACGTATATCTCTCAATCACCCTCCGCTTGCACGAGACTCGAAGGCATATAAAGAGCCCCAGCCAGGAGAACGAATGATCTACTATCCTGCCCCAGTGCCAGTCATGTTGAATCTCCCCCAGAGACTTTCAAAGTTCAACATTAGTGAACGAGACAAACGTCGACTCCAGGCGCTCAGTGGCATCCCGGATGATATGCGCAAGTCGGCTGTTTGGCTCAGAGAGGAAGACAGTACCAAATTGCAAGGTCAAAGCAATGCACTCAGACTACCACCTCAGCTGCGGGCCAGTGCTTTTTTCGAACAGCCCAGTGTCACGCAAGACTTGCAGCTCAAGAACGGCTCAGCTGTCCAGACATTGGACAGCATCTTAGATGCCGCTGCACACGCTCCTGTCTCTGCATTCACCGATCATCCAATTGCTGGCCATCTTGGAAAGGAAGTCTATGGTCCGGACGCCTCTCCTCGGAAGAGTATGCAATTAGCCGAAGGAAAGGCGAAGAAACGGCGAAGCTCCATTAGTACGATGCTCAAGACGAGACGGTCAAGCACTGCCCTCTCCAACTCGGGCCTGCTGCGCTCAAAATCAAGAGACTCTCAAAATCTAGATGTTGAGGACCAAGCCAGTGGTGATGAACTTGATCGGGCGGCGGCGGAGTCGATAGCGCCAGATGCCGACGAGATATCCGATGAAGAGGAAGACAAGAATGTCGCCCCGCCAGGCTTTTCGACGGCGCCCACGACTCTCCTTGCCGAGCTGCAAATGCGTAAGGAACAACAGAAATTACGCAATCGTACTGCCGCAGACGCCTTTCCCAATGGCATGCACTCGACTTTGCTTGAGCTGGATGCTGTGACTCAGCTTCAGCAGAGAGCCCGAAAGACCAAACATGTCACATTGGCTTGGGAAGATCATGATGAAGCGAATAAACAAAATTTTGATGATGAGGATGTTCCTCTCGGTATCCTGTTCCCGGAAAAGGAAAGAGCTGAGCATGCGAATGCCCATAGACCAATTGGCCTTCTAGAGAAGCGGGAATTGGAGGAGAACGAACCTTTGAGTCAACGACGAGCAAGACTGCGAGGCGGGCCACTTCAGACCGCTAAATCTGAGGCGAAGAGTCAGAACGAGGATGAAAGCCGGCCGCCTTTCATCGAGAATGTACCGGGCCTCACCGAAGAACCTGTGCCAGAAGATGAAGAAGAGACTCTGGCTCAGAGAGCAGCAAGGATGAAGCTGGAGAAGGAGAAGGGCACTGGAGGCCAATTCGCGGAAGAGCTGACTTCTCAATTGGGTCTCAATGTCACGAACAACGCACCCCCGCCATCAAAGACACCGGATGTGGAGGAAACGTTGGCGCAGAGGCGAAAGAGGCTCAAGGAGGAAGCGTCTGTCAATCCGCAGGCCTATCAACAGGTCAAATCCATGCATAGCCTGGCCGACATACTCCAAGCCCATCCAGTGGGTGCCCAGTCAAAACCGGGATTGCCTAGGAGCAATTCGAACCAAGCATACGCCTCGATGCACAACTCAAGTTGGGGTTATCCTCAACAAAACATGGCTTTCAATGGGTCTTACGGGTATCCGAACAATGCTGGGTACATAAACGGAGGATACGGCGCGCCGTTGCCCACCTACATGCAACAGACATATCCTTACGCATATGGCACCCAGCCCTACATACCAGACCCTATGATGGGTCCACCTTTGGATCCCAAACAGCGAGCGCAAATTGATCGCTGGCGGCAGAGTATTGTACAATGATTGCATTGGTCTGGCGCACTGAATTTGTCATGTGTTTCTGTGCTCTTTCTTTGTTGGGTATCGTTCAATGAAGAGTTGGAAGCAGAGGACCAACCACTGTCATTGGAGCTTCTAATCACTTGGATGGAATAATGAAGACAATGTATGAATAATAGTATGAGCAAGACACGACCAGACTGGTGGCAGGGAGTAACGGTACAACGGCGGGACAGAGGGTGTGGGGGATGTGATTAATTCTTAGGGTAGAGAGATACGAGGTATGCAACAGGGACATGATGTTGTCTGCACGTTTAATCCGCACGTGGCGACAAAGGCGTGGCTTGAGGGATCTGCTGAAGAATACGAGGCTGAATGCCGAACAAGGCCATTCGGTCTCAGAGCCTTGCACGTGATGAAGACCGGCCAAGGTGGTTGCTGTGGCAGCCGCACTGGGATAAACAAAGCAGGTGCCGTCTCGACGCGGGTAGTCGTGACTCGTGAGGCCAGGCCAGTTCCACGTCCGTGCCTTAACCATGGAACATCCTCCTGCCCGTGCGCAAACATCATTCCCGTTTCTGTAGAAATGAGGAGTTGTATCTGATTAGGCACCGTGCCCGAATATTTTCTGTTCAATCCCATCAACATGGCGCCGTCCGTCCACCAGGTCGCCCAGATTTTCGAGGATCCGGAGCCTCAACACAGAGGCCGCAGAGCGAACCACAACCGTACTCCTTCAGTTGGAGACGCCCTAAGAGGGCGCCGAAAAGACAACTGTAGCCCTACAAAGCCGCAAAGACCGTCCAGTCGAGAAGTGGTCAATTCTGCTAGTCCACTTGGAGAGCGACACATAAACAGCCCACCACAACCGAAACGAATTGCTACCAAATCAGGCGATGAGCCTGCTCGTCCTACTGTTTCCCGCACACACAAAAAGTCCGGGAGCTCTGTGTCCTTGAAAGGAATTATCTTGGGTAAAGAGAAGAGTACGGGCACTGGGAGCGTGTCTCCCGTCGAAGGGCACACGGCCGACAGCAAGCTGAAGAAGGTGAAATCAGCGAGTAACCTCACCGGACTGCTGAAACGGAGATCCAAGAAGGATCTTAGGGAAGAGAACAACAGCAACAGCAACAACCAAGAAAACTGCCCGCCGTCAAAGACAACACCCGTCGAAAGTCCCACTCCCATCTGGGCACAATTTGCTACTCAACCCTTAGAGGGTGCGGATGGCACCATGATATTTCCAGTGTCGAAGAGAAGGACCGTTGAAGAAGAGATAAACGTGTACACCCCCAAGGACTATTCCGAATTTCGCCCTTCGGAACAGAGGAATTTTTACGGATACGGGCCTGCGACGCCGTCAGTGTTGGACTATCAGCCACCGCAACGACCATTCCTGGAGCACAAATCTAGCAGAAGCTCCATCTTTACGGAGAACATTGATGATGATATTCCTGCAGAAGACGTTAAGTCGCCAAAGAGCAGGGAGCAGTCTATCAGTCGCCCAGCCTCTTCCAAACAAGAAGGCAAGCCCGATGCTCAAGTCCAGCCATCAAACTTGTCACAATCAGATCCCAAAGTCAAATTAGGCTCGAGAGTTTTCGAAGCAATCCAAACTTTCAACATGAGAGCCCGCAAGGACGCCCGCTCGATCCCCGACACTCCGAATAATGCAACCATTCCACTTAGTCCTCAAGAGCTAGACTCAGCTTTCGAGAAGGTATTGGACTCTCTGAACATTCCACTCAACATGCGGGACAACATGCGAAATCTCAAACCAGACGTAAAGGCAGGTTTGATGAAGGGTGATCGTATTGGCAGTGGCTCGTCCACGGTATCAGCCTTCACTGATAGCTCCGAGGTCAGCTCATCGGCTCGGAATAGGAAGGAGAATGAGAGACCAAAGAGCGAGGGCGATGAGAGCAAAGAAGGCAGACGATCCAGATCGCGATCACGTCCTCGAAGTCGGATCTTGACCCTGACCAGACGAGAGGAAGATTCCCCCACAAAGCAAGACAGACCAAGTTCGTCATTGAGATCGCGCAGCAAATCTAGGAACAAATCCGCCGACTTGACCAATTCCAGACCAACTTCGGCGAAAGCTATGGCCTCGACCGTGTCGCTGGCATCCCTCAACCAGGCAGACAGCGCCACCACTCCTGGAGACTTCATCCATTACCTTCGAGAGGTACAGAAGCCGGCACTAGTCGAAGTGAGCAAGCTGCACAAACTGAGGATTCTGTTGAGGAATGAGTCGATCTCTTGGACAGATCATTTCGTGGGTAAGGGCGGCATGGACGAACTTGTTCAACTCTACCATCGTATTTCAAAGATCGAGTGGCGCGAAGAACATGAAGACAACCTCCTTCACGAGACGCTGCTGTGCTTGAAGGGATTGTGCACGACCTCCCTTGCCTTACAACGTCTGCAGCAAGTGGAAAATGAGTTCTTCCCAGCACTCTTGCACATGTTATTCGATCCGGAACGGAAGGGTCCATCGGAGTTTAACACCAGAGGCGTCATAATATCGCTCCTTTTCGCTCACTTGTCAGCCGAGGTGGGCTCTGACCAGGAGCTTGCTCATGAACGAGCACGGAAAATCCTTGGGTTTCTCAGGGATCCTGTACCGGAAGATGGCAAGCAGCCGCTGGACTTTGTGTCTCAAATGCATGTTCCTCGACCTTACCGGGTTTGGTGCAAAGAAGTTGTTAATGTCACGAAAGAGGTGTTTTGGATATTTCTGCACCATCTCAACGTCATCCCCATTGTCGAGGTCGATGAATCAGTGGGTTATTGTGGAGCACATTTCCCCCCTCCTCGACCACCCCACCCGGCAGCTCCGTACGTGGGAGGTGTTGAATGGGAAGCGACGCAGTACCTCGCGACCCATCTGGATCTATTGAACGGGTTGATAGCCTGCCTTCCTACTGCGACAGACCGCAATGCATTGCGAGAAGAGCTAAAGCAGTCCGGCTTCGAGAAAGTGATGGGGGGTAGTCTTCGAACATGCAAAGAGAAATTCTATTCAGGAGTCCACGAAGGCTTGAAGTGTTGGGTTGCAGCGGCCAAGGCAGACGGGTGGCCCGTGGAAGACGTCAGAGCCGGGCCACCGCGAGAGTCAGTAAGCCCAAGGAAGAGTCCTGTCAAGAAGAGAAGCGACGAACCTCCGCAATTGGCATTGGATGTAGAGGTTGGCCATGGACAGGCGTCAAAAGTGGATGATGGGTGGATCTGAAGTTTTGATGCCACGTGGGAGCAAAGAGAGCAGAGAGAGCAAAGCGAAGTCTGGTCGAAGACGACTGTTAGATGGTTGTTGGAAAGGGAAGAGGTCATGACCCTGACGACTTTTACTGTCCCGTGTAAGGATCGGTCATTGTTTGTAAGCGAAAGTTATGAATGATTATTAGCCATTGGCCATTGGCGTATTGGGCTTGGTCTTGAAAGCATGGCATTCAGAGCAGAAAGACCGAGTGGTAACCCTGACCTGGTGAGGCTGCGAGGCTGCGAGGCTGATGTATGTCACGAGGCTGAGGCTGAGGCTGGGAAGACTCCCAGCACGTGATGGCGGAAAAAGAGGAGAACTCTGGTCGGTGGATTGATGTCACCAACCGCCGATTGGAGAAACCAGGAGCCAGCAAGCCGAAGAGGCACAGAGTGGGTGACAGAGGCACAGGGAGCAGAGCAAAGAGGAGGGAGATGCGCGCAACGCTGGCTGCGCTGCGCTCCCCATGTTCGATCTTAATTGATATTTTCCACCACGCCTCATCCTCGTTGACCAGCACTAACTTTTGCTCTCTTTCGTGATGCTGTCGACTTCTTTGAGTGCCTCCTTTTGGCTGGCTTAATCACTTTTTATTCTGTTTGGCTGGTGCTGTCATAGTTTGCGAGAATTCCCAGTCAGCTCCTCATCCTCCTAGATCGCACACCCGCAGCTCTGCTCCTCTTCATTTCAACCTTCCCACCATCAGATATCCCTATGTCCACGACGACAATGACTACCACCCTGGGCACCTCCAACGTGCGAGGCGGCCCATCTCGCTTGACTCGCATCAACCCTGCCAGAGCCTCGAAAGGCCTCGGATCGACCCTCCTGCGCCAGAACTCACTGGTCTCCAACAGTGGCCTCGCTCTGGCATCCTCCTCCGCCGCTGTCGCCTCGCAAAGCCAGACCAATAATGACCCACCAGGCATGTATCCTGCCATTACTCATTTCGCTGATGCGATCGCTGCTCTGCCTCGAGAATACCGGCGGCACACGTCTTTGCTGAAGGAGGTGGACGCAAAAGCGTGGGGTCCTGAGGAAAATCTACGAGACATCTTGGAGCAGTGTCTGGCCGACAGTGCTACGACGACGAGAGATCTAGCTGCCGCGTCCCAAAGCCTGACTGGCTCTACAACTGCAGATGATGCTCTCAATGTCAGCGAAGCGAACAGCGTCGCCGGAGCATCCTTCGACAACGCCTCCCTCATCTCTGTCCGGTCTGCCGATCCTATCATTATGCAGCGCAGACAACAATACCACGCTCTGAGACAGAATCTCATGACGATCATGGTCACTATGGATGAGAAAAACCACGTCATCAACAATGCCAATGAAGAGGTGGGCAGGCACATTCGCAGATTGGACCGCATCTGGCCACACATCGCCGAAGAGATCTCGGAAGAAGCTAGACTGGGGAGCCTGAAGCATTGGGCTTACACAGAGACGAATCCCGTCAAGAAGCCCACTGCGCCCACTACGCGCAGAGAGGCTGCGGCTGCGGGCCTAGCCACTTTGCATGAGAGTGAGATCGCGCATAGGAGCGAAGCTAGGAGAGAGGCGGTCCTTGCCAGGAGACAGCGGGGAACGGCCCAGCATGCAGATTCCGACTTTGACGACCCAAAAGCACCCGCGCGCAAAACGACCACCAGCGGCAAGAAGCGGGCGGCTGATGCAGCACTAGATCCCACGGGATTGGGCATCACTGGCGCAGGCACAGGAAAGAGAAAGCGACCTGAAAAGCCTGCGACCGCGGGTGTGGCAATGGAACGCTCGATCAGCAGTGCCCTTGGTGGCCGCCCGATGTCTAGAGAGAATTCACAGCAGGAGAATTCCAAGAAGAGAAAGGCGTCCGCCGCTGCTACTTCTGTGGCCCGGAAACGGTATGTGCCAGAAAAGAAACCCGAGAATGCAGCTAATTTACTGAGTTTCAGAATCAATGCCGCAACCCAAGACTCGCCCAAACTTGCCTCGTCACCCCTCGCTGGGACAACCGGGAAGGAAGCCTACAAGCGCAGCCCTGCGCTCTCGGCAGTCCGCCCTGCCACGGCACGAGGACGCCAAAATTCTGCCCATACCGTCGAAAGCGTGAGAGGGAGACCCTCTTCCCTGACATCGAGCAGAAACGGGAACAGCAACAATGTGGTTGCTGGTACATCGGAATTGAGCAGTTCGGCTGCCGTCAGTGGGAAGAGCACAACTGAAGTCAAGAGCAATCTCAAGGAGGCAAAGGCCGACAAAGGGGACCGGCCAGTTGAAGACGAGCCTGCAAGCCAGAACGACGCAGATGGCGAACAACCAGCGAAAGGAACTGCATCGTCAGATAAGTCCTCTAGTAGGCAAGATACGGCCAGGGGCGACCTTCACGACGAAATATCTGCGAAGGAGGCTGCATCGCCTCGTCTGCCACTAGTCCTGCAAACTAGTGAACTGAAAAACGAGCGCCTGGGTAGAGGCCGGGCCTCCAAGACGTCCACGCCTGTTGTCGGCACTTTCGCCGAGGCCGAGGCTGCAGAGACTTCGTCGACAGGGGGAAATGGCGGCGCTGCCAACAAGTCCAAACGACCTGCCAGACCAAGAGTGAAGGACCACGGTCTCCACGATTCGCTGTCGCCAAAAGGATTGCCAATGAAGCGACCTCACAAAAAGAGTGCAAGTCTATCGTTTCCGGCCACGACAACCCTTACCGGCAGTCAGCAGCGCGTCAAAGACGAGACAGACCCTCACACCACAGAGTCATTGACTCCATCAGAGCGTGACTTGGCCACCGGCAGCATCGTGAATAATGAGGCCGACACGCACGCGGGAGACGTGGACGTGGACGAGGACGAAGAAACCGGCGACGGGGTGGAGGAAGACGAGGAGAGATACTGTTATTGTCAGGGCGTCAGTTACGGAGAGATGGTGGCCTGCGACAGGGACGATTGTCCCCGGCAGTGGTTCCACCTCGAGTGCATTGGCCTGAAAAGTGTGCCCAAGAGCGCAAAGTGGTACTGTGAGGAGTGCAAAGAGGTTTTGGCGAGGAGTGAGAGGACTGGTGGGGGGAAGGGGAAGAATGGTGGTGGCAATGGACATGGACATGGACATAATGGGAAGTAAGGTACTCGGTAGATGCCAGCCACACATTGGCGTCTTTGCGATACAGTTCAGGGGCAGAGCGAGCCGCCCATTTGACGCTCATCGGATGATGATATGGGACCTACCCAGGTACCTGGGTATAATTACAGCGAATTCGCTGAGAGGATTGACACGAAGGAAGTATACAAAGCACACGACTATCACTGCTACTCTAGCAACCAAAACAACAAGAGACGTTGAACACTACCTTATCTTTCCCTTGCTTATTCTCCCTGTCCGGCGTGTTTTCACACAGTCTGTCTATTGACTGCCCTTTCCACCTGTTTTTGGAAGCTGAGGAGGTCTATATCTTTGAAAGCTAAAGTAGTCCTCCCTAGATTTGTTGGATGCTGAGTGTGTTACACATACCATTGATTCATTATGTAGGTTACTAGTAGCACGCTGAGCCGCCTCCGTACCTAGGTAGATGAAGGTGATATATATGCACATAATAAACACAGAAAATGCGCCTCGGCCGTCGGAGGGCTATTCCCACGTAAAGTGATCAAGCGCTTGGGCAGTGGCAGGTACTGTGTCTCGTGGAGGTATATAAGCCTAGACCACATCGACAAGGGGCCTCGATCACGATGAACACACGCATTCTGGTGGCACCATGCCTGGCAAGCTCCGTTGTTGAGGACCGTTTCCCATTGCATGAAGAACGAATCACTTTTATACGCGTGCGAAGGCTCGTTGTAACCTAGCTGGCTGGTGGAGGGTCCCCCTCTGACCAAGAGTGAATAGCCAATCTTGCCTAGGTACCAAGTTGATGCAAGCTACGGGGCGACATGGAAAACCACGTGCATTCATTCACACAACTCCTACTTGATACTCTCGGTACTTCCTTGGTCCGTGTAATATTGTTGTGGCCTACGGTCAATTTCGACTGTGAAGTTCGACTGTTAAAAGTTTTGTTGCAATCCGCCTTGCCGCCTGGCGGCCGCCTTGGCTTGCAGCGGTGTGGCCGTTTCGGGAATCGATCAGAGGCGGCGGAGCGCGCCGCCGCTTCGACGTCTATAAAAACACCATCCCGCCTCCGGACTAATGTCTAGGGAAATCAGTGCGAGTCGCACATCTGTGGGGGCACGTCGACAAATAACGCGGAACCCCTTGGCCATCGCTAAACGGTAGGCAGAAATCGAGGCAAGTGGTCTACATACTAGTATAAATGCCTTCAGACCCAAGAGACGTGATTTGCTGCCTCGCTCGTCGCGAAGTAGGAGTTGCATTCGAAGGGCATTGCCTCATCACCCTGGGCAGGCGTACCGCCTTAAGTGCTGGAAAGACTAGCTAGGCTGCCCCCATTTGAGGGCTTGGATGGGTGCTCACTGCTGATGTCGCATACCTAGCCCCCATCACTAGCCTTGCGGCGGTCTGCCAGGTTTGTCTTGGTTGTTCCTCATATGACGAGGGGTTTGTGCAAAGTAGTGCACTAGACGAAGGTTCAAGGCAAGAAACCGCGGTCCTCCAGAGGTCCTCCCAAGACACTTCCCGGTCTCGCTTCGCGGGCGATGGGCTCACGCAGTGGAGCCACCAGATTAAAGGGCGATGGTTCTGCTGCTGTTTGGCTAAAGGAGGTGGTGGGCTTCTCAATTCCGTTGATTACTACCCTCGATTTCGAGATCCTGGCTGGCGAACGCGCAGTTCCTTGAGGGTATATAATAATAATCGTACTTACGATCCTCGGTCAAACATACATGGATGGCGGGGTCTTTCATACATTTCATCGTCCTCCAGGCTATTACTACCTCGACCTTGCTGCTCCGATCCGTGGCGCAGAATGTCTCACTGGCGGTCGATCCCGATGCCTTGGATCCTCTGCAGACATGTAACCGTGGGTATGGACGAAGTAAGCTCTCATACCTGAGTGACAAATTGGGTTGAAAAACAGAAAAACTGATCAATAACTCTAGTGGTCGTCGTGGACAACATAGTCTATATCTACGGGGGAGTAAGCATCATTTCGAACGGCACGACCAATACCTTGTGGATACTCAGTGAGGAGCCCTGGTCCCCCCCCTAGGGTGTCGACTTGCTCCTGAAAAGTGATCCCAATTGATAATTACAGACCGCTACCTCCGCATTGTGGACTTGTCGACCACGCGCAACTTGTCCGATCCTTCTCTGATCACCGCCGAACCTCTTCCCGATTTTGTGCCTACTTTCGACGAGGGCGCCTTCTGGGAGGATGGCCGGAAGCTCTACGTCGTGGCTGGTCTGCAGGGGTGCTGGTATCACCTCACGGAACAGGGATCGTTCGTGGACTCGGACTGGAGCCTGGCGGACCTGTCGGGCCAAAGCATATACTATTACGATGTCGACTTGGGCCAATGGTCCGTGGATACTGCGCTGCAAAACTATTCGCAGACGGGGCTACCCATGGACGGGACATTCTCTTGGAACTATCTCGGTTGGAACTCGCGCCTTGCAATAGGTTACGTCCACAACGGCATCAGGGCCGCGGGACACGCGCGCTTGAACCCCAACACCGATGTATACACGCTCGACCCCGGAGTTCCTCAGATCGGGGAAAAGTTTATCGCGTCCTTCAACACCAGCGACTGGACTTGGACCAACAAGACTATCTCGTCCGAGCTTGTACCGGAGTGGAGTGAACGTGGCAACTTGGTCTTTCTCCCTGGAACTGAGTCAAACACGGGTGGACTGGCCGTCGCACTGGGGGGTGACACAAGACCTGTGAGTCCGTGCTGTCGTCAAGGATACTCTTGAACCCCTTTTGACCTTAGTACCGACGCAGGAAACCCAATATTTGAGCTTGAGACGAGTGGTCATGTACGATACGGGGGCAGACGAGTGGTTTGAGCAAGACACCACCGCCGAAGGGGGAACGTATCCCGCGCCGCGCGCCTCCTTCTGTGCTGTCGCCATGAGCGCGGCGGACGGCAGCAGCCACAATATCTATGTATATGGTGGACTACAAGCAAGTAGCGACGACGCGCTTGGTGATATCTGGATCCTCACACTTCCTGCCTTCCATTGGATTCCTGTCAGCACGAGCTCGGTACCGCGGTCTGCACCTGCCTGTGCCGTGGTGGCAGATAGGTATCTGGTCACATATGGTGGCATGTATCAAACGATCGAATGGCCGATCCCGGCCAGATACGACTGGCCATGCGATCAAGCGCAATCTGGCCTTAGGCTCTTCGACCTGACACACCTAAATTGGACATCGACTTATGAAGCACCGCCTCAGCAGTCCTCGGTGACACCCAAATCTCCAACGACGTCGAATTTATATGCTATCCCCAGCCAAGTGTACAGCATCATCGGCGGGGATGCAGGTGGCGGTGCTACAGTGACCGCCCCCAGTACCGGATTTGGGACGAACACTGCACTCGCATCGATATTTGCCAACGCCGTCAAAGTGTCGAGCTCTTCCAGCAGCACAGCTTCCGTGACAGCTACGGCCACAAGCGCCGGCAGCACCACCGGGTCACATTCAAGCCATTCCCATGCCGGGGCCATTGCCGGTGGTGTGGTGGGTGGTGTCGCCGGCCTGGTGATTATCCTTATTGCCGGCCTATGGTTCGTCCGCCGGAGAAGAAGGATGACTAGCACTCCTGATGCCCGTGAGGTGAGCAAGGGTCCACATGAGGTTGACGGTATTAGCTTGCGGAAGGTCGACAGTACGGGAAAATACGAGGTTGATGGGAATGCGAGGCACGAAGCTGATGGAAGTGAAAGGCAAGAAGCTGGTGAAAGTGAAAGGCGAGAAGTTGATGGAAGGGAAAGGTACGAAGCTGATGGTATGGAGACAGCCAGACCGGCGAGTCTTCTTACTCATGAGCTCGAGGCGCCTATCAGATAAAATGAATGTTCGGACAACCTGTCACCACTTTAGCATAGTATAAATAATCGCACACTCACCGCATAAATACCAATAGGATAATTAGACAAGAAGCACATGGACTAGTTCTGACTCCCAAAGCCCGCGGGGACCCGCGGTTGTCGTTGCTAAGCGAAGGAAGGATTGCAGCCCCTGGACTTCCCCGTATCCAGTAAGTACCCACGCTTGACAACGCCGGCAATTACAATCGAGGAGGAATGATCTGCAGGTGGCCGCCGTCACAGACTCGGACTGTATTATTGGGAGAAGGGCCGCATAAACGCCAGGATGCATGCAGATGGACGGTGGGAGGCCCAATGAGTCTTCAACACGACAAAAGGTGTATCGGCAGTCACACAGGAGCACCCGCATAGCGAGGCAAGATAGGCCTTACTATTTCTACTTAACAGTGCGTTGGCGGGTGGATCATTGCCCAGTGTAATCACTCGTGCGTACCTTCACTCACGGGCGACTGCGTCTCTCGATGGGCGGGGGGAAGATACACACCTCGTCTTGTGTAGCACACCTGGATTCTCCTTGCCACACACTCATCAAAACAAGGTCAGCATCCATCATTTGAACTCCACATCTTTTGACTCGGCATCGCCAGATGGCGCAGAAACCGCAGACTTTGGATGGCAAGTTGGCCATCGTGAGTGGGAGTTCCAAAGGCATTGGCGCGGCTATAGCGATTGAGCTTGCTTCTAGGTATGAGGTGTTGGAGTGTCCATTGTGTCTCTGTGGGTACCATCTCCAACTACCACGGCTGACAACTTCCTGGGTGCAGGGGCGCTCTCGTGGTCACAAACTATCCGTACGCTCACCTTCAACAAGAGGCCGAGTCAACTTTAGGGAAGATCCGGGCCACCGGCGGGAACCATGTCGGCGAGTGCTTCGCCATCGAGTCCGATCTGTCTACCCTCGAGGGCCCAAAGCACCTGGTCGCTGAGGCGGTCAAGAGAACCAATGGCCGAAAAGTCGACATCCTTGTGAATAACGCCGGCATCGCCATAATGTCACCCCTCAAGGACATCACCGTCGAGCAGTGGGACGCGCAGGTGAACTTGAACGGCCGTGGAACGCTGCTTTTGACCCAGGCTGTCTTGCCGCATCTGGCCAAGCCGAGCAGAATTGTGAATCTGAGCTCAAGCGGAGCGAGACAGCCTTACCCAGGGGCGAGCATTTACAACGGGACGAAAAGTATGATTGAGAGTTTTACTCGATGCTGGGCTGTGTGAGTCCTTCCGATCTGCCCTACTCACCAAATCTGCTTCCCTCTCTCACACAAGCATTTCCGTTCTCCCACAAGGTTCGATGCTGACGAGTTTCACTCCTCCAAGTGAACTGGGCCGGGAGTATCAGTGTACAGTCAACGCCATTTGCCCCGGAGCCACGAGCACCGACGCCTTCAACTCGTTGGTGGGAGCGACTCGAGATAGCCTTGAGCCGATGCTAGCCATGACTCCTGCGGCATCACGGCTTGGTGAGACAGAGGAGATGGCGTATGCGGCGGCCTTCTTCTGCGAGGAAAGGGGCAGGTGGATGACTGGCGTCTGTTTGGCTGTGAATGGTGGAACTCTGATGGCTTGACCGTTGCCCATTCAGTCAGGCGCCTGGTCGTCGCAAGTGCCGGCGGGAGAATAGCGAGACTCGGGCGTCCACGGTCTATGCAAAGACATTTAGTGAAGAGAGCTGACGGGGAGATTTCGAGTTACCACCAAACATTCCGGTCTGCAGCAACGCTCTGTGGCATCAATATTCTGTCTTCGCCAGGAATACCCACCTTTCCCTCCCGCACTTGTTATCCATGAAGCGACATAACTTTCCCGGCTCGCCGGCTTGCATCCGCGATGATCTTGCCATTAATCGCGTATACACTTGGTAACTGAATTAGGCGAGCCAACCAGATGAGGATGATGTGCTGCTAGGACCCTGATGAGACGGGCTGTGTAGATCGCGGGATTGTTGGTTTGGCTTAGACAGGCATTGGCTGCCTTGTCGATCCGCTTACGGCGGCTCTTCAGCCGGTAGTTGACACCCAGTTGACGCAACTTTCATCCTCTCGTCCAACATATAAAATTGACGAGTGTGAAGAACGCGTCGCGCGTAGAATTTCGGGAAAGTCACCGTGACGCCCATTTTGTTCTGAAAACGGCAAGCACAGCGACGCACTTTAGGCTTTCATTATCTAAGCATCTGGCAGCCAATCAGCGCCTCGGGGTTACTTCCTAGGTGTGTGCCAGCACAGCCTCAGCAAATCCAGACCGAACAACCAACTCATCAACTGACCACCGCCGACGAAACTTTCCAGCTTCAAAGTTCAATGTTCCTTTTCAGCTGCGAGACTGAATAATAAAACCACGAGTTCAATAATAATAATACAACTCGGATCCCGGAAGAATACTCATGTCGCCTCGTCCCCTCCGCCCTCCTCCATACAGCTAGCTACAGCAACCCCTCCCCCATGAAGCACAAGTATACTGATGACAAGAACCCCGCGGAGGCCATGTTCACGCAGCCCTTTGGCATTTCATGGCGCAAGGCCCTCGTCAGCCTCCCCCGCCTTGTCCCCGACTTTGTCCTCAATTTCACCACTTCCGAGGGTCCGCAGCCCATCGTCTTTGAGATCCCCTCACGCGGCAACCATCTGATCCCCGTTTATGTCTGGGTCCCACCTGTGCGCAAGCACCGTCACCATTTATTTCACCACCAGAAAAACACCGCCGGCGGTCATCTGAAGAACGCCCTGCGACCGATAGGGATCGACGAAGACTACGAGGGCAAATTGCCCGTCCTGATCGATTTTCATGGCGGCAGCTTCATCCTCGGCTCATGCCAGGAGCAAGCTCCCTTCTGTGCCCGGATGTGCCGTGAGCTGAACTGTATTGTCATCTCGGTAGACTACAGGCTCGGTCCGTATGCGCAGTTCCCTGCAGCCAATCTTGATGCTGAAGATGTCGTCCTTGCCGTAATCGACTCTAGCAACAGAGCGTTCAAGCCGCTCAGAGAAGGGATAGTAAGTTCCCCTTATCTCCAAACGCAATTGGCGGATTGGTATAGGTTATCATGGCGCAGATTAATCGTCAAATTGCGGTACACGCTAATTTCCTTCCATAGATGTGGGAGATGCTGAAAGAAGGGCGCAAACCCGTCGAACTGGACGAGCGGAAGATCGCCTTTTCAGGATTCAGCTCCGGAGGAAATATTGCTCTGAACCTGGCCATCAGTATCAAGGACGACCCGACGATGGAGACCGATTGGCTAAGTCCGCTGCCTTGGGACTGGGCGAACGACATTCCAATCCTCCTGTTCTATCCCAGTCTGGACGCCCGACTTTTACCGCACGAGAGGCCCAGGCCGGAAGGTCTGGATCCGCCCACTGGATTCGTCGAACGCTGGAAGATCGAGAAGGAATTGATGCCTACGTACCTGCCTCCGGAGAAGAGGTGTCATCCACGAGCAAGCCCCGGCCTCGCAGACATTCGACCCAAGAACGGCCCCGAAAACTTCGGCCTCCACCCGAAAGCCAAGATGCTCTTGATCCTGCCGCAGTTCGACTCGCTGAACGCGCAGAGCCTGACTTGGATCCAGAAAGTCCGCGACGAGGGCCGAGGGGAAGATCTGGTCGTCGAGGAAGTGAAAGGTGTGGTGCACGGGTGGACACAGTTCCCCGACTCGTGGATCAGCGAGCCGGAGCGCAAGTTGAAGCTTGACGCGTTCCGCAGGGCGAGGGTCTTTCTCGAGGACTACTGGCACCTGGACAGCAGGCTTGTGGAGTTTGAGGTTATTCGTCATGATAAGGACGGCGCGGCTGGACATACCGTAGATGTCGCCGCAGGGTCACAGCATTTGGGAGAAGCGTGATACGACACATCGAAACTGAGCCAGGAAGGGGTGGGCGTTGGTTCGATAGAGGCTGAAGCAGCGTTCAATGAAAGAGACATGCTCGCCTCCACGGTGGAAGTAATCGACTTTTTGCCTCATCGTCCTATATAGACGCGTATGTACATGCGTGTGGTCTGTGTTCAAGGTGTCATGCTGGTACTGTCGAATCCTTGGACCTTAACAGGTACGAAATGCCAAATTTGGCCCACCACATGAACCGCAGGGACAACAGTGGACCAGTAAACTACCTATAGTTTCCTCGTTTCCCCTTCTACAATACATCTACCCGCCGGTAGATACCTAGATACCGATCCCCTCTCAATATTCGCATTGCCCACACAACGACGACGCTTGGTGTCTCGCACGCCCTGAACATCACAAATCCAGAATATTTCCCCTCGGATTTTCTCTGGATCTGGATGTGGCTCGAGGAGCGATGATGAGCAGGTCGCCCGCCTGCAGTCATAACTGCTCGGATCGTTTACTAGACACGGCCACGGTCACTCCGTGACTATTTGTCCACTGGTCATCATTTTCGGTGTTTCGTACGTAGAGCGCATTGGCTATTTGTGGGATAGTGCCAAGACTAATTAACGACGATATACGACTGTGTCTAATTAGGTAGGTAGGTGAATACCTAGGTCCTATGTATATTACCACTAGGCCAGCAAATGAGAAAGCCGTGATTATCGCTAAGCCAAGGAGGGTCTCGACCCGATTTTGGATATAGTCGAGTTCTGCGCATAGTCGAGTTCTGCGCATAGTCGAGTTCTGCGCATAGTCGAGTTC